GCCGAGACAAGGCTGTATGCTATTATAGGGGAAACAAAATTACGTCGTAACAAACGTGTGTTTTTCTCGTCTGTTTTTGGGTTGAAAACAGTAGAAACTAACGCCAATTTCTGGATGCATCATTGTGGCAACACTTTGGTGCCAATTGAGTGGTTCAATGCCACCACACGGAGAGAATGGAGGGATAAATACCAGGGCGAGCAACCGTAAGCACCCGTAGACGTGTCAATAGATGAAAATGGTATTGTGATTTCAAAAAGATGCAAATATGTATTGTATGTGCCGCAATATTTGACAAGAAAAGCAATCAAAATCAGACGGGTCACCATGGCAGAGAAGAGTAATCAGCAAGGTGCGGGTAATAGCTCGGTCTAAAAGATAGAATCAGGACGGGTAAAAATGCGCTTTTCGCGGCACCACGGCGAACGGCAAGCATTACTGCGGCGCAGGCGGGCGGGATGTGTATCGAAGCGGGTGCATCTTCCTTGGTGATGTAGGCACATTAGAAAGATAAGCGATGATCGTAGCCAGTTTACTGCGTTTGATAATGCCCGCAGGCCTGAGAGTAGGCTCGAGAGTGAAAAAGCAATAACACCCCCTGACCTTTTGCGTGGGCACGGTCTATTAGTCGTCCATATACTTTGCAGGTTGATGTCGGGGGTTGGTTTGCTTTGGGGGCTGTTGGTCGCAGCCGCCAAGGCACAACCGTTACTGACGGCAGGGTAGCGGCGCGAAATCGGGTTAACAGAGAGTAAAGCCCCGAGATGGCAGAATGGTGATTTTCTTAGGAGACAGCAAACGAGATGGCCCTAATTAGCATACAGTCCAACAAGTGTTACCATAATTAGCCCCCGAAAGAAAAAACTGACACCTGTTTGATCCATGATAAGATCATGAGATACGGCTTAAACTCGAAGCCAAGAGGGCTAAATTGCGCAGGTTGGGCAAAATAAAAATAGCAGCAAATGTTAGTCGAAATGGTGGAATCTGAGGGCCACGACAAACATCGACAGCGGCTAGACGATGTGACGAACTCAATGGTAATGCTGCCAAATGTGCCCAAATTAGCCCGGATGCAAAGTGGGATAATTTGATCACACACACCAAAAGCTGGGCGGCTAATTAGGCCGCCAGAAATAGGGCTACAGAGTACGGAGTATGGTTTACTCCGAAGGGGGAACAGTCATCTGAACGGCCAAGGGTGTTACAGTCTCGGCAGGTGGTAAGGATTGCTCCGGACGTCTTTACTATCATTGTGGGCGGGAGATCATCGCTGGCGGACCTTGCCCGACGAGCTTCTGCTCGGGAGGAGCAAACCTGACCTGGCAGAAGCATACAGCTCGGCAGCACTTGCACGGCGCGGAGGGCAGCGACGGAAAAGAATGAGTTGAGCAATGGAAAGAGATAATTGGTCAGAGTTGGACTCAGTGACAGATTAGGCTGGGATGAACATCTGAGGGACGTGCCCTCGGCTGCAGCATTCTTCCCTTGAGCGGGCAGTCGTTGTGGAGCTAGTATGCAAACCCCGCGAGCAAGGCCCCTGTCAGCTACAGCGCTCCCGCCGCTCAATGGCCAAAGCTCCTTCCGTCCCATGGCAGGCTTTGGGGGCCCCTGACCAATATTCATGCACGATCTCGTTGCCTGCAGGAAGCAGCAACCAATCCGGGGCAGTAGCGGCCCTCTCTCAAGAGCTTATATCCCTGCTGCATCACACGCGCTAAGAAACGGTTGGTCCCGAAGCCCTGCACGAGTATAAGTCGTCACACGGCTTGTCGAATCAACGTGGCAGACGGCGCTTCTGGCAAAGGGACCTAGATTGGCGGACAATGACGCTAAAGACGTACGAGGGAATATGTAGACAGGCAAGCAAGCAAGCAAGCACACTCGCACTGGAGTGACCAGAAGAAGAAAGTAGGAAAGACCGGGGGTGAAGACAAGCATCTGCCCTGTCATTGCAGCCCGTTGCTGTACACAAGAAAGACTGAAAATCCTTCCGGCTTCGACGAAGCGGAAAGACCACTTTTCACGACATGGTCAACGGTGCCATGATACCCCCTTGCTCGCTGCTGGTCACAGCAGATTCGGCTGTAGTTGGGTATCACCGGCCAAGTACCGTCCAGATACCGGTCAGTGCGTTTCCGGCTTGCCCATTGAAGCCCACGCACGCCATTGTCACCCATGGATACTTGCCTCGTTAGGCTAGATCCCCTCACGAAGAGAGGTATTTTTCTCCCTCTCTCTCTTTCTCGTCCCGCTCCCGATTTTTGCAAGGCCTGACTGCCCACTGCGCACCCCTGACTACTCACCATGCACGACAGAAGGTCCTAGTCCCACTATCTTGAGCACCTCCGGCAGCCACTCTCTCAATCGACGGCCACTGTCGGGTGCGCCAGCCAATCTAGGTGTTGACCGCCATTCTCAGAGTTTTGATTTGTGGATTCTCCTTCGGGAGAAATATACACATCGTCAGCTGGTAGCCGACTTTGGGATCGATTGAAGACGCTCGCTCTGTCTACTCTGACTTCATTAGACTCAAATGTGAAGTCGTAGACATTAGGGGGGGACATGGGCAGAGTCGAAGCGAGTGAGAACATCGGAACTCAAAGATATCGCTAAGGTTGAAGATCTTGCCCACAAATGCCTCTAGGCTAATTGCCCAAATTTGACTCTAGAGTCCCAACAGGCAAGTCAAGTCCTGCGCATCGTCAACCATCATGCAACGGTGGAGCGAGCCTCCTCCATGGATGATCGGATGAATCCACCTCGTTTGTCAGATACAGAGCCTTCCATCTCTCAAGAACAAGGTTGGCAAGGCCGGCAAGGTTGGTCTCTCATCCATGCAATATTCCTTGTCCCTTAGGCGACTCTGACTCCGGCTCTAGTTGTTGAGTCGGGATCCACATACTCTATCGTTTTTTGTTGGTGGTTGGCAAGCTCCATGCAAGTGCCTGCGACCTTGGAGCGGAGCTTCTTAGTGGAAGGGCAGGTCCAGGACGAACCTCAACTACAAGGATAATCTCAGCTAACAATTGTCTGTCTCTCCATATGTCTAACCCCGAACTGATGCCCACATCGTGGCATAAAGGCCAAGTCAGCGGCCAGATGGGTCACACATTGACAGTGTCTAATGCAGAAATCGGGAACACGGGGAAACAACGGGCAAGACATTCCAGCTCAGTGTTCTTGCAGTCCCAGGAGTGCAGGTCCATGCCGCGGAATTAGCTTGCATCTGCCCGGACCGCAACACATGTACACCACTGCTTCTCGCTCGAGCTGACAATAGAGATCAGCATTTGCACCAGGCAGGTACTACACGAGGGAGTGGACGCGGTATCGACGGCGGACAGCCGGGAGGCAGATGGGCAGTTGTGTGCTTGCAAGGTTGGCAAGTCAGGTTGAACAACAGCACAACCCCCATGTACCATTCTGCATGTCTCTGCATCGCGTGTGGGCCGGGTGGTTGAAGGTAACCTTGGCCCGATGACATACGGTCTACCATACAGAGGGCAGTATGGCAAGCCATCGTGAGCACGCGTTGGCCGTTTTGCCCGTTTAGTCGCTCGACTGCTGCTCGGACCCATGTCGTCTCTTTCCAAGCTTCCCCCCCTCCTCGGTGCCTTTCCATTCCTATTCTATTCTCGGGTGGGGTCCAACGAGTCCCAGCTCCGAGTGCGACCGCCTTTGGCGGCCCATTTTCATTGGTACCTGTAAGCGCAGTTCAAAATCTTACGCACTCATTCGAGTGCGGCCGGCCGGCCTGCCTACGTTCCTACCTGCACGAAGACACACACACACACACACACACACACACACATACGCATTGGGAACATGGAGACAGGCACACAGAGAAGGCTCGATCCGGTTGTGCCAAATATAGCAACAAAATTGCTGGCTGGCTACGTAGCCAACAGCAGATGGTTCCTTCGAGACGCGGTCACAGGCCACTTGGTCCATGAGAAGAGGATGGTCATGATGAAGGCGGCCACAATATAAGTCTTTGGGCCATCCATCACCAGCGGCTATTTCCTGGCTTCTCTTCTTGTTGGTTTGTAGAAGTCAGGAAGAAGGATAGTGATCCAAGTGTTGTTCAAGGTTTTTTCTCTCTCTTTTCATATTGTGTTTTATTTCCCTCCGCCCTCCGAACCCTAACCACCCGACCTCCCCGATATTCCAGTTGAAGGCAAGCCGGACTTGCTTGAAAACCAGTCATTCATTCGACACACAGCGCACACAAGATTTGCAATTTTGCACCCCCGCCACATACGGCCTGATTTCTGTTAACGAAACGGAAATCGAACTCGTTACTGCATCAAGAGCTCACATATATCGAAAGATCGACAAGGAAGCAAAGAATAATTTAATAATCTGATACGACTGATATTTGCGTTTTTGGGAATTCGACGAGCCATTCGACAAACAACCTGGTCTCCAATCTCAAATTACTTTGACAGCTGAACCAGCGAACGGACAGGCAGATCACACATCGTCTACGATTGCCTTACCAGGGTAACACAACCTCACCCGGTTTCTCGCTCACTCTCTTCCCTTTTTCGAAAGCTGTCCCGCCATTTTACTTGGCTGCCAAGACGAACAGAGAGAGGAACGGACGGATTTTTTGTCATTCGCCTACTCGCCAAATACCCTCGAGTGCACCGCGAATCAGAAGAGACGCACGAAGAGCACGCACCTGATTGCTCTTGCACACACGAGTGGAGAGACATCCCTCCGACTACACCCCTGGCGTCTTTTCCCCGGTCCAGAGCACAGTATCACTGGGGAGGGTTTACGCACAGTCACGGTTCCTGCCACACCCCCCTCTTCCTGCACCCTGGTCCCTGATCCCTCGGTCTGGACGCTCCACTGCACCACACACCCCCCCCTCCCTCTTCTCGCTCTCTTTCTCCCACGCACCACCCCAGCCAGCTCCAGCTCTGTCCAGGTGCGCCGCTCGGCTTGTCGTTCAACGCAGGTACCTCCATCGCGAGAGAAGAAGGGTACAAATGTCAACACTACCCCCCAACCACAGTCGGAACGACTTCATGAGATCAACAGCTGCAGTCAACATGGCCGTCGCATCATCTGCGAAGGCCAAGTCGGCCTGCAAAACGACCAACAACAATGCCAACCCCAAGGCAAAGACTCAGATGCACCGTCGCTCGAGAACAGGTATGTTTGTCTTTACACGGCTCAAGAGACTCTTCTCTTATTACACAGCTTTAGCTCGCCCATCCTTGACTTATACCCAATTCCACTTACACCGGCTGAGCTGCTTGGTCCCTTGCGCCGCTTTTCACAACCACCGTTCACTGAAGCTCGGAAGACTAACTGGTTTCTTCTTAGGATGCTATACTTGCAGATTGCGCCGCAAGAAGTGTGACGAGGGCTCGCCAATGTGCTCCGCTTGCAAACATCTTGGTCTGACATGCGAATACAAGCGGCCCATGTGGTGGAGCAACAACGATGCCCGCCGCAAGCACAAGGACGACATCAAGATGATTATCAAGCGCAAGAAACTTTCGGAAAAGGCGTCGCACACTATCCAGACTTCCGTCGGTTCCCCTCCGGGCTTGTCGCACTCGCTGCCCACCTCCGCCACTTTCTCAGACCCTCTTGACCGCACCCGCTCCGCCTCCATTGACTCTCACTTCTCCCCGGCTTTCAATTTCAATAGCCCGCCTACTGCAGAATATGCCGCATACAACCCGCAGATGCACCCTGACTTCATGTTCGGTGCTTTCCCCTCACCGTACGAGATCGATGTCAAAACTGAACGCCAAGTGTACATGAACGATGTACCCACCCTGAGAGAGTCGCACGTTTCGACCTTCAGCACCTACCAGACCCCTCCACCTCCCGGAACCATTCTTCCTTCGTCAGTGCCCCTCGAAGGCGAATGGAGCGAGCAGGTATACTCGGAGCGCAAAGAGTCCCTCGGCGAAGAGACCCTCAACGTCAACTTCTTTGACTTTTCCCATGGCCCAGCCATGTCCAGTCGCCAAGTCGCAGTTGAGCTTGACGAGAACGACCAGCGCCTGCTGGACCATTTTGTCCAATTCGTTCTTCCCACAGTTTTCCCAATCCTCGAGTCTAACCAGCACGGCTCTGTCGGATCCGACTTGATCCTTCCGGCTCTGCAGAGCAACAAGGGCTATCTTCACTGCTGCCTGAGCATCGCCGCCCAGCACTACAAGGCGACGATGAATGTCCCTGGCGAAGAGATTGACCAAGACATCATGCGACATCGTTACGCTACCATCTCCTCCTTGTGCGATGCTCTTAACAAGGACGAGAACCACCAAGAGATTCTCGAGGCTGCATTGGGTCTCATTTTCTTCCAGTGCGTCGTTGGTCGCTATGACGACTCACTTCCTGACATCCCATGGCACCAGCACTTCCAGGCTGCCATCAGTCTTGTCCAGAAGCTTGACCTCCCGCGCCTGGTATCGGATCCCAATGAACATATGCTCCAGACCCCCTTCAACATGACCTTGACGTCTTGGATTGATATACTCGGCGCGACTATGCAGGGACAAGCACCCACATTCGCGCACACGTATCGTGAGAAACATCTATCTTCCAACCCCAGCCTGGGCCTTCGTGAGCTCATGGGTTGCGAAGACCGCGTCATGTACCTCATCTCTGAAATTGCCTGCCTCGAGGCCCTCAAGGGAAGCGGCATGGACGATATCACCCTTTGCCAGCACGTCCACGCCCTCGGTGAGCAGATCAACCTCACCGAGATGGGCGAGCCCAGTCCCAAGATGCCCTACAACAGTAACGGCAGCCTTTCCCCGAAGCAGCTTTCCAAGAACATCACAGCCGCTTTCCGCATCGCCGCTCGCATTTACCTATGCAGTTTGGTGCCCGGCTTCAACCCGGCGCAACCCTCCTGCGTCGGCCTTGTAGAGAAGCTCACCAACGTCCTCCAGCTCATCCCTTCTGGACCTGGAGGCTTTGACCGCAGTCTCGTCTGGGTTTACCTCATTGGTGGCTCTGTCAGCTTGCCTGACAGCTCATTCCGCGCCCTCTTTGACGACCGCGTTTCTCAGCTTGGCGATGTGTCCGACTACGGTTCCTTTGGCCGCGTCGCCTCGCTTCTCAACGAAGTCTGGATGCAGACTGGTAACATCAAGAGCAATGGCAGCCCTGCTGCTAGCCCAGGCTCTTCGCATGGGGCGGAGACGGTACCATACATCCACTGGCGGGATGTCATGCAGATGAAGGGCTGGGACTTTTTGCTGATCTAACAGCCTGGGCTGGTTCCGGGCTGTACAGAACCGGTAAAGAGGCCTGGTCCTATCTGCATGGTATGTGTGCCGCCTCCGCAAAAGGTGATGCGGGCAATCGCCAATTCCCTTTCGCGCGAACCGGGGCCGCTGCCAGGCAGTCTTGCTCTGCTGGACATTCAGCAACCGAAAATTTTTGTTTTGATTTATTTTTCGTCTTGATACCACCTTATTTTTGGAATTATATTCAGTAACCCTACCACGGGTTTTGGGGTTTACTAGAAGGAAAACGCCGCAAGGCGAACGGAGCGGATATGAACTACGAGAGAGCGAAGACACTTGGATCACAACTTTATTTTCTACTGGACACTTTTCTGGAAGGATTTGAACGGGGCAGCTGGGCCTGGCTGCCAGGATGATGGATGATGATGGACGACGACGGGACGGGTAACAGCTGGGATGAGGCCCTGACATGCAACTGGAAACATGAGAAGCGACGAACGACTGGAATTTTTTTCTTTTCGTCAGTGCGGAGACGTTCTTTTTCCTTTTTTCCTCCAAGGTTTCCGCCTGATCTATTCGTTTTTCCCTCATACGTATACTGCAGCATGAGCAAAGAAGGTTAGGGTGGCCTTGATCGGAGTTTTTAGTGATTTGGATATCGGGACACAGCATTTCGGTGCATCTGGACTGGATCGGATGGAACGAAGAAGGGCTCTGGGAGCTTGCGATGGGCTAGCTTCCCGGTTTGACTTCTTTACAATGGGGCTCATTCGGCCAAACGCCAGCTCTATAGGCTTGGTCATTGGGGCGAATGGAGCAGGATTGGGATTCATGTAATACCAAATATACCCCAGCAATTTCAAAAAGCATTCACTCTGAGCCGAATCCCCCATTTACATCTTTCTTGATCCTCGTGCACGAGAGCGTGAACGTTTTGCAATATCGCACCAGCGGCCAGTTCACTGGGCCTCCTACTTGGGACAAACTTGTCTGGTCTGAGTCTGGGCCAATCCACGCCAATGAGGGACGAGGAGGGGGGGCGTCGGATTACGACGTACACTACTTTGCTGATGGGGGTGGGTGGCGGATCAACCACCACCTTCCCTTTGAAAGCACACCGGCCGAAGCTTACTCGCAGTAAGACGGGGAGAAGAGAATGGGGTCAGCCGGAGGTTAGGCGAATCAGGCCATGATCTCTTTTTTTTTGTCACTTTCCCTTTCTCTCTCTCTCTCTCTCCCTGTCTTAGGTGAGAAGTCTAGCACCAATACTAGTATCTGTCTGGGCCAGCGTTTTCGGAATTGCGATGTTTATTGTCCCGATGAGGTACAGGGAGTATCGGGAAGACATCCATTCCCACCCACCCATTACCACCATTAACATTGCCCGTAAAACAGCATCGGGAATTGGGAGAGGTGTATGTGTGTGTGTGTATGCTGTGTAGCTATTCCGACTGAGGGGTATCTGCTGCGTAGTAAGCTGTTGACTTGCAGCAATTGCAACTTTGTGTTCCCGCTTTTATTTCTCAGACCATCTCCTCTGGCAGAGTAAAGTTGGGTATTATTATCCATCATTTATTGATGTAATTTTTATCATATTTTCACCCGTTTAGGTCCTGTGGAGAAGAGAGACATTCTGCTGATGTGAGCACTTTACGCGACGTACCCCCGCCCACGTGCGGTTGTCTGTCCCCTCCCTTGAATAAGGAAGTTCGTGGTCACCGGAAGATGGGGTAGGTAGGTATGTGCGTGTTATTCACCTAGGTCAGAGGTAAGGCCGAGCGAATCCGTAGCGGTGAAGGAAATGAGCTCGGTGAGGTGTGATCCGACTAGGGAATCTTTTTTTGTTCACCTGACGTCGTTCTACGGCTCTTAGCCGACGGGTGTACAGATTGGGAAATGCCGCCTCGGGAGGTGTAGAGGACAGGGTCATGTCATGAGTAAACATGGGACAGAAGGCCCGAGGATTCATACGGAGACAAGAGAGACATTGGCATATTTCCCGCCCTCGAACGTCACGACTAAGATGACAATGGTGTTTTGCTATTGGTGATGGGGCGATGGAGGGCAGAGTGGGAATGGGAAACCGGGACCATTTTGCACATTCGTATGGCTCTGGAGGTTCCAGAATATGTCACCTGGCTTCCTTAGCCTCTGGGGTGTGCAATTGAGAGGGTTTCGTGAACCACAGTATTGAAATAACTGTGAGGAGGGGGGAAAAAACGCCTTATCCACAGATGCGGATAGTTTGAATCTGTTTTTGATTCTCATCCCAGATTCCATGTCTCAACACCCACCCCCTACCCCTGGATCCTTGGTTTGGTGCGGGCAGTTTTTCTGAACACAAGCCAGAGAGAGACTGTGTGCAGGGGGGTTGGTGGACATGGTGTCTTGGATGACGGAGAGGTAGGGACAGGGTGCCACTCCCAACCCCACGGTTCGGGAGGCGAAAAAAAAAAAAAAAAAAAGAACGAAAAAAGTGCAAGAGGGTTCACCGCCGTTTTCGAGTCACACAGCGCGCGGGAATGTGTGAATCATCGTGAATTGGCGAGATGGAGATCTTGGGCTGAAAAATTGATGACATTCGTCCGCTGGCCGGGCATCCTCCGTCGCTTGGGCGCTGAAATGGGCTTTGATAGGGCAAGGGAGAGAAATGAAAAACAGGGAAACTAGGATATGATCACGCTTTCCATGGGTATCCACGTGATGGGCCGAACTGCGGCTGCTATTTGTCTTCTTCTGCAGTCGTTTCTCTCTTCCTAGTTGCCTCATTCCTCAAGATTTAAGATGCTCCAGAGGGTCCCTGCAGAAGACATGGAGAACAGGCCACGGGATCGTACGTGCGTGCGTTATGAGGAATTCCTGCCTTCAGGTCGGCGAATGCCCGTCCTTGCCCCCTTCGTCCTCCGTCTCTATTGGCGTGGAAGGGTGTGCGAGAAACCTTGGGCCTGTTGGTCCGGAGGGGCACGATAAGAGCATGGGGGACGTTGGCAAGGCGGATTTTGCAACGTAGATCACGTAGCGGATGGAGGTGTGGTTTGGACTAGGGTCATGTGGCATGGATGCTGCACTTACACCGACGGCGATAGCGATGATGGATGTTGAAGTCGACGTCAACATCGACGTGGACATTGCTTGGGCAGACAAACAGATCGCCAGCAAGCCATGCAGATAATGATTGTCCACGCCCCCCTTGACAAGCTGAAGGAGGCAAGACGGTCGTGATGCTAGTCCTGCAGACGGCAAGGTCTTTTGGGCCTGTGGTCTTGGTAAGAGGTCCGATTTCTCCCTCGTTTGGAACACAATATGGCTTCTCAGTGGCAGCAGCAATCCGCCGGCTGCCGATCGGGCCCCAAGGTGAGGCTTTCGCAAGACGGTCCTGTGACCACGGAGAGGGAGCCCGGAGGGCAGCGAGCGGCTGGAACGGAGGCGTTCGTCATGTGTGGCTTGGATGCATTCAAGTAACGGCAAGCCCATCGAGCTTTCGGAAGACATTCGCCCAGACCATGATGAGAACCTTGTTCTTTTTTGGGTTGCCTCAATTCAATCTGAACTGGAGACCTGAGGATGTGTTCCAGGGTGTGTCGTCTTATCTGGGAATAACAATAGGAAGAAGAGTGGCTAACGATGCCCAAAAGAAGACAAGCCCCAGAAAACAAAGAGACAGAAAAACGGACGCTAACGAGAGAACGGCAACAGCGGGGATACAATGGGCCACCTTGTCTGACGGGGGGCATCGAATGCAGGGGCCGCCCTATTTTCGGGGCCCATTGTTCTCTGGTCAATGTCGCCAGCGAATCAGACGCGCGCGTTTGCGCTCCGCGCCTACATTCTGGCACTGTTCGTTTGTCCGCTTGGGGTTCTTACTGCAATTTCAACCGCTCATAATTCGTCCTCACCACCAGATGTCCAAAGGGGCCGCTACGAGAGGATGGGTACCCACAGCCAAAAAACGTCGGCGCTTCGACGACAGCCTCTCGTTTGTCCTGGCCCGGCGACTACCCAGACCTGCACTGCCTCATGGCCAGATTCTTGTCGAGCCGCCCAACGATGTCGAGGATGGCGCTGGAACGAGACCAAGAGCAGGAGTAGACCCAAACCCCTGCTACCGCTGTTCCTTTTCTTCCATTGACACTAGTTGACTATTCTGGGGGCCGAGAAGAGACAGGAACCGGCCATCGGTGCCCTATCAACAGCTCCCTGAAGGAGGCTTAATGCCCTGCTCCGTGAATTATTGAGATGGTAACACTGGAACCAGACGGTTCGCGCAACACCATCACTCCACCCGTTTTCCCCCATCCCGGACGAACAGCAGTACCCTGCCGTCCAGTCGCGCCTGCATAGGACCTTTACAGGCAAAACCCTCGCAAGTCGCCGCGATGCCGCCCATCGGCCGCTTGGTTGGCCACCGGCATGCCGAGCCCAGAGACGATGTTCGACTGAGTGGCTATCGTTCTATGGATAGATCGTGATTTTAGTTTGTTTCGAGCCGCGCAAGAAGCGAAGAAGAAATACCCGACAAGGTTTTCTTAGTGCTCTCGATGTCCTCCATGAGTGGTAGAGGGCAGGCCTTTGCCGCCTTACCGCGATGTCAGCACCAAAGACATTGGGCTTGGGTAGCTCTTGTTTCGAACTCGGGTGGGAACAGAATCGTCATCTTTCAGGCCACCATTCGACTGACTTTTCCTTTTCGCTTCCCATCCATTATTCATTCCTTTAGTTATTCTCCTCTGAGGTCATTGTTGCCTGTTCGTTGGGCCGCGTCCTGGGTTCTTTTGTGCGGCCTCCCGCTCTTTCGACGAACAACAGAGTAGTCGTTCTCTGGCATCATATACCTGTGCGCGAATAGTGACGAAGTTCATTGTCTGTTCGTGAACAACTACCACCTAATATCTCAAACCTCTACTTATTTCTGCGTCTTTGTATCTCCTCCCGGGACCTGTCTTGAATTTTCCCCTCTTCTTTTGTCTTGCCTATTGGCACATATCGTCATCTGGTTCTGACTTACACGCCTTCGACACACGTTTGACTCCAAGCAGTAGGGATCGTGTCCTACGCAAGCTCGTCAACTCCAACAAGGCAAATTCTGTTGAAAGACACCATCCGATTACACAACAATATACTCAGTACTGACCTCCGCCATGGCGAGTTTACGAAAATGCACTCAAGCCACAGTGCTCTCAATCCTCTTCTTCTCAGCCCACGCTGCGTCCATCCCATCTGTCTTCAAGCGGCAAGAAACATGCGCAGCCGAAAACTTCTCTCCTTGCGGTGGCAGTGGCCTCCCCGCCTCTTTCTGCTGCGAAAAAGGAAAAACCTGCATTCCTCTGGCTGGGAATACCACCGTGCTTTGCTGTCCAGCAGGAATCAGTTGCGATCGCATCACGCCCATCAACTGTGCCGTCTCGCTACAAGACCCTGAGGCCCACCCGGAAGCGGTTATCAAGACGACAGCCCTCAAGAGCAAGCTTCCGGCTTGTGGCACGCAGTGCTGCCCTTTTGGATACACCTGCAACGGCGCCGACCAGTGCGTGATAAATGTTGACCAGACCAAGAAGCCGTCCGAACTGCCCGCATCGGAGCTGCCTGCAACCACTCCCGGTCCTACGTCGAGTGTCCCAATTCCGACCGTGATCCCCACAACGATCGCCACTACCACCCCCCTCAAAACCGAATCATCTGTAGCTACTGCTCCGGCACAGCAGGATGGTGAGGAAGGTGAAAAGAAAGATCCGAACAAGAACGAGAGCACATTCCCCACTGCTATCGTCATCGGCGTCCTCTGCGGCGTCCTGGCAGGCGTTGGTCTCGGCGTTGCCCTCCTCCTCTTCCTCGCCCGCCGCCGACGCCGCAACACGGCCATCCGAACCGAAAAGAAACGCAGTGGCGGTCCCCGTCCTTCGACTTCCACCTCGTCGTTTGGCAACATAATATCCGAGCCGATTCCCATATCCGACTCGGCTCTTCGAACAGATTTTATTCTCAAGACGCCTTCCACCGTCCATTCCCGCAACTCTTCTGCGGCCACTACTCTAGCGGCTCAACCTATCGGCCTGGCCAGAAGCGATTCTAAGCCGCGTACGCCCGAACGCACTCCGGAGCGCGGCATCCCCGTCCCACCTATCCGGAATATGCGTCCCAATTCCGGGCGCAGACCACCTGGCGCGCAGAACCCGCTGCTTGCCCCTCCCGGCCAGCACTTACAGCATGAGCCAAGCAGCGAGAGTATCAATGTCTTTGCGGACCCCCACACCGTGGGGAGACCCGGACAGAAGAGACTGACGTCCGCCACGACCTTTACTGATCTTATGGACGAAGCAGAGCTAGGAGACGTGAGACGTGGCAAACCTTTTGTGCCGCGGACACCACAAATGCCTTCGCCTCTGAGGAAATAGTTTTTTCCCGTGGTCGTACATGATTAGCCATACAAGCTAGACAACATAGCTGAAGGGTGTTTTACTTCTTGGATCTTATCTTTTTTTTTCTCGTAATTCTTTTAACTTGCTTAGCTTTTTGTATTCTTAGGGGACGAGACATGCTGGCATGGGTTAGTTGGAGACTATTAGACGTTCGCTCTTCTACTTTATTTCTTAGATTGGACCTCGATGGGCAACGGTGTTTCTGGCGGGCTTGAGTGGGTTCAAAGCGATTGGCGTTTGTTCGGAACGGTTTATACCCCACAGTCGTTTTTTCTTTTCTTTTTTTTTCTTTATAGTAGAGTTGAGCAGGCCACTCACCCCCGCTGCTGGGGCAGAATGAATATCACCCGGATATGTATTTCATATCATATGCAAGACCAGTTCCTTCCCTATGCGATACTCTCATGTCATGATATGCCTTCATGAACATATGGCTGCTTCTTGGGTAGCTGTCAACGTGGTAATTCACCTCTCACATTACCTTTCCGAGTTTTCACTCATGTCCAGATTACTTACCTGCGCGGCGCAGCCTTGGCTGACTGGTTCCCTCCAAAAAGGCGAGAAGCACCCGGAATGCCCTCGGTATGCGTCTACTTTTACAAGGCGAAAGGATGTGACGAAAGTGAAATATCTGAAAGCCAGGTAACTATTTAGAAAAAAGAAAAGAAAAAAACAACTGTGCCCTGCGCTCCACTACAATCGGGCAAAGGTAAGATCAAGACGACTCTGACCCTGGCCTTTACGTAGCAGGAAACTCGTATCTGGGAGAGCAGTGGCAGAAGTATACGCGTCCTGTATAGATTTTTTTGGTTTAGACTAAACTAGTTTGCCTTTTTTTTTTTTTTTTGTCTTTTCTTACTACCCGATGACATGTGCATCCTTCTCCCCGCCGCTGCTCTTTTGCAAACCCGACAGCGTGCGTACCAAGCGTTATTCTCGACAAGGCAGTATCCAGTGCCGTTCTTTCTCTTCGAGTATGGGTAATCAGCGAACGGGTTCTGTTGCGTATACTGTACGGGATAGGTGCCCCGGGACCGTCTGTCTCGCGCGATCAGAAGGCTCAAACCTATAGATCACGATCAAGATAGATAGCAGCGAGGATACAGAGATGACTAGGAATTGCAAAGACTGAAGATAGCACTTTTATACATTTATATTAAGAAATCTTTACTAAATAAGTTGTATGCGCAAAGAAATGTTATCATGGATCGGCACGTCTCTCGGTGTTCTCTCCATCCCGAGCGTGAGTGAATGCGGGCCGCCCAGTGTACTCTATAGCAAGGGGTAAACACCCCCATTTTCAAATAAATCCAGTCCCAGTCATCACAGTGATTGCTTTTTCTTCCACTCCCCCAGTTGATAAGAGTATTCAGGCCCCGAGGCCGTGCCAAATTTCATTCTTACTCTCATCCATCCAACTCCAATGCTGAAATTCCAATCATCAAAGAGTCAAAGAAGTCAACTCCAAAGTACAAAAAGCGAAGGTTCTAGTAGTCACCCTCCAAGGACCATACTCCTCGATACTCCTTACATGACAACACACTTCTTCTCCTTATCCCCCTTACTGTGATGTTCGCTCCTGCTCACGCCAGAAACGTCGGTCCATGCGGCAGTGCTAGCGATTTCAGGGTCGACCTTCTTCTTGTTCTTCTTCTTCTTCTTGGACCCGTTCCACCCTCGTCTCTTCGCATCCTTGATGTTCTTGGCTGCACTCCGTTCGGCACGACTGGGCCTCCGATTCACAGATGAGTGCGACTGCCGACCTGCGGGTGACGTTGACGGGGCCTGAAGCCACGCCGGGATCAAGTTCCTACTACCAGAGGCCTCGTTAGGTGGCTGGGCTGGAGCATTGGCCGTGTTGACGCTGTATATCGTCTCAAGACGCTCCACGGTAGGCCGCAAGGGACCCAGTTGCGCTGGACGTGGGTGGCGTGGAATAGGAGCCAAGAGCGGCGTCTCGGCTCTACGACTCGACTGCTGGCGTGTGGGCAGATCGTATGCACCCACCACGCCGCCGGGTGTGCTGATAATGAGCGGTTGGTCCTCGACAGGCGAGCTGTTGCTCATGCTCGGCCCTGGCGATTGATGGTCGCTAGGCTGCTGTTCAGGTTGTGGTAAAGACGCCTTGCGCGATCCAGGTCTGCGACTGCCGACAGGTACGCGTTGAACTGAACTGAAGTTTCCAGAGAATTGCTGAGAACTTAGCTGCTGCTCGTGGCTTTGTAAACTGACCACCTGGTCAGGCCTGGGCTGAGGTGGCATTGCAGCGGCCATCATTACGTCGGCAGTCACATCAATAGGGGGGGCGGAGTAGGGGTAGCTGCCAGATAGGTTGACCTGAGTACCAGCCTCAGGGACGTCGAGCGGCTGGGCAGACCTTGGCCATGTTTGAGCGTTAGACAAACGCCTAACCAACGGTGCATCGCCATCTGCATTTGGCCGAGAATTAATCGACTCAGGGTATATCCCAAGTGTTGCCGAAGGTATCTCCAAGCCTAGATTGGGAAGTTGAGACCGTAGAGAAACGGGAGAGGCTACTGTGGTTTGCGGAGACACCAGGTCAGAATTCACTCGTCCGTTGCGGCTCAACGGCTGAACAATTGACGACTCGTTGGCCGTGGTAGACTCTGCCACAATCTGTCTTCTCGCTGTCGTCCGAGGGGAGTCTGGCGGTGAAACATCGTAGATGTCATCATTATCGACTTGAGAAACAGGGATAGACATCGGTCGATCCGAGTCCGCAGTGCGAGGTCTGCTCAAATGTGTGGTGTCACTGGCAACCCGCAAATGATTACTCGTGTGAGCAGGGCTGACACTGGCGGGTTCCTGGTAGCTCAAAGGGCGGGGTGATATCGGGGCGAGGTTTGGCCGTGCTGGCAAGGGAAAGCCCGATGAGCCAACAGCAGGCGCAGCTGTTTGAGTTCTAGCCGGCTGCGTGGGAATTTGAACGCCATTGGGCGTAATCGCGGCGTTTCGAAGGAATGAAGGCAAGTCACCAGGGTCGTCCTTTTGATATGGCGGTGGTGGTGGAACCCAATTGTCCGCGTCACTCTCATGGGGGTGCTCACGTCGTCCGTCGGCGCGCCTGTACTCAACCGGTCCAGCAACAGGAGGTTGAGGGTTACGGCGCCGGTTAATTGCAGCTGCAGTTGCGGCCCGACGCAAGGTATTGGTGGAGCGTGGTCCGTCATGGGAATAAGGAGCTTCAACAGCTTCCTCTTCCTCAATCATCGAAGCCGTCTCTCCTTCTTCGGCGGCGGAACTAGACGCTGTTTGCTGAAAAGCAATCCGGGGCGGCGCACCAACACGCCTGGGAACGAGAGGATCGTCATCGTCGTTACTGGTTTCGGGCTCCTCTCTTGGTTGGGATGTGGTCGGTACCGGGGGCATTGCAGGCATTTGAGGCATCGGGGGCATCGGGGGCATCGGAGGCATCGGATTGCTCCGCATGGCCGCGCTTGTAGCTGTGCGCATCAAGTGGCTGCGGTCACCGCGCTTCTGGGCAACAGTTCTTCGACGCACAATGGCTACCTCGGTATCGATATCTCTCTGCTCCTCTTCGAGGACTTCAGGTTTTCTGGTGCCTACTTCGATTTCAATCTCATTTCTGATGCCGTCCTCGAGGCCGTAGTCAAAATCGAGCAGAATCATCCTGCCGCCATCAATAAAGTCAATGTCATCCTCATCCACGATCGATTTAGTGGGTGAGATGCCACGAGCTGCAATAACTAGGCGCTCCTGCAATGATGTTTGACCGAATCCGGCTACCCATTTCACAGTGCTGACGCCATCGAGCTCGGCAATCTTAGCACCCCATACGAAAGTGTTCCGAAGCTTATCGCACAGAATCTGCCATTGTGGTACCCTTGGGTTGTCTTGCGCTCGGGAAGACGACGATCGAGATGGAGGGCCACTGTTGCGTCGTCCCGGACCAGTCGTTGACAGCCCTTCAGGCCCAGTCGTGAATTCAGGTACAGCGTCGAGGTCTTCCGGTACACCATATAACCAAATATCTTTTCCTTGGAAACCAGCGCTCACAAGATCGCCGTGAAAGGTTGCCGCAGGTAGAGTGCAGGGTGTGAGCTTTGCCTGAGAAGCCGGGTGGGGTTTTGGTCCTGTGAAATATGTTGTTCCGTTGCGCAGATCATCAATACGCACGGCTCTAAAAGTTTCAAAGCTGCGGTCGTAGGTGAACGTCCAGCTCGCCTCCTCTTGGCTCGAGTCCTGGAGTAACACAGCATGACTGCAATCCCGGCTCGTGTTGGGGAACAGGATGGACGTCGTCCACAGAGCACTGATGCTATCGTCTGCCATTTGATTTCCGGGATCGTAGTAAGGGGCGGTCAAGATGACTGTGTTTGGTGGCGAAGAATGAACAGTAGTTCCAAGAATCTGTGTGCCGTCGAATGAGAAAGACAGAGAATCAACCGCATCGCACTTGACAGCTCTCCTGTCCGTGGGTAGCGCGCCTGGGTTGACCAGCGATACTTCAATGCCGCCCTCATAAGCAGCGGCCAAGACGGAACCGCATGGCGAGAGAGCGATGGTGCGCGGGGCGTGATCCAAGATGAGAGACTGGGTGCGGCGTGGTGGTGACTGTTTAAGATCGTAAAGATCAACCTGCATCTCAGAAGATAGGACCGCCAGCATGGATCCGTCATCCTTGATACAGGTTGAAACGGGGCGGCGCAGAATCTTGAATTCCCTCTTGACGTCGATATCTTTCCCTCTCATGTCAAGCACGTAGATTCGAGACGAGTTGTATGCCAAAACGTGGTGGCCGCGGGGTGACGGGCTGAACTGCATTCCTTCGCCGCCCGGACATGATGAGGAGCTGATGGAGTTGGAGATGAGCCTGACGACGGTCTCACGCGGCCGCAGATATGCCTCGAAGAGGTTACGCTTGACTTCTCTAGCAAACAGTCGCCTAAGGCGTGGTAGGTCTTCATCTTTGACGTCGGCTTCACGGAACGGAGGATGGCTCGCGGAGTATGATTCGCATTTGGAGAGGTGGAGGGCGTATAGTTGCGCCTGCTGAGAAACTTGACGCCATTTTGAGTTGAGTAGAACGAGTGAGGCGAAGGAATCGGGGTCAGTGAGCTGTAGGATCCTGCAGTAGGGTTAGCAAATGCCTGCTGCCTAGAGTTGAAGAGGAACTCACTGCTCGATTATCTCGTCGGGCAGGCGATCGAAAGCGGGATCTGCAGCGAGGATGGGAGGTTTTTCGATGGACGACCGCGGTGCCCCTTCCCCACGAACATCAGTGCCGGTGGCCATGATCAACGGCCGGATCGCGTTGTGGTCTTTGTCGCAGGGCTAAAAGAGCGAGGTGCGGTCGGAATATGTCATGGTGAAATCGTCTGGAGTCGTTGGGCCGGCGATGGGACGAAGAGAAAGCGACTGCTGCATCGGCAAGAGGCAGAGAAAAGAGTTAAGGCACGGAACCGTACTGGCTGGCTAGGTTAGGCTATGGGACACCGGGGGCTGAATGTAGAGTGTGGGATCACAGATGCAGAAGCGTGGCTCGCTCGTTCGCGGTCGCAACTGCGCGAACGCAAGCAAGGTGTGGCGGAGCGACGCTAATGGCTAACTGAAGGTCCATGCCAGTTCTTAAGTCTCTGCCTGCTCGTCCCCAGCAAAATATCATCATTGCTTACCGGAAGATACCCAGCAGGGCCCGAGCTGACCAATAGCTGCAGCTGCCACCCTGCCCCGATCTTCAGAGCCGCTGGGCAAACGCACCAAAACGGACAGGGGACCCCTTTCTTTGACAAGGCCTGATAGCGCGCTGCCCCCATGTACCAACTGTTAGCAGATGGTTTAGGGTACATCTCAGCTCAAATATATAGGTTATGGGGGGATGCCATTCCCTTTTTGACTGCACTTACATTCTGACCGTCTTGGTGCAATAGTCCAACTAAAGCGTAGGTTATGATGGGGCATGAAGTTCACACGGCAGCTCGTGGCATCACACCACTCCCTACTCTCCCATCAATCATATCACTAGCCGCCTGTTCATCACGCATCAGGTTGTTTTTGGTTATTGCTGGCTGTTGTTGCAAGGTGTACTTTGTAGCTCCAGCTACTGTTACCAGCGGATTGGTCTCTGTTGGAGCGTCCAAACAGACCGCCGTCGCATGGTAGACAGGCCACCAAACATAAGGGGCTTCTGTGGCATATCTCTACTTGATCTGCTCCTAGTCCTGCTCCTGTCGTGATAGATTTGCGTTTCTGTCTTCCCTGCCTCCTTCCAGGGAGGGGAGGGGATCAAACATGGCTGTTGGCCTCCCCAATAAAAACCGACTACCACCTTGACGCGGTGGAAGCGGGATTGAAACATGCGGACCCTGAGCAACATGCTGCGATATGCAGGGAGAGAGGCTAACCGTATCAAGTCGAGACCCTAAGAGGCAAAGATAGGTCCTTTGAATGTCGAATCACCCAAGCCCACAGTGATTGCACACAGGCCTTCTCATGCCGCCGCGTTCCCCAGCGGGGTCCTATGATTCGCCCAATCGATTGGCTCCTTAATAATTGTTACGCCGCTAAAATGTACAACTGCCCAGCGCCAACCGACATGGCCTAAGTCTGTCAGACTCGGTAGGCGTAGCAATATACATAATGTTGCCCCTCCCCCTCCTCCACAAGTAGAGTCAGCGACTCGCTTTGAAGCTCAGGATATCCGCATGCGACAACGTCCAACAAAAGTCTGCGTGGTGTTCTGGGCCACAACCAACTAGCCAACTGGCGACCAGAAAGAGACGCCTAACACCATCAGGGCCTAATCTTGCTACTATTTTTGGACTTTGCTGGAGTAAAATGTGGGTGCGTGCCCTCGTGCGGGTCGAGCCGCCATTTAAAGATGTTCGTTTGTGCAACCGTAAGACAGAGAGGACAGAGAGGTGCGGAAGATGGTGAAGAACATGTAAGCCCGCCTGTCTCTTTTGTCCTTTTTGGTGCGTTGAGCGGAGCATTGCTGACTTAACGCCTGCATCACGCGACAAATCAGTTGGCGTTGGTGTTGGATATTAAACTTTCCCACCTGCGTCGCTTATCTAAGCCGCGCCAGAATAATGGGACCAATTCGTGGTGCTGAATGAGCAGCGCCAAGTTGTTGCGTCTCATCGGTCTCATAGGCACTATTTCTGGTCACCAAAATGTCTCCGTCTCCATGATGGCTGGGTACGTCTCCAGTATTTATTGCTTCACGTATACCACGGTCCCTAGGAAGAAGCCCGTTTTTTTTTTTTTTTTTTTAGACTCCACGGGTGCTACAGGGAAAGGAGCAGTGATGCCGACGTAGGAAATGATAAGAAGCACAAACCTTGGCACATTGAAGAGAAAGCAAGGCTCGAAGCTCGTCCTTACTGCTGTTCAACAAAGTCGACCTCATCCATCAGATGAAGCGCCAGGGCGAGCAGCACCCTGCACAGGAGGGGACGATCCATCTCTGTTGCGCTCGAGCTTTGTGCCAGATTTCTATCTCTCTGTAACCATTGAAGCTTTGCGTTCGTGTTGGCCAAGCTTGTCCTGTCTCGTGGCCAAAATTCGACGTCGTTTGACGAACAGGAGCTTTCTATCCGTACTACGGCCAAGTTGTTCCGGGTTGAGGAAATGGTGATGGGCTCTGCGGGTCTCCCCTGGGTGAATCGGCATCGTCGTCTCCTGTTTAGCCCCGGAGGGAAAAAAAAAAAAAAAAAAAAAGCCAGACATCAACATCTTTTAAGCATTCTGCTGGTTGTCGCTCCAGTGTTTCCGGCCCTTCCAAGAAATATGTACCGGGGTTCTGGAAGCCAGATCACCCCCTGTAGAGTGATGGGACCACCTGGCGACGTCACTGCAACTTCGGGCTTAGCAGGGCCCTGACGCAGGCCGTGCCCCCTTTCAAATGTGCAGGATGAACTTTCCGTGGCGTGCGTGGCAGGTGTTAGACACCCAATACCCCAGAAACCCGCGTTCCCACTTCCCGTACAGAATACCTGCCCAGGCACTGCTAGGGTAGCTAACAATGCCGTCCTGTCAACAAACGCTCACTGGGGTTAATTGTCTGCCAAGGTTCAACCCTCCATGTTATTCTCAGATATCGTAGTCGTTGCTTAGAGTTTTGGCCCCTATTTTTTGTCCCATCTTTTCCGAGTCGACAAAACCTTGGCCACTTGCCCTTCTGAGGGATGGGCGAAATAATAACATTATCACTGACCTTGGCCCAAACTATCTCGTCGCGATCCCATCTTCGGTATCCTACCCGCGCCATCCCGCAGTTGCAGCAAGATTGCGAGACTGGCACGGTTCGCTGCTCGGAAACGACATGCAGCTGCCGCTAGCTTAGACACTCTCTTTCACCCTCTCTTACTCGCTCACCCCGCCTCTCTCGGCGTCCAAGAAGAGCCCCCATGAGCTGGTTCGCTAACCTATTTGGCTCCTCTCACGTGGGATACCAGCTCTTGGACCATATGACCTGGAAACATGTTCGCCCAAATTTCAACCCGGCCTTGGAGAGGAGGCGCTTCCTCGATTGTCGGAAATTCACCGCGCCGATTGTCATTGCAAGCATGCTATTGAGTGCCCTCGCTGTCGTTCTGTACATCAATGTTCGCGAATACCTAAATGCACGGGATCAGGTACGACCTGCCGTCTCTTAGACCTCCAAATTTCCCCCTCATAGTCCCCGCGCGCAATGTGCAGACTGACGCTCCGTGACAGTTCGCCCTGCCGAGGGTCACGGTCGATCTCGGCTATGCAAGGTATTCAGGAAGCGTTCTTCCCAACGGTATCAACCAGTTCCTGGGAATGCGCTATGCGGCGCCTCCGCTGGGAAATTTGAGATGGCGAGCGCCTCAAGATCCCGAGCCTGAAAAGGGCACGACGGATGCCCTAGAGGTGAGGACATTAACCCTCCTACTGGTGCGTTGCTGATCACGTCTTAGTTTGGTCCAATATGCCTGGCGACAGACGCGTCTTACCCTGCGGGAGGGCAAGATGAGGATTGCTTGTATGTCAACGTTTGGGCACCCAATAACACGACGCCTGATTCGAAGCTGCCTGTCTGGTTGTTCATTCAAGGTGGAGGTAGGTTTGCCGTCATGGCTGTCTTGTTGGGATGTTGAACGTCAGCGAATATGGCCTGTCTCACATCATTCTCATGCAAGGCCACTGTATTGGACGTCGCTAACATGACCCAGGATACACCTCAAATTCCAATCCAAACTGGAACGCTTCTCAGGTGGTTGATGCTTCAGACAAAAATGTCGTGTTTGTCGGGTTCAACTATCGGGTCGGTCTGTGGGGGTTCCTGGCGGGCGAAAAGGTGCGAGACGATGGCGAGCTGAATGTCGGGCTTCTCGACCAGCGATTCATGATGAAATGGGTCAAAACTCATATCTCCAAGGTAATTTTACATCCCATCGCCTGTGAATCATCCGTTTTTCTAACACTCTCAGTTCGGCGGTGATCCGAACCACGTCGTCATTCATGGGATATCAGCAGGTGCTGGCTCAGTTGCTCTTCACCTTACAGCATACGGCGGGCGGGATGACAAGATGTTTGTAGGAGCCGTAGGCGAATCCGTCTTCTTTCCCGCACAGCCGCGAGTACCCGAGCTCGAGTACCAGTTCCACAAGACGATGGAAAACGTGGGCTGCAAAGACGAAGAGGACCAAATGGGCTGTCTCCGAGGCAAAGACGTCCAGACTATACAGAATGTCAACAGGGGTTCTCCGTTTCCCGGCAGGCAACTTAACCCACACTTCTACTGGACTCCCTGCATCGATGGCGATTTCATCCAGGACTATCCCTATGTGATGTTCGAAGAAGGAAGCTTCATCAAGGTCCCAGTGCTTTTCGGGACAGGATCGAATGGTAAGTCCAGCATCCTCAAAATATGAAGTCGGAGACTCACCAAGTTGTAGAGGGATCTGTCTTTGCAGCAAACGCAGAAACTCAGGATCAGTTCATGAACTTCATGACGGACAACTATCCCACCCTCACCCAGAACCAAACTAGCATCATGCTCGAAAAGTATCCTCTCCTGCCTCCACTGCCAAACCATAATGCTTGGTTTCCCTCAACAAGCCAGGCCTATGGCGAGACGACCTTCATCTGCCCATCCAACAACATCATGAACGCCTACGCTGCTGCTAATCTGTCATCTACGACCTGGTCCTACCGGTTCAACGTCCAGGACGATACTAACACCGCCTTTGGGTTGGGTGTCCCGCACGTCTTCGAAGCCCCTGCCATCTTCGGGATCGACTCTTGTCCGACACCCGACAGCTTCCGCACGTACAACCGGCCAATGATACCGCTGGTGATGAACTACTGGATATCGTTCATCCGGACCCTCAACCCAAACACACATAGGCTCGAGAACGCGCCAGAGTGGGTGACCTGGGGTAGCGCAGCCAAACAGTCGCGGTACGTGTTCGAGTTGAACAATAACCGTATGGAGGACGTCGACGACGGACAGAAGGATCGGTGCGAATTCTGGAGAGGCATTGCAGACATTACGCAGCAGTAAGGGTAACATCACATTAACGGCATGACAGCAGAGTAATGAGGCGTTTTCATCATGATGTGGTTGCATAGGAGTAGAATAGCATTTCTTTGGATTGATACCAGCATCGAATCATGGCCTTGACGTAAATCCAATGGGGTTGAATTGCATAATACAGTATTTATTTGATGACAAACCAAGAGCAGAAGTCACATTCTCGAAACGTAAGAGCAGATGGCGGCGATGATGGTAATGCATCAGTAACCGAGAACTGAGGGCGTGGTGCTCACAGCATTAACATTATTTGTGCCTGAATCAACATGGAAATGCAGTAAAGCACGAGCGCAGACAGCCAAGGACTGCGCCGCAATTACGTGAATCGTTTTATTGACTGCAGCACGGCGTGTGACCCGCCCGTGGCCTAACACTCGCATGTCTCCGAACCCTGACGCAGGCACCCAGTCTGTCCAACTCCTCTCCTGCGCGTCGTCATCAAACAAACCCCCTCATGAAATACGCATAGAAAAGACGGCGTGTAGTAGTGTTCTCAACCCATGATTTCTGAGTTTCTGCAAAGTACCAAAATTACAAAAACATCCGAAACAAAAAAAAATGTCCGCGCCCGAGATTAAAGACGATCGGCCCGATGCCGAACTCGGCAGTCATCTAGCTGAACCCGGGCCGGGCCCCGTTCGAAAGGAGACGGCTGGAGACGGCACTCGACTGGTGCGGCCAACGTCGCAAGATGAACCAGGTAAGTCCAGCTCGAACCGGCGACGACGGCATGTTTTGTATGCATCGGATGTTGAGAGCGGGCCGTGTAAAAGATGATAGGTTACGCGAGGACGGCGATGGCATTCGCTACGAGACGCCCGAGAGGCGCAGGAGAAGACTCCGGAATCTGGAGGAGGAGGAGCAGCGGCAGCAGAGCGGCGGTGCTATGGGAGTCGTGAGTGCTTTTGAGTGATGTGGCCCCTCGGCAGTGAAGGTCGCGGCTTACTGTTTGGTGTGTTTAGTTGTACTATCTTGCCGGGTTGCTTTACTGGTCATAGAATGTTGCGTGTTTTAAGAGGAGAGTCGGTGTCAATGGCACTTAATGTCTATTTATTGTCACCCCACTCCCCCATCATCAGTCCCTGTTCCTGGTTTCGTTCACGATACTGGTGTACAGTTATCGGGAGGCCCATGGTGGGATGTCTGCTTCCTACTCGCCATATTCATCTCTGGATCCTTGTATGTGTGTTCTTTGCGTGGCTGGTGGTCACAGTCACTTGGGAAGAAGACCCCCAGAGTAGGACACAAATAATAATATCAGGAACGGGAACTGGGGACTGGAAAAGGACAGGAGGAAGCTCGACCTCAGGAAAAGTTCGAAAGATTGTCATCACTTCAATTCAGGTGGAGAGCCAAGTGGCCATAGCCAATATAGCGATGATCGCCATCTCTTATTCCCACAGGTTTAAGTTCCATGCGCCAGAAGCAAGGGCCGGCAACGTTTGACACGCCTATAGCCAAAGAATCATGACGAGTTGTAATCGGCAAGAGAAATTAGATATTGCGGATGACTGACTGCACGCGGCTATCGATCTCATATGTTTTTTTTTTTTTTTTTTTTTTGGCTATGCAGACAGAAGCCCAGCGCTCACCGAGCTCTAAGCCTATTAGTCAAGATCGATTTTGATAAAAGCACTCAACTAATAATCGAATCGTTATGTTCATTATTCAACAGATCGAACTACCTATGTCCATACAGCGCTCTCGGCACGGGCCTTGAAGAGCTCCACCATATAATTAGTTACACTTCCCCAGCCGAGCATAATCTCGCTCAGCATGATATATACTTCTCTCCCAGAACCTCACTCTATGTACCCCGTCTCACCCTTATTCGATGCCATTGGCGCCTTTGTGCTGGTTCCCCACAAGCACAGTGCTATACTCCGGCTTCTCCTGTTGCTCCTTGTCGGCATAGTACTTCTTCACATCCTGCACAACCTGTCGTCCGGCAAAGTTCTTCATCAGCTTCTGCCCGTCGCACCGCATGTGGTGCTGGTACCAGTGCGGCATCGCCCTCAACGCTGTCACTACGTTTCCAGCCCCCGGTACGATGACCTGCCCGCTCGTGCCTTCCAGTACCTTCTTCACCACACCTTCCGCCACTGTCTCGGGCTCCAGAGCGGGAATCAGGAACTGCAGGCCCTGCTCGTATCCTGTGAACAGCGGCGTCTTGGTGTAACCCTGGTTGACCAGGACCGTGCGCACGCGCGGCGCGTTATACTTTGTCACCAGCTCAGCCGACAAGCCCTCATGGAAGGCCATGGCGGCGGCCTTGGAGGCGCCGTAGTCGACCATTGAGGGGACTGTCAGCCACGAGGCGTATGAGGCGATGGTTACGACCATGCCGTGGTTGTTGGCGACCATGTGCGGGAGGAACTCTTTAGTGGTCCAGAAGTGAGCAAAGGTGTTGACGTCGAAAGTGAAACGGACGTCATGCTCTGTGGCGTCGAGAACGGTCTTTCCGCGGGCGACGCCGGCGTTGTTGATTAGGACCGTCGGGTGACCCACACGTGCGCGGATGTCCCGCGCCACGCTGGCAAGCTTCTCGGTGGAGGTGAGGTCGCATTTGAAATAATGTACGTTGGCGCCTGCTTCGTGCGTTAGACAAAACATTACTGGTCAAAATCTACAGGGGATTGTCAGGTAAAAAAAAGGGGGGGGAGGGGGCTTACCGGCAGTAAAGGTCATGTCCTGGATATCCAGGACCACGACGGTGATGCCCCGCTCAGCGAACAACCTGACCATGTGTCCTCCAATACCACCCGCGCCGCCGGTGACAAGAACGATCTCTTTGGACCAATCATAGCGGTCAGAAACCCAGTTGTTCAAGGAGCGTGTCGAGAGCCATCGGTTGGCCGCCCGCAGCACAGAAAGCCATGCTAGCTTCTTAAGGCGCGAGAAAGCTGTTGGGTGGAGAATGGCGAGATCGCCTCCCTTCTTGGTGAAACGGGCGAGAAGCAGCAGAGGCAACACGAGAGCTGGGTTGAGAGCAGTGCGGCCGATGAGGCGGAAAATGGGGTCCGCAACGAGGCCCTCGCGGGGGAGGAAGCCCTGGTGCATCGGCATTCTGAGATTTTATGGTGTTGGCGAGGCGTGTTCTGTTCAACGAGAGGAGGTTGGTGAAGATGCTGATGGAAACGTCTGTGGAATTGCCGTTCTGGTAAAGATGAACCGAATGCGAGGGCGGTTGCCGGCTACACTTGTAGCTGAAATCGGATGGCAGCTCAGGGTCGGCGAGAGAAGCTTGAGTTCCGAGTTCAGTATTAACCGTAAATCGACCCAAGTCTTGCACAATCTCAACCTTTTGTTGAAGCTTTCCCAAAAGAGCTTACAACGTCATTGAGTCTTGATATAGAGAGCGATGGAAAGGTTAACAAGGAGACAAGCAGTGCCCAACACGAGACCACGGCCTGAGACCCCATACTTAAACAAGTTCCAATGACTAGGGGGGGTACAGGCCAGGGAAATAGACGAGCAAGGGTCGTGGAGCTCCAGAGAGACAATGCTTGGCGACATGAGAGCTGTCGTTGTTCATGTGCAACAATACCTCCCAAGTATAGCCCAGTTCGCGTGCAGCTGTGAATGCGCAGCCGAGGTTTGCACTAGTGCATCGGTTCAAAGTGCGGGGAATCCTGGGGCTGCATAGTCGCAATGGTCTGGTAATTGGATTGCGATGACCCCGCGGAGAGAGCGTTCTGATAGGATGGTTCCATCTCTGCGTGAAGCGGTGGAATTTGGTACCAGGAGTTCCCATAAGTCGGGTGTGTGTGGGTGGTTTACGTGCATGTGAGGTATGCTAGCGAGTGGTGGGCATTACCAGTTTCAGAAAGCAGTTCGTCGGCGAAGGGGCCGCGGAATGGTATGGACGTTGCGGATGGCCACCGAGCCGGAAGGAGGAGTGGGCCCGGGAATGAGTTTCCTACTGCGTAATAGACTAGGCTTGCTGATCGCCCGGCGGGCAGGTTCGAGATGAAAATAAATGAATAAATAAAAATCCTTTCTTTTCTCGTACAGAAGCTCTGACCAGATTCGCCAGAGTTTAAAAAGCGTGGGTTTTTTTTCTAGAAAAGGAAATGTCTTCGGCCGTCAAAACGTTCTGGTGTCAAAATGCAAGCCGCTTGCCCCTTCGGCTCGATTACGAAAATATGTACCATCTCGTATCATCTCAACACCTTGTCTTGGGTATCATGCAAATAAGGTGCTTATGTCCTGGTGGTTCCTTAAATTCTCAAATCACAGCATCAGCGCCGCACCGATGCTCACCAAGCACAACCAATGAGCCCCGTCCCTCCAGCTCAGGGTGCTGCCGGCTCCTAGACCGTTGCCGGGGTTTGCCTCCGGCCGAGAACCGCCGAGTCCGTTCTCACTGCCGTCGCCGGCTTTAACCTCGATCTGCGTGGAGTCTCCCGGGGCAAACAATACACCGACAGCGTTTGCGGCCGTGGCGTTGATCTCCTGTTCTGTGAGAAGCGGGTTGTTCAACGTGTCGCACACGGGGCGCCCGTCCTTGGCGGGGATGCTGTTTGTGACAGAGATGGGCACGTCAAAAATGGTGTAGTGGTCTTCGCCGTTGAGACGGAAGTTTTGGCGGATTGAAATCTGGCAAGTGGTCAGCATGTCTCCGCCCAGCATTTGATGAGCTCTTGGCTTACGTTGTACGCGCCACGGTCGCTGTCAGTTGATGAAGGCTGTCCGTCGCCAACAAGACAATCAGGCCAAATCCAGTTGACGTGCTTCACTGTACTGCCAGGCTCCTGGTACATGATGTCTCCCAGGCTGGCATTATTGGCAGTCGCTGTGCCGTTGGTGATGGTGAAGTTGCGGCCGGTGGTGTAGCTGGACAAAAACATGGTCACGTTGAAGATCTTGGTCGGGCTGTCCGCGGCGTATGGCGGCAACGGCATCTTGCCGTTCGTCGACACATCTAGCGCGACATGAAGATTGTCTATGTTCAATCAGACTCCAAACATTCTCACCAACAGTATTCAGACAACTCACCCCCTCCAAGTGGTGTACCGGGCTGTGGGGCGTCGAGGATGACCAGACCGGGTGTATAGATCTGGCCGTTGGCAATCGTAAAGTTTAGGGCCGAGGCGGAGGCCGCGAAGAGAGACAGCAGCGCCGCCGCGTACGAACTAGAGGAGACCATCTTGGGCGGAAGTATTAAGACGCTGCGTTGCAGCTGGACGGTAAGAAGAGAATCGCGGATAGCAGCAAGCGAGGTAAAAGAACAAGCACTACGAAGGACTCGGAAGGACGGGTAGCAATTAGTATTTAGGCCACCTGAAGCATCCAAGACTCTGGGAATGACAGGGTCCTGGATTCAGCAAAACTAAAGAAAAAGTGGGAACGCGGCCCTAAATCATAGGATGCTGCGATGCGGGATCAGCTCAGGAAATGAGCATTTGGCCACGGCGGCAGAGGCACTAAGATGAGGAGGGTGGGAAGACGGAAAAACAGGACAGAAGCAAGATCCAAATGACTGGGACGAGTTCGCACAGGGAATTGACTCTGGAAAAGCCGTCTCCCACATCCATGCCACCAACACGTCCCTCGTTCGCTGACAGCGACGATCCGACGCAAGAGCAGCAGACAACCTTGATCTTAAGAGCTTTGAACGGAGTCTGAACTTTCATGCCGTGATCCTCCCGTACGACAGCACCGGGCCAGGCGTTTTATCGCCACAGCAGATACGATGCGCGATCTCTCCTTCTTCGTCCGTGCATGACGTAGGATAGGGCAAGAAAAGCACAACAGTAGGGACAAAACCATATAACAGATGTGAATTAAGATGACATCCCGCGGGAGTCGAAGGGTGTGATGCTCTCTTGATGCAGGACAAGTTTCAGATTGAACACGTAGAAGAGGGCGGATTCCTGCAGTATCCACCACGTCGTTCTCACGACGAGGGCAACTGGCGGTCCCCCGTTCTATGGAAATGAGACGTTGGGTGCACGAGCCAACGCCTAATTAAACCCACAGCACACCCCTTGCGCTGAAAGTGTGGGTTTTCGGCCCTCTCGGTCCCTTCGGCAACATCTTCCGCCGCCAAGGGGACGTCCATTCTACCTTGGAGGGGCCTTCCTTGGGGCATTGATAGTTTTTCCATTTACAGTGATGTCAACCACCAACTTCGCGTTTCTTACGAGTATTGAACTGGCATCGTTCGAGTTGCCTCCATTTGTTGTCATCGACACGCAATTCCTTTCGCTAACCTCATTGGAATCCAAGGGCCACCCTAGGTTCTGCGTCTTCATGTTTTCATGCCGACATCTCCCTTAAGGGTTTGACAGCTTGATGACATCCAAAGGAGCAGCTGCCTCTTGAACAAAACAAAGGGTCCCGCTGGTTTTCTTATGGCTGCTTTGGGACTAACGTTGCTGGAAGCAGGAGAAATTTGTGTTGCTGTGGATGGTAACCATTGAATGAAGGTACGGGTATATGGGCACTAAAAGTTATGCCTCTTCCTAACAACCACATCATCAATCCTCGATAGTCTAGTGGTGAGGATATCGGCTTGTCATTCAACGATTCGCCGGGGACCGGGGTTCAATTCCCCGTCGAGGAGTTTCTCTTTTGCCTTTTTGCTCTGATGCTCGGCCTTCTTAGGCAAGGATCAAGCACTTTATTTTTGTTTTTCTCATTATTCAGTCGATTCGAATAATAACAGGTGGCAGAGGCAAAGCTAAGAAATTCGTGTTATTGCAACGCTGAAAGTCTTGTCGAAGCTAGGCTTGAGACAGTGTGGTTCAGTGGATCCAACTCCTATCTTCAGTGGATCAACGGCCAGATGCACACTGTATTGAAAGGGCGTATACCTCGGCCGGTTCCGACCTTTGTAAAACCTCAATGTAAACCTCGAAAAGAACAACGACCGGCCGGGCAAAACCACGATAGGATCAATTGATCTGTGACCCAGCGGTTCGAGCCTCAGTCAACGATCTTAAGTGTCTCTCAACTGAATCGGCCCATTTCGCCACAATTCTGCCCCTCACCCGTCAGATCACTCATAACGCAGCTCTCACGCCAGGTGCCGAGGCACGGCTGAACTGCGCGTTCCAGCAAATATGATTGTCCCCCGCTCATCCTGCCGCCTGGCGAGGCATGCTCTTCCTCAGATACAGCTTTGCAGGAGCTCAAATCGCATTGCGCCAGCGGGCGCAACCCTTAGCCGTCATGGCCGGCCTCAGTCAGACCGACGTTACATGAGCGCCGCCGCATATCAAACCCCGGCCGGCCTAAAGAATCTCCTCCGCGTCTCGGACGAGGTCGCCGATGCCGTTGCGACAAATAAACCTGTCGTCGCTCTGGAGTCTACCATCTACACTCACGGTGCTTTGGGCAATGACCTTGGCCTTGAGGATGTCGTCCGCCAGGGTGGTGGTGTGCCTGCGGTCTGCGGTATTCTGAACGGCGAGCCCGTTGTTGGCTTGACTGAGGAGGAAGTTGCTCTTATGGTCAACTCTGGAAATGCTAGCAAGGTGTCCAGAAGAGATGTTGCACACTTGGTTGGTTTGGTAAGTTTTGCTTCACTGTCTCTATATCTTTAAAGGAGCCCTTAGACAATGCCTCATCAGAGCTGCATTGATGTTCTCCCTGACTCCCGATATTATATCAGGTTGAATCTACACACGCTGACGCAGCGCAGGGCTTGACCGGCCGCAAAGTCCACGGCGGCACCACTATTGCCGGCACCATGCTCCTTGCCAGGCTTGCCGGCATCCGCATCTTCGGCACCGGTGGCCTGGGCGGCGTCCACCGTGGGGGCGAGAACACAATGGACGTATCCGCCGACCTTACCGAGCTTGGTCGCACCCGAGTCGCCGTAATCAGCGCCGGTTGTAAGGGCTTTCTCGACATTCCGCGCACCCTCGAATTTCTTGAGACGCACGGTGCTTTCGTCGCGACCTTTGCTGACGGCCGCACCGGCAAGGTCGACTTCCCGGCATTCTGGGCCCGCGAGAGCGGTACCAAGAGTCCTCTAGTCGTCCACACTGAGCGCGAGGCTGCTGCCATGATTCTTGCTCAAGAAAGGCTGAACATCGAATCTGGCATGCTTTTCGCCAGCCCTATCCCTGAGCAGTACGCCATCCCGCGCGCCGAGATGGACGTCGTCATCGAGACGGCCGTCACTGAGGCGCAGGAAAAGGGCTTCACTGGCTCTACCAACACGCCGTATGTCCTCGGCAGAATCAGGGAGCTGACGCAGGAACGAAGCACGCTGGCCAACAAGGCTTTGGTGAGGTCCAATGTGGCGCGGGCCACCAAGATCGCGGTCGAGCTGTCGAAACTGCTGAACGAGGGCACCGAGTCCGCGTAAGTGAGCTTGCTTCATACATATATAGCTCCAGCCAGAAAATAGGTTCTGACTGCGTAGATAGTTCGTCAAACACCTTTGTTTCTGGATTTGACGCCGCTGCCAAGCCCACGACCAAACCTGAGACCCCCAAGTCGAGCAAAGCAGACGTTCTAGTAGCGGGCTCCGTAGCTATTGACCTAAGCTGTGACTACCACCCCCTCGGCGGCGGCAAGGAGGTCTCGCCGCACATGCACACTTCCAACCCTGCCTGCATCAACCAGTCCATAGGTGGCGTCGGTCACAACGTCGCCCTCGCCGCCCATAGAGTAAGCAAGGATGTGAGCGTTCGCCTCTGTAGCATGGTTGGTGACGATGTGTAAGCTATCCTTCCCTGCTCATCCCTCTTTCTGTTCTAATGGTCGATAGCGCCGGAAAGACCGTCCTCTCTTCCCTCGAATCCTCCGGTCTCGACACAACCTACATCCGTCAGCTCACGTCCGAGTACCATGTCTCGAACCGCACCGCCCAGTACGTAGCCGTTAACGATGCCGAGAAGAATCTCGTCGTCGCCATGGCCGACATGGGGATCTTTGCCAACCACTCATTCCCGGACTACTGGAAGTCGGCCGTTGCAGGCACCAAGCCCGGCTGGCTGGTCGTTGACGGAAACTGGAGCCCCAAGGACATCCGGGCGTGGATTCAAGCAGGTCGCGACCAGGGGTGCGGCGTCGCATTCGAGCCCGTGTCGACGGCCAAGTCGATCGGCTTATTCCCGCGGGAGCACCCTCACCTGGGTGTCTTCCCGAACCCCGGGATCGATATCGCGTCGCCCAACAACTTTGAGCTTACGGCTATGTACAGTGCTGCCAAGGAGAACGGCTTCTTTGACACGCCGGAGTGGTTTGAAGTCATTGACGCGTTTAACATGCGTGGCGCGAGGGAGCGGTTTGTCCAGCTTACGTCTGCGGAGATGACGGACGCCGGAATCCCTGTGCAGACGATCCACCTGCTGCCATACATTCCAACGCTCGTGACCAAGTTGGGATCCAAGGGTGTGTTGTTGACTACGATCCTGGGACGGGATGACCCCCGCCTTAAGGATAGGAACGAGGAAAGATGGCTGCTTACGAGGGCTCCCGTGGATCACCCTACCGTTGGCGGCGTGTACATGCGTCTCTTCCCGCCAGCGGAAAAGGTGGCGATTGAGGATATTGTCTCTGTCAACGGCGTGGGAGATACATTCCTCGGCGTCATGATTGCGGGTTTGGCCAAGGGCGGCAAGGTTCAGAACTTGATTAATGTCGCGCAAAAGGCAGCTGTGTTGACGTTGAAGAGCCACGAGAGCGTGAGCCCTGACCTTGGACGGTTGGATGAGTTGCTGAAAACTGCCGTCCGGTCTTAATGCGTTGGGTTGTTTGTAACATGTTGTCTGCCTTATCCAGTGTGCTACACCTAGTAGAATTGAGTTTTTAGAGCTGAAATTACTAGGTTTCAAGCAGTCGGATGTGGTTGATCTCCATTATCCAGAGCTTTAGATATTTATAAGGCCCCTAGGTGCGTTAAAATCACAGTCAAATTATCTTTTGGCCGACTTATCGCCCACCTAGGTTACGTCCGAACTCGGTTTCTGCGAAATTGTATTGAGCGGACTGGATATTGGCCCCCTTACTCAGCCTATCATGGCACACCGAAAAGCCAAACTTGGCTCACCAGATGCCCACGCAAATGTAGGACGTGAGTATGCTATCAAAGTCAAAGTGATGAGTTTGCAACTCGAATTACCAACAAATAGTGCCCGGCGAGTATAGAATTGGGTAGCAAAACAATGCGAACATGACGCATTTCTCCATTTAACGAAACGTGTCTTATGCTCTATCATACACGAACTAATCTTCTGAGATACTAGTAGATCAAGGTTTAAGTTGCTGGACAACCTATTCCTTGTTTCCCTACCGGGCACTCAGGAGTCAAGATATCGATATAGCTCCAAGGATTGTGTATCAGTGTTTCACGTGCTTCTTCTGGAATTCTAGATCTGTCAGAAAAAAGGTTGGCAATACATATATATCTTCCGGCGATTTAAGTTCTGCGCGACACAGGTTGGGTTCTTTGTATACATGTAGGAATAGTTCAGCGGTGCACCGCCACTTATGGGCGGGGTTCGATCGCCCCGCTTCAGCCGCGTACTGAATCGCTCAATCATTGGCCAAAAGTCAAATATGGCTGGAATTCTAAACCAATCAATACCTCCTTAAGTCTGCAAGGCTGACTGCCCCAGTAAAAAAATTCTGGACGTCCTTAGTTAGACAAACCGCCCGCCTTCTCACACTTCGATCTCCCGGCGTGCTGAAGGTTGCGAAATCCTTGTCCAAATTTCACACCAGCGACAATGGCAAAAGAACAACCTTTCGAAGAGTTCTCCGACGAGGAGGTTGTCTCCTCCGAAGAGTCTGAGCAATCTGAGTTCGAGGAAGAGACTCCCCGCCAGCGCAAACCGAAGCCAGTTTTCGACGAAAAGGATTCGGACGAGGAGGAGCTCGAGCGATTGGTCCTGGGAGGAAAAGCCGATTTCCGCGAACAGCTTTTCCGTAACGATGTGCTCGGCGATATCGAACGATTGGAGAAGGAGCGAAACCAACAGCTTGTCCAGCAGGACGAGCCCACACTAGAGGACGTTGCCGATCATGACCTCTTCTTTCTCGACACCGGAGTCCCTTCGGCGAAGGGCTCACAAGCTGGAAAGGGTGCAAAGCAGGAGCCCACCGCAGCTGCCGCAGATGCGCCGGCATGGGAAGACAGCGACGACGAGCGATTGACTGTTTCCTTGGCGAACACCACTAGGTTAAGGAAGCTGAGAATCAGCGAGAGCGAGGATGTGGTTAGCGGTGCCGACTACAGCAGACGACTGCGCCAGCAATATCTCCGACTGAATCCCCTGCCGAAGTGGGCACAAGAACCCGAAGGACGGCCCGCGAAGAGGAGGAGACGGTCATCAGCCGCCGCCTCCGACTCCTCCATCAGCTCCGACGAGGAGGGCAGTGACACTGAGTTGTCGGCCGCCCCTCTCGAGAAGTTCCTCCGTGACGTTCACCGTCTTGCTGGCAGGGACTCGACGGGCAAGACTCGCCTCAGACCAGAGACCATCGATATCCAGCGCACGCGCGAAATCCCCGACACCCACAAGGCCGCCGTCAACAACCTGTCCTTCCACCCGAAATACCCCGTCCTTCTTTCCTCGAGCGTTTCGTCGGTTCTGTACCTGCACCACCTCAACCCGACCGCTCACCCGACGCCGAACCCGATGCTCACCTCTGTCCAGGCTAAGGGTGTCGACGTCCGTCGTGCCGAGTTCCTGTACCCCACAGGCGACCAGGTCTTCTTCGCCGGCCGCCGCAAGTTCTTCCACAGCTGGGACCTTGAGTCCGGCAATGTGCAGAAGACGTCACAAATCCAGGGCCACAGGCTTGAGCACAAGACCATGGAGCACTTCAAGCTCAGTCCTTGTGGGCGTTACATGGGACTCGTTGCCTCGACACGCAAGGGTGGTGGTATCGTCAACATCATCAGCACGGAGTCGCGGCAGTGGATCGCCGCTGCACGCCTCGACAGCCGTCATGGTATCGCTGATTTTGCGTGGTGGAGCAACGGCGAGGGTCTTGCGATACTCGGCAAGGACGGCTCCGTCGGTGAGTACAGCATGGCTGAGCGCAAGTTCATTGCCGTGTGGCACGATGAGGGCTGCGTGGGCGGCATCGTCATCTCGCTGGGCGGTCACCAGGGCCCTGAGCTGTTGGGCGAAGACCGGTGGGTTGCTATTGGCTCCAACAGTGGTATCACCAACATCTACGACCGCGAGGCGCTGGTTACGAGATCTAAGACGGGTGAGGTCAGCATTGAGGAGCGACCCGAACCGGCGCGCCGTTTCGAACAACTCGTTACGCCCATCACGGTTTTGACCTTCTCTCCGGACGGCCAGCTGATGGCGTTTGGAAGCAAGGACAAGAAGGATGCGTTGCGTCTAGTTCACCTGCCGAGCTGCACTGTCTACAGGAACTGGCCGACGGCGCAGACGCCGCTGGGTAGAATTACATGCGTCGCATTCGGCAAGGAGAGCGACCTGCTTGCTGTTGGTAATGACACGGGCAAAATCAGAATGTGGGAGATACGGAGCTGAGGGAAATTGTATAAAAGGCGAACGTAAAAACCGGTGCAAGGAGTGGTGACCGCTGGGTCTTACTTTTCGTATCCACGAATGTCGAAATCCAATTCATACCCCCAATGATCCTTATCTATTGTTCTCCTCATTTGTTCTTGCGAGAAGTTCCCTCTCCAGTGATACTATCCATTTCACGATCATGTGGGTAGTCAAGTTCCCGCGTATGAAGGGATATCCCGTCTGTCGTGATCGACCCGCATGCGAGCCTTCGCTCTGGTCATCTCGTGCCAGTTTTGATTGCTAAACGCCTTGGTTCGTTGTCGGACCGAATGTGAACGACGTTATCGGGTAACGTAATGAACGAGGCCACACTGTTCTTTAAAGGTGATCTGACAGATCAACTGTACTGTTCAGCATTTGATGCCATGGTGAAGGGTGAAAGTTGAATGATGCTTTGCGCATCATAGAAAGGATTCAGTGTGGACATGTAGAAACCAAGCTTCCCAACCACCAGAACTGTTCCCCAGTTTCATTTCAAAACCATGAATAGGCTTCAATTGCATAACTATACCATGCCTTGGAAGCTATCTGCCGAGTGCTGGCGCGTAAAACGCACTGGAGCTCATATCGCATGACATTATTCTCGTCGGCCTTGCCTATGCTAGGCATTAACCTTTCGAAACATCTCACAAAAAGTACAATTCCTTATCCTCTTGCAACAAGTGGGCGGAAAGTGACCGGATGACCTTTAAACAGCGCTATAAAGCGGCCGCACAAACAATGTCCAGCTTTCTGGCGCACAAGCCCTTGCAATGCTTCTATGGACGGATAATTAATATCAAGGTTAATAGTATTAACGAGCAGCCTATACTACCTAGGCTCTACTTGCCCATGTTCAAAGTGACGATACTACACGATGACATGACCAGCGATGTGTAACCAAGACAGGTTCAGTCTTTACTGGAGCATGCGTGTCTAAACGATTCCATAAGTTTTGACTGCTAAAGTAACTCGACACACCTCTCGCCACGAGTGGTTGGTAAAACCGAGTGTGATGTGGGGACCTTTCTGTGAAGCTTTCAGACACAACGAATAATCTACAAGCGAATCACCGAGTCATTCTCATAAACATGGACCCCGTAGCCTGCTGAAAAGCTGACATTGTGACGTCGAGTGATGCCCGTGTGCCCCTGAGGGATGCAAGCCAGTTGATAGATAGTCTTGGAAAGAGAGCCAGCGGCAACTACGAACAGAGTTGAATACAATACTTGCCCTGAATGACATGAAAACGACGTACTCCATTCATAAGATGAACCGAGGCGATTTCCGTAACCGTAAAACGCCGCATAGGAGGTTCTGAGGGGTAAGACGTGCCTGGGTCATGTGGCGTGAATGTAAGTGTGCTAGTACCAAGGAGATTCTACGCTTCAGCCGAACTAGACATGCATTTTTAATGGCTTTTGTGGCGGTGTGACAAAATCATAGTAGTGTGAAGATGTCCCTCCCGTTTATAACGCTATATATGCCGCTTGACGACGATGCTAAGCCATTTCCTTCCTCGATGACCCGCACTAGACTTCTCTGGTTGCTTGTCCAAGTTGATGGACGAAGACTCGTAAGATATGGTATATGATCCCTTGATCGGCTTCATGTTTAGGTTATGGCCGCAAAGAAGGCAGCTGAAAAAAAGGGTCTTTTCCCGTGTTTCAGACCGGCCTAAAAGTAAAACAAAAACAGACACTAGACAGCTCCGTTCTCGAATGGATCAGAACGTACGGACTCCAACTCCCGAGACACTGTAGTTACCGCGAACCTTTGAGGGAAACGATAAGTGGGACGATGAGACTTTGAGGCAGACGTTCATGACGAATGATTGGCGTCGAGTGCGAGGAATAGAGTTCGACAGCCTCGGAGCTGTTTGCGTCTAGGTCAATACTATCTCAGATGCGTACGTTGCCAGTACCGCACACAGAGTTGAGTTTCGTGATCCTCTCCGGGAGAGAATCCTTCGAGATGCGAACTCGCCAGTAGGTAAGCTCAGTTCTTGGCCTCAATGCAGTGATCACGGTCCGATCATGACGAACTGATCTGTGCGCCAACTTTAGTTAGTTTTTAGGGGTCGTTATCCTTCATGGTCCTAAGCCGTCGAATAGGCTTGTCTATCAGTCATTTACTCCGTAACTAATTGCAAGGATGTTTAAAGCTGCGAAGAAAAACAAAAGAAAAACTAACACAACCAGGTCCCGTTTCTCTGGAGACAGGGATTGAGTTGTCGATATAACTCATAATTGTTAAGACGGAAAACTACAGGCATATCCGATCCACAGCCAATCGTCAGTAAGGACTTTTGAATGACGGTTGCCCCGCGAGGCATTTTGAGAGTCACGGGTGGCTGCCACATGTCTCTGAGCTAAAGACGTGCATATCGATAGAACGAAAGCCCCCTCTGTCATCGGCTCGGGACGGAGCCCAGCGGTAGTGGCGGCGGCACGAGACACTGAACCAGAGATAGGAGAATGCGCGTGGCTGGCGGCGCGGCGCCCAAATTTGCACTGCGGTCCCGGGTCGCGTAAAAAAAGTCACACTCGTTTTGGCACCCTGTGCTCCTCCGTATGCTCCACGGGTTTCCACTCCAGTGGATTATTCCATCGGAGTGGACAGACCACGACATCGTGGCCCGTGGATTCGACATGGATATTCGCATCCCTTGACACTCCGGGGTCCTTTCCTTGGTGTCTTTTTATGGGGAACTCCCACTTATGTAATACGCAACCCCGATTGGCGCAGGTAGCGGGGTCTATTAACTATCTTGACATTTATGCAAGGGCTGTTATTGGTCAACCCACGTTGGCTACGGGGTTCTGGCTCCATGGGATTCTTGAATCTCAAGAATTGTGTCCCTTTCATGATTTTCCCCTGACTCTTCGCATCCGAAGTCGTCTTGGGCGGCTGGGTCGGACTGGGACTGCTGGCGCTCTGGAACCGAGTTTCGTCATGCTGCAGGTTCTACCTATCACCGTTAGACAAGTTCCAGTAGGGCTTTTGAGCGACTCCTCTGTATGTCTTTACCAACTCCACGACGTCCATTCACACAACCAGCCGGGAGAGGATCATGACCAGAAAAATAAGTTGCTCCCGCAAGCCCGCCGTTGGCCGCTGGCCGCCCCTCTCCGATCTGTGCCGCACTACTTCTTACCCTTGACCGGCATCTGGTAGCTGGTTTGACGGAGATCATGCCAGGATCTGGTGACGGATCCGGCTTTCTTCAAGCGCTTTAGCGAGAGTTCCCGACGCCCAGGTTCAGCCCAGCCTATCCAGCCATCCGTGTTATCATACTACTTTGCGTGCGTCTGATCCTGGGAGCATTACACAACACTGAGTCGTTGATCGGCTGGCTGAATCGCTGACACTAAACAACCCACAAAGAGGGAAAAAAAAGCATGTCTGTTCCCAAACGGTACGAATTACCGCCCACCCATACCCGCTTTCGCAACCCATGTCACTCCTGTTAGACCAACCTAGCTCTGTCATGCGTTAGAGAGAGGCATGCTGCGGTGATGCACATGTCAGATGCAAGAGAAAAAAACAGCTCACAGTATGCAGATGCGATGCAGGTAATGAGGAGCATTTTGCAGAAGAGGAGAAAAAAACCACTCGGCGCACGGCCAAGCGGCAACTTTGGGGGGGAGTGCCCAGCCCTGTTTCGCTGCCTTCCTTCCCTTCCTTTCTCGCAGGATACAGCCATTGCCCCCTCATTCTTTCGGCGGCGCCGTCGGATTGGTTTGGCATTCGGGTTTCCTGATGCTGGCACCTGGAGTAAGTAAACAGGTTGGGTGGGTTGGTTGGTTGGTTTGAGTTGTATTGTCTTGTTGTGTTGTCTTGCCGTCATTCGCTGTGACGGGTAGCAGTGCAGTCAGCCAGCCGCTCCTCTCTGTGTAAATCAATCACCATGGCAATCGGCCATTCGGTGAAGCGCTTTCTTTTCTCAAGCAGATGCGGTGTTTTCCCCCCCTTCCCCCTCCAAGGCAATATTGTCTCCCTTCCATTTTCAGCCTTATCCCCAGAACGTGGGACAAGCACCCACGACCTAATCTCTCCTGGCGTAAGATGGGCAATCTGAGGTTGTCCTGCAGTAAAAAGCTTCCTCAGCAGAGGCTCCTCCGGTTGGCTGGCGGTCCCCTGTAACGGGCTGTACTGGGCAAAATCATGCCATGGGTCGCCCAACCTCTTGCGGCGGCGCGTCACGACCACACCACAATCGTAGCCATAACATCTCATACTTATTCCTCGCGTGACCCGCTCCGTGCTGTTGGTGCTTCTTTGTCTACGCCAGCCTGCGCCTGCGCTTCCTCCTCCTACCCATTTTCGTCACTTTGAGTGTTCCTTGGTTCTCGCTAGCCTTGGAACTCTTGGACCTTGCTTTCCCTTTGGTGCTACTGCACGTAAATGGATGATTCGATGGAGCCTTCCTGCATTAGGGCTCCAGTTACGACTTTGTCTTTCTCCATTCGAAACCGCTTTTTTAAACCCCGGCGTTCCTCCCCTCCCCCGGACGCCGTCTGAAGTGAGTTTGGTTCGAGTCTGGTGGGCACTGGGAATCAACTTAGGTATTCTCACCAACCCGTTGGTGCCGCTTCAGCTTTTACACATCACCTGACGGATATGGCCGAGGCCCATCTCGTCCGTCCTTCAACGTCGTACTCCGGCGCCTCGGGTATACAGAGGAGGTTCCTCCTCTCGAGCCCGGGGCGGCCTCGCACTGCAACCGGACACAGCGATCCCAAATTCTCCCCGACACACCCCGCCGGTTTGGCCGTCAGGGTCTGCGTCAAGTTTCAGCCCTCTCTCGACCTTATCTACGAGAGACAGTATCAGGCTTCAAACGGATTCGAGCCCACGGAAGAAATATGTCAAGCCCTCCTGCGCCGCCTGACCCATTGCTCAAATGAACTTCTCACCCGCAGAGACTCGACCGCCCTTGAGCGGACCATCCCTCAGATCGGAGAGGGTAAGCCGCTGCGGTTCGAGCTGATTTACCAAATCTACAGAGGAGGTCCAGAACCATGGGCTACCAAGTCTTACAAATCTTACCAAAAGTACCCTTTGGATAAGTCGTCTGCCATGGAAGTCGCCCGCTCCACTGACCGCATCATCGGTTCATTTCTCAAGCTTCATGACCGATCCTTCAGGTGGATGCACGGCAAGATGCGTGAGCGATCCGGTAGCGAGCTGGAGATTCTCAAGCCGTTGAGCAACCCAGTCTCCCTCCTTCACATTCCACAGTCACGCTTCGTTGATGCTACCCAGGACTGGGAGTTCATCCCTGGTTACGAAATTACCCTGCACTTCCGAAGCCGATGCAAGTCTCGCAGGCAAAGAGAATGGGAACGGACCCTCACTCTCAAAAGCAAACAGAGCTCCCCTCTGACCTTATCCCACGGCGAAGATATGGCTTGGGTATTGTCAACAGCGATGCAACGTTCTCTGGATTCGCGAAAAATGGCCTTCGACCGCCAACATCGGTCTTGCAACCGATTCGACTTTCTAGAGGAGTGTCATCACTCCGAGCAGAACGCTGTCCATGTCAGCTTCCAGATCCGTAACCAGCTCGGCTTAGATCACAGGCATCTCCGCCGCGAGATTGATAGCAACTTGCTCCTCTTCCAGGACCCCAACGGTCTTGACTGCGAACAGTTTGTCAACCAGCTCGAGCATGCATTTTCTGCAGTTCGTGACGATACTGACAAGGAACTGACCGAGATGGACGATCTCCGGTTAACAATCTACGAACTTTCCGGCCGTGGTTGGAAGGCAGAGAAACCATTCGCAGTCTGTCTTGATTCGACCGCCTGTTACTCTCGAAGGACCATCAAGGCCATTTTGGACCGAGTTCAGACGGGCGTCGCCGATATCCTCGGTGGCAACGACATGAGCATCACTTTAATGGTTCACAAGCGTGGCCATTTGGTTTTGGACAAAACCCTCGTGGCCCGTTCGCCATACTACGCAACAGGGCAGCGCCAAGACGAAGATCCTGAGACTGTGAAAGAGTCCTTCCTGACGAAACTCAAAGACCGCATTCGATCAGACATCTCCATGGTGGTAAAAGACACGTGCTCGCTGTCCGACTGCGAACCCCAGAACATTCGCGTTGTTGAACGGCCAGTTCCTGCAGCGAATGACCCTGCAGAAATGGAAGCCTTGCCGTCCAGCAGCCCGCTCCCAATCCCGACACCCAATGGGCCCGTGCCGGACTCTTTCGATGGCAGTTCTACTGAACCGTCCGAACCTCTGGGGCAGTGTGAAACGCTTCAGAACGGTGGTGGGGTCAAAACGATTACCGACGGCGTCATTGACACCGTGGGGCTGCCGCAACAGCCTGAAACTCCAGCCAAAGCAAATGCCTTCAAGGATCAATTCGATGGACGAAGCAGTCTGTCCTTCTCTTTGACCGAGGACGGGGAGACTACTTATCCTTCCTCCTCGTCAGCCCCAAGTCTCATTGACGGCGAAATTGGTACGCCCCGCGACAGTTTGCTCGTTACGCCTACCTTTTTGCGAACGCTATCGGGTCACCCTCAGCACTTTAATGCGAACCCGAATATCGCGGATTCCGAGACCTCCGACAGCGAGCTAATTGACGAATCACTGATAGGAGCTTCCACGCCGACAATGCAGCGTTTCAATGGACCGCGACGGTTCAACCTGTTCGGCAAGGGCAGCCATTCGGTTTCGCGGCAATCTCTCGTATCGACCGAATCTGAGTCCGAGAAGCAGTCGCTAGTCGAGTCTGAGCCAGCGACCGAATTCGAGAATGTCCAAGTCCATGTCCAAGAACTCAAGTCGGAGTTGAGCCTAGTGGAGCCTGAATCCGCGCCGGCGCCCTCTCTCGCTACGCCCGAGCCGCACCGGGAAGCCACCATTCAAGAGCCTGCTTTTGGTGGTTGGCTGGAGTACTGCTGCGTCTCGGTCGATGCGGAAGAGCCGCCGGTCGAACCAGAGCCTCCGGTTGGGCAAGAGACTCCCAAAATCGAGAGGCCGATCGGGACAGAGCCTGTGATTGTCATCACTCCAGATAAGGAGCAAACTTCACCCGCTTTGTCCTCTCGTCCTCTCGAGGGGTTCTTGGAATATGCGATTGAAACCATTGTCGAGGAAGATGAAGATGACTCGGACACTGAGTTCCACGACGCGGACTCCATCGCTCCGTTAGTCGTTGTGCCTAGTCCCTCTAGTTTTGCAACCGCTTTGGAAACTGGCCTCACTTCTCCAATCAGCCTGAACCACGCGGCGTCCGACTTGGGGCAAACGAAAACCTCATCTGATCTGTTTGAATCCGTTTCACCTCCCGTGCTGGGGACAATCTTGTCGCCGTCCACCGTTGAGGTGACCAAGACCAATTCAGTTGTTGAGAATGAGGCAGCAAAGCCCGTTCCGACTTCTCAGGTCGATGCTTGTACGTCTTCACTTGCCACCACCGAATTCAATTCAGCCCCATCCGTTCCTGAGACTACCGAGCCCTCCCCCGTTCCCGAAGCCGCGAAGCCCTCCCCGGTACCTACCGAGCCTTCCGAGCCGAGACTTAACCCCTCCGCCGAGATTCACAGGGACCCGTCCTTTCTCGTTTTGAATGAAGCCCCGTCCGTCTCATCGGAAGCCCCGCGCACACCGACAACAGACTCGGTGCCTTCATTCAGCGATAAGGACGAGACCCGTGGATTGTGTACCCCACCACTGATGACAGAAACTGAAGACTCGGACTACTCAGAGCCTTCCGAACCATCTGTGCCGTTCCCCGACCTTCCTGTCGAAGCTGCGGCTCACGATGATTCCAAGTCCCTGTCCCTCTGGACACCGTCAAGGGCCTCGTTTCTTTTCGATGACTCTAGTGAAAGCTACTTTGGACCTACCCGCAAGATGTCGATCCCGCGCCCTCTTTTCATGCGACCTAACTCGAGCGTAACCTCCTTCAGTCGTCCTTTCTCTCACAAGCGCCAGTTCTCTTCCCCGACTGCGGGCTTTTTCGGTTTCCAGGAGCCGCGACGTCTCGACATCGGGCTTCGAGGTGCTCTCTTCGGGCTTGCCGCATTGCAGAAGCATGGCAAACTGGAGCGGAGCAGTTCACAAATTCTGCTAAAGCTTGAGAACGACAAAGGTGCGGTCGTCGCGCCCGGCAGCCACAGCAACCCCGGCAGCCGTCGAAACAGCGAGGCGAGAGGTATCGGTAGTGCTGGAGTATTAGGTTTGGGGAACGCCTACGCGTTTTAGGTAAAAGTATGAGGGTAGGGGGCGAAAGGGATTACTGTCAGGAAACGCGAAGGAATGGATAGGCTTATTGGGACACTGGAGACTCGGGAAATGGGGAACAGCAGTCTGGATTGAGATCTGGTAACATGCATGAATAGGCGTTTTGGAGGTATTTTGAACATGGGGGGAAACTTCTATTCGTCTCGCAAGCGATGCATGGCGGGCACAACTTGATTTGAAAAGAAAAAAGAAGCTTATGGTTGGAACTATTCCACAGAATGTCCCACCATTGATGAGGTGTACACTATAGACACACACAGTCATTAAAATAATGCATCGAAATTTCTTTGTTGTCATTACTTGCTGTTATATGGAGATTTGCGATTCACTTAGTTTGATCTATACTTCGCACGAGACAGCCATTGTAAACGCGTTCCCTCCGAACTCTTGCAATGTGACCCATCTCTTCAAATTCATCTCCTCCCTGCCTCGTTGAACGAGTCTGACCACCTCTGATGAGGGTCGATTTTGTAGCCTAGCAGCCGCGAGGAGGCTCAGCCTGATGTCGGGGAACCCCGACGCGGGGCCAGACGTATGACTGTCATTTCCGAACGCGCGGGGCTTTTCGGCCCCTCGCCCTAGGCGTCCGTATTCCACCGTGGCTTTGCATCCCCCCCTAGAGCAGTCAAACGACGCAGGATCCTTGACGTGGATTGTCGTCACCACGTGGGCTAGACGAGGAAGAGTCACGCCATCCTCACGCTGGCTGGCCTGCTTATATTCTCCCGAGAAAGGGGCTGGTCGGCCATACAGCCGCCGCCCGCCCGCCCAGCCATGCCGTTCCGGTGGCGCCATCCGCCGCGTCGCCCCGAGATCCGCATTCCCATGGCTGTCCCATAATGTCTCTGTTCCTGACATACCCAGGCATGCTCAAACAAGCTCAGCGTCACCTGCATCAACAACTGGCTTCGCACTCGACCACCTCAGAATAAGAATATCCCCGGCCTTGCCATCCACAACACCATCTGAATCAGTACCTTTGCCCTCGACCGCGGCGTCTCTCAGCAAACGGATGAATACAGCGGTATCGACGTCCGGCCCGTCAATCATGCTAATGTTACCCGCAGTGTCGTTCAGGTTCTGTAGGGGCTGCGGGAAGGAAGAGAGAAAAGAGGAGAGGTAATGGTTGTGTAGCAGGGCCTGATGGCGCGTCGCGTAGGCAAGCTCGGTTTCCGACAAACGGGAGCGGAGGCTGGGCGAAGAGAGGTAGTGGAGGGCGTGCTTGTCGATCTTTGCTATACGAGCCCGGAGGTAACTCCTGACGAGAAACTTGAAGCGCTCGAGTTCCGTCTGGATCACGATCAAGGCGAAGTTGGTTTTGGGGTCCATGTCGCCTGTCATGTCTTCAACTTTTTCAATTTGGCTTTTGATGCGGTCGTTGACGCGCTCAAAGAGGCCGTCTGGAGGCCATCTGGATCACCGCGATTGTCAGCATTTGAGCGCGGAAGATGGGACGTGAGAGCGGCGCACTCTAGGAGTTCGGGAGCGGAACGCTCTGCTACCCAGGCACGCGTCAGAGCCTGTAAGTCGCGTGTCTCGGAGGGAATGGAGTACGACACGGGGTCGACTTCGCGGAGGATGTCGTCAATGTCCATTCTGTCGGTGTTTGGGCTGTTGTTAGTTTGGTGAGGTGTTATGACATGGTGCGTTTGTGGGCCGGCGGACGAAGAACGCGACACCGTCGATAATTCGGTGGTGGGATGCGAAAGTTGAGAATCGCGGGGTGTAATTCAATTCAATGGTGGGGTCGTAGCTTACATGCGCTGTCCGATGTGGAGCGCCGTACAGTAGTGTTGTGGCAGGGGGCTTATAAAGATACTAACTACACTTGAAGACAGTGTGGGGGAGGGTAACTCCCTATCCTCATTTTCTTGGAGAGCGACCACATTCTCTCTCCCCAGCGTGACCCTTGCTACTCATTCGGGGAAACAGGATTTTCAAGTACTTTTTTTTTTATTTTTTCCTTTTGAATTTATATAGGGATGTAATAATGAAGCTAGCAAGAACTTATAGTAACTTTCGTGAGACTAATTCCTAGTATATTTCCCGTTGGAAGTAAAATTGCCACTGACTGAGACATACCACCAGTTTCTTGATGTTATTATGACGAAGTCAACGAAGCTACACAGATTAGCTATGCCGAGGCACAGTTCCCATCGGATGGCTCGGTCTAACCCCAACACCAGTGTAGTGCAGTCTTCAATTTAAGACATAAATGCTATGCAGAGCACCTACCTAGACGATTTTCACTTGTGTCAGCTCAATCCCTTAAGCCCAGTTAGTCAGTCAGCCTTGACAACTGTCAGACGCCCAAATCTCCCATCGGCTCCAATTGACACACGCTCGTTGACATCTTCAAGGTTGTCAGTGTCACTCTCACGCAGGATATTCACACCATTTTTATTTTCCATATCATCTTCAATATGGGAGATGCTGGGGATGACGGCGACAGCGGTCGCCCTCCCTACTCCTCTTATGCTGTTAGCATCTACCAAAATGGCATTATGGCTGGCCAACTGCCTATCGTGACAACGGACCCAAATGGCTTGCAGGAACAGGCCAGAAAGGCCATGGGAAAAGAGGCCTTTGGTTATGTCTTTGGAGGCGCAGGTGAGCTGTCCACGATGGATGCCAATCGCCTGGCTTTCCGACAGTGGAAGATCATCCCTCGTTTCCTGAGACCAAACAACCCTCGGGATCTGAAAACTGAGCTCTTTGGTGTGACCTATGGTACGTTGAAAACTACCTAGTAGTTGATCAACAATGAGGTATCTAACACAGCCCAGACTCCCCTGTCCTGATGGGCCCCATCGGCGTCCAAGGCATCTTCCACGAGGACAAGGAGACAGGCCTGGCCTCCGCCTGTGCGGAACTCGGCGTGCCATACACGCTGAGCACAGCAGCGACATCAACCATTGAGGAAGTCGCCGAGGCCTTAGGCGACAGCCATCGCTGGTTTCAACTCTACTGGGGAATGGACAACGATATTACTGCATCATTGTTAAGACGAGCCAAGGCCAGCGGGTATAAGGCACTTGTTGTGACCCTCGACACTGTCACACTAGCATGGAGGCCTGCTGATTTAGACTCGGCATATCTTCCCTTCATCACCGGCACTGGCAATTCTGTCGGCTTCAGTGACCCCGTCTTCCGCAAGAAGTTCTCAGCCGAAAATGACGGGGATGAGGTCGAGGATAATGTGATTAGTGCGTCACGTTATTGGATTAGCCAGGCTTTCCCGGGTGAACACCACAGCTGGGAGGATCTGGCGCTGTTGAAGAAGCATTGGGAGGGACCTATCGTATTGAAGGGTGTGCTGAGTGTAGAGGATGCAAAGCTTGCTGTAGAACATGGAATGTCGGGTATTGTCGTCAGCAACCATGGTGGAAGACAGCTCGACGGCGCCGTGGCTTCGCTGGAGGTGCTCCCAGAGATTGTGGAGGCTGTAGGTGACAAGCTTACGGTCATGTTTGACTCGGGAATCCGCACTGGAGCGGACATCATAAAGGCCCTTGCACTAGGAGCCAAGGCTGTGTTCATTGGTAGACCCGCTATCTATGGCCTGGGAATCGCAGGCAAGGAGGGCGCGAAAGCCGTCATTGCTGGCTTGCTCGCTGACCTTGATCTGAGCATGGGATTGTCCGGGTTGAAGAGCGTGTCGGAGCTAAAGCCTTCAATCCTCCGGCAGGTCCGCTACGGCGGGGATATCAAGGCCAATTTGTAAAATCAGACTCTGCGACTCTGTAGAATAAAGGTTCTTCTTTAGTTTGGTATACAAAACACTCTTCAACGATGTAACAGCGGGACTGGAGAGCATCGCATGCATCTCATTCCAAGAATCATTTCCCTTCTAAAGCTTGTGAACATCGGCAGCGCCAATCTCCCCTCTCCCTATGTGGGCGAAACCAGCACAGAACGCTCAGAATGGGAAAAGTGGTGTTGTTGGTTGGAAGAACTAACTAACTGGCTAGAGGGCTGTGGAGGCTGGCTAAGACCAGTGGTGGCGGCCGTCAGCCCACGTGACGGGCCGGCGAGGCCTGCCACCCACACCCTAGACAACCCAGCTCTGGAATGAATTCCCTCTAATGAGCTAGACAACAGGAACGTGGAGAGCCACCAGGCTAACTATTACGGTCCATTCACAGGTAAAAGAAGTTCGACTACCAACTTTGTTCGATACCATACCATCCACGTCTGGTTTAGACTTGGCACTTCCAGGATTCCAGGCTGCACTCCGGCCAGGCCCTAGACCAATCTCTTGCTTGCCTTGAGCACTCATCCCTCAGATACCAGACCTCCCTTCATGCGCTAACACCATTTGCGTCCCCAATCTAAATGCTCTTTTCTTCCCGACCTTCCATTTTCCAGCTAATTTGCTCTTATCTGGCACCTCTGGGGCTCCAAGCGAGGCTACAAAATGTAGCTTCGTCACGAATCGTGCCTGATGTTGATCGGTAATTTCTTTCTTGGAATGCGCAAACTTCGACCGAAGATCACATCTCGCCAGTAGATGGGTAGCGACGGGCCACTGAGCAGCTCCGTAAAAATGAAGCAGGTGATTTTGAGGGAGTGGGATCAGGGATTCCTGGTGAAGAACAATATCCATAAACGTATCTTGTCTTTCAATAATACAAACGCAATTTTGCCATAAGGTGCCATCATACACTATATCTCGAGCATATCAATACATATAGTACCTGTTTGGGAACAACAAGAAGGGAAGAAAGGGTATCGCACCCTGGGCATCTCACCCTTAGTCTTTCCTTTACAGCCCCATAACCTGCTCACGTATCATTCGCCATACTCTTGGTTGTTGTTTGTAGGGTAGGTCAGAATCACCATCATGCGTACCTTACCACTTGTTCTGGCCGCCGCCTCAGCGGCCTCAGTTATCGCCGCTCCCTTGGAAAGCAGAGCCAATTATGACCCCCTTCCTGGCGGCGATGTGACTATTATCCAGTAAGTCTCATCATTTTGGTAGCTATAACTGCGAAAATGGTGTACCATTTCCCGTACTGATATGGCCAAAAAGATACGCTCTAGTACTCGAGTATCTCGAGCGCGAGTTCTACAAGCAAGGGCTCAGCAACTATACCGAAGCAGAGTTCTGTGAGTTCGCTGGTGATGACGGTAGCAAGTTTTACAACAATCTTCGTACCATTTACGAAGACGAGAAGGTCAGTTATATTCCATGCTCCTCGGCCTTTTCTCTTCCCGGTTTCGTTTACTCCGATACTCATGATAAAACTGAAAAAACATATTGGAAAACCCAGCAAAATACTGACCATCTTATCAAGACCCATGTAGAGTTTCTTAGATCAGCTCTGGGTGCATCCGCATTCCCCGAACCATACTTCGCTTTCCCAACAACAACAGCTCAGTCCTTCCTTTCTCTCGCCGCCGTCCTTGAAGGCGTGGGTGTCTCGGCCTACCTTGGCGCCGCACCTGTTATCGCGGACAAAAATTACGTCCACCCCGCTGGCTCAATATTGGCTGTCGAGGCCCGACATGCGTCCTACGTCCGCAACGCCATAGGCCAGAAGCCCTTCCCCAAGGCCTTCGACACTCCGCTCAACTTCAACCAAGTGCACAGCATGGCCTCGCAGTTTATCGTCGGTTTCGCGCCAGGCACTCCCGCCTTGCCGTTCAAGGCGTTCCCGAAGCTGGAGGTAAACTTCGTCAAGGGATTTGACGGGGTTGTCTTCAATGGGGCTTTTGCTGCTGCTGTGGCAGCAAATACCGTTCCTTCAGGGGCGAAGGTTTATGCGGTCTTCTTCAGCGGGTTGGACACTTACTATTCGGAGGTTTTTGTGAACGGTGCCGATGTGGGTCTTTCCATCCTTGAAATACCTTCCCTCTAAGTAATATTGCTGATTCAGCCTGCTAACAAATCTCAAAGTACGTCGTGGAGGATATCCCCGAGGGAGCCACAGGCCAGGTCTACGTTGTTCTCAGCACTGCCAACGGAAAGGATGCCGAAGTCACCGACGAGAACACTGTTGCTGGAGTTGGTATAATCGAGGTCGGCTATGCCGGCTACTAATAGACCTACTCGACATTTAGTTGAAGTGTCACATAAAGGAGGCCTGGTGGTTTAGAAAATATTTGGTACAACATATCTTTTCATTTACGTTCTCATATGTAGACAACCATCTACCTCGACTTCTTAATCTTACTATGTTTTGATTAAAAGATGCAATGAAACTGCCGAGGTTTTCGAATCCTGAACACAAATGCTCACTCTGATGTTTGTGTTGGGGACTTGCTGAGAGGATTGCATTTGTTGGTCTTACAGTTAAAGGATGACTGGTGGTAGCCGTGGACGGTGCTATTTAGAACGCGGCTGTTTGTGAGATGCAAGAAGATAGAGACTGCATTTACATGTTTCCCCCGTCTTGTTATGCTCGAAACAAATAAGTGTTTTGTCATGTTGCACAGCGTCCTTAGAAACGGAACGCCTGGAAATTCGAGGATATCGAAGAAATGGACTTTCCAGGGGTAAGGGGCACATCCATTTTGGAAAAGGGCCGACTATTGCCACTACCTCCTTTCCCCAATCCAAATACCATGACCAGGAAGCGGTATTCCTCGTAAGTCAATGAGTTTGCAGAGAATGATTATACATAACGGCATGAACACATGTATCCCAAAAATCACATAGCAATGCCAGATGTGAAGTGTCATCAAGGTATCTGTTGGTGATCAATTGCTCTAAGCCTCTAATACTTTTGACGCCTCAATACCAGGCCCACGTCTATACCGTGATCAAGCCAGGGCAGCCGTATTGTACATGATCATCAAGCCTGGATATCCCCTTTTACTTTTTATTTTCATTTCGTGACTCATATCCCCATTTATCGGGTGAGGGCGATGTCGTCTATTCTCAGAATCATCTTGACCGTCTCAGCAGCCAGCTCAATAGCGCTAGTGCTCACCAACAACGGTTGCAAGACATTCTCCTTGGAAATGTTGGTGTTGACACCGCCAGACTTGATGCTGACACCGGCGTTCCTCTCACCCAGCTCATGTCTGTGTCGAAGCTCGGTCACAACCTTAATGCTGTTGAGGCCCGCGTTCTCAGCCAGAGTGGTGGGAATGACCTCCATGGCGTCAGCAAAGGCCTTCCAGCAGATGGCCTCTGTGCCAGTCAGGGAGCGAGCCTGCTTGGCAAGTTGAGATGCGATCTCAATCTCAGCAGCGCCACCGCCTGCGATAAGGGCCTTCTTCTTCACCAAGCAGCGAACAACGCAATGAGCGTCGTGCAGACTGCGTTCAGCCTCATCAAGAATGAGGGAGTTGGCACCGCGGACAACGACGGAGACGGTCTTGCCAGTCGCCTTGGCGCCGCTCACCTTTACCATACGAGCTCCGTTGGATTGAACCTCCTCAACTAGGTCAGCCGAGCCGAGCTTGTCCTCCGTGAAAGAGTCAATGTCGGCAATGGGCTTGCAGCCAGTGGACTTGCAGATGAACTCAACCTCGTCGCGCTCAATGTCCTTGACGGCAAGAATACCCAGCTTGGCCAAGAAGTGCAAGGAAAGGTCGTTGACAGCATCGCGAAGAATGGACTTCTGGATGAATAGAACATTGCACTTCGCCTTCTTAATCTTCTTGACCATGTTGAGGAGGTAAAGACGCTCCTCCTTCACAATCTTGTCCATCTGTCTGTAGTCGTTCACCTGAATGGTGTTTTCCATCTTGATTGGTCAGCAACTGCTGGTAGGAGCAATTCAGGGGGTAACTTACATCAGGCTTGGGAGGACTGAGCTGGAACTGAATAAGACCAATCTTCGCCTTCTCGATTCTCGCGGGTCCTCCAGCCCCCTTGAGGACAGGCTGGGTCAAGACCAGACCGTCCACAAGCTCACTGTCCTCGATGGTTCCGCCAACCTTCTTGATTATTCTAATGTTCTTCAGATCGACGTTGTCGGCCGTCTTGAGATCGATTGTCTTGACGACGGAGTTGACTGCCATGGGGCCAAGGATGTTCGAGTATTGTGACACAATCTTCGAGGAAAGGGAAGTGTTGGCTGCCTGGAGCAGGGAAGCAGTATCGGTGAGGGAGATGGGTTGTGACATGTCGTGGAGGACCTCGACAGCCGCAGCGGCAGCTCTTTGGAAAGACTCCGAGATCACGGAGGGGTGGATTCCTTTTGACAGAAGACGGTCCGCAGCACCCAGCAAACTGCCACAGATGACAACGACTGATGTTGTGCCATCTCCTGCCTCCACATCTTGCGCCGCCGAGAGGTTAACCAACATCTTCGCTGTGGGGTGCATGACCGACATGCTCTTGAGCATGGTGTTTCCGTCGTTGGTGATAATCGTCTCGCCCTTTCCGCTTCGGATCATCTTGTCCATGCCTCGAGGTCCCAAGGAGGTTCTGATGGCATCGGCGACGGCTGGGAGGAAGTCAGCTTCTGCTTCGTGAAGCTTGTGCAGGTTTCATGTCGCTCACCTCTGGCGGCGACGATATTAGAAGAGCGAACAGCGACGGGCTTTTCCTTGTCCTGGAAGTACGTCAATGAGAGCTCTTGAAGCTTCGTCACAGGCACGAATCCACCCGTACCTTGAAGGCGGCCTGGTGGCCTCCCGAGGCCGGGGCTGGTGCAGTTGTGGCCATTTTAGAGGTTTTTGCTTATGATGTGATTATTGTCGAAAAGTTTGAGGTCAGAAGATCAAGTTGAAGCCGGCGGGGGAGATATCGGTATCGTCTTGGTCCTGTCCCGCTGTCGCCTTCTTTTGCGATCGCCCACTTTCTCTTAGGTAGCAACCCCCCCAGCGGTGGGATATTTTTTAGCGGGCGCCAGGTTGTTCCTGCCCCGGCACCTCTGTTTGCATTTTGCCCCAACTTGCCTAGCTCCACAGCAGCCTCGCATCAGTGGTCCGTGCTTGGAGCTCAAGGCAACCTGGATTACGGAACCGTCTTCCATCACCACCAACCCACCCCAGCACTATACACTCTTGACGACCGACGCGATCACTCCAAAAACCCACGATTTAACGCCGATAACTTACCTTTAATCAAAAACACCCCGATATCAATCTATCTGAAATCACCGGCTGTAGGACGCCCAGTCCTCATCCTGCATCATGGTACGGCCCCTTGTGTCTGAGTCTTGCTACTAGGTACTAACCAGAGCATTAGCCTTCCGCTACCGGCCAAAACTGGGAGAAGTACCAGAAGAACTACGCAGACGACGAGATCGAGGAGAAGAAGATTACGCCATTGACTGATGAGTGCGTTACTTCGCTGGCCAGTCAATGCATGTCACTGTTGACTGACGATACCTAGGGACATTCAAGTGCTGAAGACCTACGGCGCCGCGCCTTATGGTGCCGCCATCAAGAAGCTCGAGCAACAGATCAAGGAGAAGCAAACAAGCGTAGATGAGAAGATTGGTGTTAAGGTAGCTTGCCTATTGTGTTGGCTGCTGGTGGACCTATAGCTGACTTGACCAGGAATCCGATACGGGTCTTGCCCCTCCTCATCTCTGGGACGTAGCAGCAGACCGGCAACGGATGTCGGAAGAGCAGCCACTCCAGGTAGCGCGGTGTACGAAGATCATTCCTGACGAGAAGGACGACTCCAAGAGCAAATACGTCATCAACGTCAAGCAGATCGCCAAGTTCGTCGTCCAGCTCGGCGAGAGAGTTTCCCCAACGGATATCGAGGAGGGCATGCGAGTCGGTGTCGATCGGAACAAATATCAGATTCTCCTCCCTCTGCCGCCCAAGATTGACGCAAGCGTCACTATGATGACGGTCGAGGAGAAGCCTGACGTTACATACGGAGATGTTGGTGGATCGAAGGAGCAGGTTGAGAAGTTGCGAGAGGTTGTTGAGATGCCCCTTCTCTCGCCGGAACGTTTCGTCAATCTCGGTATCGATCCCCCGAAGGGCGCTCTTTTGTATGGACCTCCTGGTACCGGAAAGACCCTCTGCGCAAGAGCGGTTGCCAACAGAACGGATGCCACTTTCATCCGAGTCATCGGCAGTGAGCTAGTTCAGAAATACGTCGGCGAGGGTGCGAGAATGGTCCGAGAACTCTTCGAGATGGCGCGGACAAAGAAGGCTTGCATCATCTTCTTCGACGAAATCGACGCCATTGGTGGAGCTCGTTTCGACGATGGTGCTGGCGGAGATAATGAAGTTCAGAGAACTATGTTGGAGCTCATCACTCAACTTGATGGTTTCGACGCCCGTGGTAATATCAAGGTCATGTTTGCCACCAACAGACCTTCTACCCTCGACCCTGCTCTGATGAGACCGGGTCGTATTGATCGTAAGATCGAGTTCTCCCTCCCTGACCTTGAGGGCCGTGCCAATATCCTGCGTATCCACGCCAAGAGCATGTCAGTCGAGCGCGACATTCGGTGGGAGCTCATTTCCCGTCTTTGCCCCAACGCTACGGGTGCCGAGCTTCGCAGTGTGTGTACGGAGGCCGGTATGTTCGCCATCCGTGCCCGCAGAAAGGTGGCGACTGAGAAGGACTTCCTCAGTGCCGTGGACAAGGTTATCAAGGCCAACCTCAAGTTCAACTCCACCGCCAGCTACATGCAATACAACTAAGGAAACTAGGAAGAAGGGGCACGGAGTTCGTCATATCTTTTCAGGCTGTAAGAATAGGCTTCGGATCGGGGAAGGTCTAGAGATGCGGGATACCTTGCTCGAGAGAAATAGATCATGCTTTCCATGCGCCAGTATTCAAATGTAGTCCTAAGGGATGACTGTAGGGTGAGACTTGCACGTGTGACGGTCAACTGAACGGCATATTTTTGGTTCCGGATCTTCTAACATCAATGTGTTGGTCACATCACTAAGGAGGGATGTTCGGAATTGTCTCAACTCAAAAGGCGAGAAACAATCCTAGAGGAAGCTTATCTCGTTCATACCTGTTCTTGTTTCACGGCTAACCTGTAGTTGAGAGTCTAGTATTTGAAATGTCGGCGGCATACACAAAGGGTTTGTTGTGCCTCGGTCTAGACGATGTCTCATGATTCCCAGTCATTTTACTCATATTCCTCCACGCTGACTGCTTTTACAATGCTTGGAAGACAAGTGGAGGGCCAAATTTTTTGCACCCTTTATTTAGCTCAATCACATATAATGGCAACGGTAGGCACAAGGAGTATGTCCTTTACTTTGATTTCATACTTCGTCATGCAATTACATTTTGCAGAATGGGGCCCTCAAGCCTTCCATTCTGCGCAAAGAGGCCATGTCCTGGCCTTCGTTCCTTTATGCCTAATATCGGTGCCTCTCCCGTCACGATGATTTCCATAATGCTGTCTCAGCAGCACCCAAAAGTTTCCTGTACAAAGTTGATATTGCATGCCTTCATTAGCAGCGCTGCACACTCCTCAGTGCTTCCCTCATTCGTGACGATGACGGCTGCTATTGTCCCATCCTTAAAACCAGTTGAATTGTGTCAACATTAAAACCCTTCGCGCCCTCCAGGCTTAGACAGATTCCATCCGTGACAAGCAGCCTAGACAGACAACGTCACCCTCTGCGCCTTTTTCAATACAGCACCGGCTGCAAACCATCTGCCTGTGCCCGCCGCCAGTCCAGCCGTCCTGCCGTTTGGCCTGCCTATCTCCTATTCCACCGTCGTCTTTTTCGTTTCTTTGTCGTTGTTGCTCGTCGTCGATATCATCCATATGGAACGATCTTGACAGAGCACCCTCTTGCTCCAGATTATCGCCGTCACTGGGTCGCCCATCCTCTTTCCAACCCTGACAATCTCTTATGCATATATAGCATGTCCGTTGGCCGCAACCCTGACAATCCGCAAAGGAATCGAGATCAGACTTTTTGGTGGGCCGACGATGGCAGATATGACAAGGGCTGAGAGAGGAAGGAGTCTTTGGTCTGTTGCCCGCGTCGGTCTGATCTTGCACACGAGAAGATTGTTGGGACGAAGGTGACTTATTCTGTCGTCGTTGTCGTTGTGGGGATATCGTTGCGTTTATTCCCCAGGTACTATCTGCGTCCTCATCCTCGTCGTCGAACATGCGTTGTCTCTTGGGTAAGGGGAGGGGCGCTATCTTCCTCGGAATAGCGTCGAGATTATGACATTGCTGCTCTTCGACGGCAACCGAACCGCCATGCTGGAAGATAAGGCGGTCGTTATGGGCAAGGAATCGGGGGGGAAAGTTTTGTTGTTGTTGTTGTTGTTGCTGCTGCTGCTGCTGCTGCTGCTGAACGGGCCTGCCAAAAGCGCCGTCAGCGTTCCAATTGTTCGAGGCGGCGGCCGCCGCGGCCGAGTACTGGGCGAGTTTCTCGTACAAGGGACCTTGTAAATGCAAGTCGTTGACATCGTTGTCTCGTCTGCGTTTTCTACCCGGCAGCATCAGCCGGGGATGTTCCTCGGCGACGGACGGCATTTGATGCGGTTGGGGATAGAGATGATATCGAGAAGGACCCGAAGACGAGAAGGTGGCATTCAAATATCGTTGCAAGGTGTGAAAATCTAACTGTGCTCCCTGCAGCGACAGCAAGTTCCTGGGGAAGATTGGAAAGCCGAGAGGTAATGCTTGGCTTAAACCCGAGAAAGAGCAAAGAGAGTGAAAGGACGTCAAGAGGAGTGAGTGTGGTGGTGATGTGGTGTATCTCACTCAGCACTCCCCTTCAGTCGGGTTGATGGGTACCTCTAGGCAGGTCCGCTTTGATGGGCAACCCCCCCTGTGTTTATGAGGGTGGCCAGGCACGGCGCGGAGCTTTCGAGCCTGATTTGCCCGGGATGTGGTGGGTGTGCAGCTCAAGGTATCAACGCGACTTACGGCGCTTTCTCCTAGTGATCTTCCTGCTCAAAAGCCGCGCTGGCCGCTGAAAAGTCCACTATTCTTTACAAGTTCCGCACGCTTTAGCTTTGCCTGGGAGGTGTGCGGGTGTGACAGGACCCACTAATACTCTCAACTCACCCGCCAATTGACTTCAAAGTAACTACTACACTGTACCGTTCGAACCCGTCGCCTCTGGAAACACCCATCCGTTGTGCCCCGTCCCCTCAAGAAGACATATGGTGCACCGTAGGTTTTTTTGAATGGGAGTCTGCAAGTCTGCAACTTTCCACGAAGCAAGGATCTTGAAGGAATTCGGACGAAATATGGCCTAATGCATTTATGGGTTGGCGATGTTACATTCCACCCTCTTTCGCCATGAACCCGCCGAGATCGATTTGAACATGCCATTGTTTCCTTCAGCCTAATCGCAAGAAGACGTTGTTCATGGCGATCCCGCCTCAACAAGACAGTCACGGCAGGATGGTTTCGACTTGCGTTCAGTTTGATTAAGCAAGCAGATGGATTCTGCGTCAACTGTCTGGTAGTTGTGCGATGTCACAAAGTCTGGTGGTTGAAGGGGGCAGCTTCATTATCAAAACACATGAAACGGCATAGATGACTTATCATTATCAAGAAATCAGGTATTGAAAAAGGACCATCTGATTTACACTCTATCGCTCCCCCGTTTGCTCCCAACGATGAATCTCGTCTCTGCCGCCTCCACGAACAAAGGAGCTGTTTTAGAGAGCCTAGTATAACATACACAGAGACAACCGAAAAGTTGCATGGTTTAGTGGCGAACCTTGGTCTCCTTGGGAGGGTCGTATGCGATCTTCCTCGACTTGAGCCAGGCCCACTTGTACTTCTTGACCCAGACGCTGAGAGCCCAAAGGGTGGCCGAAACAACGAGAACCTTCATACCCATACGCTTGCGGTCGTCCATCTCAGGCTCAGCAGCCCAGTTGAGGAACTCGACGACGTCCTTGGCCATCTGCGAGGTCGAAGCGGGAGTTTCGTCCTCGTACTCGACGAGACCGTCGTAAAGGACACGAGCCATGGCAATACCGGTACCGGGGAAGTAGGGGTTGAAGTTCATGCCAGGGGCAACGACAGCACCAGCGGGGGGCTCGTCAGGGTAACCGGTAAGCAAGCTGAAGATGTAGTTGCAGCCGCCGTGGCGGGCCTTGATGATCAGGGACAGATCGGGGGGGAGGGCACCGTTGTTGGCGAAGCGGGCAGCCTCCTCGTTCTTGTACGGGTCGGGAATGTAGTCGGAAAGCTTGCCCGGACGCATCTCGATGTCGCCCTGCTCGTTAGGCTCACCAGGGTACTCGTTCTCCTCGGCCATGGCCTTGGCCTCGTCGACAGTCAAGACAGTACCGACAAGGGTTCGGTAGGGGACACGGCTGAGGGAGTGGCAAGAGGCGCAGACCTCACGGTAAACCTGGAAACCACGGCGGAGACTGCAAATGTGTGAGTGTCATAATAACAAAGTGTCCAGAATAGATAGTTACTTACGCCTGGTGGTCGAAGGTCTTGAACCACTGCTCATGAACCCAAGGGTAGCTGGTGGGGTGCAGACTAGCGATGCTTGTCAGCTTGTTTTTCCCTCTGGTTGGTTGCTCCAGTTGATTTGTAGATTATGCCTCAATTCAAAGGATCTCGGCCTTGGAGCAATTCAATCCGTAGCAACCGCCTTCGAAATTGATGGTACTTACCCCTCTTCAGCAGGCGTCGCGGCGTTCGCAGAAGGTCCGTAGAGGTGGTAGTACCAGGCCATGGAGCCCAGGGCGAGAGACGTCGACGCGATGGCGGAGATGTTCAATCGGGAAGAGGAAGCTTCGGCACCAGCGCCGGTGGAAGTAGAGGCCGCACGCTGTATCAATCATTGTCAGTCTCTAATCCCAATCTCATTATTGCCTCCGATGGCCATTGAGGCGGCTCCGGGATGTTCAATGGCGGTATGTCGGATTGCCTCGGGAAATTAGTTTCTTGATCAGCTCATGTGCGTACCTTGGAAATGGTGACGGCGCCATTTGTGAAAGTGCGCGCCGAGCGCAGGCAGGACCTTGCCAACATGATGGGCGAGCTGTATCCGCAGCTACAGAGACAGCCGCGAACAAAATGATGGGGCAATTGGTGGTTGGTCCTCTCGTGACGGAGGTCGTTTCTGAGGTACAGTAGTCAAGGCAGGAGAAAATCGCTGTGAGGCAGTTTTCGAGTGCCTTAGGTATGGGACGGCTCTGATTGGCCAGTGTAGTCGGTCTATAACATGTTCCGTTCCGGGCCTTTTTCGGTTGCTCCCAGTCCTCCTATCCGACCCGTCGTTTCCCGGTTGCTGCTCAATTCACCAGAGGTATTTCCGATCGTCCGTCTCACCAGCACCTGTCTGTCGTCATGCACTGGTCTGAGAAATATACTCTGCTTGATTGGTCTAGACCCATACGACCATACTGACCTGCATCGTGATCCAACATTGGACGAACATTTAATGCGTTTGCAGTCAATGAAAGGAAAACTCTGAGGATTCAAACGACACAATAGCAATTTCATATTTAATTCTTCTTACTCCAGTTACTTATTTGTATCAATAGGTTTTTTTTTTTTTTTCTTAATTCATCTTCATCTTCCAGTCGGGCTACCTCACAAGAACAGGGGAACGACAAGAGCATTTGGGTATCAATGGCCATTTTTATTTTCGGATACAAGCGCACAACTTTTTGTCTGCAAACCTCAGACTTGTGTCGTGCCTACCCAGCTCGATGGTCGGCAGCTTCATGGTATATGCGCAACCCCTCAATCCCAGCCAAACACTACGATGCTACAAAATCAATTGGCTTCTTGCTCCTCAAGCGTGGCCGTTTGTGCTAAGAATCTCGCGTCGCTGCTTAACCGCATCCGCCAACTGGTCGAGAACAGAAACAGTGTCCTCCCAGTGGATACATGCGTCCGTTATGCTGACGCCGTATTTCAATGCGCTCGGTCCCTCCTTGGGCACCTTCTGGTTGCCTGCAACATGTTAATAACTGCATCATGGGTAATAGGTTGCTAGAATACGGACCCTCGTTGATGTTGCTCTCAATCATGACACCCATAATGCCAGTCTCGCCCTTCGCGATTTGTGCGGCAAGTTCACCAGCAACCTTGGGCTGGTTCTTATGGTTCTTCAAAGAGTTACCATGGCTGCAGTCCACCATGAGTCTCTGAGGAAGGCCAGCCTTCTCTAGTGCAGCCTTCGCCTCTGTGATGCTCTTGGCGTCGTAGTTGGTGCCCTTGGTGCCGCCTCTCAGGATGACGAAGCAGTCCTCATTGCCCACAGTACCGACAATAGCCACGACACCGGGCTTGGTAACAGAAAGGAAGTGGTGGGGGTGCCTAACGGCACCAATGGCGTCAATTGCAACTCCGAGCGAGCCATCAGTGCCGTTCTTAAAGCCAACGGGGAAACTGAGACCGCTGGCTAGCTCGCGATGCAACTGGCTCTCGGTGGTTCTCGCGCCAACAGCACCGACAGAGAGCAAATCGGCGAGGAACTGAGGCGAGATGGTGTCGAGCATCTCACTGGCAATGGGCATGCCCTTGTCCGTAAGGTCGACGAACAGCTGCCTCGACAAGCGCAGGCCCTTGTTAATCTTGAAGCTATTGTCGATATCTGGGTCATTAATCAGACCTTTCCATCCCACTGTCGTGCGTGGCTTCTCCAAGTAGGAGCGCATGACGATCAAAAGTTCATCCTTGTGCTTCTCCTTCTGGGCGAGGAGCAGGTCGCAGTACTCAAGAGCGGCTTTGGGGTCGTGAATGGAACAGGGCCCAATAATCACAAGAAGCCTCCCCTTTTCGTCAGTACCATTGACGACAGCAGCAGATTCCTCACGGCCATCAATCACGGTTTGCTTCGAGTTGGGAGTTTGGGCAATTTCGTGCTGGAGCAGATCGGGAGGAGTCAGAGGGTTGTATCCACGGACTAAGATGATGTTAGTCATGCCTTGGGGGGAAAGGACGCAGAATGCGCCAATGCAGCTCGTACTTCTCCAATCTTCGCTCTCGGCTTTGTTGCCGACGTTCTTGTTTTCGATGTAGAAGCTCTATGATGGAAAGTGAGTCACAGGCAGTCGCGAGCCAGGACGCAAGGGGAGTCAACTTACAGACATGGTGGCAGTGAGGAAGAAAAACAACAAAAGTACGCTCAATTAGTGGAAGAAGAACCTGGAAATGGGCTGAGCTGATGTTAGGCAAGAAACAGCGGTAGGAGAATGGAAATGGAAGAATAAACTTTTCCTTTTTCACTAAGAGGTTGTATCAAGGAGGGAAGTAGGACGTAGCTTCGAGGAATATCAGCAATGGGCGAAGACTCATTCGTCCCCTGCCTTCGCCCACCCCGGCCGGCAGTACCCCGCCGAAGACGGCTCAGAAGAAAAAAAAAAAAAAAAAAAAGTTGGTCGGCGCGCAACTCGCCACCAGTGAGGGGCATCCTTGTCGCGCTCTTCTGTTCCTCTAGCTGTGACGTTCCACCATGGAACACTACAACCGTCTAGACGCTTTGTGGCGCCACAACACAGGGTCTCACCGCTTGGAAGACTCCCCGAGACCACCGACGACCGGGCATCTGCAGGCAGTGCGTGGCCCCGAGCAAACTGCAGCACGCAGTTGAAGAGCACGCAGTTGAACTTTAGATGTTGACGCACTTGTCTTCACTTACTTGCACTCACTCGACCTATCGGGAACGAAGGCTTAAAGCACATGGCGTTTCACGGCCTGTCTATACGATTTAATACCATCCAGTCTAATAACCATCCAAATCTATGCTAGGCCGATGTCGCTCACATTTTCGCCCAATTGAATAACCACTGTACCACACGCACACCAAAAACACTCAGGCAAACACCAAACCCCAACTACAGTGTCTTCTTCAGGGGCTTGTATGCCTCCTTCTCCAAGCGCTCGAAGCCGTTAACCCAACCGTAAACCCACTTTAACAAGATCGTGCTTGCCGTCATCAACATCGCAGAAAATGTGAACAATCCCACTCTCTGCGCTGTGTTCAGAATGGCAAAGATGGGGTAAGGGTATCTGCAACATGTTAGCAGGCTACAACACCACACCGATGCTTCCGTGCTTACGATCCGTTCTTGCTGAAGCATAGTTCAACCCAACCCCAATACAAGAAGGCAAAAGCCATACTCACGGCCATGGCCGAATACGCACGAATTGTCCATGGTGGACTAAAGAAAATCAAGTCAAGTGTTAGGACGACCGCCGGAATCAAGTGGAAGCCAATGTCTGGCAGCCAATGAAGCTCGAAGCCTTCCGGCATTAGGAGACGTTCATCGATGGACCGGATGCCCCAATACAAGATGCTGATGAGAACCTCAAGCGGGGCAGTTGTTGTTGAGAGAGCATTCTTAATGACAAACAGTTTGTTGCTCAGTGTGATGTCGGCTAAGATACCGGTCGCGAAAGTTACTGCAGACAAGATCAAGCCAATGTTGGTGAGGTGCTGGTAGTTCCCCCCAAAGCCCATAGAAATTTCATGAGTGAGAGTACTCAAAAACTGAAATGAAGCGAAGAACGAACAGAGCCCGGCAATGTGAAGCAAGAGAGACAATGTTCGAGACGGCGATTCGAGCCGTTGCAGCCGGTGTCTGGTCATCTTTTCGTCTGCTGACTGGTGTAATCTCACGCGAACCAGTGTTTGTTGTTGGTGTAAACTGAGATTGAAGAAGGGATGATGACGGCCCCCAAAGAAATAAGTCTTAAGGGATAGCGCAGGGAGGGTCGCGTCCGAGCCAATGTCTTTAGTATTTGAGACGAACTTTGTCGAGAGGAGAACAACATTACAGTCACGGTATTCAAGCTTCCCAGATTCCGACGGAGCTCTCCCAGGCCAATCAATGCACGGTGAGATACATTGTCAAAGTGACGGAGCCGCGGCACGTTGCAATTGTCCGGTTTGCCTTCGGTAAGCTTCGCCATGAGGTCACAGATGGAGCCCAAAAGAGCGGCCCCTTATCATAGGCGATCCACGCAGGCACCCTGGCCCCAATCGGCCGGCATGTGCTCCAGGGACGCTAAGTTTCTAGTGGAGCAAGACGGATGGATGGTATCGGCGAAGCAACAAGGCTGTGCTAGCTGCTGTTAGCTCGGATTCTGATTGGATACGGTGATTGTCACCCAAAATCAACTTTCTAGCTTCCTGCACACAATTTTCAGCCTTACATAGCTTGGGTCCCGAAGCACATTACAGCTTGAGACGGCATTCGTCCATCTTTCACCAACAATCACTCTTCCGTCTCAACACGTCATACTCTAAACGAAGAAATGGCTGACGAAGAGACCAAATCAAACAAAAGGACCCACGAGGACTTTGCTGGGCAAGATGACGGTAAGTAAAGACAGGTTTACGACGTCGCCGCGTCTAAGTGCTCACAACTCGTGATTAGACAGCTCATCGGACGATGATATGGGCCCTCAGCTGCCCACCGAGGCCCCGAAGAAGAAACGCCGAGTCTTGCCCTACGAAAAACTCTATATTGCCGCACTACCCAAGTCACCCCGGTACTCAAAGTCCTTGATGCATAAGGAGCAATTGTCGTTCGTGACAGTCACGCCATTGACGGACTTCATCATAACTTCTTCGGTCGACGGGGTTGTCAAATTTTGGAAAAAGGTGGCTCAAGGCATTGAGTTCGTGAAGGAGTTCAAAGCCCACAATGGCGAGATCAAGTCAGTCTCAGTCAGCCAGGACGGAAGGAGTTTTGCGACCGCAGGGGCGGATGAGACTATCAAGTTCTTCGATGTCATCACTTTTGACCTGTTGGCTATGATGAAGCTTAAGTTCGCACCTCGTTGTATCTGCTGGATACACAACAGGGGAGCGTCGCTTCCTTTGCTCGCAGTATCAGAGGACGCCAACTCCAGTATCCACATCTTTGATGGAAGGGGAGAAAGACAGGATCCCATTCACACTATCAAGTCATTGCACAGAAGTCCAGTGACTATTATGGCATTCAACACCGCCTATGATTGTGTAATATCCGCCGATGACAAAGGCATGCTGGAGTACTGGCGGCCAAGCGGAGACTATGAAAAGCCGGACAATGTCTTCGAGTTCAAAGCCTCTACTAATCTGTTCGAATTCAAGAAGGCGAAATCAGTTCCAACTTCGATCACAATCTCACCCACTGGGAAGCAGTTTGTGACTTTCTCACAGCCAGACAGGAAGATACGTGTCTTTGATTTTGCATCAGGTAAACTGTACAGGACCTACGATGAATCACTGCAGGTGATTGAGGAGATGCAGCAAGCAGGATCCTCACTTCAAAAGCTAGACCCCCTCGAGTTTGGTCGCCGCTTTGCGGTCGAGCGGGAGATCGACTCGCCGGCATACAAACATAAAGCTAACGTCATTTTCGATGAGTCTGGCAACTTCATCCTCTATGGTTCCATCGTTGGTGTTAAGGTACTCAACACGTACACCAACCAAGTAGTCAAGGTGTACGGCAAAGATGAGAATTTTAGAGCCGTCAACCTGGCCATATATCAGGGTCAGCCGCAGAAGAAGGGCATTACTACGGTGGAGATGGGTGCTTCTAGCAACCCCCTACTCCAGGAATCGGAATCGAGGGATCCAATATTGATTGCAACGGCAGTGAACAAAGTGCGTTTTTATATGTTTACTAACGAGGAGGAAATTTCGAAGTCGGTCAGAGATGTGCAGAACGAGAAGCCGACTATACTCGGCCAGAAGAAGGCTGCAGAGGCCAAGAAAACAGAGACTGGAACCGCAGCAGTCATCCACACAACGTACGGCGACATCCACATACGCCTCTTCCCTGATGCGGCACCCAAAGCCGTTGAGAACTTCGTGACTCATTCCAAAAAGGGCTACTACAACAACACGATCTTCCATCGTGTTATTCGAAAGTTCATGATACAGTGCGGAGACCCCCTGGGCGATGGTACTGGTGGCGAGAGCATTTGGGGCAAGGAGTTCGAAGATGAATTCAGCAGCTTGAAGCACGACAAGCCGTACACTGTCAGCATGGCTAATGCAGGCCCAAACACCAATGGCAGTCAGTTCTTTATCACCACAGAAAAGACGGTGAGTAGTGGCCCAGCCCCCTCAAGTACGCCATCGCTAACGCATGGATGTAATGAAGCCTTGGCTGGATGGGAAACATACAATCTTCGGACGTGCCACGCAAGGACTGGATGTTATCCATAAGATTGAGAACGTCCGAACATTCAAGGAAAAGCCTGAGGAAGATATTAAGATACTAAACATTGACATTGTATAGCCAGCAATGTGGGAGAATAGAAGAGCCTACAGATGGCGGCTAATGAAATGAGACCTATTGTTTCCGTAAAACCCCCCACGTAAGGGCTCAGTGAGAAAAGCAATGCGACAATGCAGCATCCCCGCAAGTCCGATGAGGCGGCGGCTAGTCAAATGAGCTTCGCGATGCAGCCGCATATCAATTCAAGTCCACCCAACTGAGTGAGGCTGTTGCTCACGTGGGCGGAAGAACCCAGCATTGGGCCGCTTACAATCCCGCAATCGGCGCTGCATTGCCGCAACCCAATTCGGGCCTGATCGTGTCGGCCAATGGCTTTACTTAAGGATGAGGTCGGGACGCAATACTTCTAGTCTTCCTATTTCGCAGTCGCATGAAACAGACGCGATTCCAAGGCAACCCATCGATTACCAGTTCGTGGATATCGTTGAAGGTGACGACGGCTTGCGACTACGCTGCAAACAGGATCGCATAGACACAGACATCACACTGCGTACCTGCGCTGCAAGTCTGCCTAGCATATACCAGCCAATCATCCCCTTTCGACCCCGCCCTTTTGTCCCAGCGTCCAGAATATTATCCTCGCAGCTGGATGTGAGTTTCGGGCGGTAGCATGCCGCGCCCAAAGAAGCCAGGGGCGCCAGAACCGAAGAGGCGAAGTCGAAATGGATGTTGGTGAGTTTTCTATATAGAAGAGCGGCAGGCACTTCTTCGAACTTATTGTTAACCGCAGTTGCTCATGTCGTGCAGGCCATGCAAAGGTCGTAAGGTAAAGTGCGGCGAAGAGCATCCCACATGTATCAAGTAAGTCTGTATTCTCTCTCACCGGATATGCTTTTGGCCGTAACTGTGCTATGACACATTTCAACTGCTATAAGTAACAGCAGCATTCCGTACATATAAACCCAACATGTATCTATATAATATATATCATTTCCGAGTCCTGTCGCTTTTTGGATCGGTTAATTCTTTGGGTGGAACAGAAGATTCAAGCACCTTAGTTTGAAGCTCGCAAACTGAGCAACAGACAATCCCCAGACATTTGAGTTCGGGGTTACAACTTCACCGTACCTACTCACATATATACAAGCATCTAAATGATGCCCCTTTGTACCGAAGAAACTTGGCTGACAAAACATTAAAAATAGCTGCCAACGAACAGGCGAAGTTTGCGATTACAGTGTCAGGCTTAACTGGGAGGGACGTCGAACCAGGAGGTCTTCGTCCTTCGGGACACCATCTCAAGCCAGTCAACCGACTCCGCCGGACATTGCCACACAAACTCAACAGTCGTCATTCAGCCATACGTTTTGCATAAATGGTGCACCTACATCAATTCAGCCAAAACCCATCGCACGACGAGTTCAAACGGATATAGGAAGCACTGGGCTTGAGAAGAGGAAGCAAGATGGTCGAGACGTTCATGCTAACCATGCAATTGGATCTGTGCATGACAAATTCTATTCGACACCACCACAGGAGCTATATAAAGCGGTTCCATCTCCTCCTGTTGTCAAAGATGTCATTGATAAATTCTCTTTTGTGTCCGATGCTCGTCCAGGTGCTTCTGGAGCAGCAAGTTCACTGCAGCGGCCTCATAAACGATCAAAATCATTTGCCGAGTCAAGTGACAAGGGCATCTCCCGCCGGCCCGGCCTGCTAGACTCCCCATCGTTATTTATCGACGCGACTCCTCCAATACACCGCATTCGCTCCAACACTTGCTCTACGTCCCGAGACTCACCATTGACGCCAATCTCTTCAGGGACAACGGCCAAGGATGACCCGCGGACACCGCTGCTCACCCTGCCTTCGCCAACATCCCCAGGACAAGGCAGAATCTCTGTTGACTATCTATTGTCAGACTCCCCGGACATAGATCATCATCCCAAGCATGATATGCAGGACTTGTTTGGGCCTTCTCTGTCCGATATACGTTTTGAGACTGAAGCGTCGGAAGAAGCAAAATTTTATGGGTATGACCTTGGCATTCGAGACACTGACATTGACCAGAACAATGACTTCGGCGCCATTTCTCCAACAGCGTCAAACGTCAAAGATGTTTTTAGTACCAGCAATGATGGATATAGCGATGCCTTGTCTCTTTCGCAGTCTGATGCTAGATATTCTTTCAGTACATTACCTGGTGTAGCGGGTGGCTACTATGATCGGCCTGTTTCGATTTGGATACCCCGAAATATTGAGCCTTTGCCCTTAAAGTGAGTAACTACTATCACATTTTAATGGAGACTAATAGACCGAAGACTTCAGAGCAATCCCATGAACCTTTTGGTGAGCAAAATCCTTCCCAGACAACATACATTTGTCCACATGAGCAGGGGCTAACATACCGCATAGTACTTCGTACGTATGCTTATCCCCGTATTCATTTGTCTGAAACTAATAAATCCCAAGCATCATTTCATAAACCATACGGCAAAAAGTAAGACTCAGAGTTTTTTTTTTGAGGAAAAATGGTAAATGCTGACTAGGACAGTTCTTGTGCCTTACGATGATATAAATTCCAACCCATTTCGTACGATCCTACCGCAAATGGCAACCAAGAACGATCACCTTCTTAGCCTGCTTCTCGCATACTCTGGCAAGTGGTACACACAAGCTTTGGTCAATTCAATCTAATGATTCCCCAGCGTCCCATCGAGCCAGACTTCTCCGTCAAAGAGAGCCTGAGATGAGAATAGCTCTCTGGGTACAAGACATTTTCCCAGCTTTGCGACTCGCCCTGGGTGACAAAGAGCAGATAATCTCAAACACTAGTCTAGCAACTGCTATTATGCTTGCAAGCCTGGAGATCATCTCACCCACAGCCTTTGGTTATGACATTCCCTGGCAGACGCACCTGAACCTTGCGCGCGATTTAATGCGAAGGCGATTGGCCGACCTCCGACGAACTCCAAATGTTCCTGAGGAGGATCGAGAGTGTTCCTTTCTTTGGAGTTGGTTCGCGTATTTGGACGTTTTGGGAAGCCTCAGCGGCGGGTTAACAGGCGGTGAACCCTCCAGATCTTGGGTACTTGAGTACAATATATTCAACGGTACCGAAGACCTTTACGAAATCGACTGCATCATGGGATTTACGACTAGATGCGTCCAACTGATAGCCCAAGTATCTGACCTGGCTCGCCATTGCGACATACAGCGCATCAGGTCGGGAAACCAAGCTCCGTCTGACTGGATTCCCACTCTAGATTGCGTCCGTCGAGCACAGCAGCTGGAGCATGGGTTGATGGAAAGCATGGCGCAGCCATCACACCCCTGTAAGCATGTCAAAATTGTTGGGGCTAGAGATATACAAGAGTTGGTGCTCCTGAACGAAGCATTTCACTGGGCCGGCCTCGTTCACTTACACAGGCGGGTTTTGGGTAAGTTGTCAGGCCACGCGGATGTGCAAGGACCTGTGCAGAGGATTTACTCTTGTATGGAGTATATCACGCCGGGAGGTACTACCGAAACGGGTTTCTTGTTTCCAATGTTCACGGCCGGGTGCAACACTCTAGATGAAGGCCAGAAAACAAGGATTCTGCAGAGGTTCAGGAGTGTGGAGAGCAATGGGATGACACAGGTATTTGGATTGCCCCTTTCCTGCATTCAATATCTTTTTGCAGGTCTAATCTTTTTCTTTTAGGTGCATAAGGCGAGGCAATTAATGGAGAACGTGTGGCTGACAGGCCAGCCATGGGAACCTTTACTGTGTACAGAGTTTATTGGCTGACAGTACGCTTGATAAGCCAGACGTATATGCTGCTTCTTGTGTAGTTATTTCTTGTTCCTACGGCTTTGAGATGTAATTTTTTGGTTGGGTTTCCGGACTGGCACAGGTAGTTCCAAGAGGGTAAAGGTTTACTGACGACGCTTATGAAACATGCTGGGGTAAACAATACGGTTGGGTTTAACAACATGGCAAGAGCATTGGTATATCTTATGACTTGGGTAGAGTCCTTCTAGTTGATTAACTGCGTATTTTCATCACGTTAAACGTTGTTTGAAGCTCCAACCCTTCGGCACATACAGACCTGTGTCCAATAGTAATTCTTACCCGAAGCAAGGTAAGTTGTCAACCTGTTGAAAGTTTACTACACGCTGTAAGTTGGACGGGATAGTACCCTCTACTTATTCGTAAGGTAAACATGTTCGAGTACAGGATAGGATGGTGTGAAGTATCCGTTGACTCCTGTCGTGGTGCACGTCGGCCTAGACAATGACGAGATTCGTCATTGTTATAATGCGGTAAACATCACCTGACGGACGTGTCTGCCATCCAAAACTTTTTAGAACTTTTAGTATCTATCCCTGCTTCCATCTGCCTTTGTCTTCTTCTCTTCCAGCTGCTTTACCTTTAACTGATGCTTTGTAGGTAGTTTCTCAAAACTGCATACCGCGCCTGCAGTACTAGTACGAAAGGGCCTGTTGAAAGCCTTTAGCGACGAAACAAAAACTCTAGGGTCACGCATCTCCTGGCCCTGTGGGATCAGCAATTTGAACGTCGGATATATCAGGCAATCGACTTATATTCAAGTCCATACAACGCAGTAGTGGTCTACGTCTCACAGCTTCCTAATTAGATAAATATTTACACAGTTAGCCAGTCTTAGAATCACATGCCCTGCTTCACCGCCCCGTGTCTATGATCATTCGCCGTGGCTACATCACTGAGACCTCATGAGCTTCTCGCGTTTCGAATCATACCACATGCGACCATACCCACTGGAGAACTCGGGATCCCGTTCGCTCTCCCATCGATAAACCAGCGAGGGCCGGAGTAGTAGTCGGGTCGGTGACGATCGGCGAATGCCCGGTGTTGCATGTTACCTTTTTGGCTGTGGAGTATTGGTTGCTTTTCCCCAGGGATTTTGGTGACGCGACGATGCGAAATCTATCAAACTATGTACAATGGTCTCTGGCAGTATGAGATACACGGGGTATAGCTTGGCAGGTATTATGTAGAGAGATAAGGGTTTTAGCGCTCTTATCAAAGTAATTCCTGAAGAAAAAAGAGTTTGTCAATGAGAATAGCTGTGTAATAGAAAATCTAGTGATAAGAACAATGAATGTCGATATGGACGGGCCCCCTTACTGCCAATCTATCCCGATTTGTTTCAACATTGTGGTAGAGAGCCGTTTCTCTGTAGGGTATCCATACATACTTGGAACCCCAGGATCGGCTTCCAAAAAGACATAGGCCAATTTCAGAAGATATTTTGGCCAGCATTCATTGAGAAAGTTTTCAATTTGTTGTGGTGGCAATACAGACAGACCTGAGAGGTTGTGCGACGGAAGCAAACTGGCTCAGAACAACCCAGTTCGAAAATAACAGAACCGAATCTTATAATGGTCTTCTAAACCTACCTACAATACTCCAACCACATAACTCGGAAAAGGCAGTCGAGAACAAAAAAGATGTTCCATACTTAGTTAGGTAGGCAAGTAGTCATGCACAATGCTGATAATTGAGAAGAATAAGTAAGAAAAACTAAAAGCACAAAAAGAAATTGCTGGTCAATCGCGGACGGGAATTGAGCCCGACGTGGGGGTCGAACCCACAACCTTGAGATTAAGAGTCTCACGCTCTACCGATTGAGCTAGCCGGGCGACTGGAACCCAGCTTATTGGATGGTTGGTGACCGGTTCCAACACGAAGACGATAATAGTGGGAATAGTGATGTGGCAGAGGGCCAGGCCAGGGCTCGGGAACCCGCAAACTGGGGCCGGGGCTATCCCTCCTCCGACATCATCTTGACAGACAAGCGTCCTAGCCTAACAACTGGAATTGTGATATTGGGAGAGAACAAAGTCACCATGATATCTTGAGCATCTCAAGTCAAGCAAGTTGTACAAAGTTTGTAATTACTGCTATGAGCTACCGTATGTCCCAAGTCATGGCCTGCGGACGAAATAGTGGACGATGTCTTTCCCGTCTTGCCTTCCTAACGCCAGAATGGTATATGAATCGATTCATGTAAAAGGAAATATAAAACCAGCTCAGCTGACACAAAAGAAATGAAATGTTCTCCATTTTAGGGTGTGAACACATCACACACATCGCACTCGTCCTCTCATCTCATACATCATATCAGTCTTCATCTCGCCTGCCCAAAAGAAAACTGATGCGGCGGCGGGCTCTTCACAGGCGCGTCGGCATAAGCGCCCGGAATCGGCACAGCTTCGTAAACAGGCTCGTCAGCAGCCATCGGCGCATGCTGGGGTTGTTCTTGCAGTTGCTGCTGCTGCACGGGAGGGAAGTTAGGCACAGGGCCAGTCGCCGAGGTGGGCGTGAACCCGCTCTGGTTGCTCTTCGGTGTCGCAGAAGGAGCCTTGATTGGGGGAGCCTGGAGCTTGAAAGCCGGCTTGGGCTTGGCGAAGCTAGACTCAGGTTCAACGAAACGGGTTCCCGGAGTGAATGGAGAGGCCTCCTCGATGCGGGACAGGTTCTCGAAAGTCTTCTCTGGATGGCGAGGAGACATTGTGTACTGCGAGTAGAGGCCAGGGGACTTGAGACCGGGAGTGTTGGGGGCGGACTGAGTGCGGAGCTGGGCGAGGTATAGGTCGGAGCGGGCGCGGTCGCGCATGTCCATGGACTTGTGGAGGCGGCGCTTGGTATAGTAGCGGTAAAAGACAATGCTGTAAAGAAGCACGCAAATGACGTCGATGACGATTTCAATGACCATGCAAATGAGGGCCCAGTTCTGTAGGCGGCAGAGGAGGGCGTAATCAACCTTCTCGCCGAAGACCTCGGCGCGCTTGTTTTGCTTACAACTCCATCCCCACATGTCCTTTCCGCCACCTTGGTTACGGCTCGACTGGAAGATGCCAGCGGCGACAGCCCAGAGAATCATAGAGAGGACGAACCATCCGATAGCGAAAAGGGTGTAGTAGGTCGCAACTTTCTCGGCCCGTCTGTGTCCGCCGCGACAATAGGCGATGAACACACCAATACAGACAGCGAGTGAGATAGAAGCCACTACAGATTGTTAGCGCGGATAAATCGGTCGCGAGGCAAACATGCCACTCACTGGTAATAACGAGAACTTGCGGCCAGATAGCGGTCCCTTCAGCCCACGGAGGCAAGCTGCTCTGGGCAGGAAGTTTCCTGGTAGCGTTGAAGATCTGCAGGGTCGCAGCCAGCATCGAGATGATGATCAAGCTGCAGCTAAAATTGACGCCTCGAAGAGCGAACTTTGCCATACGGACACGGGTCTTGATTTTCTTTGATAACGTTAGTCATAGCAGGCACTTGTTGGGCGAAACATAAATACCAGATCACGAGCCTGCTCCTTGTCGGTTGCCGCTTCACGTTTTTCTAGGATGTCCTCCTCGCGGAAAGTTGGGCTCAGAGGGTTCTCGATCTTACGCGCGGGCGTTCCCGGCACTCTCATGGCGCTCTTGAGTGGTGATCTGGGCGTCATGGGGACGGCAACGGACTCGCGGTTGTCATTGTTACTAATGTAGCCGAAGCCAATGTCGCCAGGCTGGGACTGTGGTACTTCTGATCTCGCAGGAGGGTCGGCGAACGGCGATCGGGTGCCTTCAACAGGAGAGTGAACCGATGTGGCTTCTGCAAAGCGAGGGGTTCGGGGGGCTTTCAGTGACGACTCCGATGAAGATGAGTCCGTGGACGCTGATCGGGTAGGTGTTAGGTTGAGGGCGGCGGGCCGCCTCTTGTCATCTGACAACGATGTTAGCATGTTCTATGCATTATGATCGAATTTTCAATTTACCTTGAGCGCCCATGGTGGTGTATGTTGTCTGCGTCTCCAGAGATCACAGAGAGCAAGATGACAATGTATAGTGTAGGGAAAGGGCACCTTGACTTGGCTCGCCTGCAGGAACGGCCAACTTCAGGACATACAACGGAGGCAAAGATCAAAGCAGTAACGAAGCACAATGAAAATCAAAATCGGCGAGACCAGCTGTCGGAAAGGAGGAGAGAGATCCAACAGGCTAGTGAGTTGGGGCAGCTGGTGGTTTTGAATAGGCGGCGCCACAGATTGCTGGGAAGGCAAGTTCTTTCGCTGCATGAGGGAGATCAGCATGGTGTAAGTGGGACGAGGCGGAATGGGGGATTCCTACATGCAGCGAGGGAGGGTAGGACGGGGCGAGTTGACCAGAGCTCTGATAGGTGAGCCGCTGGGTTCCAGGCCGGCGATTCGGTCGTGATAGAAATAGACGCCCACGAGAGTGGACGAGGTGACGCCGAACTTTGGTTGGCTCAGTCCTTCGAGGGCTGTCCTGGAAACTCACGCCTTGGAGACGGCGGGTTCCTAATCAAGAGATTCGTGTTGGCAGTGACTACTCACACAACGGGATGCTAATAAGTCTCTCAAAGTCTGCGGAGATTGCAGAAGTTGAAGCGTAATCTGCCGTACCAAAAAAAGAGCAGAGTTGGCAGCAGGCAGAGTAAATACAAGATGGAGGAACATTCAAGGAAGCCAAGATTTGCGCAGTTTTCCCAACCATCGGACGAATATAGAACATCCAAAGCAACCCCAAATGCAGTAGAGGGGAAGGGAGGTAGATGAGGAGTACTATGCACACTTGTCCATCTCCCACAGTAACCGACCCAACTTGGGTTGTCTTGTATGTATTGTTAATGAGGTAGAGCGCCCTCGCCAAAGCTTACTGGAGCTTGGCGGCACTTGTTGTTGCATTCGCATGGTTTGACGATGCACGTAAGAATGGTGATTGGGCTGGCAGTTCAATTTGAGAGGAGGCAAGCCGGTAGCAACGGGGGAGAATAATGATGTGGTTGGACGGATGATGGAAGAGGTGGTTTGCGGAACCCTTGCTCCTTTAACCACCGGCGCCAACTCTTCCAAATCGACAAGTTGACCCTTGCTGCCGCCCGCCTCCCCTGTCGACTAACTGCGGGTGTGATAGGCTCCAGAGCTGCAGCTGCTCCGGATACCACATGCCTGCACTTTGGCGCAAGAACACACGGCCAATCAGCGACTAGATGTGCGTGATGAAATGCCCAGCCACATGCAGACCCGGCGGTAAGCAGAAGTCGGGGGAAGAATATGGTGACCGGCTACAATGTCTGGAATGAAATGGTCTTATTCTTCTCCCCCGATTCTTTTGACTCAAATTCCAAGTCACCCGAGATTTTCTAGCTTCTATGCCTAAGACTTTGAGCGTCCAGCTTTGTGGGTCACCAATCATCAATCATCATCATGTGCTTGGCGTCAGGTTTCCGTAAAGCTCCAGTGTGACAGATGGGATTGAGTGATGTACGCGTAAGAAGGCTGGTTGTAAGCTGCACAATTCGTGATGTATGGTGTAGTTGTGGCAATTGCTATTTCCCACCATCAACGACGACCCCAAAATCTTACGTTGGCCGTGCTGGAGCATGGCCATCGACAATCGCAACGCATTCTCGGGCATCTGTAAAGTAGGTTGCGTGCGCAGCAGTCTATGGAGGTTATACTCCTTTATCCTCCACAAGTAAGGTAAGGGCCGTGCAGATTTCCGTTGTGAAGGTGAATAACCCATTTGCCGTGAGAGGGGCCAGCAAATTATTCCAAAGCTACCATTGGCTAGTCTGCAGGTGAGCTGCCATTCCGAAGAATTACCTTCAAGCCTTTTAGGCTATCAGCAATCAATGATCGACCTTGTCCTGTACATGGTATGAGGCAGTTTAAAAGGGTAAGACTTGGTCCGTGTCCCCCCGTTTTCCCTCTCTCTTCGTCTGAACAAGGTGAGAGTCAAGCCAGGGTGTCTGTGCTCCCATTTTCAACCCTCCTTCTCAGTCCAAGTTCAACCCGCATTTGTTTGCCTATTTTTAGCCAAATGGACCAATCAGAAATGCGATACAACTGAGGAGGTTGCCTCAGTCTTGTGTGTATTTTTACCAAATTCAATAGTCTCATTCATTACCGCTCTCTGATCCCGTGCCGTAATGTCACACGGTGGAATTTCGATGCCAGTTGACGGCATGGCTGGCAATTGATGTCTCATGGATGGTTGTGGAACTCTATTGTAAAAAGAAGAATTACTCGGCCCTGAAATAGTTTCCTCCACCAGATGATTGTTGAGTTTAGTCAAGAATTTCATGTTAGCCTTCAAGGATCCGGTTTGTAGGAATGAATTATTTGGCGTCTGCAAATACTCCAGTCTTGGGAAACATGACGTACGCGGTGTACCTGAGTTTGTTTTTATTTGTTAGACATACATGATGTCCTTCGAATAAAACGAGAGTAAATTGCTGCTGGGCGACTTCTTGGAAGTAACGTCCTGTTAACTATTGTTGTGGATTCACGGCATCGTGAACTAACAATCAGGAAGTCTTGCATTTTCTAGAACATGGTTTCATGCCAAGTACTTGCACCCGAATGCATATGTGGCCGTTGTGAAATTAAGGAGACCAGCAGTTCAGGCTAGCATATAAGCATATATCAAAAGGTGCAAAACCGTATTTTTCTGTGACACTCTCGCCGAACTTGAACTCAGCTACTGACTTCCTGCTGCCAACCAGTCTTGCTGGACTCATGGCGTGGGGTTCTCCGAGAAACAGTATGACTTTATAACTTCGCTTTACTAGATGTAGGGCGAGGAGGTTATGGATGTTTTTCTTTTCGCTTCATCATGCACGCATAGGCTTGCCCTTTACTTTCTGTGTCACTTTTTGTCAATCTAGAAGTCAAGCAATGTACTATGTATTGCTGTGTTTGGCCAGCATTCGTTAGGTATTCAGTTAGCCGATGAAGGCCCGGCGGGGCACTTATCGCCTTATCAATCCAAAAAGGGTTAGCGTCGACTCACACTCGACTGCACAGAAATTCGATTCGATGCTTCAGCGAGGCAAAATATTCGACCGCTCAACCCCGACGTCACGAAACCCACGAACTGAGGCCCCGTTCTCCCTCTTCGGTACCGTCGAAACCGTAAAGACACATTTTGAGTCATCAGGCGATACAAATAGCAAAGTTTGACCTCATCCGCCGGTCGCAAGCTTCCCTGCACAAATTACCCCGCCATCAATCACAACCACCATCGCGACAATGTCTGCCAACGGCGATCCCAAGTACGACGATATCGACTCGGAGTCTGACTCTGGTGAGTCCGTGGAGGAGCAGACTGAGATCTCCGAGGAGAAGCCCATCAAGTCGGCGCTCAAGAAGTCATCGAACCCTGTCACCGCCGACAGCACAGTTCAGCGCCCTCCTTTGCCTCCGCAAACCGACCCCAAAGACCTCGACGTCAAGACCCTCACTCCTCTCACTCCTGAGATTATTGCCCGCCAAGCAACAATCAACATCGGTACCATCGGTCACGTCGCCCACGGAAAGTCTACCGTCGTGAAGGCGATTTCTGGAGTCCAGACTGTTCGTTTCAAGAACGAGCTGATCCGTAACATCACCATCAAGCTTGGATACGCCAACGCCAAGATCTACAAGTGTGATAACGCCGAGTGCCCTCGACCGGGATGCTTCAGGAGTTATAAGAGTGAGAAGGAGGTTGATCCTCCCTGCGAGCGCGAGGGATGCAGCGGTACCTACAGATTATTGCGCCACGTCTCGTAAGTATTCTACATCGAAAGCTTACCCCAGAATCGTGAATGCAAGGTGGCTAATATTTCTCCACTTAGTTTCGTTGACTGCCCCGGTCACGATATTCTCATGAGCACCATGTTGTCAGGTGCCGCTGTCATGGACGCTGCCCTGCTGCTGATTGCCGGTAATGAAACCTGCCCTCAGCCTCAGACCTCTGAGCATTTGGCTGCCATTGAGATTATGAAGCTCGACAAGATCATTATCCTGCAAAACAAGGTTGATCTGATGCGTGAGGAGGCTGCCCAGCAACATTACCAGTCTATCCTGAAGTTCATCAGAGGTACCGTTGCTGGAAAGTCTCCCGTCATCCCTATCTCTGCCCAGCTGAAGTTCAACATTGACGCCGTCAATGAGGCCATCGTCAACACCATCCCTGTCCCTATCCGTGACTTCACCCAGGCTCCTCACATGATTGTCATTCGATCTTTTGACGTCAACAAGCCTGGTGCTGAGATCGACGACCTGAAGGGCGGTGTTGCTGGTGGTTCCATTCTGCATGGTGTACTGAAGCTTGGCGACGAGATTGAGATTCGTCCCGGTATCGTCACTAGGGACGACAAGGGCGCCCTTAAGTGCACGCCTATCTTCAGCAGAATCGTCTCCCTTAACTCCGAGTTCAACGACCTCAAGTATGCCGTCCCCGGTGGTCTCATCGGTGTCGGTACTCGCATCGACCCTACTCTTTGCAGAGCTGATCGTCTCGTTGGTTTCGTCCTGGGTCTTAAGGGCCAGCTGCCTGAGATCTACAGCGAGATCGAGGTCAACTTCTACCTTCTGCGCCGTCTCCTCGGTGTCAGAACCGCCGACGGCAAGCAGGCCAAGGTTGCCAAGCTTACCAAGAACGAGGTCATCATGGTCAACATCGGTTCTACTTCGACTGGTGCCAAGGTTGCCGCTATCAAGAACGATGCTGCTAAGCTCGTCTTGACCAGCCCTGCTTGCACAAACATTGGCGAGAAGGTTGCTCTGTCTCGTCGTATCGAGAAGCACTGGCGTCTCATTGGTTGGGCCACCATTGCCGCGTAAGTCCCCCTTGATCTAATTCTCCCTCAAACCCGCAATGAAAATCACGAGTACTAAATGTTCAATAGTGGTGTCACCCTTGAGCCTAGCTCTGCCTAAGCTTACACTCGACGACGAAGTCAAAAAAAAAACCAAATCTCAAAAGCCATTCTACAGCATCACAGGAGTCCTAAAAGAACCAGGTTGGTAGAGCCGACGAAGGAATAGGGGGCGATGGCATTTTTCGGGGTAATGAATGCTCATGATAGGCACACCACCGCGCTAGATTTGATATGGCCTAGGAGATCGGGATTCTTCGCAGTTTAAGGCCTATATGGCGGAGTGTCACGGATTCATAGGGGGGAAAAGCAAAAGGAACCTTAGACGGTGTATGCTGGTAGATAGGCCCGGAAGATGAATGAGCCTTCTTCTATTATTATTTCCTGACCTTACGTGCGTGCTTGACCAGGTTTTCTATTACGCCTTCGAATGCTTCCCGGTCGCCTATTTTTTCGTCCGTCTTCTTTGTCCAGTACTCCAGCACCTCCTTGGCCGTGCCCTCCATAGCTTGTAGTTTTGTTACGTGCGCCTTGAGCTCCTCATCCGTCATGCCGTTCAGAGCCTCCTCCGTCGTCGTGCAGAGCTGTTTAGCAGACACTAGATCGAGATCTGGCACAGGTGGTGGGACCTTCTTCTTTGACGCTGAAGGCTTCCCTTTCGAATCGACTGACGTTGTCGATGCGTTGGCCTCTGACTGGCGTACTCTGGATATGGAGCGTGACTCCGAGGATGTCCGCGGTGAGCCCGAGGAGTTGACTTGTAGTGATGGCAGCACAAGCTTCTTCTGCTTTGATGCTGGGAGAATCTCGTCCAAGTCGACAGGCACACCCAGCGAGACGAGGAAGAGGCGTCTAATGCGGGATCGAATCCAGTCAGGGGGTGCAAGTGGCGGGGGCGCTACTAGCTGTGACCATAAGGATGCGCTCCGCGGTGTAAGGAAGATGGGATTTTCTTTTGTTAATGGTGGAGGTGCCGAAACGTCTAGGTTTTCTGGGGGGAAAAGGGTGTTGAGGTATGGGTCGACGGCCTGCAGGACGTCTTCACCATCTAGACCGTCAAAGTCAGGTATGGACTATCCTGAAGTGTGAGCCTTTTGTCAAGTGCTTGCTCCAGGAGAGATACTCACAAATGGTAATGTAGGAACTTGTGGTAGAGTAGGCGCAGATGCAGGAGCAGTGGTCTCGAACTCTGGCTGTTGGAAGCCGTCTTCGAAGTCGTCGAAGTCACCGTCCGCTTCTTCTCCCTCTTCGAAATCGTCAAAGTCGTCGCCAAAATCGTCACCCCCATCGCTCTCCTCATCCTCCTCAGTAGGTGGTGGTGCAAGACTGATACTTGGAGAAGCAGATGACAGATCATTTCTGGATGGCTTCCGCCTCATGCGAGGGGAACTTGGGGAAGCGGGGAGCGCAGGTGATACAGGAATATCTACGAAGGACACCAGGTCAACGACGAATGCTCTTTGAATTTCAGGGATCTCTACATCGTACCAGAACTGCTCTCACCCCCCTTGGTTTCGCCCTCCGGCTTGAGAACCAAGTCGGCTGGTGCATCTGCCTTACGCTTCTCCTGGTACTCCTCTGAATGCGGTCCTGATGTGCCTGGGACCTCCTCGACAACAGTTTTGGGAATGGGCTGCCCGCCTGGTGGCGACGGCGGAGCAGCTTCAGAAGAGGGCTTTTCGCTATTCTTTTCTTGGATAGCGATTTCGTCCGGTTCGGCATCGCCCTCCCTCATGCGGTAAGCTTCCGTGCCAGGGACCTCGCCGTATGAGGGTTCATCGTCAACTTTCTCTACGCGGGTTTTAGGGATCGGCGAAGCTCCTGGGCTAAGGGGGGCGGATTGCGCATCGGAAAAGTGATCTTCTGAGTCGGAGGATTCAGCTAGTAGTTTGTTAGACAACGTTTGGGACGCACATCCTCAAGATAGCGAGTTCGCGGGGGAATTACCTAGATCGTGAGCGCCAGGGTCACTGATGCTGGACCGCTTAGGCGGCGAAAGGGCATCACTGTCTTTCATGGTTTCGGCTCAAGACCAATTACCAGCTTAAGAGAGTATTCTTGGACGTTGCCAGTAGGTAAAGCAGCTTAAGAGTTACCTAGGATGGAGGAATAGGAGTGGGTGTGGAGGGGGGAACCTGTCGATTAGCGGATACGTAATGTGTGGGCCAAGCAGAAAGTTGCGACATCCCCAGATTCTGAGTTAATGGCCCCTACAAATCTTTCGAACAGAAGTTGAAGAAGGCTGGGGCAATTATAGAAAGAGCAACTTTTTTTTTTTTTTTTTTTTGGGCTGGGAGGCAGGGCATGAAGCAGGCTTGAAGATGGCATCAGCAACCTGGTGCAGCTGTTGAAGCCTGCCAAGCATCACGTGGGGCAAGCCCGGCTAATTCCGCGCTAGTACCTATCTGTAGGCACGTAGGTCACCAGTTAGTCCCTGTCCTGGGCAGGTACAGCGCGCCAGTCGCGTGGAGGCAGACCTCTAAGGCTGGAGCATCACAGAAAAAAAAAAGCTGCCAGCCACTGTCAACAGCTACCTTTCTCCCCGACAACCAGCCAAATAACCATCGATATCACAGTGCGGCTCGACAGACGGCAAGTAACTGTTGCTTGACAACAATCAGGCTTTTCTAGGGGTCTATTCGCAACCCCAATGCGACGATACTGAATAGCAGGAGCCCAAAGCATTTCATATCAATAACTTCTTGCGACTCGCAGCCTGCGACAAACCATCAACCATCACTTAGGCAATCCCCGACCGATCACATAGTCTCTATACAATGTCTTTCAGCTTCGGCAACACGCCCACTTCGAACAGTGGCTCGAATCCGACCACCTCTGCACCAGCATCCGGAGGTCTTTTCGGCGGTGCTGCTGGAGGCTCTACCGGCTTCTCTTTCGGCAACTTGGGAAGCAACACACCTGGAGGAGCTGCCGCTGGCTCGAGCAGCGGCACTCCTGCCGCAACTGGAGGTCTTTTTGGTGCGAGTACTGGTCAAAAACCAGCAGGGGGGCTGTTTGGCAACACCACACCTGCGTCGTCTGCGGGAACACCCGCCCCGGCTGGTGGTCTCTTCGGAGCAAAGCCTGCTGCGGGCGCATCTTCTACTCCGGCTGCCTCTACTGGCCTTTTCGGAAACACAAGCTCGAGCACACCTAGCACATCTGCGCCTGCCTCGGGCGGCCTTTTCGGCGGCGCAAACACTAGCACCACTCCAGCCACGACATCTGGAGGTCTCTTCGGAGGGAATGCTGCATCTAAGCCGGCGTCCAACCTTTTTGGTGGTGGAAACAACAGTAGTTCTACGCCTTCTGCTGGCAGTCTTTTCGGCCAGAATGCCTCTTCGACCCCATCGTCAGCTCCCGCATCTGCCGCCGGTGGCCTGTTCGGCGGCTTGAACAAGCCCGCAGCTGCCTCACCAGCTACTACGGCGGCTCCCACGGCTACTCCTGCGAAGCCTGCCTTCTCTCTGGGAGGATCTACCACCCCAGCCGGAGCTCCTCCAGCGGGCACAAGCAAGCCTGCTGCTGGCGGTCTCTTTGGTGGCGCCGCAGCGCCTGCCTCTGCTGCCCCATCTCTATTCGGTGCTGCAGCCGCCAAGCCGGAAGCCGGAGCTGCTTTCGGCGGCGTTGCTCAGTCCAAGGCTGCTTCAACGGTCCAACCTGCTAGTACAGGAGGTCTTTTCGGCAGTGCACAAACTCAGCAACCCCCGGCCAGCGGAGGCCTCTTTGGCGCTCAGAAACCGGCCACTTCGGCGGCTCCTAGCTCAGGTGGACTCTTTGGTCAAGCTGCTGCCACTACCACTTCCGCTCAACCAGCCTCAACTCCAGCTACAGCTCCCGCAGCAAGTACCGCGTCTTCGCTCTTTGGCGGCGCAAAGCCCGCCACCCCTACCACCGCCGCTCCGTCTGCTGCATCTGCTGGTGGCCTTTTCGGCAACGCTGCTTCCACACCAGCCGCTTCGACGGCGCAGCCCGCTTCTAGCACTGGAGGTCTCTTTGGAAAGCCTGCTACGACCTCAGCTGCTACGCCAACTACTGCTGCCGCCCCTTCCGCTCTATTCGGTGGCCAGAACTCTGCAGCTCCTGCTGGCAAGCCTGCTAGCGGCGGTCTCTTTGGAGCTGCTCCGGCGGCTAGCACTTCCCAGCCGGCAGCTACTACTACCACAACTGCGCCTGCAGCTACTCCGACAGCAACTACGACGTCTACAGCTCCCGGCGCTACTCCTGCAGCTTCCGGTGGTCTGTTTGGTGCGAAACCATCGACTCCCGCTGCTGGTGCCACAACTGCGAATAGCACCGTACCTGCCAGTACTACTGCCACCACCGGCACCTCAAACACTCTCGGTGCGTCAACCACCGGTCCGACTTCTCAGCTACCTCGCCTGAAGAACAAATCTATGGACGATATTATCACTCGGTGGGCCTCAGACCTGTCCAAGTACCAGAAGGATTTCAAGCACTACGCCAACCAGGTAGCTGACTGGGACTTGGGCTTGGTAGACAATGGTGAGAAGATCCAGAAGCTCTACCTGAACACCTTTGAGGCGGAAAAAGCAAGCCATGAAATTGAGCGCCAGCTTCAGGCCGTCGAGAGCCAGCAGGATGAACTTGAAGAGTGGCTGAACCGCTACGAGAATGAGGTGAAGGAAATGTTCTCCCGACAGATGGGACAGGGCGAAACACTTTCTGGACCCGACCAGGAGCGTGAGCGAACCTACAAGTTGGCCGAGAAATTGACACAGAACCTTGATGAGAAGAGCCGAGACTTATCCAAGATGGTTAAGGAAATCAATGATATCTCTGGCACCCTGAGTAAGGGCACTAAGCCCGAGGATCCTGTAAGTCTTTCCTTCTTCTTCTTCATAAAACCATATGCAGTTGCTAACATCTTGCTAGCTGAGCCAGATCGTCCGTGTTCTTAATGGCCATCTCTCGCAGTTGCAGTGGATTGATACCAATGCGGCATCCCTACAATCCAAGGTGACTGCCGCCCAGAAGGCGAACAACAACCTGGGAAGTCAATATGGAGCCCCAGAGACAGATGCGGCTGAGAGCTTTTATCGGTCGTACATGGGTCGGCGTTGAGGTACTGGAATAGATCATAATTTTTTTACGGTAGCATACGAGAGTCGGGAATTGATATGAAGACTCCGAAATGGAGGAAAATTATTGGCTCAAGCCACGAACTTTTAACTCGCTCATATTGAGGGGGAATTTGTTAGCACGTAGGTGTGCTTTCCAACATGTACATGTATACTAGCCTAGAATGTGGTGAATACCAGGCATTGACGAGTCAACATCGATTTCCGTCTCGTTTCTGCACGCAGCTGCCGCGGCAGTAACCGAAGGCGCCGGCTCATACGGATATCAATTTTCCGTGTCCATGTCGTCCCAATATTTCCATCCTCGCTCGTGGCCATAGCTGGCTGTAAAAGGTTCGTAGAATGACGTTGCTTAGTTGTGTTCTCCGCCCTGGTTCTTGGTGATCTCGTCGCTGTGAAGAGGGGGGGAAAGGTTAGTGAAACTGGCTCCTGGAAGGTACAAAAAGACAACGTCATTTCTCGGGGACGAACATGTGATCAGAAAGCTGCTGAAGGTGGGCCTGCTGCTCGGCGAGCTTCTTCTTGAGCTCGAGGAGCTTCTCCTTCTCGCGCTGACGGATAGCGAGGTCTTCGGAAGCCTTCTCCCGACGCTGGAAGGCGTCTCTGTAAGAAAAGGTGGCTTGTCAGTAATCCAATCAACTTAAAAAAGTGCCAGTTCTATCAATTGCGAGAGCAAATAGCTTGGGCGGCACGAACGGAGCGTGAAGCAGAGACTCACCCTTGACCACCAAGCTTGGGGGGAGCTCCTGTATCACCCGCAGCCATGACTCGGGTGGTAGTAGTGAACGTAGCTCTGCTAGCAAAGGCCAAAGGACGGGCAGCAGCCTTGGTAACAGCGACACGAAGCATTTTTATGATGTTTTGAGGTGTGTTTTGTGGGTTGGATGGTGTGCAATTGCAAAGTGGTTTGTTGTCGAGGTTGGGTTGTTCAAGTTGAGCGATGACGATAGTATCGAAAGCGGCGGGTTTTGTGATAGGTTGGATTGCGGAGGTAGTGGTAGGTGCTGACGAGCTACGGAAATGATGGAAGGGAGATCTCGGCGCTGGTTAAATGTCTATTGGGTGAGAGGGGCCGAACGACCGACCGACCAAAAGGGAGAGGGACTAAAGGCGACCTCCTGCCATGATCTGATCCTTGGAACCAACCTGAGGCCTTGGAAGGCTTAGGAGGGAGCTTCGATCAAGTTCTTTATCCGGGTACGCCATATGATACGTCATTTCCAGCTAAATATGAGGTACTTTCCTAACATGGAACTTGCGGGCATTCCTCGGCTTACGTGTAGTGTCAGTGGGCAGCAGAATGGAACAAGATAATGTTTCTCAGGCCATTGTAAGTCACCTGCGCCCAGCTAGACGACGCCTTGCCTTGTTCAGGCTGCTAGCGTTGGCAGCGGGAGGAGTTATTCTTGTCAACACAGCGAACAGCACCCGGTGAATGTCGCGATAATTAGCTTTCCCCCTTAAAGGATATCAGGATACCATTACCGCGCCACTTTGGAACTGACGCATTATCACGCCTCATCATGTTTGTATTTAAGAGTCATCGTCCGCATGACCGGTTCTACCTGGGTTGGATATTTGGAAAGAACAGACCATGAATAAGATGCGAGTGGAATCGTACAGTTATCAGTTCCTACTACAACCCCAAATTGGACTGCCGTCCGACAACATCTCTGTGTGTGCTAGTCATCTCCGGCAAGGCTGTAACTAAGCCATGGCTGGGATGTCCCCCGGGCACTCGGAGATAGGAAGAGAGGTTGTAGACGATCTGTCTCTTGCAAGATGGTTCAGTTATGGGTTGTTGCGGGCAAATGGTGCGACATCCTTTTATCTTTGTCTCGCAAGGCAAGGTACGGAGAACTTTAAGTGGAGAGGGAGGCGGCTGCCATGCGCCGTACATTTGCCTCGTGTGTAAGTGTTGCCTTGGCCTCAATTGCCAGTGCTTACGACAACGACAGTTCTTCAGAAAGATGCTTGTGGCTTTTCACCTTTACACAGTGTGTTATCAAGTAGGTACTGCTAAGGGTATATAATTGCAGCACAAAACCATTCTGCCGAAACCCAGTTCTAGGTAAGGTAGGGCGATTGCACAAGTGCCTCAACTCAAAGCATTGCATCGACGGGCACAGAGGAAGTCGATGATGGTTAGGGGCGAGAGAGCTGGAATGGCATTGGAGGGCGGGAGGCAGAGTTCGGCTGCGATTTCTGGGTTCATAGTATTCGGGCATCCTGACTGACGATGGTTGTGGCAGCTAGCTGTAGAACTGAAGAAGCCCGCGCCCAGCAGGTTGAACTTGACCTGAATGGAGGGTGAAGCAACAGTGCACTAAGTGCACACGCAGGGCAGTGACGTGATCCAGCACCGTGGCACCAACAGTCAGCGAGTCGAAAAAGGAACCACTTGAAATAGTAAGGTAAGAGTATCCCATCCGAATCATCCTTCCTCCCTGGTGCCTTGAATTAGTGCCAGGTGTTGCTTGTCCGGCAGAGGCACCAGTGTCCACCGCCCAAGGCCGACACTGGGGAAGGGGCGCCGCGCTGGGGAAGTTGATCCACGCGAAACACAACAGGTACCCTCTTGTACCTCTCACTCTCCCTCCCCCACCACCTTTCGCAGAGTCAGGTTTATAATAGCGGCAGAAGCGCTGGGGATAAAGCGATTAGTAGGTCTTTCTGTATTTGATTTTGGGGGCCTTGGGGCACTTTCCACAGCGATGTGTAGTAGTATCTCAGCCGCTGCGTACAGCCACGATACATGGCGCTACAATCTCTCAAGGCAATTCACGTGAGCCGGCCATTCCAGGGCTAGCACGAACAAAAACACAAGGGCACCTGCTACAGTGGATGCGGGATGGGGATTGGCCAGCTCAGTCCCAGTGTGCTTGCCCATCCAAGCCAACCAGTCAAGACGGGTCCTGTTCCCAGTCCCAGGCAGGCCGCCTTGTCTTGCCGGGCCATGTATTGTGCAGTCCAGAGCCCCTTCCTCAATTTCCATCCATCACCTTTTCGTCTCATCAACTTTCCCAACTTCAAACTCTCGCACTACCTAGCAAACGTCCACACACCCCTCTCTATTTCCCTTTCGTCACGCTCCCTTCCCCTGATCCGGATCTCTTGATTCTTGACACGGGAATTATCCATTGTCTGTTATCCATCGTTCCACTCGAACATCCCCGCCGTTCTCAAAACATCGCACCAAGGTACGTGGTCCCCTCCCCATCCCCCGTGCCCCCTCTGTCGTCATCGCATCCCTCGCCGCAATCTCCTTCCACCGATTCCCAACAACCGCCCTCGACCCGTATCGGTCGACCGCTCTCTGACGATGTCACCTCTGCCTCGCCCTGCTCTCGATTGAACGTCTCAACAAGTTCGCGCGCCCTATCTTGACCAGTCAGGCGCGAAACCCCACTAGGAGCGGGGAGCCTCATCCAAATGATGAAGTCAGCGAGGCGCATACGTTGCGACTCGCCATATCCCTATTGGAATACCTTACACTTTCTGCCAGCATCAATTTACGTCCTACGGCACACCATTTCATAAAATCATGTTTATACCTCGCTTGGAGCGCATTTTCACTGTCGCTGCTAGATACACGTGCTAATAACACTCGACCGTTCCAGATTACAACCGACACCATGGGTCATGAAGATGCTGTGTACTTGGCCAAGCTTGCTGAGCAGGCTGAGCGCTATGAGGGTACGTGGTATTCACCGCTTGCGTTCGATGGAATATGCTGATAATGGACTCGCAGAGATGGTTGAGAACATGAAGATCGTCGCCTCTGAGGACCGTGACCTGACCGTTGAGGAGCGCAACCTCCTCTCTGTTGCCTACAAGAACGTCATCGGTGCCCGCCGTGCCTCGTGGAGAATCGTTACCTCCATTGAGCAGAAGGAGGAGTCCAAGGGCAACTCTTCCCAAGTTGGTCTTATTAAGGAGTACCGCCAGAAGATCGAGGCCGAGCTTGCCAAGATCTGCGATGATATCCTTGATGTCCTTGACAAGCACCTCATCCCCTCTGCTAAGTCTGGCGAGTCTAAGGTGTTCTACCACAAGATGTAAGTATAAGGTTTGAACTCAGCCACCGGGGAACAGCGCTGACAAAGTAAACAGGAAGGGTGACTATCACCGCTACCTCGCTGAGTTCGCTGTTGGCGACCGCCGCAAGGACTCCGCCGACAAGTCCCTCGAGGCTTACAAAGCTGCCACCGAGGTTGCCCAGACCGAGCTTCCTCCTACCCACCCCATTCGCCTTGGCCTCGCCCTTAACTTCTCCGTCTTCTACTACGAGATCCTCAACGCCCCTGACCAGGCTTGCCACCTTGCTAAGCAGGCTTTCGATGATGCGATTGCTGGTTTGTAACCTTGTTATCTGGCATCTTTATACGCCACTAACTATGTTCTTCAGAGCTCGATACCCTCAGCGAGGAGTCTTACAAGGATTCTACCCTCATCATGCAGCTGCTCCGTGACAACCTGGTATGCTTCCATGCTAGACCCACTCCGTATGCCTATACTAATTCCTGGCGCAGACTCTCTGGACCTCTTCTGAGGCCGAGCCCGCGGCGTCAGGCACCGCTGACGCCCCCGCTGCACCCAAGGAGGAGGGTGCCTCCGAGGCACCGGCCGCTGCCGCTACCTCTGAGGAGCCCAAGGCTGAGTAAAGGGTTGGTCTCGTAGCATTCTCTGCAAACCTGCGTTCTTCGCCGGAATTGGGTGGACTGGTGTCTACGGAGTGTGGACTGGAGATTTCGTTTTCGCGAATCGGCATCGTTTAGGCAATACACAAGAATTGTGAAGGGGTTGATTTTTCCTAGTACGGGACTGGCTGAGGGCTAAGAAGAGCATTTTGGAGGTCGATTGTGCCCACGTTTGCTTTTTAGACTCTAATGCAAGACCGTCTGGACACCAACAAAAAAAGACTAAAATTGCTTTCAAATCAAAAGCACACCCGGCAATCATGGTATTAGCAAACAAGTGGCTTGATTTTTCCTTAAGAGGTTCTTCTACTTCATGTTCCCAGAATTGATTTGGTGGCTCACTGGGCTGTATACACCGTAGAGTTGAAGCTCCGAATTGCATGTTTCTCTTGCACTACATAAACAGTTCAGTCGATCACAATGGAGAAATGTACCTTCATCCACAGGCTACAGTCTTGACAGCCGACGAGTAACTCCCCGGTCTCCCCCGCCTCCTCTAAGTCTGCCTCCATAAATAAGAAACCCTGAGGATTGCCACACCTGCAGCTCCGATACCAGCACTCTGCTTCTTCATCAAAGTCTAAGTCATCTAGATCCACATTCTCGATGCCTGTTTGGAAGGCCAGCTCGCGCTTGAGGCCCTGATTATTAGGTGTAAGGTCCAACGACCGGTCGTACTCCGCCTTCAACCTGGGATCGGAGAGCACTTTGTAGGCGGTGGATATTTGGTCGATTGTAAAAATGTCAGACTGCGTAGCCGATTTATATGTCGTTGAATTTGGGTGAGTAGGTCCTTGACTCTTAGGTTGTGGGTATTTATCTGGGTGATTTTGCAGTAGAGCCCGGTGGTAGGCCCGCTTGGTTACCAGCTGCGACTGCTCGGCCGCTTGGTCTTGGAGCAGGTTGCGGGTTAGGCCTAGAATTGTATAATACGTATGACCACTAGGGGCCGCAGGCGTGGAGTTCATGTTGAGGCTGGGTGAGCTCTCCCTAGAGTTGCTATTGCGGTGGTTTGTCAATGAAATTTTCTAGCGAATTGGAGACATCAACCAAGTCTTTGGATACGGGTCACGTGAGTTACAAAATGCAAGGGGAAGACCAAAACACGATTTCTCTGGATGTCAAATAAAGGAAATTTAAATTGTAAATTGATGCTTTTAGACACGGAGGTCACTTGATGAATTGATTGAAGCATGTAAAACGTTGAACTCAGTGGTCAAGTAGCTGAGTCAGAGGTATCGAGTCAAGAGCTTCGAAAATTGTTTGGTTCGTTTCTTGTACATGATAATACATGGTATATGTACACCGTCGATGATTAGCGACGCATGGAATTGTGGAAAGCCAAAGGAGTTGTTTATTTCGGAAATCTGGTCCAGTTCCTCTTTCCAACCTATGCTCGTAGTCAGTACAGTGGCTCCAAGGACAAGGATCTTACACAGCAATTGGCTCACCTTCTTCCACTCCTTGATAAGCTTGGGCATAGCAAGCACAGCCTCTCTCCTCTTCTCCATCCTGTGGGCAAATGATCAGCAACATTGTTATCTTGATAAGTAAAGAGGCTCACGTACCTGGGTTGCACCATTCTCTCGTGAATCTTTCCCTTGACCTTTTGTCCTACACCAGTACCCTTGACCCTCAAACCATGCTCAACGCGGTGTGAAATTCTATACTCGGTGCCCTTCACCGTGGGCGGCAACAACTCCTCGACACCGTGCTGGCGCGCGAGCTTGACGATCTCGGCTTGCCGTCGCAGCGAGAATACCGGGTCGTGCCATTTACCGGTCTCCGGATGTTTTCGGGCGGCGAAGGGGTTTGGGGTGATTTCTTGGAAACCCGTCTTGGGGGCGCCAGCGGGAACGATCGAGGCAGGAGGCCAACGAGCAAAAAAGCGTTGCAGCTGGGCGGGTAAAGCCTTCGCAAGCTGGATATGGTGTTGTGCTGACATATTTTCTCGTTTCCCTGTCGGTGTGAGATTCCCTCAATGCCGATTAGTTGTATCTCAGTGGTTATGTCCCTCCCGTAGAACTGCGTGGTATCGTAGGGTCTCGTTCGTGATCTGCGAGGAGTTTTCGTCGGTGAACGCGAGCCTTCGATACTCGTTTAGAGATTATCCACGACGTTGGCTGCAGACAAATTTGGAGGTTGATCAGCCTTGTACACCCCTGCACTTGCAGCAGCACTGACATGGAAAGAGAGCTTGTATGAGGGGCAAGAATTGCCGAAAGCAACCTTTTTTTGATTGGCCTATGCCTCTGTGCCATCTGTGGCGCAAATCACAGCCTTATCTTAGGTATACACTATACTCCAGCCCTTCTATGATGTTCCTCCAATTACCATCAATTGTCAACAGCAACATGTTGCTGCTTATATCCCGATACTAATTAAAAACTTGGGGTCCATTTACTGGCGAAACTTCAGCGAGCATACTGTAGGCAAAGTAAGGAAGGACAGAGATATCAAGATACGTACCCAAGCGGAAAAGTGGGCTTAACATTAGCCTCAGTATAGAAGGCTGCTACGGAACGTCTTCCTGTACAACTCGAGCAACCACGAACGACAGCAACATGAACAACAAGCGCGCGCCCCTCGATCTCGAAGAGATTATCCGTAAGAAGAAAGCCGCCGACGCGGCCTCATCGAAACTCCGGTTCATTCCGAAAAAAGAACGGGAGAGGCAAGCGGCGGAAAAAGCCAAGGCCGAAGAGGAGGAGCGCAAGAGGAAGGCGGAGGAAGAAACAAAAAGAAAGCTGGAGCTAGAGAAGAAGTGGGCGGCGGAGGCTAACGGCTCTACTAATGGAACTTCCAACAGCTACATGAACAATGCTGGTGGAGGAGGACGGGTACCAACAGGGCCGAAGGCCATGAATCAAGGCGGCGACGATGGACGACACGGAAGACAAGGCCGCGGACGAGATAAACCGGAGACAAAAAAAACAGCTGCGAAAGATGGAAAGGAGAAGAAGTCTGCTGAAGCGATCGAGGCAGAGCTGCTGAGAAACAGATACCTTGGGCCTGAGGTCAATAAGGAGTCTAACTTTTCAGTCAAGAAGAAGCGCAAGAGAGCGACCGAGTTCAAGTTCGAGTGGGACGCTGAGGAAGATACAACACTTGACAATGATCCCATATACGAATCGCGTATGGCACTCAAATCCTATACATACGGCAGTTTGGCAGGAGAATTCAACGAGGAAGCGGAGGAAATCGCACGCAGACGAGCCCGAATGATTGAGGAAAGAGATCCGGAATTTGGGAGACAACGTGCACAACAATATATGGAGGATTTCTACAAGGCTCGGGACCGAGCGAAGGAACGCGCAGACCGCACAGGTCTTGGCAAGCACTGGTCTAAGAAGACGTTGGATGAGATGCGTGAAAGAGATTGGAGAATCTTCAAGGAGGATTTTGGCATCGCAACGAAAGGCGGCCTCATTCCCAATCCCATGCGCAGCTGGCAAGAGTCAGGTTTGCCCCCACGATTGCTCGATATTGTCGACCGAGTCGGGTACACAGAACCTACTCCCATTCAAAGGGCAGCAATTCCTATTGCGCTTCAAGCGAGAGATCTTATTGGTGTAGCCGTCACTGGTTCCGGTAAAACTGCCGCATTCCTTCTGCCACTGTTGGTCTATATTTCAGATCTGCCGCCACTAGGAGAAATCAACCGGAACGACGGTCCTTATGGGCTCATTCTGGCGCCGACACGTGAACTGGTCCAACAAATCGAGACTGAAGCCAAGAAGTTCGCCGAACCGTTGGGCTTCAGAGTAGTTAGCATTGTTGGTGGCCACTCTCTGGAAGAACAAGCATTCGCCTTGCGCAATGGTGCCGAGATCATCGTCGCGACTCCCGGTCGCCTGGTGGATTGCATTGAACGGCGCCTTCTTGTCCTGTCCCAGTGCTGTTACATCATTATGGATGAAGCAGACCGGATGATTGATCTGGGTTTTGAGGAGTCGGTGAACAAGATTCTCGACGCCCTTCCAGTAACAAACGAAAAGCCGGACACAGAGGAAGCAGAAAATGCGGCACTGATGAAGAGGTATCTCGGCGGCAAGGACCGGTACAGACAGACCATGATGTACACCGCCACAATGCCACCGCTTGTCGAGAAGATTGCGAGAAAGTACCTTCGGCGCCCTGCCATTGTTACGATCGGCAATGCTGGCGAAGCCGTCGATACCGTCGAGCAGAGAGTTGAGTTTGTTTCAGGAGAGGACAAGCGGAAAAAGCGTCTGCAGGAAATTCTTGCTTCCGGAGACTTCGCTCCACCTATCATCGTATTCGTCAATATCAAGCGCAATTGCGACGCTGTCGCGCGAGATGTCAAGCACATGGGTTATTCTGCGGTCACTCTTCACGGAAGCAAGACCCAAGAGCAGAGAGAGGCTGCTCTGGCATCAGTGCGAAACGGCCAGACAGATGTCCTCGTCGCCACAGACTTGGCCGGAAGAGGTATTGACGTGCCGGATGTCAGTCTTGTTATCAATTTCAATATGGCAACAAGCATCGAAAGTTACACGCATCGTATTGGTCGTACCGGTCGTGCGGGCAAGAGTGGTATTGCTATCACGTTCCTGGGCAACGAAGACGCCGACTTGTTCTACGACCTCAAGCAAATGCTCTCCAAGAGCTCGATTTCGAGGGTACCCGAGGAGCTCCGACGGCATGAAGCCGCGCAGCAGAAGCCCACCAGAGGCCACAAGAGGGCAGGTGGTGGAGAGGAGTCGTCAGGGAAGGGGGGGCAGTGGGGCGCCTAATGTATAGTTATGGATGATGGTAGCACGGTGAGTGGATGAGAATACTGGGAGACGGCAAATAAATGCAAGGAGTGGAAAAGATCTTGTCTCAGAGATTATCGTGATAATCTATTATGTCCGAGCCAAAAATGTTCGGCGCCTCGGGGCTTGTAGTGGGGCAACAGCAGCTCCCTGCCAAATGTGCCTGACAGCGGGGAAGCATTCGGGGTTTCCAAGGTTAGCTCCCGCCGAACAAGCCTATATAACCCCACCAGGGGGCAGTTTCCTCGGTCTGATGTCAGGGCCCAGGGCGTTCTGGGCTTAGATTGCCTGCGTGAAGCGCCTAGCATTTCTGTACGAAAAGACAGAACCAGCACAAAAAAAAAAATAGAAAATTACCCAGGTGTTGCTCATGAGAAATCTCCGCAACCCGATACTGCTGCTGCCGCGCCCAAAACTCCACAATTTCGGCCTTCACCGTTCCTTTCACATGGTCATATAAGTATAGGCCCTGGGGATGTGCCCGTCAGGTTGACTTTCTTCTCTTATGTTTCTTGGGCTCCCTCCTTCTAGCGCGCGCTTTTTTTTTCCATCAAAGGGCAGGCACTGCTGCTAGCTTAACGCAGTGATTCCGGAACCACTTAACCCGCCCCGGTATCGGTGGATTCCTCTCTACCCGCTCAGCACAGAGGGAAAAAAAGTAGCGGCACCCAGGTTTGCGCTCCAGGTGTCTGACACACTGTACGGTTCTTTTCGCTTTTGCCCCGCGCATCCATCTTATGGTCACATCCCACCACCCTGATTCAACTCAGTACGAGGGGGAGCAGTGAGGACAGTGCTGAATAGACTTCTATTCAACCCGTTCTGCACTTGCTCCTTTCTGGCGCCTTTGTTACTTGTTCCCTGCGGTCGTTGCAGCTGCTGAGCGATATCTTGTCTGACAAACTGCCAACAAGCAAGCCAGCAAACAAACAACCCTCTTCCTAACTCTCTCACCAACCTTTACTGCACTACTGGGAGGGTTTCAGCCGTTGTGCCGCCCATCGTTCTACCCTCGGATACAACTGTAATAGCTCAGGTAGCTTCTACAACTTGTTTGCTTCGCTACCGCCATGATGGACACAGCAGCAACAGCCATGGATATTCCCCACCATGACGCACCAGTCTCACTGAAGAAGAGTCGCACTGCGGCATTGGAGGCGATCGAAGATATTGTTTACGGATCGGTAAGTTGCTCAAAAAAACCATCCAAGTCATGTCACAGTGTTCTGACAGAACAATTGCCTAATAGGTCGCCGGCGTCGTTGGCAAATATATCGAATACCCCTTCGACACGGTCAAGGTCCGACTCCAGTCCCAGCCCGACAACCAGCCACTCCGCTATAAGGGCCCACTTGACTGTTTTCGCCAGTCCATCAAGGCTGAGGGCTTCCTCGGTCTCTACCGGGGTATCAGCGCGCCCCTCGTCGGAGCTGCGCTCGAGAACAGTAGCCTGTTCTTCTTCGAACGTATTGGACGGGCTGCGGTGTATGCTTCAGGCTGGACACCTCAGGGCCAGGATCTCTCTCTATCTGCTCTGTGGTTCACGGGCGCCTTTTCCGGCTTTTTCACCTCCTACGTCTTGACACCTGTTGAGCTTGTCAAATGTAAGATCCAGGCACCTGTGAGGGCAGACGGTTCTGCTGTGCCACAATTGCGCCCCCTGGCCGTTGTTCGCGATATCTACCGCCACAATGGCATCCCGGGCTTCTGGCATGGTCAAATGGGCACCTTGATCCGCGAGTCCGGCGGGTGTGCAGCTTGGTTCGGCAGTAAGGAGACTGTGACTAAGATGTTCTACCACCTCAACGGCAGAGCAGCCAAGAATCAATCTGAGAGAGAGGCACTCGCTGCCAAGCCGCTGCCGTTGTGGCAGCAGGCACTCGCTGGTGCCTCTGGAGGTGTATCATACAACTTCCTCTTCTTCCCTGCCGACACCATCAAGTCGCGCATGCAGACGGCGGCCATCGGCGACGCGGCGCAGGGCCGAACATTCTGGCAGGAAGGCGCAGCCGTGTGGCAGCAGCATGGGCTCAGGGGTTTATACAGGGGCTGCGGCATCACCTGCCTACGTTCCGCACCCAGCTCGGCCTTCATTTTCATTGTTTTTGACGGCCTCAAGCGACATTTCCCCATGCAATAGACTTGTTTTGCGTTTTGATATCCTAGACTTGGGAGGTGGTGGACGGTTTTTGCTTTGTTTAAATCGGCATTTCAGAGGCGCAATGGGATAGCTCCGGTTGAAGGTACATCTTCGCAGATAGGCGTTTCAACATCTAAGCAAGGGATACGAAACCTATTAAAGAGTATGGTAGATAGATGTGAGCGTGGATATCAAATTTGTTTTTCTCCATTTCGTCCTTTTTAAGGAAACCTAGGGAACTTGCGTCACGACTAGTAAAACGCTGTTGCAATTTAGACAGACAGCTCTTGTTTTATCTCCTTCCCAGCATTAGCGCAGCTATGACAGATAAAGATTATTCCTTCTTGCCAGCAGCAGCTTTCTCCTCGGCACCTTTGAGATCCCAGTTATTGAGATACCCTGCACCGGCACAGAGGTAGGTCGCAAAGCCAAGCCAGCCGAGGTAGGGGACGAGACAGGCTCCGGCAACACGATCGACGGAACCCCAGAGGTAAGTGAGGTAGGAGTTGATGCCCAGAAGCGCAGCGATATCGACGGTAGCCTCGATGGGGCGCTTGAACACGAAGAAAAGCGGCATCCAGATGAGGTTAAGACCCAGTTGAACGGTGTAGAGAGTCGCACCCTGCTTGGTCATGTTGATGTGCTCGATGGTGGAGAAAGGGGAAAGACCGGTGTTAACGGCGCGATAGGCAGCGTAGCCCATCATACTGTTCGAATCATGTCAGTTCAAGTCGCGGTGCATTCATGAGGAGGCTGCGGCCAACCATACCCGTAAAGGAGTGTCCATACTGGACCGAACACCTGTGGTGGGGGGCGCAGAGGAGGGTTCTTGATGGCGCCGTAGGTCTTTTGGGTTTCCTTGGCTGTTGAGGCCTATGTTAGTGTTCGAATCCCTGGGGTTTTATTATTATCATGAATAACACTCACGTCGCGAAGAGTAGCCGACAGCGGTTCCTAAAGCTATAGGGAGCAGGATGGAAGCCGCGGCATTCTCGAATACCTGGTGAGGTAGGGTTAAAGCTGGGATAAAAGTTGTCATGGTTGTGATTCTAACTAGAGCAGAGAGTTAAAAGGGGTTTCTTTCTTTTTCGAGACGTTCGGAATGATTGTTTTATACAACTGTTCAACGTGGACTCAGTCGGTCTGGAACACGCGACGGTATGCCTCGGGGCGGGTCCTAGTCCGACCTGCGAGATAGCTCTACAGAGCTATGACGCAATGCATTGACTCTGGCGAACCCTCGACACTCCCGACATTCAGTGTAGTTGAATACAGCAGAAAGGAACTATTGTACAAAGGGTAATAAACTTACGATTTTGCAAGGAACTATGAAAATTGCATAGGAAATTGGCTGATGGGAATTGGTATAAATTGTCGTACTGTCGCCATTTTTTCTCATTGTGTAGACTGGGCAGATGGAGTCTCCATTCCTCAGATGGGCATGTTCCTGTCACTGCAGGGGTGAAGCTCTGGAGATCGCTGGGGATCGGCCACTATTCCGCAGCTCAGGGCGGTTCCAGTTGACCCACGGCCGGCGTGCCGCGGCTGCAAAACAGCCGTACGCTGGATTGCCCTTTACAACTGCCGACAGCCTTACGATGAGCCCATCGTGCCTTCCATCCAGTTGCAAGCGCATATATCAATGAATTTTAAGTCTCCAATCAGTGCTTGTCTTCTTGTAATCAACAAATCCGTAACATCATTTCTACTAAAGCTAAACAAGCACAAAATTCAGAGCGGCCTATGCTGTAACAAGGCATATTCATATAGACAGTATAATTATAGCCGAGGATCATCCGGAAATATACTATCCCCGTTTGGGCCTGGTGGATCTCTCCAGCCGACTCTTTGTTCGTATCTCGTCGCCCTTCAGCAGCAGGTCAGCCTTCCACTCCCCATCTTTACATCGTGCATCTAAAGGTCCTTCGCTTTGGATCACGACAACTCCCCGCGTCTCATCGTCGAGGCATATGCCCTCGCAACCAAAATAGTTCGTTCTTCCCTTTTTATTCTGCATCATCTTTACTCGTCGCACCCATTGTCCCTACATCCCCTCGATCTGAATCTCCCCGTTACAATTACTCCTGTCTTCCATCCCCAAACAACAGTTTCTCTTCCGCCCGGCTCCCTGTTCCACCGTCCTCCGTTTGTCAATTCATATTCTTAAGCCTGCCTCATTTGGCACCTATATTTTTTTTTCGTTTGCTCCGTCATGCATATTAAGACGAGCCGTTTTCCTCCATCTTTGCCCTTTTGGCAATTGCACCACTTCTACTGCTGCTGTCACCCTCCCGAATTCTCAATTCTCTTTCTCTCATGCCCTCATGTTCCCATAGAAAGCCGCACCTTCCTGCAAGAATGATTACTCTAACCGCAATCGCGTTGCCAAATTACAGGCCTCCACCTTCCTATCTTTTTGTCTCTTCAGATCGAGCAAGCAGGCGGCATCATCCGAAAGCAAGCACGCGGCTACCCGACGCGATACTTAAACTGGGCTGAAAGACCACCTTTTTCACAACATCAAAGGACGACAAAGAATAACCGTACTTGTGTGTTTCTTGCGACTATACAGCATCAACAAAACAAATATGGACTCTTACTCTTCCCACCGAGACTCCTCCGCGCGTTCGCCGGGCGACAGGACGTGGAGTAGTCGCGACGACACGCGAGGTAAGGAGGATCGAGGAGATACCTTCTATCGCGGCAGATCCCCTGGTGCGTATACCAGTCTCCTACCTTACGTCAATTGATGTACCTTGCACAGTGCAATTTCTGTTGATGACATCTGATGGCGCATGTTCACGTTTAGTTACTTACATTTACTTGCAGGTCACGACCGTCGTGACAGGCGTCGCTCTCGATCTCCAATCGCCGTCGATCGATACGAGCCTAGGGGCCGTGGGCGCGATGAGTACACCAGCGGACGGGATAGGGATGACCGCCGAGACAGACGTGTAGGCTCGCCTCCGGCTAATATCGACCGATACGTCCCGGGACAGGACAGCGGCCCCACTCCACTGACTGTCAATCCTCTCGCGGATCCAGTCAAGCTCCCTTACCAAGTCGGCTTCTCATACTTTGGAGAATGGTGGCGGATGAACGAGAAGATCAAGGAGGAGAAGGAGCGCCAGCGCACTGGCCGTCGTCGCGAGCCTGAGCGAGTTCGCGGACCGCGCGAAGCACAAGAAGAACGCGAGAAGGAAAAGGCAAAGATTCAAGTTGCATACGATGCCTACAAGGAAGAACTTCAGGCCAAAATGGCACGCGCCTTCGTTAGCGAGCACAAAAAGGAGCAGTGGTTCTGCGAGCGATATGTGCCCGAGATTCGTGACGCGTTTAGGTCACAACTGAACGAGTTCCGCCGAGGCGGCTATAGCCAGTGGGAGCAAGATTTAGAGTCTGGAACATTTGACGACTTCTCCCTGGAGGGTCTGCCCAAGAGTGAGAGCAATGGATCGGGTGGCGTTGTGGAGAAAGAGGAAGGCGAGGCAACCGCTGCCAACGAGATTCTGGGCGTAGGGGACCTTGTCCCAGTCAACGGTGCCGATATTCGGGACGAAAACTTGTACCAGCCAACCCTGCTTATTAAGACTATTGCGCCTCATGTCAGTCGGCAGAATCTGGAGACCTTCTGCAAGGAGCATCTGGGAGAGGAAGAAGGTGGCTTCAAGTGGCTGTCCCTGTCAGACCCCAACCCCAGCAAACGTTACCACCGAATTGGCTGGGTTATGCTTCATCCATCGTCGGATGTAGCACCTACAGTTGTTGATCGTGTGGATCCAAAGGACGAGGACGAAGATATGCCTTTAAAGTCACCGGCGGTTGTGTCAACAGCTGAAAAGGCTTTGGATGCTATCAACGGCAAGACCGTCAAGGACGAGGTTAGAGGTGACTTTGTCTGCCACGTCGGCGTACATAACCCTCCTACACACCCTCGAAAGAAGGCTCTGTGGGACCTCTTTTCTGCACCTGAACGGATTGAGAAGGATTTGCTTCTCGTTCAGCGACTTATCAACAAATTTGAAGAGGACTTTGGGTCCGATTTCAACGCTGTCCTGAAGATTGAGGAGAGAGTCGACGATCTTAAGAATGCCGGCCGCCTTCAGCCTGTTGTCAGCGTACCGAAGAAGCCGAAGGCCAAGCGCGAGCGGGACCTTGATGTGGACGACGGCATGGAAGATGACGAAGACGGTGCCATTGATGATGACGAGGAAGAGGGTGCGGTGGATGAAGATGAGACGGATGACGAGGATTTGCTCATCAAGAAGAAGCAGCTTGATCTCATGATTGAGTATCTCAGACGTGTCTTCAACTTCTGCTTCTTTTGCGTTTTCGAGAGTGACTCCATCCACGAACTCACCCGCAAGTGCCCTGGCGGTCACTTGCGACGTCCCAGAAGCACTCTCGGCTCTGCTGCAAAGGCCGTGGCTCGTGCGAGCGCTAATGGAGAGCCTTTCCCTGGCAAGAAGCGTAGTGAGATTGAGGAAGAGGGCGAGACGGCTGACACAGACAAGAAGTTCCGCAGTACAACTGGCAAAGCAGAACAACAACTGCTGCGTGCTTTCAACTGGGTCAAGACTTTCGAAGACAAGATTATGCAGATTCTAGACCCTGAATCGGCAGATTTACGAAAACTCGGTGGCCGGCCAGTAGAGGACGCCGTAAGTGAGGAGGTCCTCAAATTTGTGAAGCAGGAGGACGAGCACAAGTGGCGATGCAAGGTTCCCGAGTGCACCAAATTGTTCAAGGAAGAACATTTCTGGCGTAAGCACGTTGAGAAGCGCCACGCCGAGTGGCTTGAAGGCATCGAACAGGAGGTCAGTCGTCGTATTCCCTTTGTAAAGCACACAATTAACACCTCGCAGTTCCACCTCATCAACGCCTATGTCATGGACCCATCTCACATTGCTCCATCAAGGACGGATGCCAACTCAAATGGCCATTTCCCGCCTGCAAATGGACAGCCTACCACCGGGACTCCTAGGGGATTTAACTTGCAGAACTTCACCATGAATGGTATAATGCCTATCCCGGGCTTTCCAATGCCCCCAGGCGGCTTCCCGCCATTCCTTGGTGGAGGACATTCGGGTGTGCAGTCTGGCTGGAATGCCGGCGGCGACGAGCGCAGCGGACCCGGTCCTATCCGCCGAGGAGGTATGGGTGGTGGCCGAGGCAATTACCGAAGTGGCCCTTATGATCGCCGCCCCAATCCTCGTTGGGATGGTGGCATGGGCGGAAGAGGTCGTGGCGGCGCTGGAAAGTGGGGAGACGGTGCTGCTGGAGGAGCTGCAGTTGGTCCTCGTGAGGCTACTCAAGGCCGCAGTCTCAAGAGTTATGAGGATCTAGATCATGTTGCTGGCGGTGGTGGTGGAGAGTTGAACTACTAGGGCAAGCTTCGCTCCTACCGCCCTAAAGATGTGAAAATTGAGACCAAAAACACATTGGGGTTCTAGGTGCGTAAGACAACATCATCTCAGAAACAGTTAGCGATGATACGTAGCTGTCAAGGAGCTTAGGAGTTGTGCTCCAGTCACAGAACATAACGCAGGCAGCTCAGGCGTTGTATACTCACACCGATCGGCATAGTGGGTTGTATTTTGTAAAATTACTAGAAAACTGGGGGTTAGTTATGGATCGCGAACATGATATTTTGCAGTACTTGAGTCTTTCCCATGTTCGTGTGAGCGCCCGTCATTCATGTCATTAGTTGGCACTACATTGTAGCTTTTGGCCAATACTTTATCAACTGCAGGCCAGGCATTGTCGGAAACCTTCGTCGCAATCATAACTGGATAAATGCAACCCAGCTTCTCACAAGTAATGCACCATTTAAGTGAGAAGTAGGAAGACAACTGGTCCTTAAATGGAAGCGACCGCCTCCCATTTTTTGCACAGCCAGGTATACTTGCTCTTGTACCCCACGTTTGTTTGTCTGTTGTGCAGTTTCAGTCCAGATTTGATGCACTTCAATTTAATTTGGTGCACCACACAATCATTAGTAGATGTGCTAATGGCTTGGTGAAAATGCTTCAGCTATGACCCGTATTCAGCCAATGTAACGATTGCCACGAAGAGCAGGTGCACACAGGTCTCCATCACAAGACAGTCATGAGAGCCGGGATGACACAAGCTAGTGAATACTTTACAAGCCAACATGTGACTAAAATCATCCATATATGACTTCGACATATGATTGACGCCTCGTATGTGTTCAAATAGCAGTAAACCTGTAGCATAAGTATAACAAGACGGATAGAGCTGGGGCAGTTATTATCTCAGCAGTCAAAACCCCATTCATTTAACAGTTTTAGGAAGAGGCAAAGTTGGCCGGCCATGCAGAGATTATGAATTAGACAAGAAGCTCTGAGCTTAAGTTATTTCACTGCAAGAAGGAGAAGAAGGCAACGCGACTTTTTACGGAATGATGCATGAAGCGGGAACTGTCAAATGTAGAACATACACATAGTGTTTCTTCACTAAAAGCCAACAAAGGACGAAAGCTTATCCTAACTATATCCACGTGAACAGTGAGTGCACCCCTGCACAAATCCTGTGGCATACGTCAGGGGGCCGTTCATGCAAATCTCCATTTCCCGAACTAAGTCATCCATTCAGGGAGCAGGAGCACTAAGAAAGGTATCCACATGCAATTGGTTGCTGTCTCGTCCCCTAAGAAGTACTTGCAGCCACGCAACCAGTCGACGTTCCCAAGCAATCAAGTTTCGAAAACCACCACCACCCTAGAACCAAGTTGTCACTCTTTTTTTTTCTTTCTCTTTTGGTATCTTTGTATCACTCTTCAGTCGCCACATTGCATTTAATCCGAGCTATCCCGTAGCCATGCATCCAATCGCGCCTCGCCTGCTCTCCCGGGCTTCCTCTCGCATAGCTTCCTCTTCTCGCACCTCTGTTAACAACTGCACATTTGCGAGATCCGCAACATCTCGTTTCCAACTGCAGCAGCGACTCCCAGGACGTCGCTTCTACTCTTCTGAGCCACCCAAGAAGCCCAGTGGAGTCAAATTCTGGCCCTTCATCGCCGTTGTTGTCGCTGGTAGCGGAGCTTACAAGCTGCTTGTCGACCAAAGAGCTGGTAAGTGACGGGCTGATTTCCCACTCATTCGAAACGCCTGCGCCTTGTCATATACCTGGTAAACAAGATGGGTTGCAAGAGAGGCTATCCCAGCCACGCAGTTCCAATTGTCGACATCTCAAAAAAAAAAGAAAAATTAACAAAAAATGGTAGAATTGTACTGACAATGTCTTCTCAGAAATGGCTGCCCTCCCGCCCCCTCAGTCCAACGCCCAACTGCCCTCCCCGGCAAAGTCGACCCCGACCTTCTCTCCTGACGAAGTAACTGTCCTCTTCGTTCTCGGCGGCCCAGGCGCTGGCAAGGGAACCCAGTGCGCCAAGCTCGTCTCCGACTACGGCTTCACCCACCTGTCTGCAGGCGACCTCCTCCGTGCTGAGCAGGATCGCCCCGGCTCGCAGTTCGGTCAGCTCATTAAGGATTATATCAAGGATGGCCTCATTGTCCCCATGGAGGTCACTGTTCAGCTTCTTGAGAACGCCATGACCGAGACAATCAAGAACCAGGGCAACAAGAGATTCCTCATTGATGGCTTCCCAAGAAAGATGGACCAGGCGATCAAGTTCGAGGAATCTGTTTGCCCGGCCAAGTTGGTCCTTTTCTATGATTGTCCTGAGGCTGTCATGGAAGGAAGACTTTTGGAACGTGGTAAGACCAGTGGACGCGCTGATGATAATGCTGAGAGCATTCGCAAGCGCTTCAGGACGTTTGTTGAGACGAGTATGCCGGTCGTCGATTACTTCGAAAAGGAGGGCCGCGTTGTGAAGCTTGATGCTACGCCACCGCCCCAGGAAGTCTACGCCAGAACGCGTCAGGAGCTCTCCAAGAGACTTGGTATCTGAAGTGAAGATCTAGAGGCTGAGACGTGCTGAATCGGGCGTTGCTTTCTAGGGCATGTCAGCGTTTCTGCTTCGCGCTCTTCCTTTGGAGAACAAGATAACTTTGGTTCTGGGGTAGGGTATCATTTCGTTAACTTGTCTCTGAGAAAATTTTTGGGGAGAAACAGAGCCTAGCGGAAGGTCAACAACTATAGAGTGTGCAAAAAGTGAGATGAACGACGAGGTATTACATGAACTCTTTGGAGTTTCTGTTGCGTGTAAGAATCTAACCTGATACATTTATTTTCCTCTGTTCGTGCGTTGTATACACAAGAATGTAGTATTAATATGTTTAAACTCCGAAGTAAAAGAAAAGTCCCGACATATGGGCTATCTTGTCGCTATAAAGAGCATTCACGCTATGACGCTTTCTTAAAGAAACGTCGCTTACGCTACCAAATGTACGGCATCGCTATGAGGAGGTCCACACAGATCTGCTGAAAAGAAGCCGCGAGATAATGTCGACTGTGCTTCTAGGCTACTGTGTAAATTTTTTATGTTTGCTACTGGCAACCGAGCATGGCATATGCGTCGAATTAAGAAAAAAAAAAAAAACAGTTCTATTTGTGAAAGAGAAACAGGGGCAGGAACACAAGAATGATGTCAAGCAAACGACGAGCCGTACTGGCCACTGGGCCTCTGCTCGAGAGGGTGTCGGGCACGTTCAAGAGCTAGATCAACTTTTTCTCTTCTTTTTTTTTTTTTCTTCTTGGGAATGTTTAACCGAAGAAGTAAGTCTAGGATTCAGGGAAACGAGACACGGCACAGGAGGTAGTTGTAGAGCGGGAAGGGGGGAAAGTCTCCAGGAGCCTGTTGAGATGTGAGAGGGCAGTCGGGCGACGGTACCAAGGCAATCTTTGGGGAGAACAACCAAGCATGAGGGTGACAGACGTGGCGTATAAACCATAGCCACCTTAGGATGCACGAACGAGGCGGCCTCGGGGGTGACCAAGTCTTGTTACCAACCGTCGAAGACAATTATGGGCAAAGCATCCGGTTACAACGGCTAACTCAGTATTATTCAGGGTCTGCAACAATCTCATGCTCTTTTTCTCTCTCACACACATATGCACATATGCATCAAAAAGGGACCGTTCAAAACGTCTGTATCCTAATCTCGTTACGCCGATTCATTTGGACTCCCTGTGTGAAATAAGAAAACCCCTTTTGTGTTTTGTTTTCCGCGAATGCCAGAGAGCCATGCAGCAAGCAACAAACACATTCGGAAGCGGACCGAGCTTTTCTAAAAAAGAGGAAAAAAAGGAAATTTCCAGGCCACGTGCAGGGACAAGTGTCCGCCGCAGCCCATTTCAGCTCATCAGCTCTATAACTTGGTCGCCACACAAAGATAATGTCCTCTTTCTCCTCGCCGTAATTACATAAACACGTTTAGTTTCCCTTTTTGTTTCCCCCCTGTGGTGCTCGCGTTTCCTGATCGTCCCTTCCTGTTCCCATTAAGCAACCCACACAGGTGCTGGGGAAAGGGACGGGGGAGGACGGGGCCAAAGAAAAAGGAACCTCATGACTGCCCATGACCGCTTAACAACCGAAATTCGTGTCCCTTAGTCATCGTTATCCGTCCTCTCCTTGGGCTCGCGCGGCTCTCGGGGCTCACGGGGCTCGCGAGGCTCACGAGGTTCTCTAGGCTCCCGTTGCTGCTGATTGTCGCCGCCGCGGCGGTTCTGGCCCCTCTGCTGGCGACCGCCGCTGCCGCCCTCCTTATCGGCGTTCTGCAGCTTGCGCTCAGCCTCCTGTGCCTCACGCTCCTTCTGAGCCTTGGCGTTGGCCTGCTCCTTACGGATGACGTCGTGGAGGTTGGAAAGGGTACCCTTCCAGCTATCGAGGCGGGTGGCAAGCTCCTGCCACTGTCGCGTGCCGAAGACACGGTAGGTAACCTTGTGGACAAGGAAGACCTGGTCCTGCTGGGAGAGCTTGCCCTCGACGAGACCGGCGCGAATGACGTCAATCGCCCACATCTCAACGTCGGACGCGGGGACCTGGAGGGCCTTTGCGATGGCGGCGTATTCGATACGGCGGCTGGTAGTCTGGGCGGCGAGTGAGGCGAAGGTGAGGAGACGCATCTTGCGGTGGAGACGGTCGTGGTCTAGCTTCTCCTTCTCAATCCAGCCCTGGTGCTCGTCGTTGAAGTCGTTGTAGTCCTCGAGGTCCTGCTCGGAGAAGATGTCGAGGAGCTGGGAATAGACAGGGTGCGTCTCGCTCAGGTTCTGCACGGAGGGTATGCTGCGGATGTCGGTGAAGAGGTAGTGTGTGTTAGACAGCAGGGCATCACGAACGACGCGGAGGGACAGGCGCTGGGCATCCTCAGAGCCGATATCCTCCTTATCGTCGGCGTCGAAGGTGCGCAGGGCCTTAATAATGTACTCGTAAGTCTCCCTAGACATCTTGTCAGTCTTTTTGCATCATTACCAGAATGATTAGGCAGATCTGTCACTCACTCTTCCTTGCCAGCCTCCTTGGCAACCTCGGCAATCTCCTCGTACATCTGTCTTTGGAACTCCTCGCTGGTGCTCCAGTCCTCAAACCAAGTAGGGATGTGCTTCAGGTAGGGCTGGATGGTGTCGAACATGGCGTGGGTCTTGAGGAAGCGAAGGATGGCCATGAAAACGTTGAAGCGTATCGGGTTCTCGGGGGCGATGAGGTTGAAAATAGTGCTGAGGGCGTTGAGGCTGAGGCCGACGCCGTTGACGGGGCTCGAGGCGATGGGCTTGGAGAAGGCCTGGCACAAGGTAGGCAGATGCTTCTTAGGATCCTCAGACTGAAGCACTAGGTGCACCATAAGGTTTGACGCGGCCGTGAACTCCTTCTCGGGGACCGACGACAGGGCAGCCGACGAGCGCACCAGCTTGGCCAGCACGTCCTCCTTCTTGGCCTCGTTGTCGACGAGGGGCTTAACCTCATCAGCGATGTGGAGGTAGTCAGCCATCTCGCGGGCGAGCTCCTGGAAGGAGCCGTCCACAAAGATCAGCTGAGGCTGCGCCTGTTGCTTCGCTCCTGCCGCCATGATTGCTGTTCCGGTTTTGCTGGACGAACGTTGACAGCACACACTTGGAAGGTTGATGCGGAGTTTGCCTAGCAAAAATGGGAAGAGGAGGTAAAGTGAGGGTCCCCGGAAAAAAAGAGAATGCGAAAGTGTGTAGAGGGGCGTGTCGTTTGGGAAAACGGAGACAGGGGGTCGGTCTGTCGTGCGGTGAGTGTCGATTGCGAAGCCCGCTCGTCCTGCGTTTGATGGAGGGGTGTTTGGTGGAGGACCGCAGGGCAATTTTTTCTACCACTATTTCTGTGCGCCGCTAAGATGTCCCGAAAAAAAAAAAAAAAGGCACTCAAAGTTTCCTGTGTGCGGGGCTCTAGGCGAAGGCGCTGGCTGAGGCGGGGTACTAGGGACTTGAGATGAGCCTTCCCATTCTGTCACTGGCGCTACTTTTCTACCAAGAAAGACATTGCAATATAATTCTATAATTGTTTCCGGAAAATGAGTGATTCGTTTGAATCCAAGCCTTCGCAGACTTCGAATCATGCTGCTGCAAAAAAGGAAGAAAAAAAAAACATCACTGCATCAGGCTCATTCCTGCCCCGCCCCGGTCAACTCTTCCGTGCAACTCCATCGAAACATTTTGAACGGGTGCCTCGTTTTCTCGTCCGGGGCCGGCATAGCGGCGGCAGCTCCCGCTTCTCATTCGCCGACCACAAGTCGTAATTCCAGAACCCATCGATTGTCGGCTATCTAGTGTTGGGTGTTTCTGGAGAATCTTGCTCAAGGCAAGCTAATAGAACAACGGTGCTAATCACTTTCCTTATTGTCTTACCAGTTGCAAACGACTGTTTTTATTCTCGCTAGAGTTCAAACTTCAGTTGTATCAAACGCCAAGCTTTTTGTTCTCCCCTTCTGTAGAAAGCCGGGTAATCACGCCGAAGACCGGAAGATATGTCAATTCCCATCTAGGTCCAGGGCAACATCAACAGTCCAGAAATCCTCGCCGCCATGCATAAACAAACATGGCACGAACGGCCCGGATACAGGCACTCAGAAAACCAACAAAGATAACCCCTTTATAACTGACAAGCCCCTAATCCATGCTCCTAAATGTCCCAGTAAGAAAGTTATTACAATACGTTATATCTCCTTGCCGTTTTTCTCGCCGGCGATATCTGCCTTCGAATAAATGCTGTCGCCATCGGCACCAAAAAGGGGCTGATCTCCTTTGCCGCCCATCTCCACAAATTCACCTACGCTTCTCTTCGAAGCAGGATCGGCCTCCTTAGGTCCTGTCTTCTTTGTCGTATTTTTCGCGTAAATCTTTACCGGCTTCTGGTTTTCTTGGCCAGCAGCTCTAGTGGTAACATGTACGGAATTTAGTGAGCTGAGAAGCGTTCTCTCCCGGGTAACACCACGCCGGTGAACCTCCAGGCCCTGTATGCCGCCTACCAGGCCGTCGGTGCTGTCATTAACGCCTGGCTGGTTTTGCGTCATCCAAGGGTGGTTGAGGCACTGATCAACCGTGAACCGCCGCTCAGGGTCCACTACCAGCATGGAATCAATGAGATCAACTACCAAAACATTAGCGTTATAGAGACCAACACATCGTCTCCTTTTCACTTACGTGCCGGGTCGCCAACTGAGTCCCAATAAGGCGAAGGGTAATCGAACCGACCGCTCTTGATTTGCTGTGACAATGTAAAAGGGAAGTCTTTGGAGTATAGTTCGTCTGAAAATGGTGGGAAGCCACACAGGCAGATATACAACACAACACCAAGAGACCAAATGTCAACGGCTTTGGTGTACTTCCGATGCCTACCCTCAGCTAAGATTTCCGGCGCCACATAGCTTGGTGTTCCGCACAGCGTCGTAGTAAATGACTCTTCACCAATAATCTTAGCGAGACCAAAATCGGCCAGCTTGACATGAAGGTCTTTATCAACCATCAGAATGTTTTCTGGTTTGATATCCCGATGAACAATGTTTCGATCGTGCTATGTCTCGTCAGCGCGCTATATAATCGGCCCACGTCCGCAATACTCACTAGGTATTTTATGCCCTGAAAAAGTTGTACGAAGAGTTTGCGTGTTTCATCTTCCGTGAGTTTCTGCTTCATGACAATGAAGTTGAACAGCTCGCCTTCTGGTGCTAGCTCAAGGACCAGATACACCGCGTTACGCTCGTTGAAAGTGTCCTTTAGGCAGAGCACATTGGGATGGCTGACGCCCATGAGAACAGCGATCTCCTGCTGCAAGCCCTCTTGCTTCGACCTTTCCTCCATACCTGCAGTCTTGGTGAAGATCTTAACGGCATACCTTTGACCGGTAGATTTCTCCACACACAGGAAGACTTCGGCAAAGTGGCCCTTGCCCAGCTTCTCTAATAGTGTATATTGTTGAAGGAACGCGCTCGTTTGCCGGCTCTTGGGGTATCGAAAAATAAAGCGGGCTTTGTCAAGTACGGCAATCTCATCCTGCTCCTGGAGCTCTCTCCTCTTGTTACGGCCTACGTTGGCTTCGTTGACGAATGTTCCGTTGCTCGACAGATCCTCTAGGATAGCTACGGTGTCGCCACCTTTGTTTTCAGTGAAAATCAAGCAGTGCCTGTTCGACACAACTGGGTCCTCAACAACAATGTCTGGATTTGGTCAGCGTCGTCCGCGCTCAATGCAGCCAAGAAGGGGGCCGTGAAGCTTACCGCACTCCGGATGACGGCCGATCAAGTAGCCACCCGAGGCAACCCCTTTCACCTTTGTACGCTCATAGGCCTCCTCTTCCTTCTTCAGCGGTGACTTTCCCTTCAGATTCGCGGGCCCAGCATCCTTGCCCTCAAGCTTATCTGGCATAGGGCAAGCGGCCCTCTTCTTCATGACCAAGCACTTGCCATACTTCGTATCGAGCGGAAACAAGTAACCCCACACGCCCTCCTTCACCTCGTCCTCAACCTCGTCAGAGAGAACATCCTTGTTGTCGGCCGGGTATTGGGAGAAGGCCTGGGTATCCTGAGGCGGGGAGGACAGGTTGTTGAGGGCTTGCGACTGCGAGCTGTCATCCTTGTCGCGGTGGTTAACCTGGCTAGGGCGTCCCTCAGGAGGTGTGGCAGTAGGCTCTTTGTAAATCTCGTCGGAGTCCCTCGTGACGGGCGAGGGAAGGTGTTGCTTGTGTGAAACCGGGGTCTTATCGACAGATAGCCTCTCAGAGCGACGGGGCTTCTTTGCATCCAGGTCTGATTCCGGCAGAGAACCCTTTGCCAGGGGAAGACGATTTAGGATCGCGCACCAAAAGGTCGGGCAGAACAAAAGACGACTCACTCTTTGACGTTTCAATTGGCTCTTTTCAGTACGAGGGGGGGCCATGGCCTCGGCTGTGGAAGAAAACTACGGCTTGTTTCGCCGGTCGTAGGTGGTAGTAGTGGTGGTCGGGAGGCAGCAGCAACGACGTAAGTGATTAATGGATCCCCAGGTAAGATGTGGCGATCGCTGTATGATGGGCCAAGCAACGGGTACAGAAACGGGCTTGTGCACAACAATATGGGGTATAATGTTTACGCGTGTGAAAATCGTAACTTGTATGATGGGGTGCGGGAGTGTTGCCTAAGGGAGAGCAGATGGCGAGGCTCTCATTAATAAACCAGAGTGCAAGAAAGGCAAGGCCAGACGGGGACTATGGTGTGTGTAGCCTGGAAATGGGGGAGCTATTGGGCCGGGAGTTCCAAGTGGAGAGGACCTGGGACCTTGGACCTGGACTGGACCTGGAAAGTATACTACTACTAGTAGAGTAGAGATGAGAGCACCAGCTGGCCTGGCGCAAGGCACTCTGGGCTGTTGCCGGCCTGTGCCTTTCACGCCTGGCACCGCCTGTCCTGCGCCCTGTGCGAGCTTGCCTGATCAGGATCCCCCCTGCTTTTCTGGAGGGGTGCCTCACCTGTGCTGTAGACTGGCGACGCGGCGTGCTGGGCTGAATTTCTCACCTCCACAGGCAGGCAGGGGGCTCTTCCCTTCCTCTCTCCGGATCGAGGGACCGTGCAAGAACAAGTGGGTCGCCGATGTGACTGCAGCGGAAAAGGTTGGAATTTGGGGGAGCTGCAGCCTAGAAATGCGGTCCATCGATCGTTTCGCCTCTTAAGCTTGACGTCTTTCGGGCTATCAGAGAGGAATCCAATATCTCGAGTGGCAAAAGAAACCTAGAATCTTACCAGGTGTCCCTCCAGTTGGCGCCGTTCTTCGCTAACGTGATGGTTACTTCGCGAAAATATTGACCCAGATCCTGTCAGCGAGTTTCCGAGGGCACCCTTGGCTGGAGGTGCACCAGGTCGACGTCCGCAGGTCGCAAGCTGGGAATGACGGCAGAAAGCTGCAAGGTCGATCCAGTCCTCGCAGTTTAGGGGTGGGGGGGAGAAGAAAAATAGAATAACAATGTTGCCGGGGAAGGATGGACGACTGATTTGGGCAGGGGGTACAGTATGCCTCCCTTTGGTCTCGCGATCGTGATGGCGTAGCAACTCAGGCATATTGCCTCGTGAGATGGTTTCTAGCCTTCATATGCTTCCCATCATTGCCATCCCTCAGCACCCGAACAAGTGTTAGAAGACTTGTTCATGTCTTGTGCCCATTCCATCTGCCTGACTAGCTACTTAGCGGACCACCCGGCCCAGACTGACAAGGATCGAGTAGTGAACAAATCTGGTCAGCCATCTGTATATATTCACTATCCAGACCCACCACTACCTTATTTGAGCATAACGAGGCCTGCTCCCTCACTGTAGTTCGAGAGGTTCAGGGTCGATAGTTCATGAAACGACTTATGCGAACTCCCGTGCTGTCATCTCGACTCGTGGTTCAAGACATGGCATCACGCGTCGCTTAGCGGCGAGCTCAACTGGTCCTGACTAAAAGCGAGAGGTAACCCCTCGCCCGTCACATGCAACCTCATTCTTTGCAAACCCCCATCTGCATATTCAGGGGGGGAGCGGCGAGGCCTCGCTTTCTGTGGGTATGACGCCAACCTCCAGGCGTGATTCACACCCGCCAAACCACGTGGATTGCTCACCTGTCGCCAAACAACCTGCGATGCTCCATCCCACGGGCGGATAGCTTACCTCTCCGCTCACCGACTCACCGAACCTATGTCACTCCCGCCCACACTTTGGCTCAAGTCGAAACAAGCCGATTTTAACCAGTCTGGTTTTTCATTCTGAATATACAGAATGCGTTGGTGTTCGTCATCTCATTACTATTACTATCCATACACACAGGCAAAGCTAACACATCAGCCATGTCAGTTTCTCCGACCCTCAGCCTCCAACCGCGGACTCCTCCAAAATGCCTGTTTCGCGGCAGGCATCTGTCGCCAAAGAATACAATACTACATGTGAGATATAACTTCTCTGATCCTCCTCCTTCTGTGCGATGATAAAAGTACTTTTTCCTGGTAGTGACAGTCAAGTACGCCGAACGGTTTCTTCACTTTCCCAGCCTGTGCCGACATAATATCATCTATCATCGCACTTTCAAAAGTCATAGACGTCTGTCGGAACTTGTTTCCCACCCGTAGAAGAAATGCGCCCGGCAGGGTACGCAAACGCAAGGCACATGTCAAAAAGTGCCAGCCGGTCGAGACAAGTAGGTTGCTACCTTTCCGGAATCGGACTCTTGGCTAAACGGCCTCCTGCGCTTACACGCTTCTGAAGACGTGCTTCCCTTTCCCGTTGAAACCTCTCATTGGGGCTCATACTGCCAGGTAGTGACCCGACAGTATCGTTCGAGAAACCGGTGTTTCGGCCTCTCTTCTCTTCAATATACAGTTGAGCGCTGCGGCTCAATGGGAATGCTGGCATCGTTGCAGGTATCTCCGCCCCGTTCTGTAAAAGCATCTCTGCCACTGGGAACGGTACCATCCTCTCAGCCTCTGATGGCTGCCCAGGAGTTGGTGAGGGAGACGCAGGATCTGCTGCCGCGAGCGCCAGGTAGACTGCGTGTGTTCCCCGCGAACGGTCTGTGACGTTCGGGCTCGCCTTGAGGGCCAAGGCGTAAATAACCTGCTGAATCTCATTTTTCTTGATAGCTGCTAGAAGGGTGTCTTCGGGGGTGGGGTAGCGTGAGAGTGTTGCTGAGATGGGCTCTACATATGCCCTATCCACGTACTTCGCTGTGATGAACTTTAAACGCTGCTCCCGTGTTGCTTGAGGTCCTGGCTTGATACCAGGTTCGAGCTTCGCCTCCCAAATCATATTTGATACTCTGTTTCCAACAAGTAGCAAGAGCTCGACGATATCGGGCGTGAAAGAGTTGATATCCAAGGTTAAAGATCGGACTTTGCTGATGTGTGTACCCAAAGAGCGATGGATGCCGCTGCACTCAATGCAAACAATGATTGCCAGGTTAATCGAAACCCACTCAACTTTAGTTCCCGATCCACAGTCCGCACACCAGCAGTTGCCCTGGTCATTGTCCCGAAGCAGTTGCAGCAGCTTGTCAGGGTTGTCGTCATAGCTCGAACTCGTAGATCGATGCGTGCTTGGTCGAGCGCCGACGGTTATTCGGCGTACAGGCGCACCGCTGTTGGAATGCGCGTGGTGGCTATTGTGTCCAACGGAAGGACTCTTGCCGGTCAGAATGGAACCAATGTCCTTCCGAATGGAACCGGAGTCGCTCGTAGACCCTGGGCCCGACCTATCCCTTGCAACGCGTCCCTCGACTGCACTTTGTAATGCATTGTTGATGGCCAAGATCCAGCTGTTCATATCTTCTTCGGAGGTGGCTTGGTAAACTCTCTTGTAATGTGGCGTGATGACTTCAAAGCAGAACCGACGTTCCGCATTGCGAGCCTCCCTGACAGATGCCATTCTCAAGTCGATTGGATCCATGTGAAGATCCAATTTTTGCTTCCAATTGCTGTACTCTGAAAGCTTACCCTGGTCGAGTACGATCCAGAACCTATCACAAATCAGCATGAGTGCAGCCATGCCGTTTCTGGGCAATACTTACTTGTGCCAGCCCTGCTTATTCAAGTTACGAGGGTCGACATGGTTGCCGGGTCTACTGAGAGACCATAGCAAGCCTTCTTTTCGTTGGGCACTGCTGGCACTTGCCAGGCCATAGTCTTTCTCCTCCAGATCACGAATGCCTTTGAATTTGGACGCTTGTGCAGGGCTTCCAACCGAGGAGTTGCCCAAGCTGCCCGGAGACCTTGACAACTCAGGTGACACCATGGCTACAGTGGTGTTAGAACCAGAGGTCAGTCCGACCTTCAGCTGAGAGCCTGTGCTGTCAGCGCGACCAAGGTCACTGTCGGAAACGTATGCGTTCCCATTGGGGCCTGCGACTTGGCCTGCGCTGGTGGTACTTGCTACCGGCACTGGCTCAGGCTCATTGTACGGCTGGTTGCCCTTTTCCAGTAGTCTTCGCTTCTCTTCTCGCTCGCGCCTCTGGTATTGATATTCTTTATCGGCTTCTTGCACCTCGTTGGACAATGCTTCCAACTGCGGCAACAGGACGTCGATCCTCTTGGCCGCTTCAAGGAAGGTCTTTGTCTGGGCATCAGCATATCTTGTAAGGTGGGAAAGGACTTCCTGCTCCTTGCGACCGCCGTGGAGATCTTGCATGAAGCTAGAATAATCGAATCGCTTAAGCTCGAAATTTCGGCGTTTCGTCTGATACTTAGAATCACTCTCCGCAAGCTTCTTAGCCTTCACTGAATCATGACGCTGACCGAGATATCGCGAAACGTAAGCGTAATAATCCTTGCTTTCCTCTTCAAAGTCTCGCTTCTTGGATTCGGCCTGCTTGATGTCCACCGTGTAAAACTTGTCCAGCGGATCAATCACGATTCGTTTCAAGTTGACCGTGTTTTGTCGCTCATAAGATAAAATCTCCCGTGCAATCTTGTCAAAATAATGCTCGATGGCTGGTTGAACAGCATTGGCGTTTGTGGAGGATGCTTCACGTAGTGTATCGATGAATTCCGAAAAGTTCTTGTTCGCCTCCAGCTGAGCTTCGTGCGCTTGTTTGGCCATCTTGAGCACACGCTTCATTTGTGTTCGCATGTTGCCTGTCTTTTGCTCCAGTGCTTTGATCGTCGCTCGAAAAACGGGCCCATCATCGGGAACAAGTACGTCGTCGGTCGGCTTGGGACACGCAACATCCACCTTTACGGGTTCCTGAGCTGGTGGCTGCTGCACGGGAAGCAGTGTGGAGGGCTGGTTACCCGGCAAGGGTGACGGAGGCTCCTCCAACTCAGCTTGACTGATTCGTGAATCAACGGACTGAGAAGACGCAACTCGGATCTTGGGAGGTGCGGCCAAGAGGAACGGAGGTGACGGCGAGTTAGGGTGGCTTAGCGGCAAGGCTGGATCTACAAGTTGTTAGTCGCAGGGCGCAGTTGAAAATGGAGGCTCATGAGAACTTACTAGAAACCCAGTACGAGAAGCTAGCCAGAGTGTGCAAACGGTGGGCTCTAGGATCATACTCGACAAACTGCCATGCAGGTTAGGGACTGTGACATACAGAGAAGATCTGGTGGTCAACATACGCTGCAGGAGTTTCTCCATCCACCTCCTCTATCTTCAACATTCTTTGGGGGTTTCCATTTCCAAGTCCACTCAAACGAAACTGAGGGAGTTCCCCCAGTTCCGAAATCTCCTACCAACTCGACGTTGGAGTTCTTGTGTAGATTCGGGTCTGCGTGAAACTCGCGAGTAACGAGGTTTTCAACCTCGCGTGGTGTAGAGGCATACACGTAGGTCAGCCCGCTGATTTGAGTGTCGACGTTGGCAACAGACTCGGTAGCGCCGCTGGTGACAAATTGCTGTCCTTGACGAATAATAAAGGTAAAGGTAAAGACCAGCTCGTCGTCGTGACTGAGCTTGAGAATAAAATTCGGGGCGCCGCCTGGGCTAGTAACGACTTCTGTGTCCTGCGAAGCGGTAGTCAGTGCATAGTGCCCAGGATGAAGCGAGAAAGTTGGCTTGGAAGCTGTCTGCAATCGCGCCAACGAACCTGGACAAATTCTATGGGACTGCTGTCACCCAGCGGTCGGGAAGCGGATACTCTGGTGGCAGGAAATGCATTGGGAACGATGTTTATAGAAGAACGCTTTCGCGGGTTTGATATGACGAGGGACGATATGGATACTGTGCAGAAGGGTTAGCGAAAAGCGGCTGCGATGCGCCTGGCTGCGTGCATGAATAGGCAGGCAGGCCAGGCGGGATGGAGAGGGTCTGTGGGAGATCGTACGTCGATTTTGGTCTCTAAGATAGAGAGTAGCCCCATCATCGGGCTTGCTACTGACGATGCCCATGCTGGATTGCTCACCGGGGGGCTAACGGCGCATCAAGGGGGAGGATGTTGAAGGTGCAGCTGCAAGAAGAGAGCCTCTCAAAATCGTGGGCGGGCTTCGCAGCGCGGGGTCGCAGTTTGCCCAGGATCGTGGACATCTGGCAGCGCAAGACAAGGGCAAGCCACACCCACGAGGAGCCGGTACGAGACTGTGGACTGGGCGGCCAGCTTTGAGACGCTGGAGGCGACAACGGCCTGAGCGGAGGGGCGAAATGCGACGAGGGCGGCGACGAATTCGGAAATGGGTAACGGGAGCTAAAATGACAATGACGGCGGAGTAGCGGTCATGAAAGAATAGAAGATGGAGAGCAAAAAGTCATGGGAGAATGCGAAGGTTGAATGTTGCGATATCAAAAGAGGAACTGGGCTGCGGCATGTCTGCCTCAGAGGCCTGCCGCTACTGCTTCTGGGTGCTACTGCTCCCCGCTCACATCGGATGGTCGTGGGTACCTTGGCCTCGGGCAACGACAAGTACGCCTTCTAGTACATGTACCTTGCAGCATCCACCCACACGCAGCTGGACAGGCACCTTGGAAGAGGTGTCAGGCTAGACTGGGGGGCAGGGCTAGGCTGGCACTCTGGTAATGGAGAAAGAAGGAGAGCTGGGTTCACAGTTGGCGCTGGATCTGGAGTGTCGAGTACTTGGCAAATGTGCGGATACAAATGCCACCTCGAGAGCAGGCCAGAAAGTAAAGATACCTTTTACGCAAAATGTCGCCGGATAAGGAACCTCCCCGTTGTGACGTTGAATCAAGCCCACTTCAAAGTCAAGGTTGGCAAAGACGAGATTGGCGCCGATTCATATTCATCCCGACCCTGGTCTTCTGGCCTCAAAATCCACTCACTCGCTCCTCCTTCCTCTGTCTTATCTGCACCGGTCCTGGCATCTAATCACTGGGGGTGATGTGTGAAATATACATATCCAGGGAGCAGGATGTTTTCGTTGCGCATGCTGGCGCAGGTGCATCAGCAGCGCATCAGGTTTGGGGAGGGGCAGCCTGTGGTTTGATGTCTGTATTCCGTAGTCGCACCCTACTTGTCGCCCGCCTTCCTTACCACCTTACCTAGAATTTGGTGGAATATCGCGACCTCAGTGGTCTCTCATTAGCGGCCTTGCGGTGGGGTCATCAGCGCAATGTACATCAACAGTGACCAAAGCGCATGGGATCACCACACCACCTGCCATGCGCATCCAAGGCTCCAGAGAAGGTGACTGGACGACGCCCCTCCGCCTTCTCTCCGCCCTCCATCGTTGCCCCTCCCAACTTTTGCAGCGTTGGGAGGGATGTGAAGCCAGATGTTCTCAAAGTGCACAATTCACCAATGTCGCCCTTGGACTGATATAGTTATCTAGCTCGCCCCGCCGCTTCTTTATGAAGTGGTTGTGAACCTTTGAGTTTGTTTGGTCGAATTTTAAACGGTATCGAGCCGAAAGCGAAGTATCACCAACTAACTTGCAACCACAAATATTCCAATAATACTTTCCCGTCGCATCGAGGAAGGGGGGAAAGGGGTTAGATGACGGCTGTGCATGACGAGGGTTTGGGAGGGGGGCTTTCCCAGTTAGTCAGGCTGGCGCAAAAGTCAATCGCTGATCTTTTCCGGGCCTCATCTCACAGAAGAGCCAGACTCACGCAGTCCATTGACCACCCTAATAAGTCGGGATCGGTGCTTGAGCCGTCTCTTCGCCATCTTGCACCTTTGTCCCTCCCTTACCTCTGAGTGGGCCAACATGAAATCAGCAGCCGCCCACGCGATTCGGGGAACCATCTACCGGTAACCGTTTCAGAATCACGCGTGCCTTTCTTGCTGCACCTGAAGGAGCTTCCGCACGTGAGAAATGGGCGACGATCCAATGGGGTTGGTAGTCCAATTCTGCGCAACCGCCGAGCAGGTGGACGCTTTACCTCTGTCAACCTGCCAGCTGTTGTTGGCATTTCTACGGTCCATCAGCCAGATGTTTGGCCAGCCGGCGGGTAACAACGTCTCTCTCCATGAACTCTATGTCGTGCAATTTCTCCAAGTGGCTCATTACGGCTCCGACACCCGCATTAAACCGTGTATGAAATAAACGATCAACCATGCAATCCCCAATTCCTCCTTCTCCAGCAAGGAAAACCCTTCGACCAGTTAAACATCACGGTAGAACTGTCTGCCGTTTGTATTACACCATGAAAGCAATTCAGGTGTCGCTGTTGTTGCTGCTGGTCTCTCATTTTGGATGTATCGTTGATCCGCCAATCTAGGCCCTTGTTTAGACATGGTTTGCATGGTGCTTCTTCTGCAGCTTGACTCAACAGCTGTGCATCGTGTGTCGCCTCAGCTGGTGTGCTCACAGCTTCACAGACTGCAGTTCAATATCAGTGCCAGCTCTTTATACTCAATACAATACGAGAGGTACTCGTGATACGATTTGTGACAATTGGTTGTCTAGACCAAAAAGAACCCGGTGGTAACCCTTTGAAACAAGCAACTTGGTGGACTAGGAAAGAAAAACTGCCGCTACATCAAGGACATGCGCGTTCAGACCGCTGATATCTGGTCCGGACGAACCACTGATTTGCTGGTGCGAGAGGCCACGGAGATAGCCTTGGGTCTCGGGCGATGTGGTGGAGAAGGAAGGAAACCACCCCCCTCCCCAACAGAAAATCAATAAAACAGCCAAACAAACAATGCGCGGAAACACACGATGCTGATCCTGTATCTCCGGAGGTGTTGTAAGCAATGTTGTTGGATGTAAGAGTCTGGTAGTGACTGAAGGCTTGAACACTGGTTTTGGATGAGTGGTTGCCCAAACCAGTCAACGTGCTTCTTGTAAGACAAGGCGATGGGATGTTGTAATTTAGGAGATGGGCTCGTGGTGGTTCCTCAGTGAAAACATCATCTTTGGTTGAAACATGGCTTCGAGGCTTGCGGTCAAGGAAATCCATCAGAAAAGCTGTGTTATGTATCCAAGGCCAAGGTGAAGCTTTGCCGCATTCCCTTAAGCTTTGTCGCATTGCACCTCACGGATCTGGTCTGCCAACTGTGGAATTGAACATGGACTTGTAACTACAGAGATGACGCTCTCGGGCATGCCCTACGCTCGAAAGAGAAGATCGTATTGTCAGGCCAGAGCTGCAGTAGCCTGTGGCCCGGCCCCCCTCCACTGTTCACGGGTCCCGTCAGGCATCATCGACACCCGATACGCATTTTCTCCCCTTCCTGACCTTACAGAAATACCTTAAACTGGGGCAGCTTAGCGCCGTGCAGGGCCGCAGGTACCACCGTGCCACCTTTTCCTGAAAAGTACAAGGGGTCCCGGCAGTCACCACAATCCCCTTTTCTGCCAATGACGTGTGTCACCTGCTGGCCAAACATCAACCCCAAACCTTCAGAGGGTCCCCAAGCGGTTGCTTGACCGAACAACACCACCGTCCACGGCCAGGTCCTCTTGTCCACTTCATTTGCATCCCACGGCCAGCTTAATTTTACATCTGTCTCCAAATTCTCCCTTTTTCACCGCCGATACTTTACGATCACAACAAAATAGACGACGACCACAAACAAGACGACTGCCCACTGCCCCCCTTTACCCCGTACATCTGGCCATTCTGCGCCGGTTCGAGAATGACTACTTCGACATAATCACTACCCATCAACGTCGTATACGTCCGATCTCCGACCCACTCGTTTCCGGACCTACTGCGACGATGTCATCCGCCTCTAGAAGTTCGTGGATGCCGAATCGTCGCTTGAATAGCAACCGACAAAGCACGAGAGCGAGAGGCTTCTCCAGGGGCAACGTCGTTGTCAGCCACGATGATGCATACACTTTTGCCCTGCGCGTAGCCTACCTCAACTACCTTCTGCAACCGAGACAGAAACGAAAGCAATATGTTTCCGCTCCAAAGCCCGCCCAGCGTTCCCACACGAGTGTCACTGAGCTAGTCGGCCAATTCGTCTCGGGCGGTTCCAATAGCATCAAGCTACCGCATGGGTTCCAAAAGCCACTTGAAAAGCGGATTAAGAATGTCCTTACAGGCAAGGAACCTATGCAGGGCTTCAACGATGCTGCTCTAAAGCGAAGTTTTGCGGAGGCATACACAGCGTTCACCGAGAAGAACTTCCAAAAATCTGTCGAGAAGGACCGGAAGCTAGAGCCATATGTCCTCATGTTCTACTCGTCTGCTACCAAGGCCAATCAGAAATATGCCGCTCTGACCTCGGCAACGGATGATTCGTGGAAGGAGGCGGCGGATAGACATATGGCCATGTTCATTCGCCTTGTGGCGCAAACCCTTCGTGATCAAGGACACGACCGAGACAGACCAGAGCTCATGAGCCGTTTGCACACGCTGGAGAATAAGTTACTTACTAGGGATCAGAACCTGTCCATCGATGCTAGCCAAGACGGAGGCAACACGATCGAGGTGGTTGTTCCCCTGAGTTATGATGTCAAGGACATGCCGCTGGTTCTGACAGTGGCCCGCATATTTGGTCGATCCAACTCCGAAGTGCAGGTTGACATCGATGCCAATCGCCAAATCTGGACCGAGGAGTCTGCGCTAAGGGATATCAAAGCATACCAGCAGCGACTTGCGTCCGATGCTCCTGGCGCCTTGAGAAGCGAGGACTTTGACCTTGAAGATGCCTTCCAAGAGTGGAAGAGGGCCGAGGCGCCACATCTCTCCCAAATCATTCTGGACATTTTAACCGTCAAACCAGAGCTGGCTAAGACATCATCAGGGGTCGACAAAGCACTGCCTGGACGACCAGTTTCTATGTTTACCGACGAACACGCGTTCTCCGAAATCAGCAAGGCAATTTCGAGTTCAGACGGCTCTAGTCTTGCCTTCGATAGCTCACTTGGTCTTGGTTCTCTTTCATTTGAAGATTCGAACCGCGGCTTTGACGAGGCCGTCTACACGTTTATCCCCACTGACGCAAGAGCGTTCTACAAGGCCATACTGCAAGTTTGCATGACGTACGATCAGCTGCATGCTGACCCGGCTGCAGAATGGAGTCCAATTTCCAAACAGTCCACAGATCTGCTTGTTGAGCTTTGCGTCTACTGGCGCATTCCCCAGTTCTCAAGGCTAGTTGCATTCGTCGAAGTGGCCGCTAAGAAGTTTCTCGACAGAGAAATTGGTGCGGATGAGCTATCGGTTGCCATGGAGTTCGTCAAGTCCTCTTCGCCCGAAGTAAAAAAGCCACCGCATCTACACCAGTACAATTTTGGTCTGGCCTCTATTGATCAAAGTCGTTGGACAGTGCATGATTTTGCCGTCTATCAACACACTCTACACGGGCTCTACGATGCTCTCCTGCGGGATCTCTATGACCTCATGATTCGCTGTTACGAGTCAAAGCCACCGCCGATTGTGTCGGTCATGACCCTTCTAGAGGAGCACATTCTGCAGGACCCTTCATTCTCTGCGAAGCCAGAACAAATTCAGGAGTTTGCCACTCATCTCACTGAGGGTTTGAAGCGTGCCGCCACCGAAGTCTACAACGCTTTCGTTCATGACAAACTCCCCAATCATGCTGCCGAATGGCAGTTTTCGCACGTCGTGGAGCTTGGTCGGGCAGTTACCAAGCTGTCTGATAAAATCCGGAAACGGTACAGGAATATTCCTGATATTATGGGAGTGAAACCATGGCAGGTTTTGGTTGAGCAAATGTTTCCTAGTTTTGAGCGGGATGCACAACACATCATCGAAAGGACCATTGCTGTAGCGAAGGAAAAGGGCGAAGAAATCAACATGCAGGACGGTTTCGATCTCTACAAGGAATTGGTCGGCTTGCGACAGACTCATCATGCGGCCCTACCTGACAAGCCGTTTGAGTTCCAGATCGAGGAACTTCTCGTGGATTTCGTTTGGAGATGGGTTCGAAACGCCGAAACTATGATGGTCGAATTCGTTGACAACGCCATAAAGCAGGACCCTTTCCAAGTCCGTACCCAGAGTCCTGAGGACATACCAACCGATGCTGAACGCCACAGTGTTTCAATCATTGACATGTTCATGTTCTTTAGGCAAACTACTGAACAAGTGTACCAGCTTGAATGGGACAGCGATGTCCATCATGCTAGATTCATGACGGCCCTTGCTCGTTCATTCGCAGCTGGTATTGGCCAATACTGTGAAGAGGTTGAGAAACGATTCGCCAAGGAAATGGATCGTCCGACGGCTCAAGAAGCCGCCGCAGCGAATAAGACCACCCAAGAAATGTTCAAGCAGTACGCTCAAATTGCACGAGACGCCTGGAATACCAAGGAAGCGCCTGAGCCTTTCCAATTTTACCCCGAGGTCTGTATTCTTGTATTACTCTTCTCCTTTGAACTTTTCCTGACATATTTTGTAGTCATTTGTCAAGCTCAACAATATCGAATATGCCATGCAAGAATTGGACAAGCTGGAAAAAAGCATGAATGTTGACGCATGTGCCGATGTTCTAAGAAGAGCAGAGGGTGTGAAACAGCAACCAAAGCGGCCCAACAAGTATGTCTTCACAATCAAGGTTGTGGAGGCCGAAGACCTGAAGGCATGCGATCCTGGTGGATACAGTGACCCCTATGTGGTACTTGGAGACGAATACCAGAAGCGGCTGTACAAGACTCGGATTGTGTATAAGAACCTGAACCCTCGATGGGATGAGTCGGTTGATATCACGGTTTCGGGCCCTCTCAATGTCATCGCTACCGTTTGGGACTACGACACATTCGGTGATCACGATTTCGTTGGTCGTACATCGTTGAAGCTTGACCCGATTCATTTCAGCGATTACTTGCCTCGAGAATATTGGCTTGATTTGGATACACAAGGCAGGGTTTTGTTGCGCGTGAGCATGGAGGGCGAGCGAGATGACATCCAGTTTTACTTTGGAAAGGCATTCAGGCATTTGAAACGGACGGAGAGAGACATGGTTCGCAAAATCACGGATAAGGTATGATGGTCGTTCTCTCTGAAACTGCATTCTGATAACTGAACCCCCCCTAGCTCCGGGCTCAAATTAGCGCCACAATCTCTCACGAAACACTACGAAGCCTTCTCAAGGGGAATGGTATCGGTTCTTCCGTAACGGCTCTGTGGAAAAAACGGTCTTCCTCGATGCCAGTCGTCACCACTGTTGGCGACATCGAGGGTGCGTTGCAGCCGCTATTCCATTACTTCGATCAAAACTTTGCCATCATGAAGCAGACTCTGACCGATGCTACGATGTTGGCGGTCATGACCCGTTTGTGGAAGGAGGTTCTGATGGCAATCGAGAATCTTTTGGTGCCTCCTCTATCCGAGAAGCCTTCCTCTCAGAGGCCGTTGACTCAAAAAGAATCGGACATTGTTTACAAGTGGCTTGAGATGCTATTTGAGTTCTTCAACGCCAAAGATGAAAGCGGCGAACAGCTGGGTGTACCTCAGGACGTTCTAAAATCGCCAAAGTGGCATGAGTTGGCCGCCTTGAACTTCTTTTACTTTGAAGACACGCAAAACCTCATCCGGGAGTCGGAAAGAATGGCGGCCGCCAACGCCCAGCGAGCACAGCAAATGCTCTTGCAAGAGAAACATGAGAACCGGCTATCCGCTCCGGCAACGTTCGGCCCAACTTTCAGCGGCGGCCCCGGTGCATTTGCTAGCATGGGCACCATCCGACGTGGCAAGTCCATCATGATGAGCCGAAACCTAGGTACGATGCGGAAGGCCAAGGAAGAGAAGCGTAAAGAGGCACAGGCAGACCCCAGCGATGATATGATCCTTCGCATCCTACGCATGAGGCCCGAGGCTGCTGGCTACCTCAGAGAAAGGCATCGTCAGAAGGAGCGGCAGGCCGCGGCCGCTGCCGCAGCACTGATTGTCAAGAACAGCGTTAACCAGGGATGGAATACGGGTGGCGCGGGTGCGTACGGCCGGAACAATCTGCCCCGCAGGTGAGCGGTTGATGAATTAGTCTTCTTTTCTTCTTGCTCGACTCCTTAGACCAGGTTGGCGTTGACTGCCTGATTCCCCCCTTTTCTTTTTTGTTTTCACATTTCTTCTGCGCGTGTTGCTTGTTCGCTGCGGGTGGAGGTGAGGAAAATTTCGATACCATTCAGGAGAAAAAACCTATCATTCGGGAGCAGCAGAATGAATGGGATGGGAGCATGACTACACATATGACGCAACAACGGCTTGTTATCTTTTTAACCAGATCTTTCGGTAGCGGTCAAAGGCATCACGACACAATGTAGATACCCTCGCTGCGTTTCTTAATCACCCCGGCCGGCGCCTTTGGTTTTCGGGAGATGTGTGTTGGGGGTTTCTGCCTTCTCTAATTGGGCTTAGATTGCAGCTGGTAGTAGCCGAGAGAAATAAATCATTAATGCAGTGTTAACAGCGCTAATTTTCCACCGTTGATTACATATGTTTTCGACGTTCTAGACTTGTCGACACAGGACCACCGCTCTGGCGCCGAGAGAAACGATGACCAAAGCCAATGCCCAGCGTTCCATGTTTCATCTTCACCAAAGAGGCGTCTGTCCGTAGGCCCTTTGTCGCCGAAGTTTGGCCATGGAGTAGACACCCAGCTTATTGCATGTCTTTTGTCTTCGTCGCAGTTGGAACAGTATGGTTCTATGCTACGTGGAGGAGTCGACACTGCTGTGATGACCAACTATTGCTTGAGCCTGCAGAAGATTCGGGGCTTCACGCCTTCAATTCACTGACGGTGGGTGTTGCGAAGGTACTATTATGTTACGAAGGAGAGATGAGGATTCTCGTGGCCTTGCGTTCATCCAGGCTCTTCTGGCTTCGAATCATCTGAGCATAGCGATCTAGATCAAAGTTTCTACAGTCAGGGTTGAGAGCTTCCATATTTAGGAACAAGCCGCTGTATATCAACTCAGCCCTATTCAGAAATGGTACCGACCCCGCCAGACGACCCCTTGCTACTGGCGTCATTCAAGAACATTTAGGCTTATACTAACAACAACTGCTGCTTGATGCTGATATAGCCAGGCTGTCCTGCCTCAAAGGGCAAGATTCCTGGCCCAAGGCACTCTGCAGGAAACAGGGCTGATACCATCACTCGATATCTTAACTCTGACTGGTGCCATAGCCGGCCCCTTACCCTCGTTGTAGGGATGTTGTTCAACATGTTAGATGACGCCTGATTGGTTGCAACAAATGGCCAGTCAGCCAGGCAATGGCTAAGGGAGTGTCACATCGTTCGTCGGCGATTACACGACGTAAGTTGGTCGGATGAGGTCACATTGTAAATGCTAGCTATAGCAAAGCATTCCAGCATCCGTTGCAGTGCTGTGAAAGTCTTCTATTAACTGAAGTAGATTAGCGCGCCGTTGCTTCGGTGGTTAGTTGCAAACCCTAGAAACGTCATCGTACCGCTATACGTTCTGCGCACCCTTCGTGCTCAGTTATCACCAACTTGACATGACGCCCTGCTTCACATGAGCCAACGTACAACGTACCGAGATACCACCCCAAGTTGATGTCACCGTCACGCCCGAGCAGTCGTAAAACAATGACCACAGCACTCGAATGGTTGGTGTTTTTTTTTTTTTTTCAAGTATATGTTACTCTCCGGTTTCGTCTCGTGAGACTACTCCGGAGTATGAAATAAACGAACTACTTCTTCCTGTTGCCGAACAACGTCGATGGATATCGACTGCTGTGAATGACTCCACGTTCATTCCTACCTCACCGGCGGCACCTACGAAGAGACTGTAGACAGGGACGTTGCTGTGCAACTGTCTTCCAACGGCTTGCCTGTACCGTGGCGAACTCAATTCTTGCATAACCAACAAGTCGTATCCTCGTCCTTGATATGTACACTGTCGTAGCATCGTGGCTTCCTGCCTTTGGTAAATGCCCCTATTTACGAGTGCGACACCATCAAATACGACGACTAAAAGACGTATCATCGCATCCAGCTAAACAATCGTCACAGCTCCTACCGCAAATACGTGGGTTATCGTTTTGGCACTGACCTAACTTTGGAATACACCCTTGCTGTACACCTTGAAACTATGAAGGAAGCACATGAAAAAAAAGGTACATTATCGGAGGATCATTTTCAACATGCCGCCGAGGAGGCTTACGAAAGGTTCCTGACTAACTCCACTTTACAGTCTTTGGCGGTCGTCAATGTAGGGTTTTGACAGCGGGTTGGTGTTCAAGGAGACGCGGGGTCGACCGGCAAATGATACTGGCTTCGGCGAGAGCGGTCTAGATAATGGGGTCGTAAACCAAAAAAAGAAAAATTAAAAAAAAAAAAAAGCATAGTGTGGTCAAGTGAAGACATCGTGAAGCTCAACTACCAACGCGATCTCAGCCAAACCACAAGCCGTACACATGTGAAAAGGGCCACACGTCACCAACTCAAAATGCGGCGTGACCGCATCGTAACTTTCAGACCGAAGCCCATCAGAGTAAGATATTACGATCGACCTGCGCGGGGCTGCCGGGACGAGGTACAGGGGCAGTGGACGAAGCTCTCTACATGGTATGCCACCTAACCTGCAAACCTGGCTTGAAAGCCTGGACCCTGGGTGAGTTGGGAATGCCTGGCCAGTAGGGAACTAAAGAGAAAGTAAAAAAAGAGTCTGTTGTGTTAGAGATATATTTTCACCAATCGCAGCTGGAAGCTTCCTTTGTCATGAGCTCATTGTTCTATGACGTTGTCCGAGGGAGATAGTCGGGACAGCAGAGCGATAGCCCACGGTTTGCATCAAGAGCCATAGTTTGACGGGTGGTCTGGGAGTGGATCGGATTGGGTTCGACATCTGGGATGATCCCCTGTGCTTGGGCCTCGAGGTAGCAATTGCGTGAAAGCATAAGTATAGAAGATTGAAGCTTTATCACCAACGCATTGAATCTACGCCTGAGGTTTGGAGGAGAGGTCGTCTCAGACTCAGGGACTGTAGAAACGGACGAGCGTCCGTAATAATAGCAGAGTTATGAGCAGTCCGTCCGGCATGGACCCCACTGTTCCTGATTGTCTGTCTCCCCTAGTTGGCGAGTGATGTCAACGGCAGCGTCGCGATCGACAAGAGCTTGACTCGGATGGCGCTGTCGAGCTCTTCAGAGCCACTGTCCGTCACTCGACAGCGACACATAGCTTCCCCATCTTTACCAAATCAGGTAGAAGGTAATGGACTCTAACGTTGCATCGCCCTCTGCGTCCTGAAACCTCAGAATCCACGTGTGATAATACCCAAGTTGAGAACCCACAGACTGCCGATTTGACGCTTAAATTTGACGGGACGGAGAAGTCTAGCCTTGGTCAGAAGCCGGCCGTTCATGCCAGCTCATGAAAGCCACAATAGTTCCGAGGGACGTCCGATGTGCTCCGGCCGAGGAACCCGTAGGCTCAACCAATGAACCTGCCAAGAGAGTACACAGAGACCGCCGCAGCTTTGTTAAGGCATGTGGATCTGAGGCTCGAACCTCACAGTAGGTAGTACCACTCGACTGCTTGGCCCATAGTTACGGGACGATAGGCTGGGTAGCGTGACATTTTGCTCCAGACGATTTCACGAGCAGTTACTGTTGTACTAACCCTGGGCATTTAGGGGACCCTTCAAAGTGGCGACAGATGCGACGAAGTTCCGACACACCAATAGGAGGCCAACATGCCTTGAACCCCCCAACCGGTAAACGCCGACACGATGGGAGACCCAGGATGCACAGTGAAGCGGTGACCGGCAGGCATGGGCCTAGTGGGCGTGGGTTGTAGTGGCAAGTGTGCCGAGACCCCCGACCTAATTCCATAGTTCTTCGCCATACACTGGACAAAGACAAGCAGGGGGCGAAGACATATATGTACATGATCTAGCGAAGAGTCTACACAAGTCCTAGCGGGAAAAGATAGAAAAATGATGATCCTGTTTCGTAGTGTGGTCTACGGAGAGGCCGCTCACCAAAACCGTGTAGCACCATCTTGTGCTAGGTTCCATATTATTTTTTTCTTCGATTGCTGGAGACCTGACCTGGGCGGGAGTCGGCTTTCCAAGTACACCAAGATAGTTATGTCGAGAGCGAAATGTATGAAGCAGCTGCGAGGCGGCTACTCCAGGGGAGTTGCGGCTTGGCGGACGGCTATTGCGGAGGTGATCCCACCCCTGATCTCGCGACTCACGAACTCAGAGGCATTGGCCAAAGCACCGATACGAGTCAATCGCTGCTGCAGGGTCCTCCGTAGGAGACAGAAATTTGATATTTTGGTGAGCCCAATAGTCCGGCATCGTGTTACCCCAACTTGAGTTCCAGCAATTTACTGTCATGCACTGCGGAGACAATGTCCGGGCGACAGGTCTGCTACTTGAAGCCTGCCATGTGGCCTGAACGGCGCCCCAAAGTGAACCTTCCAAGAAACACCTGACAAAGATTGGAGCGACTTTTGCAAAGGCAGCTTCTATCTTTATCGTCGCAACCGACACCCAGAAGAGATGTCGTTCCAGTTGTGAAGCTGACGCACCCCATTTGAGAAACCGTGGCGTTGACAATGTCACCTGCAAGCGCGGCCCGATATCGTCGATCAATATCTGAAGCACAGGCAAGATGGCAGTGCTTTGTTCGTCGGATCAGATTGTATGAGATAAATTTGCATGAAAGTGAACTGCGTTCATACTACGGTTTTCACGGTATTCCCTTGTGCTATCGCGTTCGTCGAACCGAATTTGCGCTTAGCGGTATACAGCAGCTCATTTAGCCTCTCATTTTATGCTGTACTGAACAACATGCAGGGAACTCTTCTGAGACAGGAGTTGGCTTGCTGCTCAGTTTCAGTGCTAAGTGACAGATGACGGATAGCGCTTGTCTTGGGTAGAGGCTTGCAGAAGCAGGTGAAGCGCCAGGCCTTGACGGAGGCACATCCGCACTGACTTCTCATCAGCCACCCCATAAAGATGCGATGTGAGCAATTAGATTGCATTAGCTTTCAAGGGAAGCGATGAAGTAGGGGTCCCCGACTGAGCTACCAAGAAAGTCTATCTGGTCGGCGCGCGCGGTGGCAAGGAGTATCAAAATAGGGGTTATGGCCCAGGCGCTTTTCAGCCTCTTTCTCATTCAATTTTTGAAGGCTGACTTTGACGGGTGGTCCAAAAGCGGGAGCGGGTTGTGGCGATGGGACGGTCTCTGAAGTTCCAGACTGAACTGGGCCAAGTCGATAAATTACGAGAGGGTGTCAGGTTCGGGGGACTGTGAACGATAATCTCAGGGAGATACCGACCTAGACTACTGGCATCGACCTCGTTCCGACGGGAATGGTCTACCGGTACCTTCCAACCGGTGGCCGTGAATAGGAGGATCCTTGGGCACCGGCGACGGCCGACTCAACTGATTACTTTTGGGACAGAGCGGTGTAGTGGCTCAGGGTCGAATTAGATTAGAGACGCTGAGGACCACAGTGACGTGGGTGGCTTGGGCATCTAAGGCGATGTGTATTTTGTGTCATGGTTCAGATCTATGATCGGAAGTAGGATATTGGGCTGTCAAAGCTCGCTAGACTGTCTGGTTTTATTTCTCTTGTTTTGCTCGGGCCAAACCAGCTATTGATCAAGTCTAGGTCCTGTAGGAGCGTTCCTGGGGAAATGTGGCCTACTCAGCGAGGGGAGGGAAGGCAGATAGGTAGGGCATGAGAGACGCCATTGGGCCGACAACGATGGGGTGCCAGCTGAACGGTTGACACGAAAGGATGAGCGACGCGAGGGCCTTGAAACGCGCGAAAGAGGCCATGCGTGACGATCATAGGACGATGATTCGGCTTTCGTCTTTTTTAACAAGTGCAAACCTTGAAGGTGACCCTGACGATCGGATGCAAGCCGAGTTTTCTGGTGAGATGTACGGGTGCGTGCCATTGACTCAGGTTATTCGTACTGCTCGTACTGCGTCGTCCATGTACGTATTGGCCGTAGCAGGAGTTGCCGGTCTGCCAGAAACCAGAGTCGAGCTACGGGCAGGCAGGTTGCCGGCCACTTGCTAAGGGGCAGCGGTAGCGGCGCAAGTGTATTTTTCAAGGGGGGCAGTTAGCAACGGAAGGAAGGGGAGGAAAAGGAAATAATTGAGTGGTTCATGCCCTTTTTGGTTTTGGGGTACATAGTAGGAGCTGGTAGGAGCGGAGGGGGGAAGGGGTCAGGACGAGACCCAGATCGATCCTGGCGTCTGCCTCACAAAACTCACCTTCGCCCCTCAGGCTTTTTGCTTTTGCTTTTCAGAAGCCCACCGCGTGCCATTGGAGAGACGGTGACTGTGCGGAAGTCAGCCCGCTTTGGGAGCTGCATACTGTGCCGCTACTTCGCTTCGTTTAATTCCAGGATGCGTCGCTGAGAAAATCCATCGATTCAGTACCGACACGGACGACCGTCAAATAGCAGCTTCGGTCTACTCCCGACTGGTTGTCCTTGGAGGAGTAACAGCTATTGCAGGCAGACATTCATTGATTCATTTATCCAGTTTAGTCTGAGCCTTGTAGGAGTATTGCCCTTCGCAATATCCCAGCTTGCAGTTGCATAGATCTCGATCCTCCTCGTCATGTGCAAAATCTGGAACCAGTTCCCACTGCTTGTAAACAGCCCAGTATAGAAAGGAAGCATGGATGGTCCGGAAGTGCGAGAAGGGCAACCAGGCAAGGTGAGTCCTTGGTGCACCATGTGATAGCCCAGCGCAGGGTTTGCCGTTTGGCTATCTGGACGGACGGCAACCTGGAACATCTGGAGCTCAGCGGAGGTGTGTCGCACGTCGCCGCTTAGTGCAGCGGTATGGCGGTGCAGTGGTGGAGTTGGAGCGAATGCAACACAACGAGACTGGATGGAAGGCCGCACTATGGATGGGGGCCGCCAGGAGCCTCCCGCGGTCATCAGCCTGGGAATGCTACCCTGCCTGGCTTCCGCCGTCGTTGCTAATCGATATTTCTGGAATCGTTGGTCCTTCTTCTTGCTCAACATGTTCAAATGTAAGACGACAAAGCCCCGCTGCACCAAGGCTATTATTCTGTTCTCGAGCCTCAAAAGCAGCCAGCAGGCGCGAAAACCCCTTTTCTCAAAGAAGAAGGGGTAAAAAAAAAATACTAGCAAAAAGTAACTCCACAGTAAGAAAATGCGTTGGTTTTCCCCACACCGATGCAAGAGAAAACGGTTCAGTTCCACACACTAGGCTGCCTCGGGGACTCTCCTGCAAGTACCCAAGACGCCACACGGTAGACATATCAACACATGCGCTGACAGACTGGGATATCAGTACATGTGGTGCCACCCCTGCCTGGTCGTCTGAGGTATTGTTAGCGCTGGACTTTCCGACGAGAAGCGAGCTGCCTCAGCCTACCTGTCATTAGGTTGGACAGGAGTTGACTGGCCCTGAGGATGAACGATATTTTAGGCCGGCAAGCCATTTAGGTCAGTGGCAACGGGCCGACATGTCTTAATTAGGAGAGCTTAGGTGGTCAAACTCGCCAAACAGGGAGTGGACTGGCTTAACGGCCTGCACTAGATCTCCGCATTCATTCTTGACGAGTACTTGGGGCGTAAGGACAGGAAAGAGGAGCCAGGAGAGGACAGGCCGTTTTTAGGGGAGGTGGCTCTCGGTTTGACAAGCAGTATATACTCCGTTCCTTGCCGTCCAAGTGGATCAGGCCAGTAAAAAACTATAGGTTCCATGTGAGGACGAGCATACCTTCCTTTCCCACAATGACGGTTAGCTTAGTACCCTCAGGTACCTTATCCTCAGTCGCGACACCAGAAAACTCGGGGCAAGTGAGGCTTGGAGGAGGGGCACAACAGCAAGAGTGAACCAATGCCATACACCAATAAGACTAGTCGCCCGGGAGAAGCACACAGGAGACCGCTAATAGCCCCTTCCGGGCGTCGACGCTTGTGCTCCGTTAGGAAAGAACAACGATCGATCACCATTCGTATTCCATGTCGCCGCGGGTGAAGAGCGGCTTGTTGTACACTACCCTAGAGGTTGAGAGGTGAGCGGCTTCTTCGCCCCCCTTGACAGACGCTGTATCCACTCGATCTGGTCTTATTCGCTGAAGTATCCTGGGGCTTCGTTCGACTCAGAAAGTACTCTCGACCGCACATTTGGCTCGGAAGATACACGCAAGGCTGGACCGAATTGTACTAGCGTCGCTCGCTCCATTGGCAAATGGGTACGCAGAGCAGGTACTTGATGTACCTACCTGCAAAGGCAGACCTGGTTGGATGGCGTCTCGGGTAGCCAGCTGAGGTATACATACAGACACCTGTACATATTTTGTATATTGTGGCAGGGTACTATGTACAGTACAGCCCTTTGTGCTCAGAACCCCACTTTTACGACATATCCAACCAGAAGCAGCACCAAAGAATTAAGCCAACACTGCTGCTACACCTGCACCATTTCTGAGGTTCGCCTCGTCGAACCAATCCTCTCCACCTCCCACAAGCACCCCTTCGCCATCCCACCCCAATCCCTACATCCGCCCTCCTCCCCATCTACTGTGGTATCCGTTTAGCCCCCTGTTACGTCTTGTTCCGCCTTATCTCCTCTCTTCTCCAGTGCTGTGGTCCTTCTCTCGCTTTGGCTTTGCGACCTCTAGCAGCTGCTCGTCCTATCCGCCTGACCATTCTTGGGGCGTGTCTTCTCGCTATTTGCTCGCCTCATTGCTTTTTACCGTCTTTCTTTGCCATATACTGACAAACCCACCTACAACATCTCCTTTCCTCCTACCCTCCCACTCCCCTCCCAGACGTACCTCACCGCCCAAGAGAGCGTTATCGTCCTTGACGCTTTGAACGCCTCGAATCGACGAGATTCGGGCGGGTAGAAAGACTCTGCCTTCTTATCTTGCGTTCCGTTGTTTTATTCACTTTGGTTCCAGGCCCTGACCAAGCTAAATATGCTGCCGGTTGATCACGACTTTTCGTAAATCTCTACCGACCCGTTTCCTTCCCAACTAGTCGTCCAGCCTTGGGCTTTCTCCCTTGGGCCACAAATCATCTCCACGACAACGTTACAAGCCTGTAACCCTCGAAAAATCCAGGATGGTTGACGATTCAGCTTTGGCCGCTGCGGCGGCCATAGTACAATCCCTTGCCGCCGATGGTACGACACCGATGTCCCTTCCATTCAAGGCCGACGCGCGAATCGAGCTTCCCGGCCGTGATACTCCGGCAAAGCGAAGCCTTGAGGCTGAGCTGGCCAAACTTGCCCAGAGAATTGAGAAACTTGAGAACAGAGCTCACGCCTCCGTCGCCTTCCCCGAAACTCCCAACGAGGTACATGATTCCCTCTTTGGTGACGACTCCGATGCAACGTCGCCATCATCATCAAATAGCCGCCCTATTCCTAGGCCAAAGTTCCAACGCGAAGGTACCGCCACAGACGACCCAAGCCTCGCAGGCAGCCCGCTGACTGACGAAGCCTTGGAAAGCTTGCAAGAGAAGGTCCTTGACCAGGAGAAGGGCATTTCTAGCGCGAGACAGGAAATCAGCAGTGTTAGCGCCCAGCTTCTTGAGCAGAAGGAACTGCAGGAGCAAGCCTTCTTCAAGATCGAACAAGAAAGAGTCGCTACTTTGGAACGCGAATTATGGAAACACCAAAAGGCGAACGAAGCCTTCCAAAAGGCTCTACGGGAAATCGGTGAGATCGTAACTGCTGTCGCGCGCGGAGACCTGTCAAAGAAAGTTCGTATGAACACAGTCGAAATGGACCCGGAAATCACGACCTTTAAACGGACAATCAACACCATGATGGATCAGCTGCAGGTATTCTCAAGCGAAGTTTCCCGCGTCGCCCGAGAAGTCGGAACCGAGGGTCTGCTTGGCGGTCAAGCTCGCATTGAAGGTGTTGACGGTACATGGAAAGAACTGACAGACAACGGTACGCTTAAGTCACGGCATCAGCCCTGTTCCTCGTAGCTGACCATCTTCACAGTAAACGTGATGGCCCAAAATCTCACGGACCAAGGTAAGTCTTCTTAACAGATTTGTTCATCTCGAAGCATACTTATAGCGCAACTTAGTGCGCGAAATCGCATCGGTAACAACGGCTGTCGCCCACGGTGACCTGACCAAAAAGATTGAACGTCCCGCCCGGGGCGAAATTTTGCAACTTCAACAGACGATTAACACCATGGTGGACCAACTCCGAACATTTGCCTCTGAAGTAACTCGTGTCGCCCGCGATGTTGGAACCGAGGGTATCCTTGGCGGTCAAGCCGATGTTGAAGGTGTCAAGGGCATGTGGAATGAGTTAACAGTCAATGTCAATGCCATGGCGAACAATTTAACGACACAAGTGCGAGATATTATCAAGGTGACGACTGCCGTTGCTAAGGGAGATCTCACACAAAAAGTACAAGCGGATTGCAGGGGCGAGATTTTCGATTTGAAATCCACAATCAACTCTATGGTCAACCAACTTCAACAGTTCGCTCGGGAAGTTACGAAGATCGCCAGGGAGGTCGGTACCGAAGGTCGGCTTGGCGGTCAAGCCACAGTTCACGACGTCGAGGGAACATGGAGGGACCTTACAGAGAACGTCAATGGCATGGCCATGAATCTGACAACGCAAGTGCGTGCCATTGCCAAGGTGACAACCGCTGTGGCCAATGGTGACCTCACTGAGAAGATCAGAGTACCCGTGCGTGGTGAGATTCTCGATCTCAAGAACACTATCAACACCATGGTTGACCGACTGGGAACTTTTGCCTTTGAGGTCAGCAAAGTTGCGAGGGAAGTCGGTACTGACGGAACACTCGGCGGACAAGCCCAGGTCGACAATGTGGAAGGCAAATGGAAAGATCTCACCGAAAATGTCAACACGATGGCATCCAATCTCACGTTACAAGTCCGAAGCATCTCAACCGTTACACAGGCTATTGCCAATGGCGACATGAGTCAAAAGATTGAAGTCGAGGCCCAAGGAGAAATCCGGGTCCTCAAGGAAACCATAAACAACATGGTTGATAGGCTATCCAACTTCTGTAACGAGGTCCAGAGAGTGGCCAGAGATGTCGGCGTCGACGGCAAGATGGGCGCCCAAGCAGACCCAGCCGGCTTAAAGGGTCGCTGGCGTGAGATTACTACGGATGTCAATACTATGGCCAGCAATCTAGTGAGTACCTAATTTACACCGTGCCCAAAGGACATGAAGATGGCTAACATGATTGTAGACCACCCAAGTACGCGCGTTTTCTGACATAACCAACTTGGCCACAGACGGTGACTTCACGAAATTAGTCGAAGTGGAAGCATCTGGCGAAATGGACGAGCTCAAACGCAAGATCAATCAGATGGTGTCCAACTTAAGGGATAGTATTCAGAGGAACACACAGGCTCGTGAAGCAGCCGAGCTGGCCAACAAGACGAAGTCAGAATTCTTGGCAAACATGTCTCACGAAATCCGCACACCAATGAACGGCATCATCGGCATGACGCAGCTCACCTTAGACACAGATTTGACACAGTACCAGCGAGAAATGTTGAACATTGTCAACAGTCTTGCCAATAGCCTACTGACGATTATCGATGATATTTTAGATCTGTCCAAGATCGAGGCTCGAAGAATGGTTATTGAGGAAATTCCCTACACTCTACGTGGAACAGTCTTCAACGCTCTCAAGACCCTTGCTGTTAAGGCAAACGAGAAATTCCTTGATCTTACCTACCGAGTCGACAGTTCCGTGCCAGATCATGTTATCGGAGATTCGTTCCGTCTTAGGCAGATTATCCTGAACCTGGTTGGCAACGCCATCAAGTTCACCGAACATGGCGAGGTCAGCCTGACGATTAAAAAGGCTGACCCGGTGGTCTGGCGGTGCAACCCTGATCAGTACGCCATCGAGTTTGTCGTTACCGACACGGGCATCGGCATTGCGGCCGACAAGCTTGACCTCATTTTTGATACGTTCCAGCAAGCAGACGGATCTATGACCCGAAAATTCGGTGGTACTGGACTCGGCTTGTCTATTTCGAAGCGTCTTGTTAAGCTCATGGGCGGTGACTTGTGGGTTAAAAGCCAACACGGTCAGGGCAGTGAGTTTCATTTCACGTGTCGTGTTCGTCTATCGGATCTCGGGGTCGAATCCATCGAGAAGCAGATCAAGCCGTACAAGGGCCATCAAGTCCTCTTCGTCGACAAGGCACAAACCTCTTATGGCCCTCAAATCCGAGAGATGCTCGAAAAGATCAGCTTGCAGCCCGTTGTGGTTCAGTCAGAGAAGGATCCTTTGCTCACTGGAGTTCGGGACGCCCAAGCGATGCCATACGACGTTATCATCGTCGACTCAATCGATACGGCCAGGCGGCTTAGATCGGTGGACGACTTTAAGTACCTACCTATTGTTCTTCTGGCGCCGGTTGTCCACGTCAATCTCAAGTCTTGCTTGGACTTGGGTATCACGTCTTACATGACGACTCCTTGCACAGCTGTCGACCTGGGCAACGGCATGATACCAGCTCTGGAGAATAGAGCAACTCCGTCACTTGCTGACAACACCAAGTCTTTTGATATTTTACTCGCAGAGGATAATCGTGTTAACCAAAGACTTGCTGTCAAAATTCTTGAGAAATACCATCATGTGGTCACTGTGGTCGGCAATGGTCTTGAAGCTGTTGAAGCAATTAAGCGGAGGAAGTTTGACGTCATCCTTATGGATGTACAGATGCCTATCATGGTAAGTCCCGGGATTTCTATTACTAGTCTATCTTGATTTCGAGCTAATCCCACCCGGCAGGGCGGCTTTGAGGCAACTGGCAAGATTCGTGAGTACGAGCGAAGCCTTGGCACGCATCGTACTCCTATCATTGCTTTGACAGCCCACGCCATGATGGGTGATCGTGAGAAGTGTATTCAGGCTCAGATGGACGAGTATTTGTCCAAACCCCTGCAGCAGAACCATCTCATCCAGACAATCCTCAAGTGTGCGACCCTCGGGGGCCAACTGCTAGAGAAAAACAGAGAGAGGGATTTGGCTCAGCAGTCTAGGGTCAAGGCCAGCGGCAACGAACAGTCTCAGTCTCATCTACGCCCGCCCTTGGAGACCCGAGCTTTTACATCTAAAGAACCACTGATGGGACCCAGCCTGGCTAGCCCAGCATTGGTTACAGCGGATCAGGAGGATCCTATTTCAAGGGCACGTAACGGCCTTTCCGACTCGCGCAGCCTAACAAGCTAACTTGGTTTCTTGTTCGCGCGCGTAGCTGCTGCTGAGATCACATAGTTCCTAACTGGGATGTGCAGGGACAGGCTCAGAAAAAACGCAAGTGGCGAACCGAGTAAACAAAACGAGTGAAATCGTTTTTCGACGAAATACCCAAGAAAGATAAAGAGCATTGGTGGATGGGTACAGCACATGGACGCCGCCGCGTCTCCGTTTTATCCGACATCTCTCACTATTTACGCGCGGCACTACTCCTTCAAGCGGCAGAACGCATTTCCAGACAAAGAAGCACTTTCTTCGAGTTTCGCTATAAACAGGTGTGCATGGTGTTGAAGCGCACATGGGGCGGACAGCTTTATCGGGAGCTGGGTACGCTAAATTTCAACATGGGTATGCACACAGGGAACATTGGGGGTCCAGGAGGTCGTTGGGAGTTTCATCTTATTGTGTTTTATCAGAGGGGCAAGGACAGGCGTCACATTGTCCGCATTCTTCACCTTTTCGTTAACTTTCTATTGTAGTTTTACTATTAGTACTGGGGTGGACAGAGGGTGTCCTGAGGCCAAGTGGGTGTTGGTCTACTGCCACATTCGGTTTCTTCCTGCATATGCCCTTAAAACGAGGATATGGATCATGGGCTGGTGAGCATATAGCCTGTGTTACACCCGTCTACAGGGACGTGTTAGTGGAGAGAGATTGGGAGAGTGTCTGTTCTTCTGAACGGGTACTGACAGGCTCACAGGAGGGGAAGACGGGTTTTGTTTTTTACTTGAACCAGGTTACCAGCAACAAAGGCGTCAGATAGGTTGTGCAGGGGGATAAAGACTACACACTACATTGATATCAAAGAAATCATGCCGCCCTACGGAGAGGCTGGATCCCTGAACTTATTTTAAGTCCAAATCTGTCCCTCTGCTCTACCAGTGAAGCAAAGTAACTTTGTGCGTGACATGGCGAAGACCAGTGCCTGATGGCTAATCGCTTCCTTCAAACCTCATCAACTTCGGCAGGCGGTGTCAGTTTAATAAGGGAATATTGTTGGCCTTTCAACTGATTGGATAAAGGAACAGATTATATGTTTCGCCGATCTTGACGCGTAGATTTTCGAGACTATTACGCCGCCGCCCGAGAGTCTTGATACATTTACAACATCCCAATCAGACGGCAGCACGATACTTGATCGAGTGGAAGTCTCGAGCCTAGGGGAGGTCGTATAGGAAGGAGGAGATGGAAGTCAACCTCAGCAGTGTATAGATTGCATGAGGATGATCATCGGGTCGCTTGCTCCCTCGTCAAGGCTACTCAGTCCACAATCTAAACCACAGCCCCCCCTATCCAGTGAGCCCGCTTGCAGTGTCACAGTCTTGTCCATACAATCATTAAGAGGCGTTTGAAAATTCCACCGCGGCCGTTACAGTTACAGGTTGCCACATCTCTGGTACTGAACACGTTGCTGAAGAACATGTACTAAATGCAGCGTCGCAAGTCGACAGATCCCGCCACCGGGGGCTGGTCAGTCAGCCAGCCAGCAGGTCAACAATCAAATACGAGATTGATCACATCGCATTGCAAACTTCTCAGCTCCTCAACATGTTTTGTGGTTTTGAAACTGCATTGCATCTGCATGTCAGGTATAGCAAAGCCAAGCGAGTGGCAAAATGGCCAGAAACCCACAATCCCCCCTCATCTGCGTTCTTTGCCTCCCTGCCTACTTTCCCCAAAATGCTCTCCACTGCCGCATCCAAATCTGTAATATGCATATCTGTTGACGGAAAAAACGAACCGGCGATTGTGAATAGGATGTGGTTGAAAGGATGATGATCAGGAGCTGAAGGGACCTTTGCCTCCAATCTCCCATTGGTGGTCGTCGCTGCCCACGTCAAAAATCTTTGTCCAGCATCGCCACCCGGAGGTTTCCATAGTGAGTTCCCATGCTTTGTTCTCCCTGGACCGCGCGAACGCCAAGCATGTGAGGAGCAAATGGCTAAACAGAGGAGCGAGGACGTGGAACATTTCCTCCACTTCAAGACACAAGCTGTCTTTTCTTGCTCAAATCAGCTGTCCATCTAGGGTCTCTTCGTCACACCAGCCGTGTTGGACCCAGTACCATCTTGCACCTTGTTTTCGCTTGAGGTTCCATGATGGGCGGCGGCGGTATTGTCCCTCTTTGGCTTGTGATCCTGGACGGTGGCAACGCTATCGGTTTCCTTCTGCGACTCCTCTGCCGCTTCAAAGGCAGCTAGCAGCGCGTCCAGTCTATTCTCGAGGCTTGTCAGGTTCGCCTCCAGGGCGGTGGCAGCCTGCTCGCCTCTGTTTGCGATTCCGGGTTAGCCGAATTTCTGATTTTTGCGTGGAGAAAAAGCGGTCACGAGGGTGAAGCCGCATGGGCAAATATGGATGGGAATTTGTGTTTTCGGTCTGGCCACTTGGCTGGACCGGACTGCAGGAGTGAGGGGCGGAGATGAAGTTCAGGGGTATTTCATTGTCTGAGGCTATTGGGCATTGCTTTGGGGTAAAAACGCCCTTAAGCCAGTGACTGAAATGGAAGCATAAGCCCCGAGGGGCGTGAGTTGCTGAAAGACAGATTTGTCCCCAGGATCTCGTTTGGTGGCCTGGACCAGAGGGGCCTAGAACGTCGCCGCCATGGCTTTCATGTGGGAGTGGTAACCGAATGCCGTCGTATCACGGCATCTGGTGACAAGCACATTTCGGGCAACGTCGCAACACAGCCCATCCGTTGCCGTCGGCTGCTCCGCCCAGTAGCGGGCCGAGTGCCTCGCTTCGATACATTGTCCTAGACAAGGCATCTTGGGCAGAACAATAATGGGCGGATAGGCCTTGTCAATAGTGATGATGGCATTTGCCAGTTGAAAGAAATCCCTGAACTCAGAAGGCAAAGACGGGCCTATCCATTTTTTGATGGGATGAAATGACTATCTCCGGTCCAGACCAAAGTTCAGATCCGGAAACAAGGCGTTCATCAGTGCCAAAGAATCGAAGGTCCAGAGCTGAGAACGCCATTCAACGGCACGGATAGTAGAAGGGGGAAAATTTAGGAGGGAAAAATTAGGAGGGAAAAAAAAAAAAAAACTAAACTATCCAGTTGATGTCTTAGCCAGGAACAGGTTAATGCGTCGCTTGGTAGCACTGCGCGCGCAAGGATCCGAGAGAATACGGTGCAGGCTGATGCGTTACTGTGCTGCGACGCTCCTGTGCTGTACCAGACTGAGCTGGCCCCTTCCGGGATGTGCGCCTTCGGAGGCAGCTCCGTCTTTGGTTCAGGGTGCAAATAGACCATTCTCAACATTGTGGGAGGGGAAGGGGGCGTCTCAGTGGCTGACGCTAGGGGCGCGTGCGCAAAAAGGCAATGCTGGCGGTCGCCCTTCAGGCGAAGGAGCGGGGGTAGTGGGAAAAAAAATGACAGAAAAAAAAGCTCTTCGATAGGCGTACCTTAGGAGGTCTCTGTAAGCCTAGAACGTGCCCCAAACGTGGTCAGCCTTGGAAAAGTGTACCAGGGAAGTTTCTATCCCAGATCGCGCCACCCCCTTCTGCCTCACCTAGCCTCTCTATTCCTCAAGCTCATGTCATCCTCGACTGCAACAGCACCAGGACACATTCTCAACCCCAACCGGCGAGTGACCGGTTCTTACCCTCTGGGAACATCGTCAGTCTCGGACCCCACCACTAACACCCACACAGTGCAAGTGAAGGTCCAGACCGCTCCAGTTCCGATGGATGGGAACGATGAGTGAACCAACGAGTGCGCTTGAACAGCAATCAATGGGGTGGAATGGGCAAGAAAGCTAGGGGAAGTGGTGGGGTGGGTGCGGAATGGACAGTCGCGGAGACTCGCGATCCTGAGGCCTGAGGAGAGAATGAAGACAGGCAATCCCAAAGGGCGAAGAGAAGGGGGATGGGGGAAAGGCCATGGTTGGAAGACCCAACAAGGCAGAAGTTCTGCATCAACGTGACCCTCGGCAAAAGCCCCTGCTCCGTTGGGGTCCTAAGGAGGGTGCAGATACGGGCAACATACCTGGGCAACATTATCCACTGACGACTCATTGTCAGGCCTGGCCGTTGTCGAAGAGGCGGACTTGGGTTCTTGGGGCACTGGGGACATGATCAAATACTGCCACCAGGCGAACGAATCGAAACGGCCGAAAAGCAAAGAATTTTTTGTTTAAAAACGAAAAATAACAATAATGGCGAGAACGTGGCCTGATCTGGGGGGCCTTTGATGGGGTGCCGCCCTCTTTTTTTAACGTTGGGTCTGTCGCCTTTGTTTTGTAAGTCTACCGTAATGTGGGAAATGCGGATACAATCTTAATGCTCGATGCCTGTACAACGCACCGTAGCTTCTTTCGAGTGAGGAACCTGAAAAGCGGACTTCGCAGGCTAGGGCGGGATAACTGGTGAAAAATAGAACGGGTTTAGGAAGTCTTTGATATCAGCAGCCTTGGCTCGCACTCACGGCTTGAAGACTTCGGGAATGCCGAGCGAATGGCGATAGTTCGGTGTCGACTGAGAGTCTAACAATGCGATTTTTCAAGGATGGATGGATGGGATTTTGTAGGGGAAATGGGTGGTCTTGTTAAATTTGGGCGACAGAAGTGTGGTCTTTGCTCAAACCCCTCCTTGCCCAAAACACTGGGACGGAGGCTTGGTAGGGAGGGGGGGTTGCTTAGGTGATGTTTCCACCTAGGCACTGAGGCCTCACTGCGGCGAGGAAGAATGGATAGTGGCCCACACAAAATTAATGCCTTAACGGATGATTGGCAGTCCCATATAAGCAAGTAGTTCGAAGCTTTAGGCATGCTTCCTCAGTGGCCCAGATCGTCTAGTTGGTTAGGATGATACGTTGTGGTCTCTATTCACACAGCGATCCGTGTTGACGGCGGTTCGAATCCGCCTCTGGGCACTACATCAACCTTTTTGGCCCTCTGTCCCTTACAGTGAAACTTTTTTTGTGCTGGCTTCTGTAATTCAATCAGCGCCAAATGTTATTTATTGCGTATCCTTCTGTGGGTCCAATCTTCCCGATCAGGTGCACCTGAACAGGTATCTCTTTCATAAGCGCGCTACGCCGCACGCTGTTGATATGGATTCAACTATACGATACACTCCGTAGACATGGGATGGACAGGACGGCAAGGGTTATACAGTATCAGTATCTAAGCCCCTTGGTTTTAATCACAGCATCTGACTCTTGCGGTCGATCGTCATTCGGCGACGGAGAATAGCCTACTTTTCCCACATGAGACCAAGATTGCTCAAAAAGTAAACCTTATATTCAAAATCGGCATTGTGGCCGGTCTGATGTCGTATTTTCTGAAAATCAGTGGACAAGCTGTCTATCTGTAGGAATAATGTAGAGTGGTGAAAGCCAGAAAAGTTGAAGGCATGGGCATGAGTGGAGTAGTGCCATTAGGCGCTGTGACACATGGTGACAGCACTCCATGTATGGCTAGATACACCCGTGTAAGGGGGTCTGTCCTACATGTCAATCCAGCATTCTACAGTCCAGCATACGTAGAGTGAAAGCATGACTGGGAGTTCAATGAAAGGCTCCCCTGTTCCATCAGCCGCCTCCCGCAAAACTATTCAGCCAAAGGAAAAAAAAAAAAAAGGTTACGATTACCGCTACAAACTCTTGGTATCAATACCTTGGGATGGTACCTCTCAACACAAAGGCGTTCTGGGTTGGCTCATCCCACTTGGCGAGTGGAACATCGGAAACCATTCCCCCCTTCAGATGCTGGCAGTGGGCGCGCTAGCTTTCTTTGGGGTTCACTTTGGCTTTTTCGATGCCACAGCGCAAATTCAGATGTAGACCATAACCCCTCTACACCGGGATCGGATTCACATGGTGTCTGATCAAGGACAATGATATCAGATCCATACACTGCACCTGGGATGCTGCCTCTTTTGTCGCACTGGCGTCCAATCTTCTCGAGAGTAACTGGTGGCATTTGCTCAATCTCGATGACCTGGAATGGGCGTTCACGATCGAGATGTAGAATTCACCGTGTCCACCAAGGACACACCCACCCCACCGTAACTTACGGTTCCATTCGACGCCCGGCATTTTCCAGTGTAGGTCCCGATTCCCATTAACTACCAAGATAACACACAAGGCCAGCCATCACCACCACTACCACTTTAAAACACTGGCACCAGCCTTGTCGCCCGTCTGAAATGCTGATCGTCTTTGCCGTCTGCGATCGTAGAGGCACATTACCGAATGTATAGCTGGTCATATATGGCTGGTATAGCAATTGGCCTTTCCCACATGGCTCAACAATCTGGCGCAAAGACGATAGTCTTGCGGTAAGATTGGCCAGGGATCCGTACCGTCGTACTGTTTTGCAGTAACCCTTTGTTTCCTCTTCCATTTCTCTCACACCAATGGTCTCTGTTTGTTCGGTGCCTGGGAAGGCCCATTACTGGGCGGCCCTGGGCAGGTTTTCCTCAGCCCATTAACCTCCCAATAACTGAGACAACGGCGGCCCATGGTCAACATGGACCAATTCAGCGGTAGTCGACATGACCATCGCAAGAGGGTCTTTCCAAGCATCCCAGCAAGTTGTAGGTTCCGCAAGCCACGCGCTGCATCGAATCTACGTCACGGCGGGAGGTCCAAATCGACGGCCGAGTCGGGATGTGACTAACGTACTGGCACTCTGTGACGCTAGTTTTCGGCCAGTAGCGTGTTCCGTTGCGAAAGCCTCCATTGAGAGGGATCGATAGGTCGACGCCCTCGTACACTTCTTGGCTAAACTGAGGTGCATACATGCAGTAAAGTAGTGTAGACCTGTACGTGATTGCGTTCAGGTTGCTGCTGGCCCGGGCGTTTGCTCATCGTTCCCTCGAAGAGTCCAGAACGTTCAATCAGCTTTTTTGGACAAGCGACGACCCACGACCATGACGATAGGTGCATGGATAAACACCACTGCAATAATTACACTGGCTCCCGGACAAGGCAAGGTGGTGCTGCCATCAGAACTCTGCGTCGTTCCACACTTCCTGGCCAGAAACCAATGCGGCTGACGGATCATTGCCAATACGTCGATACTCACTAACGCCGGACGTGGTCATGGATATCTCGGTTGAATGTGGGCTACGCGAGTTTGACTAAGTGTTCATGATCCTTAGGGCAGACGGAGGGCAAAAACGTCAGACACTGCCTTTCTGTAATAAAATCACTGATAATGCCGCATTGGGTCTCTGATCTGCAATTCGACTTTGTAAAACAATTTCTGAACACTCATTCTCCGTTCCATGATCTTGGCAACTGAGAGCATGTCCAAGGGCCGGACCTCTTGAACCGCTTACTGTCTTTTGCCTTGATCACTACCTGGCTTTGGTTGACATGGCCCGTGGTCCATGATCCTCGGATGGATTGTGGGGGCGTGATGGCCAGGAGAAGTGCATATGCTCTTAACCTCATACATTGACGAGGAAAACGAAAAATGCCATCTCTAGCCGGATGCGCAATCTGTAGCTTGTAATGGCTATTGCTCGCCCCTTTCGCCACAAACAAATTTCCCGATTGTGAGCTGATGGGGGTATCCAGCAGCCGGGCGAGCCGCCAGCGACTTCACCCGTCGTCTCTCCGAGTTTCACTGCATGGTCATGTCGCCAGTAATCGTATTGTAACAATTCGATCTCTCCTAGAAAGAGAATACCGCTGGATTGCAATGAGAAGTGAGCATGGATGACAGCGCCTTTTTTGCGACTAATTTGAGAGAGTTGATGCCTTTTCCATTCCACATATTCACCCTTCGCAAGCTGCATAAACAAGAATCATTTGCCTGTATGGTTAATCCAATGTGACACACAAACAGTCAGCAGCAAGATTTTTGCTGTACGGTTTCTTCTGCAAACCGAATGACGCTGTCGGTAGGCCCGTCGCCGTGTATTCACCTGCATGGTGGCCGTCGTTCGTCGGCGTTGTCTCGCCCACGCTGTGTAATTGGGCACCGTGCTTTGCCTTTGTCCAAAGTGGAGCTGCCGCCTTTGCAGCGTATAGGGGGTGCCGTAGTACCCCCTACAGCGTTCCAATGTCTTTTTTTGGTGGCCAGATTCATCCGCGTGAGTGTGCTGCAGCAAGGGTGGTAGCGGCTTTCGATCGCGACACAATTTTCGATTTCAGGTGTCCTTCCATCCATGTCTCCAATGCTCCGTCTCCCCGCATGGAGGCGTGAGTTTAGCCCATCTGGGTGGTTCAACAAGCTTGTCTGCCCAAACGCTGACACGTCGAGAAGCGCGACTTTGGCGTATCTGGGGCAGGCATCCCGAGGCGAAAGTCGAGGTGGAAGTTGAGCATCGAGATCCAGGCCCACGGGCTGTGCTGTGTTTGCTTTCTTGACCTTCATCTAACCCAGGTGGTAGTACGTGTTTCTCGGGGCTGCAGGGTTATTTCTCGGTGTTAGATGTCTCCTCTTTCTCCCTGGCTTTGCGGTGCTGGCTTGTACCCATCATACCGACGTGATGTCGCATCGTCTGCCACCAGTGGGTTGTGGTCTCGACCGAAGTTTCGACTCGACCAAACCCTCTTTTAAAATGTCGAATGACCCTGTTTGGTGATAATGATGGTAATTACACCGATTCTCTGCAGTGGATTTTGGAATGCCGAAGAATGTCAGCTAGAAGAGATGGCGGAATGATCCGCATAGCCTTGAAGGGCCCAGGCGTAGCAGTTGTGGCATCATTGTATTTTGAGGCAAGGTACGTATTCTAGACGAGAGGTAGGATTGTCCTAGCAGGTAGACGCTGAGTACTGCTGCTGCTGCTGCTGCTGCTGCTGCTGTGAGTCTTCGGGCATAGGGGTGTCTGCCTTGGGTTTGGTAGGTACCTTAGGTGCTGTGAGATGTGAAAACTGCCTGCCCTGTTCAAGAGCCAGACTGCTTCCACAGATAACTACGGGCAGGGCACGTAAAATCTGGCGATGGATAAACACCCTCCTATGCCAGGGCCCCGCCCACCCCCCATTGCTCTTCCGGCCTAAGGCGTAAGTTGACTGGAGTGAAGGAGTGCCAGGGCGATGGCTGGACTGACGGGGTCGGGACTCGTACTTACTGGGCCGTGTGCTTGGCTCTTTGTATCGGCACTCCCTGGCGAGTACCTTTGAGCCCCCCATCTCAAGCGGCCGTTTCCTGTTCCTGACTCGCTGAGTACCCTTGTCTTCATGACCTAGGAAGCCTCCATAATTATTGCTGGTCTAATCCCGCTTTTATTTGCTATGGGCTTCCAGTAAAATCTCCTCACTGATGCTGCGCGATTCCTTTTCGACTTCTCAAAAGTCGGTTTTTGTGATCAGACGCCAGGGAGCTTGTCTTGGGTACCTTGAACTAAACCATCAGCCTGTTGCTCTAGCTCCTCTGCTTGGGCCATAGGCATGCCACCCCAGATCACAAGTCTGCGGCGACGTCTGAGGCTACATCAACACACACCCACCCGACAGATTCCCTTTTGACACCTCTGACCTCACCTCTCAATCCGCGTCGATCACCGCGGGGCTGGTTCTGTTCTGTTCTGTTCAATAAACGGTTACTTCTCCGTTCCTTCGTCTCAGTCCATTTCCTCCCGCTGAAAAACCGCTCTCCGTCTTTCAACACCGTCACGCTTCCCCCTGGTGTTCTTCACCGTTCCCAATTTCAAACAACCGCAGGGGAGAAAAAGACTTTTGCTGGCGGGACTGCGTTTTTCTTTCCCAAAACCCAGCCTTTTTCTTCTTCTCGAACAAGCAACACTTGGGTCTCGATTCACTCACACTTTGGCGCACACTTGCTCCTATTTCCCCTCCTCAGCATCATTCTCGTTCGCCCTTTCCCCGTGGTTCATGCGGCTGTAAACCGCCGAGCCGACTCAGGAAGACGCATCACTTGCTGTACGTATCTCTCTTCTGTGTACACCACATCCCACGTCAATCTTGAAAGCCCCTCTCTACTTGGTCCATCCCGTTGTCCCACACCCAAAAGCTCGGTCTCTTTCACAATGTCATCGAGATTCGTCTCTTATATTGCAGCCACCATGCTGGTATATCCACAACAGGCTTGCCACATGCCTCTCTCCCTCAAGCATCCATTAACCTTCACGCCCGAGTAGTTTTTCGCCCATTAGTGCATCAAAGAACCTCGTTTACCACCATCGTACTCCATCTGATTCGGCATCGGGACCGCTGGCGCATACCACGTAGCACCTTTGCTGCTCACGCATATTCGCACTAACCTTCCACCCTCGGCTCGCTGCCAAACAGGTGCAACTTGGTCGGGAGTATTCCCAATGACTGCTAGCTGGACCTAGAGCAATCGGAAGTGTCTCGACTTCGAAGCGAGGAAATTCGGCGTGTAGTGTACAGACGACAAGTAGATGGGACCGAATCGACAGGCAACGAACGAATTCTGTATCACTTGCGCATTGGGGCGCTCATTCAACAACTTCAAACGCAGACCACTACCGCTGTCCTACCTCAAATCTTCCTCCACGAACCGTCAAGGGACCCCTATATCTCCTAGCACAACAATCTACCATCATGGCGCAAGAACTGGAAAGCATATTCTCAGAGCTGGGCATTTCCCAGTATTTAGACACGTTTCTCGAGCAGGGATTCGATACCTGGGAGACTATATTGGACATTACCGAGTCTGATCTGTGAGTACACTGCTGCTCGTGGACTTGAACGGCCGAAACTAATGAATATCCAAGGGACGCTCTTGGAGTCAAATTGGGTCATCGACGTGTAAGAATATTGCCTCGTGCTAAAGCTTATTAGCAGAACCTGACAGAGGGAACAGAAATTACAGAGACGTATCGCCAACTCGAGGGGCCATGCTCCCGATGCGTCACTAGTATCGCCGACGAGAACGAGTGTCGAGGAGCATAAGCCAGAAACTCAACGGCTCGACCAACCACGACCGGAAACCAAGGATGGCCCCGTGGTAACCAAGCGCAAGTACCGTCGACACCCGAAGGTTTGTGTTAGAAAGCAGTACGAGTGGTGAACGTAAGATGGGCTGACAGCCTAAAAGCCAGATGAGAATGCGCCGGAACGTCCTCCATCAGCCTATGTGTTGTTCTCAAACAGTGAGTAACGGAAGATCTAGAGTTGAAAGCGACTGCTAATAGACGTGCAGAAATGCGCGATGAGCTTAAAGGCCGAAATTTGACCTTTACAGAAATAGCCAAACTTGTGGGAGAACATTGGCAAAATCTGTCTCCTGCTGAGAAGGAGCCTTATGAGACGTCGGCTTTGAAGGCGAAGGAGAAGTACAATCATGACCTGGCAGAATATAAAAAGACTCCTGAGTTCAGGAAATACACACAGTATCTGCAAGACTTCAAGCAGAGGCAGGCTAGTGCTAACCAAGGTAAGGTTGAAATGCTGGGAAGGTATGTACGCATTACTGACACATGTTTAGCAAAAGAATCATCCAAACGGCAAAAGCTTGAATCAGGAGCTCGTTTGACAAACGGTAGCGCAAGTGTGACTCCGGGGAGCCTCAGCAGTACTGGCAGCGGAAGTGAGAGTCAACCAGGAAGTGAGCCACCGCCGAATAGGAAACAACGAGTGGGATCTGTTGTTTCCTTGTCGGAATCGCAATATTCAACAGCTGTTCCTACACCAGTTTCTCAGCATCACCATCTGGATGAAGCGGTACACTCCCCTACCAGCACTCAGTTCGACCGTGAGAGCTTGCACTCGACAAGCCCTCGTGCGTCTCAGAGCCGAAGTCGTCGCCCAACATGGACGGAGAGTCAACCTAACCCCGACCCCATTCCGCCAACACATTTACCATCCTTGTCCGATGTATTCAATGGTCGTTCATTGAACGGTGTCTCAAGGTCTCCTGAAGCGGCTGGCTTTCCTGGTTTCGGGCCTCCACAGCATCCCAGCTCAGTGCCGCCTTCGTTGAAGCACGAGTATTCGTCAACAGGGAGCTCTACATCATCAGGCGCTGTGCAATCCTATCCTCAGACACCGAGTAATCATTCACTCCCGATTCATGCCTTATTGTCGAGTAAGGCTGCTCCAGCCCCTACCTATGAGATCCAGTCATCGTTTCCAACAGCACCTTCGAATATCCATGATCAAAAGCCGGTATTCGCTCCTCCGCCACAGGGTTCCCGTGGAACTAGAAACGGTACTTTCAACCACCTTTAGCATAGCTTTTCGGCAGAGGCTAATGAGGTTTCAAGGTTACCATTCGCCGCCGCCTGCGCTCTTGCGGTATCAGTCTAGTTCATCCTCGTCAGGAACCGAAGGGTCGCTTGCGTCATCCCACGCGTCTTCGCATGCATCGTCACAGTCCTCACTTGGGATTCAGGAACGAGGCGATCCGAAGCTTGACGGGATGAGCGCTCTCCTACGAGCAGGCGAGATTGTGAACCGGCGTGTTCAGTAAGAAGACTTATCTTACGTTACCATGAGTAACCTTCGCATGGAAAGAATAAGTATTGCAAAGTGTGCATTTGCGTTCAGTCCGGGTTTGAAGGCTCGATATGATTTGGTTGTCTGCTTGTACTCGTTTGTGTTGATGTGTTGAGGCCGAACCAAACTGGATGGCTGAGGTTGGTATGTCCGAGTATCTGAAATACCCTTATGGATTGGCATCTTGCTGGGCATCGTTTTTTTCTTTTTTTCTTTTGGGAATTCTTTACGGCGGCGTGTTGGAAAACCCCTTATTGGCGTTATTAGGTGCTGTGGGCTTTGCATCTCTTCTTTCTAGCCCAGTTAGGGTCATGAGCTGTGTGACACGACCAGACGATAAGTTTTTATCTTGAGGGAAATAGGGAAGGGTTGGGCACGAGATGGCATAAGTGAAGCTCTCTGGCAGCCCAGAGAAGCCAAAAATATACAAATAGTGTAACTGAAAATGAGTTCGGCCGACAGGGTATAGAGCAAGACAGAAAAGTGAAATGAATAAAATAATGATCATCAAGCACTTGGACGACTTGTAGGAGGAAAGTGAAAAAACGGGTGTACAATGATCCAAAAAAAAATGAGATGAATAAAAGGGGGCGGAGAAGATGTGACAAAAACCATTGAGGAGACGGAAGGAACGCCTTTTTTGGTATTTTCCAAGCAAACTTAACATACATTCTGGGAAGCAAGCACCAGCAAATGGCCGCTGGTAACAGTCAACGAGCAAGGGCGAGAATGAAAGGGTCTTTCCATATCCTACAGGCTAGTCCATTCCGCTGTGCCTCCAGAGCCTCTAACGTCATCATGTGCTCAAACTTTCGGGGTCTTTACCTGTCTGTCTTGTTTTATGCCCTTTCTGCGCCAGTGTCCCCAGCCTTGGCACGCAGACTGGCCAATATTCCCCTCCCCTCAGGCCCCGCGTACGACGCCCGTTTGTTTTGGTTGGTTGAGCTGACCCATCTCATTGCCGATCGCTAGACCCTGCGTGGATGACGGTGATCAGGGGTATGATAGGTGAGATGCCCAACGATAACAACAGCTTGTGAGGAGCTGCTTCGTATCATGCCATATTGAGCGTGGTTCCGCTAAGTATTACAAAGAGAGAAAATATGGTAGGAAGCCTATACGGAAGTTTATAGTATTTTGGAGTAATGATGGAGTATTACAATCGCCATGCAAGCGCACAAAGACTTGTCCATCTCATCAACCCTACCTGACCAGTCTCGTCCTAGAAAAGAGGGAGCCCCAATTCTGCAAGCCCAGCCCCGCCCCCGGTGCGATAATGCATGTGTGCGCCCGGAGAAGATGCTCCTTGAAGTCACGGGTAGGACTTCAGTTGGGACGAGTAGCTGCCGTTGTTCCAGTTCTACCTTCATCGTTTGCCCTAATTGCCCAAAACTGTCCATCCCTTTCTATGAGATGACCTGAAGAACTGGGTGCTGCAATCTGTTCCTGTAGTCGCTCTTGGCATCTAGCGCCCATCTAGAGCCAACGTACCAGGAAGCTACCGGTGCCCACACTCTTAGGAGCTTGCTTGTACCAGTCATTGTCCATTCGTTGGTTGGTTGGGACGATGGGATGTCTTCAGATCAACCGGCCAAGATGCATGACGAGAGGCAACCTTATTTAATGCAAGTTCAAAGGAAGCCCTCCATATGGCTACCTGCTTTCATTCATTACATAAGACGTCGTACCAATACTCCTGTTGCTTCACGCCCGCTCAGCTTATTGAAGCAGGCAAGACAGACAGACCTAAACAAATGATTCCTTCCGCCCATTCATTATGAAATGTGAGAAACCGAGCATGCCGTCGTTACAAAGCAAATGGGCTGGGCAAGGAGACCTCAGCGGCACAAACAATCACAAACTCTCCTGTTTTCCACTTCTCACATACGCTGTGTTACTCTGGCTTAGTCTCCGCCTGCCGAAATCTCGGCTGTCCAATCTTTGCGGATCATCAGCTCTGTGAGGTCGGGGGTCTTTTCGACAACTAGACCCTTCTCGTTAGCCAAGTGAAGCAAACTGATGAAGCAGAAACTCGTCGAGATGTCCTCCATTAAGGGTCTGGAATAGACTGTCTGCAAGTTGTTCATGACTTCGGTGAACTTCAATGTCGGGTCCTTGGAGGGGTCCTCTGGCGGGCCTGTTGGGACTGCAGGGGGGGAGCTGTTGGAGTCCTGTTTTGCTGTTAGTACTTTGCCTTTGTCCTTAAAAGATTTGACTATTAGGCTTACCATGTCCTCTGTCTCGAGGCCCATTCCCTTCCAGATTTCCTCCTTCAGCCGTCTGACGTCCACCCTCTTGGCCACACGGGCATATTGCACATAGTCAGGCCGGAGACGGCGCGTCTGGGTGACTAGCGTAGTGCCAAACGCACCAGTTAAGGCGTTGGTTGCCGCGTCACCGCCAAGCAAGGCTGTCATACCAGCGGTTTCAGTGGCCCCAGGGTCGCCTTCAGCAGTTGGCGAGAAGTGCTCACGGGCATCTGCGAAATCGTCCTCGTCGTCTTCCAGGCCGCCCGCAAAAGGAAGTGCGTCATCTTGGAAGAAGTTCGCGTCATAATCTCCTTGCGGCAACGCAGTCTCTTCTTCGATGCTTTGCATGGGTTCCTTCTGTTGTGCCCAGAATGCCTCGTCCATTTCACCTGCTGGTACATCTCTGTCTTGTCCAGCGTTACCGAACGCGCCGCTTTTGTTGCCGAGAACCCGCCGTCTGCTGAGGCGAGCCTTGGGCTTTAGGAAGAGATTGAGGAGCGATTTAGAGTTGAAGTGTTTGTCATCCGGCAACAGGTTTCGAGACTTCGACTTCCAATCTTTCTTGGGCATAGATATGGCAGAGTTGCTAGAAGCCTTCGTGTATAGGACATCGGCGAGGGCTTGGTCAAGTGGTGCCGCGAAGTCGATCTCAAAAGGCTCCTTTTCCTTGCGTTGCTTCGCTGGGGCTGCCGGCTTGTTGACATCTTTGATCTTTCTAATTCTCCAGTGTTCAGCGCTGCTCCAATTCTTCTGCAAGGCTTGGTCAAAATAACCCAGAATATCCTCGTGCATCTTATCGGCATTTTGTGCGTGGCTCATGGAAATAACGAAGTCGCCGTTGTCTTGGTCGAGCATTTCCATTCCATCGCCGCCAGCGACACCATCATCATTGAGGCCAGCATCGTAGACTCGCATTTGAGGTTCAAGGGCAGCTTCTCTCGCCCAGGCTTCACCACCCTCGCCGAATGCGACGTCAGCGCCGAGATCGAATCCGCCAAGGCCAAGGTCGTCATCATCAAAACCAGCAGCATTATCGCCGTCAATAAACATGCCAGAGTTGTCACCCAACAAGTCAGCAGTCTTGTCCTTGTCGTTGTCTCCTCTCCAGTCTTCGGGTGCCCTCAAGAAGGGAATATCCATAGAGCCGGAGGGGTTACCAAGGTCAAAGGTCTTCAAAGACGGGCAGATGTCAAGTTCATCCAGTTGAGTCAGGTCAGAGAAGAATTTGGCACCAAGGGCACCGAGGTCAATCTCAACATCTTCAGTCTCTTCCTCAGGCTCTGGCTCCTGCTCCTCCTGCACCATGGATGGTCCAGGGGTTCCCTCTTCGTCGTCGTCGTCCTCTGTGGTATCCTTTTTTCTCGTCTTTGAAGTGTGTGCGTCACCGACGTCGTCGCTGCTGTCGAAGACAATGCGGCCTTGGGCATCTATCATGAGATGGTTGAGGAGCAGGCCCTTGGCACCACCTTCGTCAAAGTCTGCGGATGTCTTCTTGAACAGAGGGTCTACGGCAAACTCAAGCTCAAACTTCTTGAGCTGAAGCGAGGAAAAACTGGGCGCAAGGGTCGCTTCTGATGATCGTTGTGTCTTTTAAGGTCAGTATATTTGCGGATCGCCGGGTGCTTGCAAACGTGCTTACCTTTCGCTTTGGCTTCTTTCTAACATTTCCATCCTCGTCGACCTCTTCTTCGCTCTCTTCGCCCTCAATATCGTCGCCTTCTCGATCCTTCTTTTTGTTGTTGCTATCTGCGAGGCCACTCAGCAGTTTGCCCGTCTCGGTTGCGACGCTATCGACTCTGCTGGTATAGATCTTGACGCAACCGTCCAGTGTGCAACTGGCCTTTTGAAAATTGACTCCGTCGCCTTCCTTGAGCAGGGACATATCGTGGAAGTAGTCAATTAGTGCAAAGTTCCAGGAGTTGTTGGCGTTGATTTTGTTATCCGTGGCCATCTTCATCCACTCTTCAAAGTTGGCGAGAATCGGTACTCGCTTCATGGGTGTAACTGTGCTGCCACTGACAACAATTTCCTCATCATCATCGTCAACGGTTTGACGGCCGCGGCTGCCGCGTGCACCGGGGGTCTTTGGTCTGGAGCCCGGCGACGCATTTTCAATGTCTTCCAAGCTGATGTTCATTTTGCGGAGCGGTGTCGCAGCAGCTGCCTTGAGTTCATTCTTCTGCCTCTCGTGAAGAGCATGGCGCGATTGCGCTCGTCTTGCCTTTTCTTCCACATCGTCGTTGAGGGGGATTCTAGGCATTGTTTAGTTTCGTTGCTAGGCAAGCATAGGTGAGTCGCCGACGTCGCAAACTTACTTAACGGGAGAATTCTTGAAGGGCGAGGCATTCATAGAGCCCGAGGTCGCTCTGACGCTGCCCGCTCGTGGTACCTGAGCAACTCGAGGCATCTTGTGTTGATGGCGCTGTGGTTGTCACCAGTTGTGTTGATTGTTACGATTGCGATATGTGCCAGGTGCCTGTGTTTACTTTCCCCACCAGGACACGCCCCAAGCGACGGCGCGAAACAACAATAAAAAATATATTATGCCTTAAATATTAGGCGCTTGATCTTAACCTTTCGGGCGGGCAGAAGTGGGGTGGCTGAGAGCACGAAAGTCGTCCCAACCCCTTTTAGTGTTATCAGCACGTGATGTCATCGTCCTATCTGCCGAGACTGATTGGAACCTTTCTCTTACACTTGCCGCTGCAAGTCGCCTCTCTCTTAAAGTTGCCGCCTCAACGGGGCATAGCCACAGTAGAGGGGGATCTTCCACGTATGTCCTCGGCTTGATCAAGGCGCCCGCCTGCGGTCTTGGCCAAAAACTTGCGACACGCCAGTTTCCTGAAGGACACTGGGTAGGTTTTCCCGGGCTGCCTCCCTCTGTCTTCATGAATCGTACATTAAGGTGAAAAGCGCATGCATCTGGCGGCCAGGTCGAACTCGTTAGCAGCCCGTTTGTATAGCGACTCGATCTAGAGACACTCGTTCCTCCTGCACAGCGGAACGAGCGGCATTCACCCAAGCACGCGGCGCGTCAAGACTCTGCCATGGCTGCAACTGAGCCAATTATATTCCGCATTTGACGTCAGCATGCCAACAACCTCCAAGGTTAGAGGGAGCGGGCTTCGCTTGCGGCCATTCTATACGACTGTCTTCCTACTCACTTTACTGGCGACATGGTCATATTTTAGCAAGGCTACGGAGCGGCGGTTCATGCTGCAGGATGCTTCGTCTCCGCTCCTCAAAAGAAACGAGCTCACGGAATGCCGGGATGTTCACCGAGCCGACGATCAGTGTGCCTTCGTCAAGGCTCACTGCGCTGAAGACGAGGCTGGTCTCCTGTCGTACTTGACTCTTTACTACTGCGACCTAAACAAAACACAGGCATTTGCCTTTGTTATACTAGTCTGCTGGCTTGGCCTACTTTTCACCACCATTGGCATCGCCGCCAGCGACTTCTTCAGCGTTAATCTCAACACCATATCTACCATCCTAGGTCTCAGCGAGAGCTTGGCCGGTGTGACCTTTTTGGCCTTTGGAAATGGGTCTCCCGACGTCTTTAGTACCTTTGCAGCCATGGGCTCCAACAGCGCCAGCATGGCGGTTGGCGAGTTGATCGGCGCTGCAAGCTTCATCACTGCCGTGGTTGCCGGGTCCATGGCTTTGGTTCGTGAGTTCAAAGTGGGCAGGAAGACGTATGTTCGCGATTTATGCTTCTTCATTGTGGCAGTCTGCTTCACCATGGTCTTCCTGGCAGATGGCCACCTTCATTTGTGGGAGTGCATAACTATGGTCTGCTACTACATCTTCTACGTGGTTACCGTGGTCACCTGGCATTGGTACTCGACAAGGCGGAGCCAGCGGCGGGTCCGGGAAGCAGCCGCACGAGGTCATGTATACGGAGCTGTGGGGCATCCCAACGATGAGCTGGCCCCGGAACCATACCGGGATGATCCCGACGACGAGGACCGTCAAGTCACTTCTACATCCGCTTCAAACGCCGGAGATATCAGTACATTGGAAGCTGGACCAAGAATTGAAGTTGATGACCACGAAGACGGCGAAGATGAAGCTGAAGAGACCGAGCATGGAAGACATGTTGTTGCCGAGATGGCAAGCAGCATGCGTGTTCTGCGTCCCCGAGGCCGCCGACGCAACACATTGACGCCAATTCGTCCCAGCTTAGTCGGTGCCTTGGAATTTCGATCAGCCCTGGCACAGTTACAGAGGGAAAGCAACCTCCGGCTTCGACCTATGCACGGACGAGCATACTCGGTCAACAACATTGGAGCACATGGCGAAACAGCAACTACGGTTGGACCGCCATCCGACTCGGGAAGATATACTATTAGCGCCATTGAGGGCCTCGGTCAGAATAGAAATCGAGCCATGTCATCTGGCGACGTTCCTGGTTCACTGGCTACCAGCCGCGACCATTCTCCTTGGCGCTTCCCCCCTCAAGGGACGTCTGCGAATCCCGTTCAACAAGTGAAGGCGCAAGACGCCAGGAATCGGAGTCCATCCCCTGCTTATAAGATTGGTGGCAACCTTGCGCCCCCTCCTGTTGAGCCTGTACCGCTGCAACTGGATCCCGCTGCCAGCGAGTCCCTAGAATCTCGACACTTCCCTGGGCAGCTTTCGCTTCAAATTCCAAGCAGACGTACAAGCTTCAGCGATCGATCCTCGCCAGTATCCCCCTTCCCTGGCTACACGGATTCCCCTATGGTATTGACGCCAGCACCTCAGAATGAACCAACGGAATTCATCATGCCGCCCGGCCCAGCCCGCATGGAGGTTCCCTTTGCGCCTTATGAGATCAACGACCCAAAGCCTGTGAGGTGGTGGCCATATGCTATATTGCCTCCTCCTCATATTTTCTGGAGTACATTATTCCCTACCCTTTTAGGATGGCAGCAGAAAAGCTACTGGGACAGATTTGTTAGCACCATATCGGTCCCTAGTATCTTACTGCTTGTGCTCACCCTTCCGGTTGTTGAAAGTGAAAGCCCAGATGAGTCACCAGATGATACCATCGTGGATTCGTTGGCGCAAGGACCCAACGGTCGTGCCAATGCCTCCCTGACCCTACCTGAAGGCGAGCCCATCGAGCAAGAATCAGAGTGGCAACGTTTCAGGCGAAGTACCCTGACGCACTCCCGTATTCCATCAGTTGAGCACTCGCCCAAGGGCTCTCCAGCACTCATTGCCGTCGATGATCCAAGTGGTGCACGTGTGGCTACTGAAGCCCCCACCAGCCATCCGCAAACCGTTAAACCAGCAGCACCGTTGCCTTCGGAAAGCAGCCTAGCCGCTGTAGATGATTCTGGCCAATGGAACAGATGGCTGGTGGCTATCCAACTATTTACCGGTCCTTTGTTTGCAGTGGTAATTCTTTGGGCAAATATGATGGAAGACTTCCAACAACCATACAAGGTCCTCGTCAGATTCATTCTCTACACCCTTCTAGCATCTACCATCTTGCTTGGCCTTCTGTTAATGACAACGAATCCTGACAAAAGACCTAAATTCCACTTTTTGTTGTGTTTTATGGGGTTCATCATTGCCATTGCCTGGATTTCCACCATTGCGGGTGAGGTTGTTGGCGTTTTGAAGGCTTTTGGTGTTATTTTGGGAATCTCTGATGCCCTTCTTGGATTGACTATCTTCGCAGCGGGCAACAGTGTGGGCGATCTGATTGCCGATATTACTGTTGCCCGCCTTGGCTACCCTGTAATGGCTCTGTAAGTGCAAACTATCAAATTGTTCCGTGGAATAGCACTAACATATGTTTAGGTCCGCTTGCTTCGGTGGTCCCATGCTCAACATTCTCCTCGGCATCGGCATTGGCGGTGTCTATATGATGGTCCAAGCCGCAAACCATCGGCACAAAAAACACCCCGACAAACCCTTCAAGTACCACCCATACCAAATTCAGATTGGAGGCACTCTGATGATTTCGGCCATTACGCTGCTCCTCACTCTGCTGGGTCTTTTGATAATCGTCCCAATGAACAAGTGGGTAATGTCACGAAAAATTGGTTGGGGTCTCATTGCCATCTGGACCATCAGCACCATGGTAAATGTTATCGTCGAGATGACGGGAGTATGGACCGACGTGTCATACTCTATCGCCTTTTAATTGACTCCTCTTCGGCATATACTCAACTTCTATCAGCATCCACTCATATTATAAATAACAGAGTATACCCTAGCATAGCGTGCGACCAAGAAGAGGACTTTGAAACTGTTTTTTTCTAATTCCTTTCTTGAGAAAGAGCGTATACAGTCTTTACCAGCCTTGGCGGGTGGACAAGAACAGACACAAGCATACAACTACAGATACATTAGTTTACATTAGTTCCTAAAAGCAAATTACACGTTTACATACACCTTGGCAACACACCCCTATGACGTTGCGTGACGGTAGCCATCGGTTATTGATATCTGCTATTGGTGTGAGATGGCGTCAGGAAGCCACAACAAGCGGCAAAAGACGTCTCATCCCAGCACCGGACCCGGAACTCCTAGGGTGGATTGTCGGACCGGTGCCACGCAGTAATATGCTGATCAACCGTCTGATGTGTCCCTCGCACAGAGATTGTACAACCCATGCTTCCCTAGCGAGAGGCAACAATTATCGACCTCAACCTCATGGGTGAATTGGACGAAGCGCGGTTGTTCGCCTTTGCCAAGGATTCATCTGTTGTATTTCCAGCTGATCGAGAGTGCCAAGAACAACATAGACAAACGTACGTAACTTACTGCCATGTTTAACGTTTCCCAGAAATATGTGTTTTCCATCAGCATAATCTTCAAGAATATTCATCGGCAAGGAGAATTTCGTATATTAAAAGATGATCAGGCACTTAGAGCGCTAATTCGTGCTGATGGTTATCATTCACCCCCGTTGTGTCATATCTCAAGCACACTCTTGCAAGCAGCCTCTTTCAGAATATTTTACAACCCAGAAACATGGGCTTTGACTCGAATCACCCGTATGGCTCAGCAACTTGCTGGCATCAAACAATCCAAGATGAGCCAACCGCAACAGGTTTCATCTCAGACATCTGACCAGAAAGGATGTGCTGAAGTTGGATCTTCTGCGCAAAAAGCCATTGCCAATTTCCAGACCAACCAGGCCCAGGGGAAGGGACCAGATTACATGAAGATCGGGGGCGTTGCGGAGAAGGCCTGCCCTGCTTACAACCCAATTGAACACGCCGGTGGTGAAGACATGAAGGACTTGGAAGAAATTGCGCGGAACATTACCGCTGGATTTTGTGGCTGTTCAAGTAGTAAGGAGGTTGATGATGGGACAAAGTTGGATGAAGCTGAGGGTGTGATCAGCTCCCAGGTTGATGAGGGAGGTGAATATGAGAGCCAACTTGGGAAAGCAGGGGGAAAGGATGAGAGTGCTCTACGTGTTACCCATAAAGAAACAAAACGGGGCGATTCGCTTGATAAAGCTATGAACCAAGATGCTGTTCAAGAACTGCCGGAGGGAAAGTTTGCGCAAGAGTCAAATACCAGGAAGAATCCCCTTGTTAACTCCAGCTCCGAGCGAAGCTCATTGGACGAAGGCAAGAACGCGCAGGGTTTGACTGGAAGTCAAGGAACGAGAGACGAGACGCTTTCTACTCGAACAGACGATGGGAGTAAGCTGTCATTCTTGTTTTCCGATGGCAACTATTGCAGCGCCGTATTGCTTACACTTGAACAGAACCTGTCGACGACGGTCAGAGATCTCGAATCACGCGCAGGGAGTAGAAGTCCCTCATCCCCCTGATTGATCCTGAGGCGAGTGACCCTTGAAGGCTACATGCTAAGCCTTACAGCATGTGTTAACAAGTTGGTACGCTTCCGGAGGCAAACATTCCCAAAATGTGCCGATAACAAAGAGGGATCTACCTGAACAACATAGGCCAAAAAAGGCCGAAAAGCGGTTCTTCAATGCCATACAATACAGTCGCTTTCGATATCTGTCCTTAATACAGTCATCTTTTGTCCAATTGTGATGTTTCAAAAGGTGGCAGGCTATCCCGGAAGATCACCCAATCGCCGACCCGGAGCCGTGCACGATCCCTCCGCCGAACTCCACAAGCCATCCCGGAACCTTATCCCTACCTCGGGACGTCGCAAGGGCTCCCTCGGGGCATCATAGCGTTGCATCGTCCACTAAAAATGGTGTTCCCTGCGGAAATGCGGCCGCTAAAATTGCCCATTCAGCAGGGTTTGCAGCGCAACTACAGGACACTATGTCCGTTTCTTCGCCGGAACCGTGTTCCTGGCTTCGATTTTCACTGACCAGATGGAACTAATGAACAAGAAGGGAACATTGTCATCGCCGCACTGCCACAGAGGTTGCGTGGTCAAATTTTAAAAGTGACACCCTGGCCTACTCAGCCGTACAGCTCCTCATCTCGTTTCGGCCACTTCGTATTCCTGGGTCGTAAGGCAAGCTGTCCAGTGTCAAAGACAAGACAGATCATCTCAAAGTGAGTAATCGTGAAATCTGTCAGCTCTCGAAAGATTTTCAGTCACCCTAAGCAATATGTGATGGCATGGAGGATCAACTTTACATGGGTCAATTTTCCTCGCAATGTAATAAGTCGTCAAAACAGGCTCTCAGATATAAATTAGACATCATCCCAACTGATCGACAGTGAGATTCGGTTTGATTGAGCTCTACTCACTGTACCTTTCGACACCCACAAGGAGACCACTCCAGACCCTGAAAGCATCCACCTAAGCAACGCTACCCCTGCCCCGCCATCTCAAAGCAACCCCGCGTCCAGCCTGCCACATCCCGAAGGAAGCTTCGACATTCCTTCCTCAACTCTTACGATTTCTGTCTCTGCCCGCCTTTCTGATCACCTCGACACACAACTTCACCGCGGAGGCTTTTCCGAACTTAGAAAAGCTGATCTCTCGACCTCCAGAACACAATCGATATTTACTTTGTCACAATGGCTACATACCCCCCTCTCGAGGACCGTCCCCTCAAGAACACCATCTGCCTCTTTGACGTTGACGAGACGCTCACTCCTGCCCGCCGCGTACGTATTGGCCCCGAATTCTACTGAATCTGCGCCTAAGAAAGCCTGCCAGCCGGCAAGAATATTAGCTGACGTCTCAAATTCCAGCATGCATCCCCCGAGATGCTCGACCTCCTCGCCCGCCTCCGCCAAAAGTGCGCGATTGGCTACGTAGGCGGCTCCGACTTTTCCAAGCAGCAAGAACAGCTCGGCGACGCCTCTACTCCCGTCACCACTTTATTCGATTACTGCTTCTCCGAGAACGGTCTCACCGCCTTCAAGCTCGGTCAGCCCCTACCCTCCAACAGCTTCATCAAGCACATTGGCGAAGAGCAGTACAAGGAGCTGGTGCGTTTCGCCCTGCACCACATCGCCGATCTCGATATCCCCATCAAGCGCGGTACCTTCATCGAGTTCCGCAACGGCATGGTCAACATCTCCCCCATTGGCCGTAATGCTTCGAACGAGGAGCGCAAGGCGTTTGAGGACTACGACAAGATCCACAACGTGCGACGTGACTTCGTCGCGAAGCTCCGCGAGAAGTTTGGGCACTTGGGCTTGACTTTCTCCATTGGTGGCATGATCTCGTTTGACGTCTTCCCTACTGGCTGGGACAAGACGTACTGCCTCCGCCACCTCGAGAACGAGGCCAAGAAGGAGGGCGGCATTACCTATGACAAGATTCACTTCTTTGGCGACAAGACGCACGAGGGCGGCAACGACTTTGAAATCTACACCGACGAGCGCACAATTGGCCATGCCGTTGATGGGCCCGAGGAGACCATGCGCATTATCAAGGAGCTTTTCGACTTGTGAATCTTGCCGCAAGGAAGTAGTCAGCTTTGATGGTATGGGATTTGGGAATGCAATTGGGCAAATGAGCTACAAAGAAGAAGAAGAAAACTAGTGATGATACCAAGACCAGCTGGTTTTGTAGACGGGACCACAAGTGGCTGGGACACAGAATGTGCATGTCGAGACGGCAGCACTTCTTTTACAACTTGATCTTAGACGAACAAGTAACATAATCAAGCACACTCATAAATATCATCCATAGCATTCGTGACTAATGAACGAAATTGTGTAGCATGTGTATTGGCAATATGGATAGATAGTAAACATCGTCAGGTCATCAAGCACCCGCCTTATGTTTTCAAGTCGCCTGAATAAAGTGGGAGAAGAAAAGAAACATTAGGATATCCAAGAAAATAGCCTGCCACCCCAACTATGTCGTTTGCTACCTGCCAAACTCCAGATGCGGCACAATCACTGGACCGTACTTCGTCGGTGCCGTGAAAGCACCGTCACCCTGGACCACAAAGTCCACCGCCAAGCTTAGCTTCGTCAGGCCCTGGCCGTTGGGACCGCTAGGCGACACCTGAGCACCAGGAATGGCGTCGGGGTCGTAAGCGACTACGGCCACGTAATTTCTGCGACCCATGAGCTTCTTCAGCTCGCGGGCAGAGCCACTGGCATCTGTATGGAAGATCTCCATCATGTCCTCCTTGGTGTCCGAAACCTCATGGTTGGACTTGTGGCCATTCTGAGGTACGTAGAGGCTCTTGTTGTTGTGGAGAAGTTTGAGAATGTAGTTGCTGGCCGGTTGGGCGACGATGGGCGATGTGATGATTTGGTACATCGTCTTGTGATCACTTGGGTGCGTGGGATCATGAACCAGGCCGGCTCCCGCACAGTTGACATCTAGGGCTGGTTAGTACTGGTTAGGGGGGTGATAGGAGGTTGTGAACTTACCCCCTGACATGAATGTCATGCGGATGCCCTTCTGCTGTGCGATGCCTTGAAGAGTCCGGATAAGATATGTCCTCTCCAAGTCCTTTGAATCATGCGTCCACATGTCCTTGAGGACCTCAGCGAGGTCGATCTCTCCAAACTGATTCAGGACGTTACCCATGAGACCGGACTTGCCGACAGCTTTCTTCACTTGGGTAAAACCCTGCGCAACGACCTCCTTGCCTCCAACTACGCCCGCCACCGAACTTGTGACCTTGCCGAGCAAGTTGTACGACATGTTGACCGCCTTCTTACCAGTAGTAACAGCAGTAGCCAAGCTCTCAACTGCCTCAAGGCGGGGATAAACCAGGGGCACTGAAACCATCCAGATACAGTGTTGCACGCTGGGAGGCAGTGTCGCAACCTTGGGGAAAAGACCCTGGTAAGTCGGGCCCGCCATAACTCTGCTCTGGTTCCTTTCCGATCGGCAGTCAGGTCCGACAACAACGACAGCAGGACCGAGATACTTCACAAAATGCCAGCCCTGGCCAGTAATCGTGAAGAGGTCCATATCATTGCTGACGTTACGGAGGATCTCCACAGTTGTGTGATGTTGGAAAAGCAGGTACATTTCGATAGCTATGCGGCCAACGTTCTTGAACATCTGTGACCCTTGCATGTACTCAGGGTAAGAACCAAAGCCGTCAAAGCTGGAGGCAGTCAGCGCCGGACACATAAAACTTGTTGCGGGGGGAAACTCACATGTCGTGATCATCAACCTGCAATATATGCGGGATCTGAGCAAACGCCTCTCTCAGATAGGGCTGGTCAAAGTGGCTGGTGTAGTAGTGGAAATAGGCGTGAGAGACATCCTCTTCGTGGCGTGCAGTCCACTGCGCATTTTTTCTGTTGTCTCTGCCGCTCATGGCTAGCCACTGCTTCAGCAGGGGCACCTCCTTCCATAGCCTGTCACCGTATATTTGGTCTCCAAGGCCGAGTTGAACGTGGAAACCGCCACAGTCGACATTCTTTTGCAGCACGTCCTTCCACATGAAGCCCACACCACCGAGCTTAGAGCGCTCACTTTGAGACGTTGACGCCGCAAAGTCATTGTTGGAATGGGCAATGAATCGCCAGCCATTCTCGTGGCGACCAGCAACGACGAACTCATATCTCGTGCATCCAAGGTGTGAAGTCACAGCGTAGGTCCACCTCTCAGTACCATTCTCGCTCATGGGCAGATCAATATCATACTTGTGAAACGTCCAGCGTTGGTGAGTATAGATATTATGTGGCACTAACTGTCGCGGATTGGGCGAAAGGTCAGCGCTAAGGTGGATGTGAATTGTAGGAGGCTGCGGCCCCTCAGTCACAATCATAATGCTACCCAGCCACGCCCCCTTCTCCATGTCCATATTGCAGTAACGGAGATACGGGCCAAAATATACGCCATTTGTGGGCTGTATTTTGTACATATCGACGCCAGCACTTGGTGGGGGTCCAGAGAAGCCGGCCGTGGTAGGCGTTTGAGATGCAGCAACACTCATGATGCTCTCGGCATAACCAGGAGTCTGCGGAGGAAACATCGGGGATCCGAGGCTTTGCTTTCCGAACATGGTCGGAGACGCGAGAGGATTGCCATAAGTTGAAGCAGTGGGCGATAGGGGCGCTTGTTCATGATGGATCGGATTTGGGCCCTTGGGGAATTCCCACTGCGTAGCCTGAGTAGCTAGGTGAATATAGTAGTATTGCCCAGAATTCTGGTCGAGGTGAGCAATCCAGCCTTCAGGCAACGGTGGCGGAGAGGATGGTCCGGCATTTTGGAAGGTGGCAGGGGCCTGGACAGTCTGCGCAACCGGCGTTGCAATGGGCTGTGCTTGTGATTGTGCTTGTACTTGCGGCTGCTGAACCTGAGCTGCAGACTGCCCATTTTGTTGCTCCGGTCGAGGATCATTGGCGAAAGCTGGATGGCCCTGTAAAGAAGGCGACGCAAGTCCTGCTGCTGCAGGACCAACCGAGGCGGGCTTCTTAGGTGGTGATTGTGCGACAGTTGTAGCCACGGACGGTTGCGAATCTGCTCTTTGCTGCGCTGGTCGTTGTTTCTCAGCGGGGTAGGAAGAGTTACCTCCTGGGTTGACGCTCGAATAGGCGGGTGGAGGAGTCTTAGTGCCCATCCGCTGGAAATCCTGTTCCAATACGCTGACTTGCAAGGCAGGCTGGTCTCCTTCGTTTACCGGCTGCTGGGGCGGAGGACTGAACGTGGGCTGAGTGGGACTTGTCACCGGATTCATCCCCAGGTACACAGTGGGCGGTCCATGTGGCTGGTTCTCTGGGTTCTCTGTGGGAGTCCAGGGTCGTGCTGGTGGTGGTGCCCCCCCATACTGAGCTAGTCTCTGGGACGCAGCGGAGCTCTGTGCCTGCTGTGCCTGCAAGCTAGTCAATGTCGCCGTGCCCGAGATACCAGAAGCAGCATATCGAGCCTCGATTCCACCTCCCGGAATGACACCCGGTTCCACGATAGGGGTCTCAGGAGGGGGTGGAGATCCCCGGCTGGCGCGTGTTGTGGATGTCGAAGCAGTAGATGCGAACCTGTTCACATTACTCTGACCAGGCATGTCGAGGTGTTCAGAACTCTGTGACTGTGGCTGAGGTGGTGGTCTCTGAGTGTGGCCATGAGCGGGAGGAGTAGAGCTTGATGCGCCGGCTGGGGGAGGGTAATACGGCTTCTTGGTGTAAGAGGGGTAGTTTGTGGTAGAAGCAACCGGGCGCTGGGGTTGCGGAGCGTCCAACGGCTTTGAAAAGAGGTTGCCTTCCTCTGAGGGGCTCGTGGGGGAGGCAGCGCCTAAAGGCCTCGGGCCGTTCCCACGTCGCTCGGCGAGCGTCGGACTCTTGGTCTCGACGGGACTGGCGTTCAAGCGCGGGGTGGTATCATTGTAGTCGGAGCCGAAGCGCTTCGGGGCAATAACAGTAGGCTTGGTTGGCTTGCCAGGCCGGAGATCTTCTTCGTCTGGGTATGGAAGCGGAGCGGCAGAGCTTGAGGCACCTGGAGGCAGAGGAAACGTAGGCTTCGAGGTAAAGGACGGCGTGCTCGAGGCCGAGGGAGGGGCGGGGTACTTGAACCGGTCGAACGAAGAAGACGGTACGGGACTCTGAGGCTTGAATATTCTCAGGGGCTCGACGGTCGGGCTGTCGCAATCCTCCTCAGAGGGTTTGCTAAGAAACAGCTCGGCGTCGGGGGTGCCACGGCTGCGCTCCATGGCGATGGGTCGTATCTAGATAGACCAGTATCTGGGGCCGACTTGCGCAGGTACGCGACAGGCTTGGTGCAGTCTGAATATGCGAATGACGCACGGCGAAAGCTCAAGTCTGCAGGTCAGAAAGGGTAAAAATGAAAAAAAAGTTATTTATAGGAGCTGTCGAAGCTGGCTGATTTGGTGTCTACTGTTGGCTACTATATTCTGGGAGGATCGCAGCAGCAGATGGGGGGGTTGGTGGGGTTGATTCTCACGAGGGAGGTCGCAGAAATGGCCGGCCGCTTGTTAAGGCCCGGTAGATGGACGAAACAGACACAATGCGGCCCCAAGACCTGTCGAAGAAAAAGACGACTTAGCAGCAGAGGGAGATGGGTGAATTGCAAAGCAGGTGGGAGCGCGATCTTCAAAAGAATAAAACTTGCTAGATAGGATGACGGATGGCCCGGTCAGGTAGGGTTTGGGTCTGGCGGGAAGCATTGGGCAAAGTTCGGCGTGGGATCTGTGAAATGGGACGGGGATCTGGGGGGGGTTCGTTCTCCAGCGGCAGCGAAAGTGAGAGGAGGGGTAGCCTCACGGTGCAGGCGCGGGAGGCCTGGCATGGCATTGCAGGGAATAGGTCCATATGGGCTATTGGCCGTTAATTAAGAGACAGCTGCTTTCAGTCACCCCCCAGAAGAGTGGCATCCAGGAGCCAAAGAGCCTAAACCACCAGGCCGTGGACAAGAACTATGGAGCCTGCATGATGGTATCTTGCCTAACGGAGCTCAGTGATTGGCCATTTATCGTGGGCGCTTAGAGAACTGGCAGCAGCAAATGGCATCCTCACCTTGGAGTTGCAAGCGCCTGCCCATGAAAGCGAATTGCTTGGCTTGAGCCTCCAACGGAGCCCAGAGCAAGGTACGGGTGCCACTCGAACTCGTAATGCGCGGCGAGCGAGATGAAAGTGATTTGTTGAAATGGGGATACGGCATCTGATATCCGGTGAGTCGACGATGCGCCAAGAAAGGGGAAGCACAGGTGCCCGCTCATCTGCAGCAACATTGAAGGATGGGCCATCACTTGATGGAAGCGCCGTTCATGTAGGGTTTTGAAGAGGGAAACTGGTAAAATATGTAGGCTTAGCCTGAATGCCTGCACATATTGTAGATACAAAGGAGAAACAGGCGGCTGGAGGGAAACTGCTGGAGCACACTGGATGAGTGGTTAGGACGGAAAAGGCCGAGAGATGGACCAAACTCCTCCAATCGGTGGATTACCTAAGCATTGGTCCTGCCCCGTTACACAAGGTCCGAGCTCCAAGAGTCGTGGAGGTTCGCCTCCGACAGAAGGAAATGTCACTGGCCAATATCGGAGTTTATGCATTCATGTGAATCTCAACTCCTCAGGAAGGGACAAAGGGGACTCGGACGTCGTCGCAACGACAACCCGGCAACTTAAACCGAGAACGACTCATAATCAGGGGAATTCGACTCACACTTGAAGCCTTACGACTTGTCCGCGCACCCAGCTAGACCAACTGTGGTTTGAGGCCTCAGCCTGGCGTGCGCGTCCTTTTCCCTTGCGTGGCAAGCACCACGACAGTGAGACTGTGGCACACGCACGCACTCACCACCTCCAGCGGTGCCGCCCTCCGGGACCGAGCAGCCACTGAACCCCACAGCGGTCCCCTTGTACCTGTCGGGCCCGAACACCGGGCTACCCAGTTCTGAACCTCACCTTTGCTCACCCATTGCCTTGACTTGCGAAACCATGACAAGAGGCAAACAACAAGACGCGTCTTCGGCGCCTAGGATGCCCCTAAAGTCGTTGCAACTCCGTCACAACTCGGTCTCCGATCCCCTCGGTGGACTCTACCACACACCTTGAACACCGGAGCTCGGTGAGAAAGCCTCCCGCCCTCCGGCTGTATCCAATGAGCTTATTCCCCTCTCCCAGGACGCGTGGCGACATTGTGCCTCCCATGTCCATCATTCGAAACCTTTCTGACCTGTTCGACAAGGGGAGTGTTGGAGTAGTGCACGTACTTCTGACTGGCTTAGTTTGGCGTCGCAAGTGATTTTGCCTTCCCTCATACCAATATCAGATGGAGGTGTACGCACGCTGCCTGCCTCACAGTGAATCACCGACATAGTATATAAGTTTAATATCGCCTCGACCTGATATTCAATCTGGTTCTTCATCCATAGCTTCATTAGCTTAACAACAATACCCTCAACCACTTTTCACCCACACACCCAATAACCCTACATCACCAAGCAGCAGCAATCATGTCTTGGGCTGGCCCAAACGGCAATAACAATCCCTTCCCCCACCCACCCGGCGCCCAGACATTCTGGAGTTGGGTTCACTCTCTTGACCCCAACAACCGTGCCGGAGCCGGTGTCGACCACTCTGCAGGCGGTCCCTGGGCGAACTTTCCCCACGGATTCCCGTTTCACGGTGCTGAATTTGGCCTCGGTAACGGCCCCAGTGGATGGGGTGCATACGGCGGCTGGGGTGATGCCCGAAGAGGAGGACCTGGCCACCGTCGCGGTGGCGGCCGTTGCGGCAGCCGGGGTCGCCACGGTCGCCACGAGCACCGACAGGGTATGAACGAGGGCGATGAGACAGCAGAAGACATCATGCGCGACGTCGATGACGCCGAGATCTCGGACAAGGAAAAGGACGACTCCCCCGACACCATGCGCGACAGCCCTGATGAGGGCCTCCCAGAGCACAGTCATCACCATGGCCCAGGCCGACGTGGCCGTGGACGCTTCGGCCGCGGCGGTGATCCCTGGCGACACAGCCGGCATCACCACGGACCTCACGGGCACCGGGGCCCACCTCCTCCCCCACCTCCGCCGCCATTCGGTGCCGGCCCGCCCCCGCCCCCACCATACCCTCACCCTAACCCTCAGTCTCCGGCCTTTGACTTCTCCAACTTTCTGAATCAATTCGCCGGCCGACCCTTCGCTCAGAACATCCGCGACTGGGCTACTCGCTTCGGTGGCATCAACAACCCCGGCGGCGCCCGCGGTGGCCCCGACTTCACCGCTGCCGCCAGCGACGACTCCTCCTTCAACCCCCCCGTTGACATTTTTGTTACCGAGAAGTCCTATGTACTTCACTTTGCTCTTCCTGGAGCCAAAAAGGACGATATCGGTGTCGACTGGGATGCCGACAAGAGTGAGCTCCGTGTTGCTGGTGTAGTCTACCGCCCTGGAGACGAGGACTTCCTGGCCACCATGGCCTCAAGCGAGCGCAGGGTTGGCATGTTCACCCGCTCCGTACCCCTCCCCCCCGCAGGCTCAGAGAGGGAGGAGGTTGACGCGCTGTCTATCACAGCCAAGATGGAAGATGGTGTCCTCATCGTCACCGTTCCCAAGCTCGAGAAGGAATGGACTGAGATCCATAAGGTCGACATCGAGTAATCTCTTGGAAAGACTTGCTCAGGATTTCTTTTGGTGTAAAATGGTTATTCGGTGGTTTTGTAATGAGTGATGCGGTGCTGCGAAGGATTTGAGGTCGGAATTTTGTTCACAAGGCTTTATATTAGGTAGCTATAAACATGACCATCTTACACTATCTGTTTGTCCCAACTGAAGTGAAGAGATATTGTGAGCTTAAAAGCTGAAAATACTAAATAAAGTTCTCGCCTCACGCGAATCAGCGTTCCTTACCGAGGTGAAAGGCCGCGAGGTGAATTGATCCGAAGGGCCACTGGCCATGCTGAAAATGTGATCTTGCTAATATCACTGCTCGAATTTTTGAAATGCCGACTAAATCTATCCATGGATCTTAATCTGCCATTTAAACCTTTTCCTATTTGCTGCAAATTCAAGCTACCATTGTGATTCCATCAGAGAGAACGTAATCTGGTCAGGTCCCTCTACATAAAAGGCAAGGTAAGGAAAGTTAGAGCAGTCTTGAGTGGCTTGTCAAAGTTTGCAAAAATGGTTCAACCTTGATATTGCGATTTTACGACCTTGGATATGAGAGGACCCCACGGCCCATACAGCACGATACAACAATGGGATACATCATGCCGGTCACTGCTCCAGCCGTTCCGTTTCCATTCGTCGACTACTTCTTAGCCGCCTTTGCAACAGCCAGAGCATCATCCAGGGTATCCAGTAAATCCTGTACATCTTCCAAGCCCGCGGAGATACGAACTGACTCCTCCACCAGTCCAAAGGAGCGGAGGTATGCTGCCTCTTCGGGGTCCTTGCCGAAAGCAAGTGTGTTGTAGCTGAGGCTCAGCGTGCGGTGGGCGCCGAGATGTGGACCGGGATAGAAGGCCAAACGATCGTAGAAAGCTCGCGCCGTGTCGACGGTCTCGAAATCGATGCTGAACAGGCAACCAGCACCTGGCTCCTCTAATTCGGGGGAAGAGCGGCGGAGAAAGGATTTATAGACGCCGTAGTCAGGAAGGTACGGCGGGTAGGAGACTTTTATGATAGGGGAGGATGGGTCTTTAACCAGGGAATAAAGATGGGCTGCCATGGCGGCGGCATTACGGTTAAGAATCGCTGTCCGGGAGAGGTAATCCTCCGAGTTGGAAAGGAGCGTCTCTGCATCACCAATGTAAAGCTCGTTGTGGAAGTTCTTGGACCAGAGCTGGGAGATGGCGTTGTAGTGTGATGATTGGGGATTCAAGACAACACTGCCGCCCATCACGTTTGCGTAGCCCGAGAACGATTTGGTGAGAGACGACAGGAGAATATCAGAGTACTCAAGAATGTCAATGTTGGCGAAAGAACCGACTGTGTCGTCCAGAATCACAACAAAGTTGTGCTTTTCAGACTTGAAATGACGTTAGCTCTCTGCCATTGGAAGTAATTCGGAGGAGGCTTACGAGCTTCTTTAGACGGACAACATCAATACTTGCTAGTAAGGGGTTGCTGGGGAATTCGGTGATGACATAGCTCACATCCTTGCCAGAAGCCTCCTGTTCATCCAACCATGCCTCGAAGGAGTCCAGGCCCTTAGCATCGACCAGCCCGAAATGCTTGTAGCCATGGGGTGAGGACTCCTGGATGTAATGGATGGTACTGTGAAAGACGATGCCCAAAATTGCGACACTGCCAGGCCGGTGTTTTAGTAGTATATGATGGGCCCCAAAAATGGCGGCCATTCCTGTCATGTACAGAAATACATCTTTACTTTGAACTTTGACTTTCTCGGGGTTGATAGCGGCCCTGTGTACAAGGCCTGAGATCCGCTCCCTAAGCCTGCCGTGAGCCTCGCCCTCCGGGAGGTAGCCTGTTGACGGGGGAGGTGAGCCGACCGGGAAAGTCACCTCAGTCAGAGAGTCAAGGTTCTTCTGTAAGTATTCTGCGAGACGGATGGAGACTCCAATGCCGGGATTCTGCCAAGCTCCCATGACGCCGGGGGTCTTGTGCAATGGATACGTGACCAGATATACGCGCACACCACCGATGTCAACGCACCGATAGCCCAAGTCTTCTTCTCCCAGCAGGTGATCCTTGCGACGAGGGTGAAGAGCATGAGCGCGCACAACGTCGAAGGATCGGGGAGAAGTGAAATAGAAAGCACCATGGCCCGCCGGTGTTTGAATCTTGGCACATATAGCCGTGAGGGTCTAAGCACATAAGTTTTCAATAAGTATGCTCACCAACGAAGACTACTGGGTTGAAACGTTTGAGAGAAGCATTCTGGGCAAGAACAAATCCGGAACAACTGACCTCGGCCACAGTTCTAAAAGGCCCAAAACGTGGGTAGATATGCACGATGCGAGATATGGTGGCCTGGTCGCCCTCACGGATTTTGATGGAGCTTTCCCAACCTGGAATATAAGTTGTAATGGCATAATTGGACTCGGGTGGCACACTGTGACCCCATTCTGAAGCTGGTTTGAGTACAGGCATGATGGCTATATCGTACTGGAGGGCGGGAATAGGCAGAATGAAACTTGGCGTGAGCAAAGGAATACGATGATAGCAAGCAGGTTGATTGCGTTATATGTAAAAAGTAAGTTGAGACACCTAACAGCTGAATCGACCGAGAGCTAGGCATGGCCCAGAATTAACGCCAACAGTGGTCTAGAGCGTGTAGAGGGGGGTCTAGCGCTTCGCCATGTCGTTCAGCTACGATTGACAGACTGACCGGAGAGGGGCAAGCGGGCGAGACAAGTTCAGCTGGAAGGGAAATTCCGTGCCACTCGTTACCCCTCGTATGTCACGCCAACGTACCAGCGATCTTGTGTTAATGAAGGATTCCACAACTCGTTTGGAATTCCGTGGGAATACAAGCCTCCATAGCTTCCCAAATGAGACTTCTTGTATAAATTTTGAGAGGTCAAGATCCGCGGAAGAACTTTACGAGTGATATCCAAGTCGATGGGATTAGCAACTACAGTTTGACTTCAACAGCATGACCTGTCTCCCTAATATCCGGACCATTTCTATTCGTCATAGTGATAGACAATTGAAGGTCACTTAAACCGAGAAACCCACCACAGCCAAGAGGACACAAAGAGTACAGCCAATGTACATATTGATATCACCATGCGCACCCACTAAAGCGTTGTACCCAGAATGATTGGCCAGAGACAATAGGTAAGCTTGGGGTTTGCTTGAGCACACTGCATGACACTTTTGAGTAAGTGGTGCGAAAGAAATCTGGATGGATGCTTGTTAGCTTGTTCAAGATTGGTTTCAATTTGTGCAAGAAACGTACCAGGTAAACTAGTGCACATAATCCTGATCGCTAAGTCAGTCCTGCTGGCGACATGAAGCAGATTTGACTTCACGCTTTTAGTGAGTGACCAGACAAGTCAATATTGACTCGAGCTACTGGAGAACCGTTGCAGAGTGATTCCATCATTGAGTAGCGATGGCGTAAGAGGTCATTCTTCAAACACAGTCTGATGAAAATTGATCAAAATCACGTCCATACTCACGCCAATTGCAAGTGCTTTGCGTTTCTAAATCTCTACATGCCCAAAATACACCATGATAATACGATACTAATTCGACAAGACACGGCCAAAGCAGATTAACCACAATAGGACACCGTTGCCAATAGTACAAAGTACAAAGGAACACTCAGTCGCTCCTTTTCGCCAAATGATTTACGCACATGGCCTTCATATTTCACCAGTACTTGCGCTCCCTGCCCTCAAACGCGAAGTTGAGGACCACGGCAATGAACAACGCACCACAGAGCGCACTGGGGCCCCATCGATCGTAAAACTTAGCCGCCCTCCTAGTGCGGATAGCTTTGCTCCTGTACAAGTAAATGACGACAGAGTAGCAGAGCGATAGAATGGCGAGCAATGTAAACACGCCGGCCACTATGAATGATGCACTTGTTGGTTTGGAGCCGAAGTTGAGCAGCGTAACGGCTACTGTGCCGACGTAGATCGAATACTCGAGCTATTAAGATTACAATGTCAGTATCTGTCTGCCTATCGGATCGTTGAAGAAACATACCCAGCCGAGGAACGTCCTCTCAGCTGCGAAGTAAACTTTGGGCTCGACACGGACGGGGACATAAATCTTCTTGCCCTTGGGAGCCTTGAACCTCTTGGTTTGAATATCTCCGGAGCCAAAAAGTTGGGTTTGTACCTCTCTTCGCGGGATCACTGAACCGCGGGGATGAGGCACGACCCATTTCAGTACATCGCCGACATTGTGACCAAGAGCGCGCGCCTTCGTCGAGGCAAGAGTAGAATAGTACGTCCATCCACCAATTCTGCGAGCTTCTTCCAGAGCCTCATCGGCATCGTATTCTTCGTCCGAATCGTACAGAAAGTCTTCATTATCGGCGATGGCGATGGCATCGGTCGTCTGATCTTCTATGTCAAGCGCTCCGTTTCTGCTAGCGCCCTGGCGACTAGACTCTCCGTTTGTTGTTCCGTTGTTTCTGACAACCAAGGCACCCTCTTCATCGTCAGAGTCAAGGTCATCGTCGTCTTCGTCGTCAGATGTTGTTGTCGTTGCTGACTGGTTCGGCCTATGAATACCGAAGTCATGGGTAACAGGCTTTCTGATATCGACGTCCATCTGCGGCATCCAGAACGGCAGCAAGTTAATCCGATCAGGGAAGAGACAAGCAACTCCATGGATGAACTTGGAGAATTTGGGGACAGCCTCAACCAAATGGCTGGAAATGAGCTGCCGAACCCACTCCGGAGGCTCTTGGCCAAGCTGTGTTTGCAGCTTGACTTCAAGTACGGCGTATGGGAACCGCTCAATGTCACTAGGCGGCAGCTGCGAGAAGGGGTAATCAATACCGATATCCATCCGCCTCCAGTTGTCGCCTGAGCGCTGAACACCGTCAAGGTTATCCTCGCGAATCATTGTCAGTTCCGTATCCAGGGAGATGCGGACGCGAGCATCAGCAGGGAGTTGGAAGGCGGTGCGGTTGTAAAAGGATCTGCACACGGGCTTGTAGCCTTTCTTCAACACCGAGTACTGCACCTCCGCTGCAAGTCTCTCGTCTTCGGCAATTTGCTTCTCAGACTTCTTACCCTCCTTGCGTGCCTTTTCGAATAGAGCTGCAGGCAGAAGTTCGCCTCGCATGTACGAGTTAACATTCTTTTCCTTGAGTGAGAAACGTGCCTTGACGGATTTCTCCCCAGTCCAGTCTTCACGATGTGTTTTACGCTCAACAAAAATGTTCTCGCTCTGCATTCCGCCATACCATCTTAGACGGATAGCCTCTGCTCCCTCGGTCTTCTTCAGCCGACCCTCGTACAGATCCCAGGTGTCTGGGTTGTCGTAGTAGATGGAAGTGATAGCCGAGTCTTGCGTTTCGAATTCCTTGCTGGCGTTGAAAACAAGTACGGGCAAGTGCTTCAGAATGATGAGCTTCAGCTCGGTTACATTGTCCGGATGAACCCAGTACTTCGTCGTGTTACGAACGAAGCTGCCTTGGGTACCACCGGCTGCACTATCGCCCTTGACCGGGTTGCCCCTTGTCCTCACCAAATCGTACAGCTTGGAGAGCTTTACAACGGAAGCGTCATAGTTTTCTTTGTAGAACGGCTTCGCCTTCAGCCTGGTATCGAAGACAGGTTTGAGATGCCAGCCGGTCAGTTTCTACGTCCTGTTAGCCTTCTGTCGTTTCGAACGGTGAGGCACAAACGTACGTCGTGTTTCTTGATAATTTTATAGAAGCCAGTATAGTTCAGCTGCACAAATTTGGCAAGGTCGTGTACATCGGCGATGATGTCGCTCAAGTCCTCTTCCAAGAGCATAAACTCCTCTTCGCTAGGTCCGTCCTCACGAGGACCTCGCTCGTTGAGGCGATTCACAACTCCCTTCACCTCGCGCTCGCTCACGGCAATGCGCCTCGAGATTTCCATCGCTTTAACCTGCTGCTTTGTGTGCACTTTGTCGAGCTCGGCCTCGAGCTTCTTGACGAAGCGGCCCTCGTCTTCCTCGGACCATTCTCGTTTCACGCCTTTACCCTTGTTGTCCGTCGAGGTTATCGGGCCCGTGGCTGTCTTGAGATCAGCCTTGAGGGCATCGTAATCGATGTAGTACCATTGGTACTCGCGAATGATGCTCGAACGGAGCTGCTCGCCGAACTTCATGACGACAATACCGGGACGGGCGCGCCAGGGTTCACTGGGTGCTAGACTCGGTCGCCAAGTTCGTGTCTGTGTTACCAGGTCTTGGACAATTAGCATGAGGAGAGGTCTCGCTGAAGAGGGAGCATCGTAGTGGACTGGCAATTTAAATCCGTCGAAAAATAGCCAGCCTGAGGTTGGTGCTTTGTGTGTTGTGAGGCGAATCGATTCCAAGGAAACGGTGGGGTCAATCGCAAAGAATTCGCAAAAGAGACGGGTCTCACCTATGCAGCTCGTATCCGTACACCCGATCGTGCAGGTGTGAAATGTTCCAGATGTTGGAGTAAAAATGTGGTAAGGTTGAGGGTAGCGTTGACTGGCGCGGTCGGGTAGTTCAGGCAAAACAAATGGGAGGCGATGGAATGGAGGCGGCCGACGGTTGACGAGACAAGCTTCCGGCAGGGGGCTCTGACAACGAGCCCCCAAACCTAGTAAAGTGAACTTAGACCTAGCCTAGCTCTAGGAGGTCTGGGTCCAGTATCCGCTCTTATGCAGAGCTCTCCGCAGGGGGGCATTGACCAATTATGTACGGTAAAAGAGCACGTGCGCTGTACGTCACAGCGCGTTCAGCGGGCGGGAAGGAATTTTTTTGCCATGGCGGGGTCGGCGGGGGAGGGTGCATGCCCGCGCCCGGAGATTTGAAGAACTCTTGTGAATTCTTGCGCCGGCCGAGATCGAAATTACCACGGACCCTTCCCCGGCACACCGGTCCCGATCGAAGCCGCTTGCAGATCGAATCCCCTTCCGATCCTTGACACACCGAGTCCGAGTACACGTCCTACCCTTGAACCGACTGTCTCCCTGGCACCCTCCTGCCCTCTTTCATCATGGCTATTGACGATTCGATGCAAGCCCGTATTACGGCCGACTGTCCCGACTCAATCAGAGAGATTCTTCTCCACGCCTGGAGTCATGACATATCTGAGCTGAAGAAACTTCTCGACGCCCCTGGCAAGGCAAGCATCCAAGATCCCACGACCGGCGAGACACCACTTCACGCTGCTATTCGCGCTTGCGGACCCGCCAGGGATGGGGATGACGATCTGAAAGCCGAGGAGGCTAAAGAGACGATATACGAACTCTTTCTCAAGGGCGCAATATGGAACGACGTCGACTCCAACAATGAGACACCCGGTTGTCTTGCCCAGCGTCTAGGCCAGAGTGAGCTCTACAGAACCTGTGTTGAGGCTGGTGTGCGCGCTGAGCTGTTATTTGGCCTCTTGGACGGATACGAGCAGCTGTCTTCTGGCTCCGAGATGGACGAAGATGAGGAAGTTGAGGCTACCAATGGCGAGAGTGGCGCTCAAGAGGAGGGAGCGTCTGAAGCAGCTGTCGAGCCCACCCTCGAAACGGAAGGCGAGAAAAAGTTTGTGCCGCCGACTGTCGCTGACCCCAACGTCACATCGGAGGAATACCTCCAGTCAAACCTAACCTACTCAGAAGGCAAGCTTGTAGATGACGGCGGCAACGGCGTTATGATGGCCTGGGAGACGGAAATCATGCGCAAGAGTGTCGACGCAGTCCTACCTCAACTGGCCGCCGGCAAGCGTATCCTCAATGTCGGTTTCGGCATGGGCATCATCGACGCCATGTTCGCTGAGACACACCCTTCAAGGCACCACGTCATTGAGGCACACCCCGAGGTGCTTGAACATATTGACAAGCCCGACTCTAAGTTCGGTGCAGCATGGGAGGCGAGCGGCCCTGAAGAGGGGGCATATAAAATCCACAGAGGACGATGGCAGGATATCGTACCAAAACTACTTGAGCAAGGCGAGGTATACGATGCTATTTACTTCGACACGTTTGGTGAAGATTACGGCCAGTTGAATATGTTCTTCACGGAGTACATCCCTGGCTTAATGGACGAACAGGGCCGTTTCAGTTTCTTCAACGGCCTGGGAGCTGATCGAAGGGTATGTTACGATGTCTACACCAAAGTCGTTGAAATGCACATGGCCGATGCTGGACTGGATGTTGAGTGGGACGAGATGGACGTGGATATGAAGGGTCTTGAAGAGGCAGGTAAGGGTGAGTGGGAAGGTGTGAAGCGCCGGTATTGGACTTTAGACAGTAAGCATCGTTCCAATTTCGTTCTTTACGTGAGCTAACGCAACACAGAGTACCGCCTGCCAACTTGCACATTCCTGGGCTGATCCCCCGCTAGAGAATCTGGTTGTATGGGCTACCTAAAAGGTATGGTACAAGTTATAGAGCCTCTTCAGATAGAAGCCGTATCCACACTATTCCTTTAGTTCCTGGAACTTTGCTGCTTGTCCTTCCTCATACCACATCTTCAATAACTATTTGAAGTTCTCCGGGTGGAGAATGCCGGCCATATTGCCTTGTTGAACTCTCTTAAGAGTCAGGGCTGCTATTAGGGCTGCACCGACACCACTGCCGTCCTCCGCAGCGAGGATTTCGATGGGGTCCTCGTCCTTGGTGTTTGTCTTGGCAGGCCAGTCAAGGATCTCGCGGAGAGCCTGGGCACCACGGGCCTTGAAGTGGGGGTACTTGTTAAACACCGAGCCGTCGGCGCCAACATGGCAGCTCTCGTAACCCTTCTTCATGCAGATGGCTGCAACACCACAGGCAGAGAGACGGGCAGCACGAGTGCCGATGAGCTCAGCCAGGCGACGAACCAGTTCCAGCTCGGAGCGGTTAGGCTTGATATTCAGCTTGGTAACGAACAGATCGCTGGTCTCCTGCAAGTTCTCGAACGGGTCACTGTATCGTGTTAGGTCTCATTCTCACAAGGCGATGTCTCTCTAGTACTTACTCCTCAATAGCGGACAGGAACGAAGAGTCCAAGGTGTACGCCTTGCGAAGCTTGGCAATGTCTTGGTTCTCGAAGATGTGGACAGCCTTGTTGTCGTGCAAGTCAACCAAAACCAAACGGAAGATCTCACCCAGGTAGAGACCAGCAATCATCTTCTCGAAAGCCTGCTGACCAGGGCGAGGGGAGTCCTTGTCAATAATGATATCGTAGGGAGTACGAGGCAAAACCTTGTGCTCGTTGTCGAAGGCACCCCACTCGCAGTTGATAGCCATGGGCGTATCAGGGGGCAGGTTCATGTGAGCAAGCTTAGGAATCGAGCCGCAGTCCTCCATGTAAGCGGCATTGCAGCCGGTGCCGAAAATGCAGCCGATTTTCATCTTAGTATCAGTGTATGCCGAGGCAATCAAGGTTCCCGTCGTGTCGTTGATCAAAGCAGACAACTTGATAGGCACATTCTGTAGAGGTGTCAGCTCTTGCTAAAGTCGCTCAACCTTAGGAGAAAATCTCACTCTGCGCGCCAGAGCAGCCTCAAGGAACGGTACAACATTGTGACCCTCGACACCAGCGATGTCGAAACCCTTGGTCCAACGCTGGAGAATACCCTCGTCGATATAGTTCTGGGTAGCAGGATAGGAGAAAGTGAATCCAAGAGGGATCTTCTCAGACTTGGGATGGTCGGGGTGATGCGTCTCGATGAACTGAGACAAGCAGTCGGCAATGTACTCCCACAGCTCATCAGATTCGCCGGTCTTGAGCTCCTCAGGCATGCGGTACTTAGACTGGATGATGTCGAACTCGGATTTCTGGTCCGTCAGGGTGATCTCACAGACGCGGAGGTTGGTGCCCCCCATGTCAAGGGCGAGAAAGGTTCCAGTCTCGTAGCCATCAGGAAAAGACATGACCCAAGTGGGGTTCATAGGCTGACAACGGTTAGATAAGGGCAATGAAAGCCAACATAACACTTGGAACATCGTGACTTACGATACTACCCCCTTCGACGCTTAAACCTATACTACTGTTAGCAACCGATTTAAATCAGCCCTTTTTGATGGTCCAATACTAACCTTTCTCAAGCTCGGAGATGAAGTGCTTGCTGATCGCCTTGAGCTTTTCGGTGGGAACAGTGAACTGCTGCTCCAGCTTCTTCACCTCCTCCATGAGGTCCTTGGGCACATCGGCCATCGAACCTAAAATATCACGCATGTTAGCGACTCCAGACAAAAAAAAATCAAAAAACGTTAATGTGAAGTATTGCTTGCTTTGCGGTGAAGGAACAAAAATGTTGGTATGATGATAGGAGCGCTCCCTCGTATGAGGAGCAATTGCCTTGTCCATCATACTGAAAAAAGGGCTTTGGCAACAAATTCGACTGCTAGCAAGCTTTTCGCCCAGCTCTAGGAGAAAGCAATGTCTCTCGCAATGAGTGTCACGGGTAATTTGAAAGTAAAAATAAGAGTGTGAATCAGGATAACAAAGAGAGCAAACAATGGCACACGAGCAGCACAGCCGATACCGCAAAGCAGCCAGATGTGTGAGCAAGCAGGCAGGGAACGGCGCTTGCCAGCTTGTTATACCAACAAGTGATGTGGCAGAAGAAGAAAGCTGGGGTGAAGGTGGGGGAATGTCTGATAAGTGAGACCATGTCTCCCAGCTCAACGCTAGATGGCTTGCATTTTTCCCACTGAAATGCAACAAAGCCAGCTACCCCTTCGGCCTGGGGTAAGTCCGTTGGAGCTGCCCAGCAAAGCGGCCCAGCCTTGTGGCGCATTATGCACTCTGACGCAGAAGCATTGGAAAATACCCAAATGCCAGTTAGAGTCGGGAGCGGGCGATGATGGTGGTGTGCGCGGGGGTAGGATAGGAGGATGAGGCGTTGAGGATGACGGAGAGGGTGTGACGGCTGCATGGTTTGCGGCATGGCGTAGGTGCGATACAACTGCCAGCACCCAGTGAGACGGAGGCATCTCGAGTATTGTCTCAACGCCGAATGCTGCCCGAAGACTCCGTTCCTCTGTATCAAATTGTCCAAAGCACTCCGGAAAGAGTGAACAAGAGAAATACGGTTCAAACTTACCCTTCCTAGAGGGCGGGACCTTGGGACCAAGACCGACCATTTTGACCGAGAGCTATGGAGGATCGCGGGGTAGACTTGGTGGGGGGTCGAAACCAGGTTGTAGGTGGGTGTTGACAGGTGCAAGAGACTACAGCTGTCGATAAGTCAAAGATATACAAGCGAAACAAAAAGGATAAAAATTCCTTGGTGTTGGTTTGTAGGTGGGCGGTCAATCAGCTTTTGGTGGTGAGAAATGCTGTAGTGACGTTGAGAAAAAGGTGAAGGTACGTGGATCATATGACCGTGTGAGAAGGAAGTGAGAAGTCGAATTGGAGTGGACTCGACCTTGTCAGAACCTGCACCAAACTGGAACCTTGACTAGACTTCACCCAACACGGGTGCACCTGCCTATCATCCTATGCCCACTCACTGCGGTCCTTCCCTCAGTCAAGTCTTAACCCCCAAGATCGCCGAGCCAGGGCACCTCTGAGATACCAACACCAATTATGCTAGGCCAATTGGTAGCTCAGACGCGCTGTTTTTTTTTCGGCCTTCCCTTGCAATGTTCCACTGCACCGCGGACCAAATTCGTTAAGCCCCGTTCAATGGTTACTACGAGATTTGCAGCGACCTTACTTAGCTGGGATGCGCCTAGAAACACCGTAGCGGTCTGTAGTGGACCCTAAAGAGTTGGTCCGAACTTAACGGCCAGGGGTCAGTCAGACCACTGAGGATATGCAGAGTGCATTGATAAGGTCAACTGCTCCTTGTGGAGGACTATGTCTTGGTTGAATCAGTCTTCTATACGGCTCCTCCCTACATATACTAGTAAAACCCCAAACTCCGGAGTTCACGGCCTGTGACGTGGAGGTGGGAGAACGAGCTACAACCTACCTTACGCAAAGAAAGCTGTCATGCCCCACCAATACCCGAAGCCAGTCGTCATTGGAAAGGCAAGAGCTCCATCCTGCCAAGTGGATGCAGAGGGCAAAGAGTGGCTGAGGCACGATTTGTGGCTTCTCCATATTACAGCAGAGCTAGCCACACTAGTCCTCAAGAAACGGTCCACGCGGCCAGGCTCTACGGATAGCTTAGCTCAGCGTTGAGAGCCATCCACGCCCGGACTTGTATTGACCCGTCCCGGCGGTTCTCAACTGTACCTGGCCCGTGCGTGCCGTCAAGCAACGTATCCGTAAGCTTTTGACTGGGGGTAGCTGTCTCAGGAGCCAGATCATCAATTCGGCAATGGAGTGAAAGCCCCAATTGCGCCTCAACAACCACTCTCTTCCATCTTTGATTCTCACTGCCAGGAGCGCTCTGTCAATGAGCATCTCCTCCGAATTTTTCACATCATGAGAGCCTTCGCCATTGCCGCTGGGCTTCTGAGCCTGCTCTCCCCAGTTGTCGCGAGCTCCGCAGACAAGGTGTCGGAAGTCAAAACGCCGGCCACTTTCAAGCCGCCTCAAGTCTTCAAGAATGCCAATCTAGTGCACATCATTTCTCTTGAGAAGAACTACGTCAAGGAGTCAATCAATGTTCTGATTGAGAATATCGACAAGCAACCCCAGGATGAATACTATCTGCCCTTCAACCCTGACCAGATGTCGCGCATCGGCGGCTTCGAGGCAAAGGACAGGAAAAATCCCGAAACAGGCCCTTTTGCTGCTGAAGCGGTCGAGTACGACCCTTTAAGGTCGGTGAATAATTGCGCAGAAGATACCTGCCATTGTGTTAACAGCGAAGCAGCGAGATCCAGTACTATAGAATCAAGTTACCGGCGCCCTTGAAGGCTGGTGCCCAGCAGACGCTGAGCATCTCTTACTACCTCCTCAAGGCGTACAAGCCCCTTCCTGCCTCGATCGCTCAGGAAGAGAATCAATTTCTCACCTACGACTTCTCGGTGTACGCCCCCTCAGCCTACACCACCACGAAGCAAAAGACGGAGCTCAAGTCCCACTCCTCGAACATCCCTGATTACACCAAGCTCCCTGGCAGCGGAGAGGTTAAAGAGTTTCCTCAAAAGGCAGGCTCTAAGCTTACTTATGGCCCCTTTGATGAGAAGCCTGCCGGCGCTGTTTCTCCGGCTCAGGTGCGATTCGAGTTTACCAAGCCCGTAACCCACGTCGCCACGCTCGACCGCGATATTGAGGTCAGCCACTGGGGAGGAAATGTGGCTTTCGAGGAGAAGTACGAACTCTATCACCGCGGTGCCAACTTGTCCAAGCTTTTCAACCGAGTGAAGTGGCAGCAGTCGCAATACTTCAACCCCAATACCTATGCTTTGAAGGAATTGAGGTTTCCTTTGAGAATTGGAAGTGCAGACCCCTACTACACCGACGCTATCGGCAATGTCTCGACTTCGAGATTTCGTAGCAACAAGCGCGAGGCTCTCCTCGAGATCAAGCCCCGTTACCCTGTGTTTGGTGGCTGGAAGTACCCCTTCACCATCGGCTGGAATTCGGATGCTAAGAACTTTGTCCGAACCATCGATCGCTCCGGAAAGTACGTCCTCAACGTACCTTTTCTGGAAGGGCCTAAGCAGCCTGAGGGTGTTGAGTATGGTCAGGTTAACCTGCGCATCCTTCTGCCAGAGGGAGCTACGTGAGTGATAACTGCGAACCCCATGAGTATATCGCCAGTAATGCTTAACATGTTTACAGGAACGTCAAGTTTTACACCAGCCTCCCTGAATCGGCCATCACTGATTCCGCCGTTGGCATTCACAGAACCTATCTCGACACTGTGGGTCGCACCTCCGTCACTATTAAGGCGAACAACCTTGTCGACGAGTTCCGTGACCGAGAGGTAATTGTGTCTTATGAATACTCAACGGTGTCTGCGCTGCGCAAGCCCCTTGTTGTCTTCGTCAGCATGGTTTTCGTCTTTGTGGCGGCATGGGTTATTGGGGGACTGAACCCGACGATTGCAAAGAAGAAATAGAGCGGTCTTTATAGACCTGGGGTGCGACGTTTCCTAGCATTGTACATGTAACATCAGACAGGCATCTAAAAGCAGAACCGGAACGGATGGCTTTAGAATCATGACAGGGCTGACAGACTGGTCTTCACATTGAAAAATCGTTTGCTGTTATCTTTTTCACAACTTTGTTAAGTGACGGTCACTAGCCTGATATGCAGGGTCCGATTCTGCAAAACTAGCTCACCCTAGGCGCTTAACAAAGGCGTTTGAGAAGCTAACCCTGCTGACATTCCTACAAGCTGGTGGTAGGCGCAGGCTGACGTCGTGGGCTGACCAAAACGAGTATGCGGTGAGGCTTGAGTGTGAGTGGACCAGAATGAATGATCGATCGATCTTGACTCCTCCGTCATCACAATAGCAGATTTAGTGGTTGCGGGAAAGAAGACAAATAGACAAAATAGGCATTTTGCGGTTGATGTTGTCGTTAACTGACAGGCCGGGAGTCTGAGCTTCATCTAAACTTGTTTGAATCCTGGTTCTTCTTCGTTGCGATTTCTTGCTTCTGCCACAGAACTTGCTTGCAACGGTCGCAACGGTCGCAACGGTAACAGTCGTTTTGACCGTTTTTGAACCCTTCCACATTTCAAGCAGGGGCCGGTTGGGCGCAGTCAAGAAAGTCCAGGGCCTGAAAGAAGCTATTTTATGTTTGAGGCCCTACAAGATATATGACTCAATCCAACTATTTGCAGCTCTCAGTCTAAGTAGGGAGACCTTCCATCCTTTGCTGAATAAAATCCAACTTCTGACCTCTGGGGGCTTCTGGGCGACTACGCAAGCCCTCTCACGCGGATCAAACCAAGGTGGGGGACCCTGGCTTTTACTCAGCGGTCTGGACTGGACTTCGGGTGGGTGAGGCGGCGCCATTTTTGAAAAGCAGGGATGGCATGTCCAACACGGTGCCCCCGCCGCCGCGGATTGGAGCAAGGGTCGCAACCACGGCAGCTGCGCCCACGACCCTGGAAGCGAAAGGGAAGAAAAGGTAACTGGGCCACCTACCACAGCAGCATAACACGTAAAACCAGGCAGTCCTCATGCGGAGCAGGGTTTCGGTGAGGATTGTACTTCGTTGCTTCGTGGGCCATCTAAATGGAGGGGAGTGAGGGGCATCCATCCATCCCCAAATAGCATGGATGACTGATTTACTTCGCCTTGGTCCCAAGTCCCCTGACTTAGTTGGACTAAGTTGCCAACCTTTGACCACTTGGACGCAGATATGGCCCAAGCCAGGTTTGTTAGAGAGATAGGTTGTGGGATCATAAAAAGGTGGCCTGTCGCCCACACCCGATTTTGGGCTGATGCATCGCATAACCTTGACACTTGCGCAAAGAACATTCGCTGAATCTTCTACTTGCATCCATCATATACCATTCACCCAGAGCTGTACCTGAGTAGCCATCGCGACCTATACCAAACTATTACCACGCTCTACTTGGCTCTGAGACCTAGACACCAAAAAACTTACACGAGCATTCACACAACTTACCTAACACGCCATCTGTAGAGACGACAAAATGTGCTTTGGAACCAGCGGTCGCAAGTACTATTACCACGAGGAAGTCATCCCCACGAGATACCACCATCATCACCATGGCCATCACCACCATGGCCATCATCATCACCACAGCCACTCACCGCGCGCGAGCTACACCAGCGTGAGACGATCTTATGTGGCTAGCAGCCCCCGGGTTAGCTATGTCGAACCCGTAGTCTACCAGCGGACAAGCCGCAGACACTGCTGAGCCTGGCTAGCAACATCATCTCAGCCCTAAGACGGGCTCTATCGAAAGCGGGAAACCTCAACTTCGCTTCATTGTTATCAGACGAGCAACGGTATAATTGTTTCGGAAAGAGGGGGGCTATAAGAGAAGAGAAGACAGGACGGAACGAAAGGCCGAAACGTGAACCAGCACGAACACAACGCAGCGCATAGCACAGACCTGAATGGTATTAGTTTCTCGGAGAAAGAGGGGTTGGGCATGTGCCTACTTGCAGGACGGGCAACGTTACGAAAGAATTGACGGAATTTCATGAAGGCGTATGAAGCAGGTCGGCATCGTTTCAACTTTGGGACACGGAGTTTGTAGGACTACAGTGGTTTTTTCTGGGCGACATAGGTGGAACGCAATATTATGTATACGTATTATAGATTTATATTCGATATTTCGGTAATGCGATCTCTTGAGTTTCTTACTGAAGACGAAGCGTAGCTCAAAACATATTGAAGACGTTTGAGAACCGCAAAACCAGCTATAAGCGAAGGACGAGCACACCCGACCTGCTCCCAAAATAGGTTTGCGTTTGGAAGACTCGGCCAAACGGAAGCCAGCCATCTATTGAGAATGCCTGTGGGCAGGCGTGTGTCGTGATCGTAGAGTATCACTTCGAGGCGAGCTGGGGTTGGAGAAGTGGAGGGAGAACGGCCTTTCTAGAGGGGCAGGGAAGACCCTTTTTTTTTCCCCCTTAGGTATCGCCCAGGTCGCCTGTTCTTGTAATGGTAATGACATCATAGCGCAACCCCTCCAACCACTTCGTCATCCTCAGCATCATCACCATTTGCTTGGAGAGCTTACGGCTGTTAATTGCGAGGTGGCTACCCAACTAGTCCGGTGCGCTCGGCTTGCCTCATTGAACACTGCTAATCTATACAGCACCTCATGACTCCCTTAGGAGGCCCTAGACAGCACAACAGTTTATGCGTGTTACCTGCTTTCATGGCCCCAGAATGCTAGAGTGTTAGAGCTACTATGCAGAGCTAGAGCTAGAGCTACCTACCCTCTACTTTCCTGCTGGCGTGGGAATTTCACCTGCAGATTGAAAGATTATGACATGACTGTCTCATCCAATGCCCTATTTCCGAGTCAACCGTCGAGGCGCTCGCTTCTCTTTTTAAATCCCCAGTAGACCCTTGTCGCATCACCGTGGGCTCATCTTGTGCTGCAACTTCCCTTTCCCCAGCAACGCCTTTTCTTGCCCAATTATTTCAATCGAAAAAATTGCAGGCGAAACTTGACAGTGATAATCTGAAGCTGTCATCCCTGTGTCAAACCTCCTTCCCCAGTTATAGACACAACCGTCACATCCTGCAGGGGCGGACCTTCTTCCCTCGTCATTATTCGCATCCAGCAGCGCTCTTGCTTCACATGCAGCGAAGGAAACCGTTCTAGAGAAAGCGCGGCAGTATATCAGATATTGTATCCTGAGATCCCCGACTAGCCGCAATAATGTAAGTGATGTGATGTCCAGCTCCCATCATCAGGACCCACCAAGTCACGATGCGTCGGTTCTTTTCCTCTCGCACGAGCGAGGACTCTGATGCTCCCTTTGGAATAACAAGCCTCACTTACACGCCGTGAAAACAGCCAGCCGATATGTTTGAGATAATTTTACTAACGACTGCGCAGGAATCGCTCACTCTCTATTCGCTCCAACCATCGCCGCAACGGCTCCCAAAACACACCAAAGCGCACCGGCTTCTCTTTCAACTCCCTCCGCGGCAACATTCAGCCCGAACTCTCGCGTCGCCTCTACCGTCTTATCAAGAGTGAGAACAATCTCATTACTGCCCATGAAACTGCCGGTCGCGAGCGTGTCTCTATTGCCACCCAACTTTCGGAGTGGGGTGAGCAAACTAATGACGAGGCCATCTCCGACATTTCCGACAAGGTCGGCGTCATTCTGAGTGAGCTTGGTGAGCAAGAAGACCAGTATGCACACTCGCTAGACGACGCCAGAGGTGTTCTTAAGGCCATCCGGAATACCGAAAAGAGCGTCCAGCCCAGCCGCGACGGCAAAGACAAGATTGCCGATGAGATTGCAAGGCTGAAGTTGAAGGAGCCCCAGAGCGCCAGACTTGTTGTACTTGAGCAAGAGCTCGTTAGAGCCGAAGCGGAGAACCTAGTGGCCGAGGCTCAGCTGACGAATATCGTATGTTTTGCTTCTAGTAACCATGATTTGATTTTGGCATGTTAACAACGAGTATTTCAGACTCGCCAGAAACTGAAGGAGGCATACGAGGCCGAGTTTAATGCCACAATCGAAAGAGCGGCGAAGCAAATCATTCTTGCCAAGCACGGTCGACGTCTATTACAGCTGCTTGACGACACACCTGTTGTTCCCGGCGATATGCACCCGACCTACCACCACGCTCAACAGGCGCGGCAGATTCTGAACGATGCTGAAGATGACCTTCGTGACTGGCAACCTGACCAGGACTTCACCACTACGCAGACCGGAAGTGTTTCCAATTCTAAGGGTAAAGGAAATGTGCACGACGAAGATGCTAACATCGTTGCTGGTTCGGTGCCTGAAGCTCAGTTGCGTCATAACGCTGATGACACTAGCATTGCGAGCAACGGTACCAAACGGACCGAAAGTGTGACCGCTGCGTAATTATCAGGCTAGGAAATGGGATTGGTATTCTTTTTACTTCACGCGGAAGAGTCTTGATGGACGTTGGTCTTTGGCATGTTATTCTGCCGATTTGATGTAATACCATCGTTACGCCTTGCTTTAATGAAATTGTCTACGATAACCTTAACAAAGAGTGTTTTTCTTTAAAATGAGTTGCTTAATTAATGTCTCGGGTTATGCGACGACACTGCATTGTCAGCCTCGGACGTTCGAAGATATCGCGGTGGTTCTTCGCCATATCCCCAGAGAAGACCAACAGCTAACAGATTTTGCGGTGATACTCTCATGTTCCACAAAAGACACGTATGATATATCTGATGTGTATTACAGAATCTGGGTGTCTGCTCCTCCATCCGGGCCTTTCCATTCGCTGCCGTTATATCCGCCACATGATTTCAACGAGAGAAAAGAGGGATCAAAACCCGTAGATTATCTATCACCACTAATACTTCGATTGGCTATGGAACGCAAGACCACAACACCTATGATACTGTATTGAATCAGACTGAGAGGTTTGATTTTAGCCAGCATTCTGGCCTTCGTGGTTTAGCTCGACCAGGTCTACGTAGGTAGGCGGGATAATGGTAGCTGTGCGCCCGAGCAGAACCATCTACAGTTGGTTCAACGACGTCGTCGTCTTCGTCCGATCCGTTCATAAGTTATCCAGGGACCCAAGTCTGGGAAACACCAAACCGGGGGGAGTATTATCGGTGGGCCGGACCTAGATAATTTTAGCACTGGTAAGGTCGTGTGCATTGGTACGACAGGCCGTCTTCAAACCCGGGGTCGAGGGCCGTATTGCCTTATCACGCCCTCCCGTCTTTCCATGCCAATGAGTGTAGCCCCGCAAGTGATTCAAGTACGCCTCGTATTTCTGGTATTGGATGCACGAGTTCCGTGGATGAAGCAAAATGTTGCAGAGATAGATGATGGGTCCCATGTATTCGGCGTGGTGGAGTCAAGCGTACTGATAGGTATGTAAGACAGTAACAAGCTTGGAAACGATGCTAAGGGTATTGCCGACTGTAACTGAAATTGTAGTTCATGGTTTTCACTCCTGCGTCTGATAGGATAGTTGGTCTTGGAAGCAGCTCCCTCGTTATGAATTTGGTTGAGAAAACTGAGCAGGGCATGTGTCTGAGAATAGGAATCGATCTCCATTAAATTCTTTTACTCAAGGGCGAGAAATCAAACGCAGAAGGGAATCAAGAAGCCGACGCCGAAGTCCCTTTCTTACCAGCCCGATAATCTATCAAAGGCCACATTCCACATAATCTCATTCATCACATCGGCACGCCCAACTTTTAGCTCATCTACTTTTACACAGACGTTACTCTCCTAACACTCCTTCTTGCGCCCTCACCGCTGATCATGATTAGGCCTTCCATCTCCAACGTACGCATCGTCTCATTGAAGTCGGCCTGTTCGACGGGTATGCTTGCCGCCTCACTAAGCCGTCTCGCAACTTCGCTCCACCTGACCGTCTGGCCGCCGCTGGTGAGCTCGTCAAGAAGGTGGAGAACAGCATCCTTGATTTCCTCCTTCTTGCGGCGGTCAGCAGCGCTCGTACCCTCCGTCAGCAGACTCATGTCAATGCGGCCCTGAGCGTCCGTGGCGGCAGTCTTCAGGGCGGAGCGGATGAGACGGGCGGCTTCCTTCACATCGTCCCGGGTGACGGTGTCAGACAGACGCATCTTGGCGTGAGCTTCGGAGAGGCGAATCATCGACTCGAGCTGTCTCGTGGTGGCGGTAATACGCTTCTCGGCGGCACGAACATCTTGACCGAGCTTACGCATTTCGATATACTGATCGACCAGCTCTTGTCCAGCGTCTTGGGCGATGGTGGGGTGGATGTTGGCGCGTGCATAGGAGATGTAGGAGGTCAGGAACTCAACGGGCTGTGGCTGGATTAGCTTGCGTCTAACAGTACTGTTTCGGCAATCAACTTACGAGAATGTCCTCTTTGGTATGAGCTGACTCAGGCTTATCCTCCAGATACAAGGAGAGGAGATGGCGAGCAAGACGGGAATCACTCTTTTCGTCCACACGATCAAGAATGAGGTAGACCAAGTCGAAACGAGAGAGAAGCGTGGGGGGAAGATCGATGTTTTGGGGAACAGGCAGGTCAGGGTTGTAACGGCTGCCAATGGGGTTGGCAGAAGCCAATATACTTGTCCGAGCATTCAAAGTGGTAATAATACCGGCCTTAGCAACGGACACTGTCTGCTGCTCCATGACTTCGTGCAGAACAGATCGAGTTGCTTCTGACATCTTGTCAAACTCGTCGATACAGCAGACACCACCGTCTGACAGAACAAGAGCACCAGACTCGAGGACTAGCTGACGGGTCTCGGGATCTCGTGTAACATACGCAGTCAAACCGACGGCAGACGAACCTTTGCCGCTGGTGTAAACGCCGCGAGGGGCAATCTTGTGGACGTAAGAAAGCAATTGAGACTTGGACGTAGAGGGGTCACCACATAGCAGAACGTTAATGTCTCCTCTGTACTTAGGGCTTCCACCCTTTTGGAAAGTCTTGTTGGTGCCTCCAAAGAGCTGCAGAAGGATTCCCTTCTTGACGTCGTCCATCTCGTAGATCGAAGGTGCAAGCGAGCGTGAGAGGAGATCGTAAATGTCGCTCCTGGCAGCAGTGTCCTTGATTTTGTCCTCCTCTTCGGGGGTAATCTTACGGGTCTCCTCGATATTGTTGTCGCCGGTTTCACCCTCGTCACCTTCAATGCCAAGTGTAGTGGGATCAACGCCCATTCTCTTCTTGTCAACCTTTTGAACATGGAGAACATCAACATAAGTCTTATACACGCTCTTGATAGTTCTCTGGCGAGGGTTGACGCGCACAGGGCTGACTCGGAAGATACCAGTGAGCTGTACCCGGTCACCTGCCTTGCAGAAATCTACCAGTTCGTTATAGACGCAAACTGAGACCGAGTGTGGCGTCTGACCTGCGGGGACAGCGTCGGGCGTCTCCTGTAGCTTGATTACTTGCTTGTCTTCGAAAGAGCAACGGTTGTGGACGATTTGCATGGAGTTCTTGGACGCACAACGAGGTCGGGGGCACTCGGTAGGTTCGCGGATCTTGCCTCGGTCAAGACCGACATTGACGGAGTGGTTGCAGACGTTGCATCGGAAAAAAGCATCCTTCATGTCAGGAATGACGGGGGTAGTTCGAATGACAAGGCCCTTGATGGTAATGAGCCTGTCCATGTCCGAGGGGTTCAGATCTCGGAGGTTAGTAATTTGGTCAAGCCCAAAGGGCCGAACCATGTAGATCATCTGAGCAACCTCGTCCTCCTTGGAAGGAAGATCACTAGGCTGACGAGGAGTCGGGGCGTCCGAAGGTTGATCAGGGTGATCGGAGCTAGGGAACGCAGGCTCCGAACTGGGCGCTGTGTTGCTGCGCCTGGAGGCGTCACCAGCACTGCTCTGAGAAGCACGTTGCCTCAAGCCCTCTGCTCTGGCCAACTCAACCATCAAGTCGTGCACAGATTGGTCCATAATGGGGATGATTTCCTGCGGATACGCCTGAATGTGGTACCAAAGCTTGCGAGTAGGCGGGTAGGTGTTCAGGTCGGCAATGTCGAGGTACAGTCTGGTAGTGCCTAGGAGGAGCATGTTCTCGAGAGCCTCCCAATACGGCTTGGACTCGGCGTCAGGGGCAGCCTGGACATCAGCCTCCGACAGCCCATCCCTGTACATCTGGTATTTCTTTGTGAAATTCCTCAGAAAATCTTTGAAGGATGCAAAAGTGTCATCAATCGACACCGTTGTACCCCAAATTGTGCTTTCGCCCAATCCACCAAGACGGTCTGCCTCGGAAGTGTTGGGGTCAGGGTTGCTAAATGAAGGCGCATCGGAGCCGGGGGCATCGGTGGTAACTCTGCCAGAAGGGTCCAGCACAATGCGGCGGCGCGGTGTCCTGAGACCCTCGGAGTGAATGTCGCCTCTTCGTGAGCGGGAGCGGTCAGAGACGAAAAGACTGCTGCTCTCGCTGCGCAAATCCGACTGAGGCGGCCTTACCGACCGGCCTGGGCTAGAACTGGGATCGTATCGAATGGGTGAAGACTCTGTGACTCACGTCAACGACTAAATTTGCATGCTCATATCAAGAATCCTTACCTCTCGCCATTCCACTTGCACGGGGGGTTCTATCACCATCGCCAGTAGACTGAGTATCGATATCTTGACGCAGCGGTGAGCTAGGGGGCGGGCCTACGGCAGTGTTCTGGCTGCTGCTCATGCCCCGCAAAGGAGACGAAACATCTCCATTCGCAGGGGCATTGCGCCGGCTGCTAGACGACTGAGCTGGGGAGGATTCGTAAAAGAGAGGGCTAGATGCGAGCTGCGAGCGGCGGGTTGCGCGAGGCGTCTCTGCAGGGCGCTGTGTTGAAGCCTCTTCCGCTGGCGCGGGGCTGCTTCGGCCAGCATCTGGGTTATTTCTTGTGGACCGGCGGGGAGTGCTGCCAGCCGTTGAGCTTCTTGTCGACCTTTTTGTGGGTGAAGACATTTTTGGTTGCAATGTCTTGTCTTTGAGGGATGACCGACGGTGTTGCGTGGGATGTGGGATGCGACAGAAAGAATATGTCTGTTGCTGGGGAGAGGGGAGATGTGGAGTGCGTTCAGGAGCAATTGAAAGGTGGGCTGGCTGACAGTGCAATTTTGGAAAGCACTTTACGCGCTACCCCGGTCTACGACGCGCTCAAAAAGGAGTTTCGCGCTTTCCACTTTACGCGTGCAACACCAGGCTCTGGTCTGTGCGTTTATCGTAGCTGCCAGGGTGGCCCTCTGTCGACCCCTGCTATCCGGCCATCGGCGAAACCACCCACCGACTTGCACCGACTGTGGGTTGCTGAGGTGGTCAATTGCATCCCGCTGGGGCTCCTTACAAGGCACCGTTGACTTAAGAGACCAAGATACAGCAAGCCGACCAACAAAGCGCATTCCGGCGCAAGACGACCTCAAACAAACGACAAAATGGCTCCTGGAATGTCCCTTTTCTCCGTCAACGCGATCCTCATCCTCAGCACGGAGGACGGATCGCGGTTATTCTCCAAGTACTACACCGCACCCCACCACGGCCCCTCGGCGACACAGAAGGACGGTATGCGCTTTGCCACTTCAATGCCGGCTTGAAGCTTGCAACTGACAAGAATGTGCTCTTAGGAAGTTCCTCCAGCAATCCCTATCCCGATGTCAAGTCGCAAAAGGCTTTCGAGAAGGGTCTCCTCGACAAGACGGCTAAGCAGACCGGCGATATCATCTTGTACGATAACCGGATCGTTCTTTACAAGATGGAGTCAGACGTTATGATGTATGTCGTTGGAGGGGTTGATGAGAATGAAGTTCTGCTTTACAATGTCATTCTGGCACTGAGGGACTCCCTCCACCTCCTCTTCAAGTAAGCCAACAGTCATCCCCACACTTCGGGATCGAGTCCTTTAACAACCCCTCTAGGCAATCCGTCGACAAGCGCACAATCGTCGAGAACTACGACCTTGTTTCCCTCGCAATTGACGAGATCGTGGATGATGGTATCATTCTTGAAACCGACCCAACTATCATCGTGCAAAGAGTCAGCAAGGCGCCGGCGCAGGATGTGGACCTCCGCCGCATCGATCTCAGCGAACAGGGTGTCAACAACCTCGCCCAACTGGGCAAGTCGAAATTGGCGGATTGGCTGCGGCAAGGCTTGTAGAGGGGTTGTGCGAGAGAGTGAGAAACGGTGGGCGACACGAAGCAAGACGGGTTGCACAAGGGAGTTTTATGGTGGCTTCTAAAGGGAACACATCATTAAAAAGTATAGTCCTCTTGGGGGATGTCATGACGAATGCTCAAATTTATGCCTGATTCTATTTTCCTCTTACCCAACGCCGTCTATGCCCGAATCTCGGAGGCTGCCTTGCGGAGCCTGTTCATTACGGCCTCTGCAATGTCATTTCTGTCGTCAATACCATCCACAAAGATGACGTTCGCGCCTCTTCTATCCAAATCTCTCAACGCCGAGAATAAGCCTTGCGCGATTCCTCTTATATCGTCTCCTAAATCGATGTCGAGCACAGTCGCCATAGCTCTGTCTTCCGCGTCCTGAAGCTCACCCTCGTGTACTTCGTATGACGTCTCATCTCTCGCATTCGCCTCCGCAGCCCCGTCGACGTGAACCTTTGAAACATGAAGCACGCCGTGATGCAGGCCACCCGCGCTCTTCCATCTCCTTGTGCGGATGATTCCTATCCGCACAGATGCTGCACCATCGCCATTTGTCGCCGTCGCATCTCCGTTCTGCTGGATGAGTGCCTTTTGCAGATCCTCGGCTACAATGCCCTCGGCACCCGCCTCGCAGGCATGCTCGTAAAGAACGACCTTCGCCTTGGGGCTATAGTGCTTGTACTTCATTCCTGGTGCCCGTGGCGCTGATTTCCCGGTCTCACTCTCGTCCTTGTACCCCTTGATGACGCCTTCCCAACCAGGGCAGCTACGTAGCTCCTCCATGCTTACACCTCCTGGCCTTAGGACAACAGGCGGATCGCACAAGCCGTCGACAACTGTACTTTCCACGCCAACCTGGCACGCTCCACCATCCAAGATTAGCTCAATTCGTCCTTCCAGGTCGTGGAAGACGTGTTGGGCCGTCGTGGGCGAAGGTTTCGTAGAGGCGTTTGCCGAAGGCGCGGCCAGTGGCACGTTGGCCAGTTTGATAAGTGTCAGTGCCAAAGGCGATGAAGGCATTCTGACACCAAAGCTTGTTAAGCCTGCCGTAACTTCAGGCGCAAGCTTGCTCGGTGTTGGGTTCTTGAGCAAAATAGTTAGAGGACCGGGCCAGAACTTTTCAATAAGCGACTTGTAGATCTCCGGAATCGGATCCTTTCCACCGGCGACACCATTTATTCGGTTTTCACTGCCAGGCTGCAACAACCCTCTCAGCATGTCAAGGTCGCACACATGAGATATCAGGGGGTTGTCTGACGGTCTGCCCTTGGCGGAGTAAATGCCCTTGACGGCGTCGCTCCGTGTTGCATCGGCGCCGAGACCGTAGACCGTCTCGGTGGGGAATGCCACAGGCGTTGGCTTGGTGCGCATGTACTCTGCCGCATCGCGGAGGGCGGCTATCGAGTTGCCTGAGGCGGATGGATTGATTTCCCAAGTGCTCAACCTCTCGGGTCCAATGTCCTTCTTGAAACTGCCCAGCCCTTGGGCACCGACCTTGATAATGCGGGTCTCCATTTTGGTGTGTGTCGAGAGTAATTGTATTTGTGCGCGACTGACAGTCGATGAGGTGTGAGTCGCAGCCTGGCGACTTATACGGTAAATAACAGCCAATGCGAAAGACCTGAGAGGCGCAATGGTGTGAACTCAGATTGAGGACGGATAAAGTTGACAGAAAGAGGGTCCGGGGTAGTAATCCCCGATTTGAAGATAAGAAATACGATCTGAATGGATTTTACATGAGATAAATGGGTATCAAAAGGCCCTGTGTGTGTGAAAAGTGACCTCCGGTTGAGTCATCTGAAAAAAAAATCTTTTGGAGATGAGGCTAAGTGAATCGAAGTGAGAGCAGTTGTGGCGGCGATAATTCCGAACTTAAGGAGCTAATGGTCGGGTTCTGCCCGCTAACTGACTGGCCTGGAGACGTTGAGGTCACCCGCTACACTCGCCTCCCATCGATCGGGGTTTCAGTGGGTCCAGTGATGTGATTTCAGTGGGGATTAAGCTTCCTTCTTGTACATCCCATGTGTTCAATAGGTGCGGCCGAAAACGGGTGCGATATCCCAGCCTGCAACGTCTCCTACTAATACACACCTCATCAAAACGGCCAATCCTTTCAGCAACAGCAGCAGCAACAGTGATGAGGCACAGATTTGTTTGGCAGAGACGCCGTAATTCGTTGAAATCAGATTGATTGGTTAGAACCTCACGACACTTTAAGTTTATCTTGGTCCATACTGTCTATCCTTCTAGCAGGCATCTCATCATGACCAACCTCTTCAGAAAATATGTCATCTCTCATGGTTGGCCTCTTTAGAACTTCTTCGTGCCCCAAACTTCAGAAAAGGGTTGCCCTTGTGCCGGAGTCGATCGTCTCGTTGTTCTTCTCTTCGTCATCGCAGACTCTCATACTCTACGTTCCCTTGTCGTAAGCTGTCTAGCCCTCCGCCTCTCATCCTCGGTCAACACCCAAATCATACCATCTTCATCCTCATCCGGGCTCCCTGCTACTGCCGAAATCTCCTCCCACTCTTCCTCTTCCATATTTGCCACCATCAATATCTGTGACACCCGTGCAAAAAGTTCTCTGACACCGTAGTTGCCCTTGGACACTGTGCTGATGATACTGGAAAAGTCGCGTTCCATACGTATAACACCGTAGGCGTTGGCCCGGGCGTCCCAAACACGACGCTCGAGTACACGAGCGAGGTACCGCGCTGTGAGGTCGTGAAGGATTGTGAAGGTATGAGTAGTCATCAGACGAGCAATGGGCTTCATTAGCTGGTCCCAGCCGTGCTCAAAGCGGCGTGATACTTGGTCAAGAAGTTCCTCTTCATCCTCTTCGTTTTGTTCCGCAAATTCTACGAGTTCCTCCTCTGTGAGGGAGTAGTCCACATCGCGGAAAGTATCAGAAAGTACGGGACGGAGTCGTGGCTGGATTACTTGCTTGAATAGAACTTGAAGGCCTTCGTTCATGAGCTCGGTGGTCTTTGTTGTGAAGGAGCTGTGGAGGGTGTTCAGAGCGGATGTTACGAATGTAAAATCCTTATCAAAGGGGAAGGTGTCTCTCAAAGATGATTCGTGGATATCTCCATTGGTCTTTCTTGAATCATTTGCGCTCCCCACGTTGCTGTTGATAATACGGCCGAGATACTCGTTCGCTGTATCGAGACTGTTGATGAGGATGATGAACTGGATGATCTTGTCTTCTGGCGGGAACCCCCCTTGTACGATTGGCTTAGGGTAGGACTCATCACGCATCTTACGTTGAATCATGCCAACAAAGTCGGAGCCAAGGACTCGACCAATCGTGGGAATAACAGATGCAATGACATCTCTTTGAGACGTAGAAGTGGATTTTTGAATAACAGCACTGACGACGTACATGACATCGTCGACGGCGGAAATAATGAACGGTTGGTTGGTATCGATCTGCCTGCTCATGCTTAGTGACAAGCCTGTTGGAAACTCATCAAGCTGGAAGGCCTTCTCGACCGATCTCCGGAAGAAGAAGGTCATCATGGTATTGTATGGCGATGTAAGCTTGTCAGAAATCTTCCGCTTGAGATTCGACTTGATGACAACTTCAGGTATCGCAAGTGGGGCGTCTTCAGGGGCTGAAGGGTCCTAAGAACAGTGTTAGATTGAAACCAAGTAAACGATGATAGCAACTCACCCGTGTCTTCCCTGCTAAGAAGCGAGAGTACAGAGACCACCGGCCTAGCATAACTGCAATCTCACTCAAAATGCCATCAACCTCCTTCATATTTACGCCCTCATCCTCGCTGAGACGCTGGTTTGCACCCGCACCCATTGCAGGCGAATTGACCCGCGGCGTTCCACTCCTTTGCGGAGGCAGGAAGCTCTGGACCAGAAATGAGAAGGGGTAGCTTTTAACGTCCTTGAGACGTCTATCAACATCTCGCTCGTCGCTCCACGAATCAAGGATGATGCCACCCTGCACATCTGCCTCCTGTTGCAGCCGTTCAATGACGCGAACCATCTTCCCAGAGCCGTAGTGCCGCTCAACGAGACCGCCATGTCCGTCGACGATCCGCGCAATGTGGTCGAACAACCTGGTGAGGGCATTGGCGTAAAAGAAGCCCTCCTTCCGTGCTTGCACACCCGGCCCTTCTTTCAGAACCGATCTCGCCGTACCGGCCACACCCTGGCAAACATACCGCCCGTATACGTCAAGGCCGACCTCACCCCTCCCAATCAATGGAAACAGTTTAAAGAACCTAGTAACCTTGGCGCCATCTCCTTCCTTGGTCGCCTTCTCGAACTCCCTTAGGAACAGCCCACACAAGCTCTCCTTGGCGTTCTCCAGGGTCACCCATGGCGTGTCAGGTACCTCGACAGATGGGACAATGGACGATGCAAACTTGCCCTTGGTGATGTCCTCGGGTACCTGCGCTGCACGTGCGAGGTAAGCCGCGGCGGCTTCCCAGTCCTGCGGAGCGCCCATACTGCCGACGACGCCCTGTACGCAGGCCTTGAGCTCGACAACCTGCTTGACGACCTCGAGCGTGTCTTCAACGCGGCTCTTCTCTAAGTCCAGCTCTTTCACCTTGTTACTCAATCGGCCTGCCGTATCGGCTGCCGTTGCGAGCATATCATTGCCAACAGACCGCGCGGCGATGACTTGGCCACCGAGCCCCGCGCGCAGCAGGTCCAATCGGCCCAGCTCACGGGCGAGGTCGGCCTGAGACCCAAGGAGGGCATCAAGGCGGCTCGTTATAGTGGACTCGCGGGTATGGAGGGCATCTAGGGCGGCGCGTACCTCGGCGATGCTAGAGGCGGCGTAGATGGAGGTGGTGTTGGAGCTGCTGCCGGGTCGGGCAGCTGTTGGGGAGACGAGTGCGCCGTCGGCGGCATTGTCGTTGTCCGCGCGGTGGGGGGAGACGCCATTCATGAGGTTTGACATTGGCGCAAGCTGGCTGAGAGGTGCATAGCTGCCTGAGCTTGCCAGCAGAGGTAGGGTGGGTGTAATTCGGGCCGTGGGGGTTGGGTCAAGGCAAAGGTGTAGTAGGTGTTAGCTGGCCCGAATTGCAAGGTAGGACGTTCGGTGAACCTAGCTCACCGATAAGCGAGCCTGAGGTGTGGGCGCGCAAGGGAGAGACGGACAGACTTTTGGCTGATCTGCAAACTGTCAAGTTTAAAGTAAAGTCATTGGACGAAAACTGGTGGGTTTGTACAACATAAATTTGGAGAGGCCGTAAATTATATACCCGTAGTCAAAGTTTACATATGTGCTGAGGCCGTTGATAAGCGCAGTTCGCCTGCACCTTACATGAATGATGCTTCCCAGTTCTACACTGCTTGGCTGTAGCCGCCGGCCAGCCTCCTTCTGGCGTACTTCCAGTATTTTCTAAACTCATCCGCCCAAAACACCGTGCTGCAAAGCATTAAAAGACCAAGAAGGTCAAAGAACCCCAATGCTTCGGTTTGGAAGACTTCCTGTAGCCAAGGGAAGTATATAACGAGCAATTGGCCCGCAATACTGAGCGATACTGCCCAGTTGAAAAGCGTATTTGAGAAAAGTCCCACTTCGCCTCGTAGGACCGACTTTGATTCGGATCGACAAGCCAAAGCGTTGAACATATCAAATAATACAAAGCAAGTGAATGTCATGGTGGTATCACGACGGTTCACCTCCCCATCCGCAAGCATCTCACGACTGTATACAAGCATTGTGCCCGCCATGATAATAGAAGCTGAAGTAAGGACCCGGAGAAGTACATCTTTCGTAAGCACAGCATCATTTCGCTTTCGAGGGGGACGGTTCATGACGTCTGCATCAACAGCTTCAACGCCAAGAGACTGAGCGGGTGGTCCATCCATGATGATATCTGGGAGTGGTTAGCCTAAGTCCTATTGAGCTGGTCGAGGGGCTACTTACTGATCCAGAGAATCTGCATCGCGTTCAGTGGTGACTTGAAGCCGAGTAACGTGCAGAAAAACACCAAAGACAGACCAGCCGCACTCGTGCTGAGCTGGAAAGTCAGGAAGTTCTGGATGTTGTTGAAAATTCCCTTGCCCTCCTCAATCGCTCGGAGGATAGTTGAGAAGTCATCATCTGTGAGGATCATATCCGCAGCCTCCTTTGCTACGTCAGTTCCGTGCAACCCCATGGAGATGCCAATGTCGGCCCGCTTCAACGCCGGGGCGTCGTTTACACCATCACCAGTCATGGCGACGATATCGCCTCTGGACTGAAAAGCCCTAATAATCTTAAGCTTGTGATCGGGGTTCGTGCGGGCAAAAATAGTTGTGTGCTCAATGGCTTGAGCCAACTCCTTCTCAGACATGGCGTCGATGTCCTCACCACGCAAAACTGGGCGTACAGACGCCTGGCTAGAGGCGTATTCAGTCGGCTGCGCAATCGGCATGCCAAGTTGCCTACCGATGGCCACTGCGGTGGTTTCAGCGTCTCCTGTGATCATAACGACCTTGACACCTCCACGCAGAAGCCTCCTAATCGAGCGACCAACTCCTGGTCTGGGTGGATCACTCATGCCAACCAACCCGGCGAAGGTGAGCCCTTTGTATGTCTCATCATGTTGAAAGCGAGGGCTTCCGGGGGTGCTGCTGCGAGTAGTCGGCGCTAAAGTTGCTCTGCCCTTGGAAGATCTTGACACAACGCCACTAGCAAAAGCGAGCACACGCAGACCCTTTGCAGCCATGGCCTCCGCTGCCTGAAGAGCTTCGTCGCGACGCGACGAGTCGAGCACGATTTCTCGTCCATCACGAGTGAGATAAGTGTCACATGCGTCGAGAACCCTGTCAATAGCACCTTTCATGTATGCAAATTCCTTAGAGTCAGTTCCAATGGTGACTCCCATCCACTTGCGCTCAGAGCTGAATGGAGTCTCGCTCAGCCGGGGGCCAATAGATTCGCGAACATCATGTTCCTTGAATCTGTCGAGAAGATCGAGCATGGCCACGTCAGTTGGCTGTCCACACCAGCGTGTAAAAGTGGAGGCAAAATCAGTCCCTTGAGTTGATGAGAGCACAGCTCTCGCCGCTGCACCGTTCTCAGTGTACTGTTGTGCAAGACGACCGTTGTTTGCAATATTGCCGATCCTTAGGATACGCAACGTGGCAGGGTCAGGCTTCGTCTCCGTAGCTTCATCGTCAGAGTCTACGTCAATCGCATCGTTGGCGCCGAAATACCACATCTTGGCAGTAGTCATATGGTTCATTGTCAAAGTTCCTAGGGAATGTCAGTAGGAGTAGCTATCGCAACCCGAAATAAGGGTTAATCACCTGTCTTGTCGGTGCATACAACATTCACCGAACCTAGGGTCTCTACTTTAGGCATTTTACGCACGATGGCATTGTGACGAGCCATTCTGTGAACACCAAGAGCCAGAGTGACGGTCACAATGATAGGCAGTCCTTCCGGAATGGCTGCAACAGCAAGGGAGATGGAGATGGTAAAAATCTCAAGCAACTTCTTGCCTTGAAGCCAGCCAACCAGAGAAATTAGTCCGATAATGACGAAAGACACCTTGCTCAGCTGTGAGCCAAGGTCATCCATGGACAGTTGAAGAGGTGACCTAGGGCTCTCGGTTCCAGAAACGCTCGTTGCAATGGTTCCGAAATGCGTGTTTCCACCCGTTGCGAAGACAATCCCCTGGCCATGTCCAGACCTCACCAACGTACCCATCCAAGCAATGTTGTTGTCGCCGTTTCCGCCAATGTCTCTATTATCCGACAACGCAGAGGGGCTCGGCAGCTGAAGGGTGTCCGCACCGTATGCTGGTGACAGCATACTCCGGGCTCTTGGTTCGGTGGTGATTCGTACTGGTTCATTCTCGCCGGTAAGATTTGATTCATCGATAGTCAGGTCCGCGGCCTTGGTGACACGAATATCGGCTGGAATACGATCACCCGTGGTAAAATAAACCAGATCTCCCGGCACCAGTTGTGAGGCCATGACCTTTGAGGATGTTGCCTCCAGCATCTCCTCTCCCGGTGTGGTTGATGCAACCGACTCATCTCCATCCATCGGAGCCTTTGGCGGCCAAGTAGGGGTGCGGGCACTGCCCGGTGCTTTGCTGGTAGCTGACCGAACCAAGTGAGCGTGGTTCGGGACGAGGTGACTGAGTGCTTCTATTGACTTTTCCGACCTGTATTCCTGTACAAATCCCACTGTCACCACGATGGTGACTGCCACTGTAATGCTGACTGCGTCATCCATGTTGCCCAGGAAGATGGAAGCTCCGGCGGACACCAAAAGGAGCACAATGAGGGGCTCTTGAAACTGCTTGACAAAACGCAACCAAAGCGGTTCGGGTGGCTCGTGGGGAATTTCGTTCAGACCCCAATCCCGCAGTCGGTTTAGGGCTTCGGCAGCTGAGAGACCATGCGTAAGGGAAGTTTGAAGTCGGCTGGCGGCCTCGGCGGTTGTCATGAAGGAGAACTCGTCGGCCACGCTCTGCGCACCAAGTTTGTCAGTATATATGAACATTGTCGAAGGAATACATAGAGATTGCTTACTCTTGACTGCGCAGACGTAGTCCGAACGTGACCGGGTCTCTGTTGTGATCGTTCCGTTTCGATAGGTTCCATGGCCAAGCCGTTGATGCTTGGCACCTTTGCGGCCAAGGGCAGTAAAGATTCGCCATCTGAGGCTTTCCTTTTATGCCACGGCCACTCCATTTCAGAGAGGGTGAGGTGAGAACACCTCAATCACGACCTTCCAGTAGTTGCAGGACGCCGATTACCGATCATTTGTCACAGGCAAGGCGAAAAGGGGGCATGCGCCAAGGCCTATGATGATGTTATCGGGTCGCGCTGAACAGTCGTGTTCGGGGACGAAAAGCCCTTTGTCGCCAAAGTGTCAATTGGAGGAAACTTGGTCCGAAGTCATAGTTCCGCGGGCGCTGTTAACGGGTGTCGTGGTAGGTGTTGAGAAAACGTGTGCCTTTTGCTAGGATAGCAAACGGAAAGCCAAATCTGGTCCCAGGTACAGGGCCATAGGGCGTATGCAGCGCGCCTCTGTGGCGGGTCCATGGCTAGTGCGCAGGGGGGCCCCGGACGACTGCTCGGGAGCACAATCATCGCTCCGCAAGTCCCAGTGGAGAGATACCGTAACAACGCTGTAATAAGCAATAGCTGCTAGTGTGCAGGCGTCAGACAAAGTGCATCATACTGCAACATACCCGTCTCGTGGTTGCACGCGTATCTTGTAATAAGTAGCGGAAATGCAATGTCACTTTTGAAGTATAAAATTGGGCACTTTGTCATCGATCAGACTGGATGACATTAAATCGTCGCAGGCTACGTATGAGCTACAATAAGAAGCGAACTGCGCAGGTCAATTAGCTATCCATTTTCACGATAAAGCCAAGAAATCTCCAGTCATTTTAGCCAGGATTTCCAGGACCTAAAATGATCACTACACTGGGGGAAAAAAGCCGAAGGTGTGGCGCTTCCAACAATTCACATATCGGCGTTGCATGTTTCTAGTTTCATCTCATCCTCAGGGTTCCAGATGAGGCGGTATTGCCGTGAATTGAACTTCCAGCTGCGGTTTGCTACTCCGTCTTAGTATGTTGGGCCATGCATGAAGCACGTTCACTGCGTACTAGAGAAAAAGTTCCTTTTTAAGAGAGGCAAGCTACGAAACCTGGCAACCTGGCAACCTGGCAACGGCTTGGACGTACACTGTCTACTACGTAGAGGCGGCAAAGGCTTGGCCATGGACTCGGAGCTCATGTAAGGTACCTTGCGCTCCGATCAGGCAGGTGATGCCTCAGCTAGGCATGGAGCCACAAACCTACTTGCTACAAAAGGTCTCCGTACCTGGTCAAGCTTATGTAATGTAAACCCACCAACCGTCAGATACTTCGACACATTTTGCCGCCCCTTCCGGCATGGTCGCCGGGCAGCGGAGTGGGGGCAATCCAGTCACGTGGTGTGGCTGGTGTCACCAAACTCTGCGCGGACCAATCCCTGCCTGATATCCCAGCCCCGTCATTTTGCGTTCGCTGGGCACGGCGTCGAAAGAAGACCACCACACCTTGACTCCCCCCCTCCTACTCATTTCCTCCAACTCCCTCATCGCTATTCATCGCGCTTTTGCTGCCACTGCTATCGCTGGACCTGCGACTTTCGCCTTTCGCGATCGATTCGATTTGCTTCATGTCGCCGCGACTCACATTTTGCGCGTGCTAGACTCGTCTTCGACCGCTACATCTCCAACGCGACCGATTTTCCACAACAACGCGTCCCCTTGTTTACCAGAGCAAGCTTCAGAACCCACCCCACCAACCTCGGCGCGCGTCGCTATATCTATACCTCGCGAGCAGTAGCTCTTGCTCCTTGCTCCTCTTCTTGTCCTACTTGCATCAACCCGACGTCGAGCTGCCGCCATGTTCTATTCGGACGCGCTCCTCGGAAAGAGCGGGCCTCTGGTCCGCGTATGGCTTTCTGCCAACCTCGAGCGCAAGCTCTCCAAGACGCACATCCTGCAGTCCAACCTGCCCGACAGTGTAGAAGCAATTATCACACCCGGCCAAGCGCCGATGGCTCTCCGTCTAAGTGGTCAGCTGCTGCTTGGTGTTGTGAGAATTTACAACCGAAAAGCCCGCTACCTGTTGGAGGACTGCAACGAAGCCTCTATGAAGATTAAAATGGTATGCTTATGTGCCCGCGTTAGAATAAACGCGTCTCGCTAACATCCTTAGGCTTTCCGCTCAAGCGACAACCATGATATCCCCGCCGCTAACCTTTACGCCAACAATCGCGAAGCATTGCTACTGCCTGACAAAATCACTCCACTCGATAACCTTGATCTTCCCCCGCCTCCTGATGCCGCCTGGCTTTTGTCACAGATGGACGACGTAACGGCTACCCCTGTGGGTCGTAAGGGTCGCGTCAGCAATCGTGATATCAACCTGCAGGAAGACTTCAACAACAGCCAATTCCTGAATCAGGTAGACAATCTTGATGACGAGCTCGAGCTCGCTCCGATGGAGGACCTGGATTTGGAACTGGATTTTGGCATGGATGTGGACGAACCCCGCGGCCGGATGGATACCACCATTGAAATGGGAAGAGATGCACCCCTTGCTCGCTCAGTTGAGGACGACATGTTCAGTGAGCTGGACATCATGCCTAGAGGAAAAGACCAACCCGAGCGCGAAGCCTCCTTGGGCTTGAACCTTGACTTTGGCGACGACAATGTACGCATCGCCGACGAGGAGGGAGACATTCAAATGGGCGACGACAACGAGTTCCAGTTCCCCATTGCTGATCAGTCCGTTGTTCCTGGAGCTCCTCTTGACATGGGACGCGCTCGCATTTCCGAGTCACCTCTTTCAGAGATCGATCCCGAGTTTGCAAGAGAAGTTGAGGAAGAGTACTCTCGTATTCAGCACACCGATCTCTACGAACCCGATGAGGACCAGGAACACTCTGTTGTCCGGCATCCGCAGCGCGCCAAGAAGAGGAAGGTTCTTCTTCCGGATGAGCAGACGATGCTTTCCAGCACTCACATCAAGGATCAACAAGCCAACCATGCCAACATTCTCAGGACCCAGTCTTTCTTGCCTAAGGACCCTTTTGTTCTTGCACTCATGGAGATGCAGAAGAGTGGTGGCTTCGTTTCCAACGTCATGCTGGAGGGACGCAGTGCCAACTGGGCACCTGAGTTGCGAGGCATGCTTTCCCTCGAGGCTATTAGCCGATCCAGCGAGTTGAAGAGAAAACGTGACAGTGGTATTGCAGATGTTGAGAGCGATCAAGGTCTTTCATCCAAGTCACCACGTTTGAATGTTGAAGAGGAGGATGCTTTTGCTGTCGACGATGCTGGTCTGGGTAACCAAAGCGTTGCTGCCGATGGCACCATTCTTGAAATTCCTGCTGATGAGGATGGTATGGGCTTTGGAGGAGATGATGACACTGCCAGGCCCGTTTCGCGCGAAGCAAGCCCTATGCCGAACTTTGACGACACAGTTGCCCCTGCTGTCCACCCTCAAGACAGTGGCCCAGTTTCACTCGGCACTAAGCATGCCGTACACGTTCTGAGAGACATCTTTGGCCCTGATGCCGAGCATGATGCTGACAAGCGCAAGAAGAATGCGGTTGTTTTCCAAGATCTCCTCCCAGAGAAGAGAACGACAAAGGCGGATGCGACGAAAATGTTCTTCGAGTGCCTTGTCCTGGCAACAAAGGACGCCATCAAGGTCGAACAAGGCGAGAACCTCGGTGCTCCTATCAAGGTCCGCGCGAAGCGTGGGCTCTGGGGTGCGTGGGCCGAGCGGGAAGCTGGCGGCGAGATTGCTGAGGATGAAGAGGCCAACCAGCCAGAGCCGGCAGCTGTTAGTGCTCCAGCTGTGGCTGTAGAGGCATGAATGCCAGTCGCTTGTTTTGACGAAGATTTTCCGATTGATGCATAGCTGTTGGGTCGGGGTCTTGGCATGTAAACTACACCGTTCTTTCTCTCTGTTGGACTACGTTGGGGGTCGGTCCTGGAAATGGCACCCGGCCAAGTGGCGTTCGGAGTAACCGGGGCTGGAGAGATACCAGATGCTGTTGCGGCCTGAGAGGGGGAAAAGCATGATTTGGGTACCAGAGCCGCGTCTCTTTGTTTTTTGTTCTTTGGAGGTTTAATCTCGTTTTTTCGGGTTTTGCGCGTTGCTAGTATAGCTGGTTTTGGGCCATAAGCCTGTAAGGATACCGCAGTTTCCTATTAGCTGTTCTTCATCGTCAATGAAGCTAGGCGTTTCCTTCCAACATAAGTCAATTTGTGTCATTCTCGATACATTACACCAACCTACCACGCTACAAATTCCAATGCTTCAATGTCCTTGACTATATACACCACCCGTGCTACTTAGAAGACTAATTGCCTTACCATGTCCGAGGTCAGAGCCCTTCGCGTCATGTTCGAGACCAGGTTTCGAGTCAAGTTCTCGTTGCTGGTCGATGACCATGCGGCAGCAAATACATAGAAGGATTGGCTATTGCTCTTGCAGACATCCAGGTTATTCATGGCAGGTAATAACATCAGCGACACTGACATTTTGGGTCATGTCTTTGTTATTAGCATGTCCACCAACGCCTTATACTAGCTTACTTACTTTAATGTGACAGGACAAACATGTACAACCCATTATACTGCTTCACTATTGGGATAAGGATGACTGGAGTTGTCCGTGTTGGCAGCAGTTGGCTTGGACTCTTCAGCCGGCCGTATAGGGTCACAAGCAATGTCGATTGCCGCCAATGATACCTGATAGACGACTGGGAAGGAAGCGTATAGCGAAATTCCAAAGTCTTGTTTACATGCTCTGTCAAACCTTCCCATCGCCCAAAGTACCAGATTGTATGAAAGTCTCCGCGATGAATCCTTGGTCATACAAGAAAGTGTTTCTGCTGACTACCTTAGTCATCGCTACTCTACACAAGCGGGCAACTCAAGGAAGCTCCCACCGCATTACAGGCGTTATGGCTGACTGAGATATCAAGCTGGGGCCTTTATGGCTAGATTCTCCTGGGTGATTTTGGAGGATCTTTTTCGCATGAATTCAGTGTCTTCGTCACCGAGCGCACTTAAGCAGCCCTCATCTTCCCCATGCTTCCTCGCTGCGGCCCATGTAACACATTTGATGAGTCCGCGTGTGGTTCAAGTCATCCAAGTCTGTTTTTCGATGCCTAACTTATGAATACAGCTTTACAAGAGGTACCAGTTCTCATCGGTGAAGCTTTCGCTTCTTCCATCCGCACACAACAAGCCAGCGGCTGATCAGTATAGGGGCCTGATTGCGTGTTGGGACAAATAATGCCTCATGTGGAAACGGCACCTCAACTCAACCGTTATATCTTGCCTACTTTATTTAAGCTTATGATAAAACTATGTGGAGATCTTGATAGCGCCGAAGTGTGTTGGCAAGCTTCGGAAGCTCCCCGTTTCCCGAGAATACACTCTTTTTGGGCTGGAAGTTGTCGGTTGGTTTTAGTCCGATGTATGAGAACACGGTCGCCGTGGTTGAGATTCGCGGTGTGCATGTAACAACTTCGTTGTCTCGAGCAAAGTCAGAAATAATAATTCAACTGATATCCCTCATTAGGGTCTTTAACCTTAACGGGGAATGTTTATATTACAAATTATCGTTGTTGAAAGGAGGATAAGACACTGTAGATTATTGAAAACTGAACAAAGAAGCGTTACTCCAATGTCCATAGCCGTGAAGCTTATGGTGGTGTCTAGGTTGAGGCGGATCTCTCTGTTTTACTAGTACTCACAAACCGGCCATTGTTCAACATTGACTCCTGACCTTCAGCTTAGGCAGTACTGTTTCCCTGAGACTTGTGACACTTGTTTTAGTAGGACGTTTGACAAACAATAGTGGAACCAGGCCATTACTTCCTAGAACTTGGATGGGGTTATGCCCGAAACAAACAGAAAAGATCCAGCAGTAAACATACGATGACCGCAGCATTGACATTACGCGCGGACAACTTCGTGAATCATCCGCTTACCCATAGGCCTCCGGATTGAGGCGCAGTAGCATGCGGGGTAGCAATGTCGGAACCAAATCAACAATCGGTCATGTTAACGTTGTAATTATCTGCGCAACTGGTACATGGCATACCTTTGCTGCCAGGAGTTCAGTTCATTATGCAGACAAGCTTTCCTCCAGAACGACTGTTGACGCACGCTAGTTTTGATATATGCGATAAGTAATGATGAAGCCTCGCATTATCAACCGACTGAGGCAAGACGGCGTCGGCGATATTACATTTCGGCATCTCCTAACAGTTCAAGAGGTGACAGGTTTTCCAATATGCTACAAGGTCATTTATGCCGCCATAACAGAATACGAGACCACCCCTTTCGAGTCTTCAAGGACGCGCGTCTTGACTTCACTGGGATTTACACATGATGGAGTCAGGCCAGAGCCTTCGCGCCCGTTTTCATACGGCCGCAGTTAATCGCAGTGGCTTGCCGACACACTTATTACAGGAAGTTGTTTCCGGAAGACCTCCAAAGCGCCTGGCCCATACGTTAGGGATTTTCAGAATTTGTGCACTAACCAGGAAACGGCTGGTTAACTCTAAAATTCGCGTTCGCATGTTCCACGGCCTTCGGAAATGTGCCAGGATAACATTATGCCCCGTGCAGCTACAGCGGGAACCCCGAGGTCTTTGATCGCATAAAACCAACGTGGAATTACGCAGAGCTTGTTTCCCTAGAAGTTATCTGAAGGTTCAAACTTGTAAGCCTCAAACTCAACCCATGCTTCTCGAACACCGAAACGCCCTTCCGTGACGGACCTCGGAAAGCTTGTGTCTTCGGCTAGACAGCAACGTATCTCCTGATTAGCCGCTCAACCTATTCCTCAAGAAAGCAGATCAATTACTCGAATCAACACTCACAGATCGAATGGAGATAACTCAGCCAAGAAAAATAAATATGAAAAATAAAAATCAATAGATATACTGCCTTTTCGGGGTATTGCGTGGGTTCACAAGGTCCTGAGGATCCCAAAAATATGATTTTCTGCCCATTACACGGGAGTTTCAGTCAAGCAGGATTTTCCAGGGCATGGCCATTGTCAATTTCCATGTTTCCAGATCAAGCTTATAACTTGAGCTTCTTTTATGTTTTATTGGGTCCCTTTCTTTTAAAGACGTTCTGGGTACCTAGTTCTCTCCAGGATTATTTATGACAATGTCCATCTGAACCAGAACTGTACAATACTGACATTCGAACAGAAAAGATCTTAAAGATGACTGTTCTGCAGTATATCTTCTTTTCACGAATAGGACTGGAGGTCAGGTTAGAAGGCTTAGTACTTCATGAATTGAGACACGTTTGCAGATCTGCCAACTGAAAAAAGCACACAGGGAGATCGACTTTGCAATAAACATGGGATGTCTTGACTTTACAGACACAGTTGCGGATAGATAATAGTCCTTCTGGGTGGAGGCACCGGAAAAGATACCGAGGATCGTGATTGCAACGGAGACCGAAACGGCCGTACTTACCGCACCTCTACAGCGAACAATTGACTCTGCATGATACAGCTCACGAATCAGACGCCATGTCAACTGACAAAATTGCTGAAATGGTATGCCAAGGATGTCGGTCCTTTTGACATGAGCTGCCATCGCAGGTTTCCTTGAACTCGGCTCGGAATACCGAATATGGCATGGCCAGCTGAAGCGATGTAAAACACACTTGCGCAGTTGCCAGAGCACGGGCAGACGTTACATATTCTGTCTGGTACGTACGTCCTATACTTTTCAAGTTATTGTCTCTTGTTGTGTGTATTGTTTGCAAATGATGGCTTCGTGGTTGTGTGCTGCCGAAAGTTGCTGACATACTAGCAACTCCCGACCAAGGTTCGAACTTTCTAGTAAATGTATATTTGTGGGCTACCGTCTACTTCACAGAAAGCTGTGATAGGAATCAATGAGTACCAAGGCGAATAATGTGAAGACGAGAGAGATTCCTTCAAGCCGTGGCAATGTGATCGAAGCAGCACATATCCTTGCCACTAAGCAGCTACCGCAGAAGCCAAGACCTTTGATGTGAAAGTGACAGGAAAAGTGAGGCGAGTGAAAGCCATCTCTCGGTCAAACTGCACAGAAGAAGGGCAGTTTAGACCGAGAAACTAATAAGAAGAGCTGCAAAGTGCCCAGAGCGCTGATCCACAACAGAAGCATGTTCAACAAGACGGCCGGCCCCATACCAGGATAGCATAACTATGGATAGCGTAGAGGTTTCACACCCTGGCCCTCATGGATGGATGATGGAGGAATTCCGGCATGCTTGTAGATCTGAGATCCTCCAAGTCGAATTTGTAACGACATGTTGACTTATGTTTCCTCGCGCGGCGCAGAGGAAACAACGCTCCGAAGCTTAACGGAACATGTTTCCTGTTCTTGTCAAGGAGTAGGGGAATCAGCCCTCTTCTGATGCAGACTGGAAGCTTGTGCAAAACACCAAGTCCAAAAAGAGCTGCTGTAGCTACGAAGAACCGCTACAGCTCTTCTTTGTATAAATTTCAGCGGCTGCCTTTAGGTCAGTCAACAGAAGTGCTCATCCATCATGCCACTTTCACTCCCAAGTTAATCATTATCGCTTTAACTAAACATCACTACCAACTACACTCTTATTGTTTTATATACACCAGACAAATCGCCAATATGCGCTTCTTTAGCACCATTGCCCTCGCCACCTTATCCGCCAGTGGCATAGTCACCGCTATGCCTGTTGCGTATGCAGAAGATGTTAGCCCTTCCCTGGCACAGTCACTCCAGGAAGAGGCTGCGGTTGGGCCTGTTGATGTCGAAGCCAGCATCGAGACAAGGGCTAACACTCCTGCTGATGACCAAAAACATGACGCAAATCACGAGAAAATCAAGCAAAATAACTGCGGAACAAACTGTCATAAATCACTGGACTCGTATCACTCACAGGCCTCGAAAGACTCCAAGGCTTCGAAGGCTTCGAAGGCTTCGAAAAATTCGAAGAATGGTGGTAGAGACCTGAAAAGCCTTGAGGCGGCTGATTCTGAGAACTGAGAAAGACACCATAACTATACATCAGACACGTTTGAAGAAGGGATGGTACCAGGAAACGTCGAGGAATAGGTAGCCATGGTAACTGAACTGAATAAAGACTTTGCAATCATTCAAAAAGGCTCGATGTGAAGGGCAGCATTTGTCCCGCCGAAACCACCTAACAGCCAGGTTGAACTAATCACCCGCTTTCTCAACATCAACTGCAACGATGGCTTCTGAGGTGAAAGAGCCAACTGGTTCAACTCAGATGCTAGTGAACAACCCGGCATAGAAGTAGGCCATCAGGCATCCAAAAAGACATACAACACCAGGTATTCGCTGGTCGTCACCGACCCAACTACTAATCCGGCCCTCACTGGCTTATCTATGGGAGAGCGGACGGGATCCCGAGTTTTCCAGTGGGTATGGTCGTATGTGGTATTAACTCTCGCCGAAGATGCTGATGGAGGTATGGAGAGGGATGAAGATTGGTGTCAAGCCATTCATTGACTGGTAACGTCATGTCAAGATCAACTCAGCAGCCATGTTCATGGAAGAAATTTGATTGACTGAACGGCTAATACCATTGACATCGCTTTCAGATTCTGGGTCTCTTGCTTTGGTTATCTCCATGCCCTTGTCCTCATCATTATCGTTGTTCATCCAGCTATGATTCGAGTTAGTATTCTAGGATGAAGATGAATAACTCAGAAGCTAGCTTGGTTCGACACTGAAATAAAACAAAATGAAGTGCCAGTGTGTTTGCTAACTGCAAAAAGATTTGAAGTTTGACTGTAGTTAATGGAAGTTTGTCATTTGGGAAATTGTATGTTGGTTACGTGAGGAGGGTGTTAAGCTGAGGTAATGTTTCTGGGGTGTACCCCGCCAGATCCCCCACTAAAACTTCCCCTTGATCTTCCAAGGCAACACCTGCACAGCTTGACGTAGCCAGCCAAGCAACGTTAGGCCGCCGGGATCCCGTGTAAACAAAAGCAGGAAACAACCAGCCAAGCAGACCGCATACGCAGGCAGGTAATTCCCGGAACTAATTTGCTTAATATTTGTATTCTCCAGTCCTACCTATCTGGCCCATTTGTCTAACCTTTCAACTACCTTCAGACACTATCTCAGAATCATCTTAACCGTGTCAAAAACCACCCCACTATAACCAAAAGAAAAACCCGACATCATGGCCCCCCCCTCGCAGCTTACCGTCGCGACCCTTGCAGTTACTCGTCTGCTGAAGGAGGAAATCTCATATGAGAAAGAACTCATTCAACAGAAAGCCAAGGTCGCCACGCTGGAGAACGAGATCAAGGAGGGCAAGCCTGACGAGGACGGCAACCGTGAGTACATGCTCAAGCAGTTGGTGCGTTCACAGCCCCTTCCATGGCCAACCCTGTGGGCCAAAATCAAGTAAGCCCTGCTTGACTGACAACCGAGCAGAAACTTGCAGTTGAGGAGACTGAGAAGGTGTTCCCTGCTTTGCGCACTCGGGTTGAAGACGCGACCATTAAGCTGGAGGAGCAAATCGCCCTGGCTGAGAGCAGTGGCGTATCAGCTGATGAGCTGGCTACGGCCAAGGAAGCACTGGCTAAGGGCAAGGAGGAAAAGACCTACACTGTCTCAATTCCCTCGGCTTAGGCCGATTTGCCTGGTATCTTGCATTTATCAATGATTTAGGCTAGGGAACGCGTCGTTAAAAATGATAGGGAAGCGTCATGAAGAAACCAGCAGCCCGCATTAATGGGGTATCTCAAATTGAGAGGAATCATGTCTAACTGCGCAATGTGCGTTTCCAAGCTTTAATTGTCAACCTCCATCCTCTCCGGTGCATCCACTGTAATCTGAGGTGTGTCGCCTCCTGAAGCGGGCTGGGCGTCCTGCTGATCATCCATCTCAACATCCTCTCCTTCTTCAATCTCATCATCGTCTAGATTAGGATGAGGCGTTTCGCTCTGGCTCGGCACCGCGCTGCCAGACCGAGAAAAGCTTCCTAGTCCGCCAGATCGCGGCTTTAATCCTTCTCCGTGATCTTCTGAATGGCCATCCTGGCCAGATGTCGCTCTCGGTATGGCGCCGCTGTCGGGATGAGGTGTGACATTACCGCTCGAAACATGTCGCGGCGTCTGTCCGCCTCTCGAGGCCTCGCCATCCTCCTCGTCCTCGTTCATTCCCTCCCGTCTTTCAACTTCCTCCTTTTCGTCGCGAATCTGCCTGCGCAACAGCATGCCCTCGTCCATGATCTTGCTGAACTGGTCACGCCGCTCGCGCCATGTCACGCCGTACGTCTCGCTTTCACGCTCGAGGTCGCGGATTTCCTCCTCAAGCTTCTTCAGATTTGTCACCTGCTCGCCGCGTGGTCTCAGACCCTTTGCCATGAGTGCGTTTGCCAACTTGTCGTACTCCTTGCGCTGGGTCAGCGTGGCTTTGGCGCCGTCAAGTTGTTCCCGAAGCCGCGTGTTGTTATCCCGCACACTTTGACATTCTTCAAGAATGCGCTGCTGGTCGGCTTTGTAGCGCTCGCGCTCGCGGACATTGGCATCGAGGAGGAATTGCAGGCGGGCGATGCTACTGTCGAATGCGGCGAAATCAAGAGTCAGGTCGTCCTTGATTTGGTCGATCTCGCGGAGCTCCTGGGCGGTAGCCTCCTCCTTTGGTTCCGCATCAGTTTCCTTCTCGCCATTGGCGCCCTCTGGTGGCGGGCTAGGTTGTTGCTTCGTTCGTGAATTTGCTATGGCAGAGATGGAGGCGAGCCTCTTTGTGATGCGCTTGAAGGGCTTTTCTTCAATATTCACCAGTCGCGACTTATGGAGCTCCGCTTCCTCCTTGTCGTCCAGAAGATCCCAAGATGACATCTTTAATCTTGATTCTGACTTTCCAACCAGACTTTGGATCGATGAAGTTGGGGCAGCAGTCGGTTAATACCGCGAATATGGTGTCGGGAAAGGACGAGAACGGTTGTAGCTTCCAAGACGGATGTAAAATCTCGAGTGGCAATGGTAGACGAGGATAGTAGAAAATGAAGCACCCTCCTTACATCTCCTTAAGAAAATCGAACAATGTAATCGCACGGTAATTCGGGTTGTAACAGATGTTGACGAAGTTTGGGCTGAGATCACACTCAAAAACAAAGAACCAGCACATATGGGAAGAAGCTCGCGCATTCTTTCCTCAGCCTTGCAGTAGCTCGCATTCTCGACTTAGATTGGTCAGCGGATATAGTGGGTCGACTGGTTTCTCCACTCACCCCCCAATCAAGGGCAAAGCCAAAGCGCTTCCTTCGCACTGCAAGTGATCTCATCAGAACCTCCCAACAGCATCATTTCTGGTTGTAAAAGCCATATCTTTGTCGCAACACTTAGCACTTTCAACACAAAGTAATTGCGCCAAATTTTACGACTTTGGAGATGCCCTCGCAAGAAGAACAGGAGTTGCTGGCCCGCATCAGCCAGCTTGCCGGTGCGATATTCCCACCAAGCAAACTCGAAGCGCGTTCAATCTAATTTTTGGTGGCAACCAGGCAAAATTAACCTACACAAAGCTCAGCAAGCTGGAGTTCAATCAGTTCCTAGCAACCAAGCATCTTATAGCCGACGTACGTTACGAAATACGCCCGGAAACTCAACCGAGCACTTACACCAAGTAGACAATACATACCGACAAGGTGGTTACCCCCACAATCATCGTGTCCAGCCATACCCCTCTACCCGAGGGTCGTCGGGTTTCCGTAACAGATCCCTGGTAGTGAACAATAGTGGAACAAAAACGCCGCCTTCCGACTCGCCTACGCCTGAGGCCTCTGGCTCGACCGGTTCCTCGAGCTCTTGGATCTCGAAGACAACTCGTGGCCAGCGGTCACTTATCAATTCAGCTGTCTACGAAAAGACTAGTGAGGCTACTGCGAAGGCCATCGAAGTGACCAGGCAACAGAACTTGCTCCAGCAGGATGCGCGCGAGAAATCGCAACTCGCCAATCATTTTCAACGCTATGGCAGACATTCGAGTGCACCAGGCACTCCAACTAATTCTACAGCTGTAGGCCAACATGAGATCGAGATCCAAGGAATTCGATACCGCGTTGCTCATAATGGCAGTAAACTCATCAAGGTTTCCGGTGCGTCATGCTCCCTGCAAGCACCAGAAGCAAGAATTAACGGTTGTGCAGGAGACCTTCATCCCGTCAACGCAACACCCAAAGTAGCCTTTGTCGGAGGCGTCAAATTTCATCGAAGCAAAACGGGTAACTTGTACCGTGCAGGTGTGCTCAGATCGCAACAACGGTATGTCCCTTGAAGACTTTCTTTGCAACCGCTAACTTTAGTCACTTGCGCAGCCGAAATGGCGTCACGAAGGTCGACGTGCCTTGCAGCATGTTTTCGCTGACTGGTATTTCATTTACATTCTTACCCGGCCATCTGTTCCTCACTCATACAGACTTGGGGTTCGCCTGCTCAAGTGGGTATGATAAGCACTAGACACCACTAACCCAACAATGATTATTTAGGTTCATGCGCTAAGGGACCAGCTTGTCGCTACATACACGATGCGTCAAGAGTTGCGGTCTGCCGGGAATTGCTTCACAAGGGGAACTGCGCCAACGGGGAGTCTTGTGATCTTTCCCATGACTTGACGCCCCAACGCACCCCGACATGTGTTCACTTCGTTAAGGGCAATTGTGCAAACCCCAACTGCCCCTATGCTCACTCTAGTGTATCTCCAGGTGCTCTGGTCTGCCGCTCGTTCGGCCAATACGGCTATTGCGATAAAGGGGAGGACTGCGAGGAACGACACGTTTTTGAGTGCCCTGATTTCAGCAACACGGGCAAGTGCAAAACCAGGGGCTGTAAGCTTCTTCACCGCGAGAGGGCAAGCGTCCTTCGGAAACGCACGGATGGCAGCGAGATGGAAGACCTGTCGAGCGACGACGAATCGATCGACAGTGACGATGTGGACTCGGATGAGGTTGAGGAATTCCTTGCCGACCCTGTTGGTGACGATTCTGACTTCAAGGTCCAAAAGGACTACATCGCTTTCTGATCGTGACCTGGTGCCACTTGGTGAGGCGGCCGTTGTTGGTCCCTCTTCTTTTACTGACATGCTTGCTATCCACTCCTCAATGGAGCCCAATCTTGGGGAATGCAGAGTTTCCCTTCAATGGGCGTAATTTAGGTTACTGGGAGCAACTGGGAAGAAGAACAGCAAACAAACGATACCCACGAAGAACGACTAGAAGAAATGATACCATGCGCAAGAGCAACATTCTTAGAAAAGGATAGAGAGAAGAATAATTGTGGAACATAATAGAACATGGTATTGGAATGGAACCAAGTCCCCTTTGTCGATCAATCCTTAATTGAAAGTGATATCTCGGAAGACTCCAGTGGGAGATATGATGTATTATAATGACATAACACACGGAGTTTCTATGCCAAGTTATCAACTTCGCTTGCGCTTCGACAAGCATTATTTCTGAGTGCGGGCCGCCCCCAGCTGGCTTCGGTTGTCTCAATTAAATCACATAAATTTTACGCTCAATCTTACCCCGCCATCGTTTCGTCCCTGTGGACTGTGGAAACAAGCCCATTCGATGACATTTCGTGCGCTGACACACTAGAACCTCGCCTGGTCCCCTCCTCTGCGGACCCATTCAACCAGGCAGTCCAGCGCCACCTGCCGCGTGCAGTGGTTCCTGAACCTTTGTTCCTTCAAGGTATGCTACGCCGTAGACGCTGACGAGGCGCTAACTGGGGCCCGTCATTTGATGAGTCCAGGTGGCTATCATGGTCGCTCGAAGGGAGCCCTGCTGGTTGGCATTCGCGTCCTTGAATTGCACCGCCATCAGCTCCGCCCCTCGTCTCTGCACACTTTCGTTCCGCTGCCAAAGCTGAGAATAGTACCAAATGTGACGACACTGCGCCAACATAAGCAGCTGTAAATGGCCTCTTGATCCCTTCCGCTCGAGCTCGGAATATCTTAATTTTGTTTCTTGTGTCTTTACTTTTTGACTTCTTGTCTACCTAACATTTATTTCCGGTGCAAGCTGCATCGGTACTAATATTCAGACTCCATCATGGGTTTGCGCGACATCCTCAAGAAAAAGGACCACCTTGACAGTGGTGATGCCAGTAGCCAGGATGCTATGGACAGGCTGGCCGCACCCGAATTCAAGTTTATTCGATCAGATACACACTCGCAAGAAATCATTCACCCCCCGACCGGCCCCGTGACGGAAAACAACGACCAGTTCCTGAATCCTAACGACGGCAGTGGCCAGAAGCCTCGGCGCAGCCTCGACGCCATCTTTGGCAACCGCTCGCGCAGCGCCTCCGTCTCGTCACAGGCGAGCTCCAACGGCAATCCAAAGGGGGCGAGACGTCTGTCGGAACGATTGCACCTTAGCCGCTCGCCCGCTTCCTCCGAGAATGTCCCGCAGAACCTACCCGACATTGTGACGACGGCCGAGGGCGACGAATCAGCGTGGGAGAAGCGCGCGACGATTCTGGCATCGTCGAACAAGAGCAGGCCCGCAACGCCATCCCAGGATAACGGGTATGGAAGCCAGGGGAGGGGCCGTTCTCCCAGCGCCGCTGTGTCATCACCGGCCATTGATGAGGACATTCAGGAGGCTATTCGGCTGCATGAGGCGGGGGATTTTGAGAACTCGACTGCCATGTTTGCCCGATTGGCTGATCCGGATGGGGCAAATAACACCCTCAGCCAATTTCTGTACGGTCTCGCTCTGAGGTGAGTTCGACGCCCAGACCGGTCTCGAACTTTCTCGGAATTGTTGCCGTCGCCTCCCCGTACCTATGGTTAAGTCACATGCACGGCCGTCATGATGCGTCGGGCAATCAAATGCGTTGTGGCTTTGGGGTTGCGACGGGTGCCACGATATCCGTCGCTGTTATGATGTTAGTGACGTGAATGCTGACTTGAGGACTATTGATAGGCACGGTTGGGGATGTGAGCCCAATCCAGAAGGGGCGATCAAGTATCTCTCGGCAGCGGCATCGAACGCGGCAGCCGTTGAGCAAATGGCGTTGAAGGCCGGGCTCAAGAAGGGTGGTGCCGCCAAGGGAGAGCTCGTTTTGGCCATCTTTGAGCTGGCGAACTCTTTCAGACACGGTTGGGGCACTGCTAAGGATCCAATCGCGGCCAAGCAGGTTGGTTTCCCCGTCCGAATGAAGTCTTGAAGCTGGAGAAGCGACAGCTGCACAGTCGCAGTCATGAAGGACACGGCGTAGGCTAACGCTCAATGGCAGTACTATGAGACCGCTGCGAACCTTGGTGATACGGGTGAGGATGCCCCCCCTCGGTGCCATCTTGGTAACGAGGCCCACAGTATGCATTCGGACACGCTAACTAGCTCTGCGATGTCTTAGATGCCATGAACGAGGTTGCCTGGTGCTATTTGGAAGGCTTTGGATGCAAGAAAGACAAGGTAGGTTGTGTCACATATCAGCCATCAACTTTGGCATGTCACGTATCTTGAGGCTGCTGGACGAGTCCAGGAGACCTTAATACACTGGACTCACTATCAGCTTCAACCCCCCCAGGGAGGTTGTGTGGCCTGCACATCATAAGATGAGCGCAGGTTCATGTTGGGAGCTTGACATAGCATAGAACCAATTAGCAAAGTTGCTTTGGTACAGTTGGGCACCAATCCGGCCGTCTTTTGCGGCCGCGAATGGCACTTGCCTATTAATCATGCTTACTTACATCACATGAGGCTGACAATATGCCCAGTTCGCAGCAGCCCGTTACTATCGGTTGGCTGAAAAGAATGGAAACAAAACACTAGGTAATTCTTGGTAAGTTGAACCCGTCTTGTTGTGCTTCCCCAAGAATTGGTTTTCTCGGTGCCTTCCAAAGCTGGGGACGTTCGACGCATCAAATCATGTACTGCATCGGGGGGCGGCCTGCAGCACGTTGCAGATGACTTGCACGCTACGGCATTGATAGGCTGATAGGACCTCCCGAATCCTGGCAAACAGGAGCAGCAGCAGCAGCTCGCCCTGCTTTTGTCTCTTTGGATGTCAGCGAGTCCCCCCTCCCAGTGCTGCATGTCATTTCTGCACGCTTCTGCGTGCAGTTCTGAGCTGGGCCGCTTCTACCAGAAGAAGTACTCCGAGCCTTGAGTCTGTGGCTCTAGGGTTGGTTACTGTCTGCTTGAATCGCGGTCTTTGTTGTCCTATCTGCTCCCCTTGTATTTCGTTCCTCGCGCCATCACCCTTTTTTTGATACAACTACGACCTGTTTATTCTGAGGCACTGAGACTAACAGCCTCAATCTAACAGGATCTGGAAGGAAAAGTACGACCCAGACGCCGCCAAGGGGAAGAAGTAACGGCAGGTAAGACTGTAGTAAAGAGAGGATATAAGTGTGTTTGCGATGGCCAAACTAGTCATCCGTGAAACGGGTGCCGCATACTCGAAACGGACATACAAACCAAAGCGCCATTTAGTCCCTGTTGACAGTGGTTCTTCTTCTATTTACCACAGTTCCACCGATACAGAAATCTGTTGCTCGGCGCGGGCGCGGCTGGTTCCGACCTGATCCCAGTTGTACGGAAGTGTCACCATTCTGGAGGTATGTGCCGGAAAGGGGTTCTGTTTTCATCCCCTGGCATGTCGCCAAACTCCTCTCTACAGCGGAACCCACTCTTAAGATAGAATACGAGTCACGAGAGGGAGTCATTTATCTCAAGTATACAGTGTCAACTGGATTCTCCTTTGCAATATAACGGTGGGACAGCGGGGTACCTTTCGTCAGACACTGCGGTACGCTGTTGGACGGCAGGCATGCATGTCTTGTGAGTATTGGGAGCAGCAGAGGTATGTTGATAATGTTGCGGAACAGAATGAGAGAGGGGGCTTTCGATTCTCGGCTCAAACGAGCCGAGTTGACCTTGGACAAACCGAGCCACAATCAGCCTTGATTAGAGGTATCATTGGTGGAGGATTGTTTGACTTTGATGGTTATTTTCTAGTTGTCCAGTATACCCTCTGAGGAGAGACTCGTTTCTCAACTCAAAAGCCTAAGAATACCGAGCAACTGTTTCACGCGTTCAATCATCACTGGCTGATCAAGGCCACAGTATCGCTATGATGCTCATTCGAGTCAAGAGTAATGTTCCTTATGTTGTTCGAGGTCCTTTCGGTTCCCAGGTGTGTTGCAACTACTTTAACTGTCTACGACCTTGGAATGTTGTGGGACTTGTGTACTCGATGCATGCAGCACCTACGTTGTACCGTGAGCTGTGTGGTCGAGATAGTTGCCCCTTTACTCTGTTCTGCAAGTTCCCGTAACCCATTGGGTGGGAAGTGTTAGAGGTATGGAGCACCCCATCGCCCTGCGACAACTAAACTGAGTGGCCGAGATGTTAACGGACTATAGATTCGGGGAAACACAGGTTTTACGTGATGGCACACGTACGCTGCATATCGAGAGGTTTACTCAAGAACTTGAATTGCATAAATTTGAGCGAAAACAAAGGACGGATACTTTATGTTCGGTGAATCCACCGTTTATTACTTCAGTCGACCACGCGCGACATACGTAACGTTCCATATTAGTTGAAAACGGCAGCGACATACAAGAAGCTTTGGCTGAGCATAATGAACGGAATTTACTCGCTAGACGCTCCTCGGATATTGGAAAACCCTTCAACTCACCTGGACACTTCCTATAGTAGGCCGTGCTTTAGTCAATCATAGTCTCGAGTTTTCGCTTCGGGGAGAGCTCCCACAGGCCCATGAGAACTGACATGGACCTAATGATACTCGATTTGAAAATGGTGCATCACAGAGCAGACGTCAGTTCATCTCTTTGACAAAACCTTTCATCATCGTGAAATCCAGTTTGAAGAGCTAGGGAGCAGTCACCCAATCAAGAGATGCAACGTCATCAAATCAACTCCTGGCTCTGCTTTAGACCTGACTTCGGCCTCACCTTAGGTCCGTCATTGGTTCTGTTGGGCATGGCAACGTCTCTTCGGGAACCGGACGAACTCACCCGAGACTGAGCCTATACTGCTCACCTGCTCACCTGCTCACCTAGATGTGGCTGGGAAACTGGGAGGTGTTCGCCACCAATGCAGACCGCTCTTCACCTAAGGTCAAGGAAGCGGCAAGCTAAGCAAGCATAGCACGGGCAGAAACGCTCGACCGTCTTCGCCGTGGACAAAATTTTCTACCATGCTCTTAGTCAAACCCGTGTTTTCTAAGCTAAAATAGCTTGCTTGCCTCATGGTCCCTATTACGCACGCATACACACACACACACACACACACCACTGCCCCATAAAACTAGATTGAAATGATGTCGTTACCGATAGAGGGGAAAAAAACTTGAGGTCCCTTGAGAGAAGACCACGATGATGTATGGGTACATCCAGAACCCGTGAGCGAGAATGCAAGCATGCGACCTCGAAAATGTCTCAGACATAACCACAACCCTCAGCTGTGCCAGAAAGAAAGGGAAGGAAGAACCCCTGTTTTAGGCTGCCTGTCGTCTAACCTCCTTTCCCTCACCTCAACCAGTTATCAATCTAAATATCTCATCTGCCTATTCCTTCCGTCTTACCATACCTCATCTTCCCATCAGTGAAAATCGTTAAAGAACAGGATATTTCACGTATGCAGACGAACGCTTACCTTCCATCCATTTGCCGCGCCTCAATTTGTTTATCCAGGGCATCCAGGCTCAGCCATTCCCGAGCCGACGATACAACGGGGGCCAATCTACTAGTAGGTACATGAGCTGAGGAAAAGCAGACCAAAATGCTGCGTATGACACTTATTTTTATACTAACGCTAGATCCGCCCCCCCCCCCCCCCCCCCCCCCACAAGAGGCTGATGTAGGCCACACACATCATGCATCAAAAGCATCCACACCATTCCTCTGGTGCGCAAGTGGCCTTGGTTAGTGGCTGTGGCTCTCATCTTCAACCGCGCAAGACAATGGGGAAATGAATTTAGAAAGTAAAGAAAAAACCAGGAAACTAAGAAACAATACCATTCATCATCAGCCGCTCTATTGTCCAGAAGCCCCCAAATGTCCGCTCATCCTTCCTGAACATCCCCCCGTGGTTCTATGAAAGGCGCCATCACCACAAGTGCCCGCTGCCCTTCTCACCCGCATGCCCAGCCCAGCCTGTCTGCACCCATCTCACGCGCCGTCAAACAATACCATTATCAACCAATCCCCTAAGGGTACTCAGCGCACCACGCTAATGCCGCAGCCCCCATCCCTCTTCTTCTTAGAAGTACGGAAACGACTAACCTCAGGTTCAGATCCTCATCCGGTCGCCATTCCCGAAACGATGGAATGATCTTCCAAGACCAAGTGAACGTTGCCATAGATCTTCCCCCCGCCCATCTAACCGTTATCCCGCCAAGTCTGGACACAAAGTCACACCCTTCCGTTTCTTAGCTGGTCAATGGAACTTGCCATTTCCGGATGAGTAAAAAAAAAAAACTGACGACGACCACACCGTGACACTCCCATATGGTACCATCACATTCCAAGTTTAGACGGTCTGTATGGCCTTCGCCCCCCCCCCCCTCTTCCTAAATCTCCTCCTGGTAACTCTGCCTGCCAATGGCGTCGACCACATACGGTCATCATAGAAGTGCTTGTCTACAGACGCCCCCTCCAAGCCTAACCTCTCGTCTTCCAGTCACTCGGTGCGAGTCGTGTCGATGATCAGCATTTTCCGAAGGTCATTCCTGGCTTCGCGCTTTTTCCTTTCTCTAAGACTCTGTCCTTACCTTGGTATAACCAAGTTTATGTCATCATCTCCTCACATATGCACCCAGTCACTCTGCATGTTACCTCTTAAGAAGTCGTGTGATAAAAAACGGACAGATAATTCCATGGTATCTTTTGTATGGGTTCCGCAAGTAGCTACGCGAATAGAAGACACACCTTCCTAAAGGCGGCCCAAAGAAACATGAGAAAGCGAGGGACAGGCCTGTCTACCCGTCCGCCACTAAAACATTGAAATGCTTTCCTCGCTTTGCTGGATGTTGTGGTGTCGCTCGAATAGCTGTAGGCAAATGAAAATAAAAGTAAAGATAAGGAAAAAGAGAGCAATAGTGATAAAAATAAAAAAAAGTCAAAGAGTAATAGAGGCTTTCGAAGAGTAGTGATGCTTTGCTTGTATGACTGTCATATTTCATGATCATCAGATTCGTTTCGACTTCATGTTCTCCGTTCCCACGTGACGTCGTGAGACGTTTTCGTTTCTCGTCACAATTTGTAACGGTAGTTTGCAGTCGCTCCTCCATCTTTCCAAACAAAGAGAATTAGGAAACAAGGAAAAAGAAAATAAAAGCAAAACAAAAAAGCACCACTTCCTGCCCTCCCTCCCATATGAGATGATGTCCCTTCTGTTGTGAGACCTGCTCTCCTCCGGTATTCCGAGTGCCGTCCCATCCTACCAGAAAAGCCTGCCACATCCCATTGTACAAAGCCCGGCCGTCCCGTATTCCCATGCTCCCCTCCCTCCTTTCCCTTCCTTTCCTTCCCTACCCTGCCCTACCCATTCGAGTTTCGCTTCCGCCTCACCCCAAACTGGGAACAAAAAGCAGTAGATACGAAACTCGATATGTGAAACAAACTGATACCAGACTAAATCCAGAATGCTCGCTCGCTTGCTTGCTAGATACCGGGGACGACGCAATTGTCCCACAAGATAGGAAAACAGAGAAATAAGCACACAAAGATAAAACAGCAAATAAGTTTATGTCCGAAGAGCTTCGATCATGGTTGGCGAAAAAAGGTTTGTTTGGTGCGTGAGCAACAATGTCTGGGGATCCCGCGGGAGCGGTAAAGAAGTGTATGATGAGAGCTTCGGAGAAGAAAAAAAAAATCCCCAAAAACAAGGAGATATGAGACAAGATAAACATATGTTTTTGCGCCGGAGTTGAGTCGTTGATGTTGATCATGGGGATCATTCTTCGTTTTTTGAACTTTTTTTTTGTTCTCATTATTCGTCAGCGCCGACCTTGGCGCTGTTGGATTCGGACACCATTTTTGCAAAATTTCTGACTACTTCACTGGGGATCTGGTCCCAAAGTAGTGATCTAGTATAGACCTCAGCGGCGGATTGCTTGTTGTTGCGCATCGCCGCAAGAGCGTCGGCAAGGTTTCTCCGTCCCTGGCTGGTGGAGCGTTCAGGGGCGTTGTTAAGGAAGTCCTGCGAGCTGACGCCATTGTACTGGGCGGCCGAGAGGCCGAAGAGCTGCTCGTTCGCCTGCTCCTCAGTAGGCTGAGTGAGTGAGTCACCAAGCTGACCGAGCATGGAAGGAGCGACACCGCCCATTGAAGCATCACCAAGGCCAACAGCAGGGGCGTCGACCCAAGAGCCGCCGGAAGGCTGAGGGGCGACGGCTTGGAGGGTGTTGGAGGCTGCGTTGACACCAGCATCCTTGAAGACGTTCTCGAGGAGAGTGGCTGCTTCGGCGCGAACGTCGTCAGACACGCGGGGGATGGCCGGTGTTGAACGGCTTGACAGCACGAAAGCTCCGACAAGGAAAAGCATGAAGAGCATGCCGCCCTGGGACGAGGACTTCTCTGACTCGGCGGGGAAGGAGACCTCTGCCTTCTTGGCCGGGACAACCTGAAGCTCTTGCTTGATCTCGGGCTCCATGGGGTACTCGCCGAGGAAGTTGACGTTGTCCCATGTGCCGGGCATGGTCATGCCGTCCATGTCATCGTAACCGGAGACGAAGCCGTTATTGGCAGGGGCAGTCATGGCAGCGCTCTCGAGGCGCTGGACGTGCTCGGTGAGGACGCTAACCTTCTTACGGAGTTCGCCGGTCTCAATCGTGTGAGTGCGGATCATCTCCTCTTTCTCCATGGTGAGGGACTCGATGTACTCTTGGTTGAACTGCTTCTCCCTCAACAGCTGCTCCATCTGTTTCCTCATCTCAGCCATTTCCTCTTCCATGTCGCCAAGGACGGCAGTGAACTGCTTCTTCTCATCCTCAAGACGCTCAGTATGCTGCTTCTTTCTTTGGCGAGAGTCAAGACTGTGATGTGTGTCAGTAAATCTAACCTTGCAATTGTGATTAGGGTTACTCACGCTGCTTGTCGATTCCTCAACAGACGCTTCTGTTGCTTAAGCTCCTTGATCTCTTGCTCATCAGTGGACTGGGCGATAAGCTGATCGATGTTGCTGAGGTTGCGCTCGGCCGGAATGTCGAAGCGGGCGTTCTTCTTGCGAATGCCGTCACCCCTTCTCATATCGTTGTGCGAACGGATAGCAGGGCTTCCTGGGCGCATTTTCTTGGCCATGGACTCCGACTGACCAATCCAGCCCTTCTGAGGCGAGGTGGGAATGGACTGGTTGCCTGAGCCGATGGAAGCAAACATGCCGATCTGGCCAGTGGGGTTGGTGAAGGGCGTTTGGCCTTGGACAGGTCTTTGGAACATGGAGGCACCAGTGTCATATTCTGCCGGCATGCCGTCGAACTGCTGTAGAGGAGTGCAAGAGCCGGATGTATTGCTCAAGGACCAGGCATTCCCTTGATGGCCAAAAGGAGAGGGTTGGGCATGGTCCAGGCGCATAAAGGGATTGTTGCTGTGTTGCTCGATAAACGGGTTGTTAGACGGCACGGACTGCATCTCGACTGATTGCCAGTCTTCTGTTTTCGGGGAGAAGAGAGATGATCCGACGGCAAAAGATTCTCTCCGGCTATCGGCCATGGGAGGCGACATTTCCAAGCCTGAGTCGAGTGCGCTGTGATCCAGAATGGTTTCGTCCAAGATACTGTGGTCCTCCTCTTCGTAATACTTCTGCGCTTGATTTGTGTCAACGGTCAAAGGTGTCGGTCTGAAGTAGTTCGGCATCTGGTAGGTTGAGACCATTTCTGGTTTTTGATCAGCAGTCCGGTGATGACTGCGATGTGCTTCTACGCGAGAAAAGGGTTGCCTATTTTTTCTCTTTTTCAAAATTCTTGTTAGTTGAGGACGGCGGCGGCGGTGAGGATGATCATCCAGGGTTTATTTTTGGGTTGAGTGATATGTGGGGACAATGCTGGGCATCCGCAGGTGAGGGGAATGCGCTCAGATTGGGTACGAACAATATGATATGATGTATACAGAATCCTGGTGAATACAGGTGCAGGATTTTGTGATGGAGTAGACAGGAAGAGAAGCGACGTGAGGGCAAGAAAAGGGTAATAAAAAGCAATGAAGTGGAAGCGGGTGAGAGAGAGGGAGAGAGAGAGTGTGTGTGAGAGTGTGTGTGATAAAAGAGGTTGGTGGGGACTAATCCAGGAAGATGAGCGGGTGGGAGGGAGGCCGGAAAGTTTTAAGGCAGTACGTGCAGAACGAGGGTAAGGTGGACTGAATTTCCGAAGAGAAAACATACTCACAGGCCTAGGATGTCGGTTCCTCTCTCGAGTGATACGATGCTGCGATGCACTCCAGATCTTGTGGCAAGTTGAAGAGCAGGTCAGACAGACAGAGGGCGGGGAAGGCTAAGTATGTATATGTGTGTGTGTGTGTGCGCGCTTGTGTATTCGAGTGAGGGCGTGAGTGTGAGAGTCGTTAGGCCGATTTGCTCAGTAGGTTGGAAGAATGATGGATGATAAAACAATAATAAACAATTGTGTGTTGCAACGATGGGGGAATCGTCGAAAGATGGGGGTGCCGGAAGGATGTATATGTATGTACGTATGTACGGTGGACGCAGGATGTGTGAGTATGTGGTGTGGGATCTCGTTCTTTTCGTCTATGGTGCAGGCAAGGTAGAGCTGGAGAGGAGGGGTTTGTACTTTTGAATGGAAAGGCGGCACTTCTGCGGGAGACTGGGCACGAGGTACTTGGTCATAAACGGTGGCCGGGTGCAGGTACTTGGCTTGGCTTCGAGAAGAATACGGTGGACATGGATGAGGAGGGTATGGAAGTGCAGATGGTGTATGTTAGGCTGGTCCGGGTCCCAATCTCAGTCCAGGGTGCAGGGAGCAGTGGGGAAAGACAAGAGGGACGAACGCGGGACCGAGCCAGGATGGGGAATCGAGAAAATGTGCGAGAGCTCTCACGGCGAGGAGTTGGGAGAAGAGTAGCGGGCACTGAGAACGGAGAGACAGACGGTGGGTGGGATTTGCAGTGCGTGGGTGGTGGTCACTCGTTTATGGAGGGTGGCCGACAGGCGAAGGGGGTGGGTGTGTAGTGACAGCGCGAGGAACCCAGTCGGCGAGAGAGAGGAAGACTCAAGAGACCAGAGACCGTATCTAACTAAAGTAGGAGGAGAGGCTTGGTCAGACAGAGATCACGATGCCAAGGTGACTGAACTCATCCATTTCCCTGCTTCCCTGGATTTCGGGACAGTAACGATGACTTTGTTACAAGGTGTTTGTCTTGCCCATGTCTGGCCTGTCTCCCTCGTGAGACCGCGGCTTGTCTCCGGAAATCTTGCCAGTATCTTGTCATGATAGTTTGATCTAGGCATGACGAGAACGAAAGTGTGGGAGCGGTAGGCTGGCAGGTTGACTGCACAGACAGACGGCCGGCACATTACGTTAGAATGGTTCCTTGGAACAAGACACGGACAAGACAAGGGGAGCGGGCAGACTGAAGAAGGATCGAACAGGGGTTGTGTTTGGCTTTAGACCGCCTCGAACTCTCCTTACGGACTCTATCAACCCGATAGACTTTGTCTGCCGTATCTGATTTTTTTTTTTCTGATTCTTTTCCTTTGGTACCCGGGAACAGGCTATGGGAATGAGCTAAGGTACTCTTCGGCGTGCTAAACTAGGGCAAGGTACCTGAGGCCCGAAGGGAAGCTTGGGACGAGCTTTGGCGCTTGTAATCCTATAATGGCCATGGATGGGGATATCAACACGACCACAGACTTGACAGGGCAGGGGGGCAAGACGAGAAGGTACTTGAGGCATGGGATGGAATACAGAGCCAAAGCGAAACCCAACCCCACGCACAGCCGATGTGCTCCGACTGGATTCTCTGTGCGCTCTCTCGGTCTTGTGGCTCTAAGCTGGGGGAGTGTGGCCGGGTATGCGTGTGTCAGTCAATAGCTGCTGGAGACGACATACTTTGACCGACGAATGAGGTCAGCGAGGAGGAGGATGACAGAGATTCTGGATTTTGGGCCTTTGGGTCCTAGGCACGATGCGCCGGGTCTGGATGGACGGGGATATTGCCGGAAGACAGGCGGCGGCGGGTCATCATGGGAGACAAGACCGTCTTGATAATGGGGGCGACGGGTCGGTCGTGTACCGGGACGGCCAATAGAGGACAAAAAAAAGAATTTTGTTTGGTTGGGGAAAAAAAACGGAAGGAGAATGTCTTCACAAGCAGTAGCTGGGCGAAAATGGAATGGCGGTCACGGTCACAGACGGTGGGGGTTGGGCTTGCAGCTTGGGCCATGGCCGTTGCAGCCAATGGGTCTGGAGCTAGAGTAGCGGGAACGGATTGAGCATCGATGGCACGGTGGGAGATACGGTTGATCGAGACCGTTTTGCAGTGAAAGTCGAGAGAACGATGTGTGCGGTCAGTGGAGAAACACGAGAAGACCTTCCTGCCTGACTGGGTGGTCGACCGGGATGACGTACCGTTGTACCTCGCCCAAGGTGGAAGGGCGAAGCCGTTGTAATGACCAGAAACGGAAGGAAAGATACAAAAACAAGAGGTGAGTGCTGAGTGGTGATAGTTGAGTCCCCTGGTGACCGAATCCACTGGACGAGAGACAACGGGGAGCAAAGACTGCTCCAGCGGGTTGGGCAGCGACGGCCGCTCTCTTCCGCGATAGGCTCGCCCACGCCATTGATACCTAAAGTCCAAGAACGCCCCTAAGACGTGACCTGAGAAAGCCCAGTGCAGCCCTCCTGCATCCACTAATCAGCCACTGTTTCTCGTCCGTCGGCTCCCATTGCTCAGCACTGAACGGGATGACCACCCGCCCCTAAGCACTGGTTACAGGGCGAGTGAAGTACTGGACCGGAGCCGACTGGGAGCTGCTTACTTCAGCCAGGCGGGTAGCATCGAACCTCGCTTGCCTAACATCTATCTTGGTCATGGAGGGGAAGGATGTAGGTGAGTGAGTGCCTTGTGATGATACAGGATTCTGCTGTCACGCTCAGTATATTCCGGCATGATCTCAGCCAAATCATACAACGAGGCAGGCAAGACAAGGCGAAGCAAAACAAGTAGGCACACCAGCTTTGTAAACATGCCATCGGCATTCCCCTTAACGGCAAGTGCAGGATATGTACCCTGCTGAAGAGAGAAAGAAAGAGAGCATGAAAAGTCCCCATCTAGAGTGGTATCGTCACCTCTCTCCCAGATCATCTGGCCAACCCTACAGGAAAAGCTCACAGCACCATAATGCTGCCGATCCGATCGATCCCCTCAATAGCTATGGCTGGTTTCCGTAAATTATTTTTTTCAGACCCCAAAAGCCCCGTTTTCCTTCTCCATCACCAAAAATCAAAGCGCAATTGGCCAACCTCCATCTCTTGTAAGTTGGGATGATGCCCGTACACCCAGACGACTTCTCAGCCACATCCCTGGACAGAAACAGCCACCTTTTGCCGAATTTTCGGGCGCCTTGACCGACAGGCGAAGTCAATTCCAACATCGAGAAACACGGAGGGACCACATGAGGTACGACGGTTGTAAAAAAAAAATTAAAAAAAAAAATCGGTGGCTGGGAAATAAACATACAGAAACCCTCCCAGCGCCGCCGGTGATGCCCAAGCCGGAATGTCAACATCAACCAGCCACTCAGCCTGGAGTGATGCGCGAGACCCAGCTCCACTGTGCTTCATGGCCGCATACAGAGCGGCCCATCGTCAGCTGTGAAGACCCCTCTCTGCTTTGTCGGTGTGCCATGGTGCTTGTTTGGGTCCCGTTTCCAAAGCAAAGGCGAGTGAGAGGCCTCTCAACCTTGACTCCTTGCCTCTCTTCACTTCAGTTGAGGCCGAGCCTTGAGACTTCATGGCTTGATCCCCATGCCCGTCGTCGATTCATGACAACGCGTTTTCGCGTCCTGAAGCGCGCCAAACGACCCGACCTAGCCCGCGGCCGCTGCAGGAATCGCGACGTCACGGATATCCATCGGCAACGTGAATCATGCACGACTCCACCGATGGACCCCAACGGCAGCCTTTATACCGTCTGTGAGGATGAGGGAAAATGGAGGGGGGGAGAAGCCCTGCGATGTTACAATCAGTCGTCCAAGTGCCTGAGGCCCTTCACGATCCCGCACCCCAATACACCTTTAGCTGCTTTTCTGGCTCTGACCCATTAGATGGGCCCCCCCTCACCTTCTGGAAAAACTCGGCCACCGCGAAAGCCGGAGTGTGGAAGCTGCAATGGAGACTTCAGTCTGGATGGCGCCGTTTGAAAAGCGGGGCGCCCATAAAAAGACCCGTTATGGACCGCCGCCGTCCCCGCCATTAACCAATCGTCCGAGTGAGGCGAGCAGACTCTGCTACAGAATAGAAATCGCGACCTCTGCTCCGGACTGTATGGCTGACTGTCAAGTATCGACGCCTTGCCGTTCTCCATCCCAATTAGTCGAACCGCCCTTAGCCGGATCAATTCCTCTCATCCCTCACCAATTGTTCTTCTGGGATTCTCACGCACTGGATATAGCTCAGGTACGTCTTCCCCTTGAATACAGATCACCAGAGGTACCTGCCTTACGTTTAGCTCCCACATGGTTCTTGGCCTCGGCCTACACTTGCGCTAAACAGGTCCAGCTCCAGCTCCGATTTCAATACCTCATCTCTCCACGCTGTCTCTCACGCGTTCCTGAAGACGGAGCCCAACCTGTTGGCTAGGCCAGACCACCGGGCCCACGACCCCTAATCTGATGATTCGGATTCGGAGACACAGCGCTTCAGACCGCCAAAGTTGTCATGGAAGCGCCTTGTGCGACGCATACCTCGTGCGAATCTTGATGTGCGCCCAACGCCCGCACCCGTCTCTCTCGTTGACTCGGATTATCCACACGGAAGTCTCCCCTTGCTCTTTAACACTGATCTCGTTGCCTCATCGTACCTCTCCTGTACCGTGCATGGACGAGATAGCTCGTCATTGTGCTCCTCGGCCTCCAGCGTGACCGGCCTTCGCTTCCCCTCGCCATGCCTTACTTTTGGTTGCCAGGTCCATCTCCTGGAAGTAGACGTGGCTGACCTCAATATTGTACCGAAACGTACGTTATTGCCCAACCTGACGACGCGATCGAGATTGTTTGGTAATCAGCCCCGAAGACGGCCCTCGGATTGTTTTCCAGCTTCCATGTTCCTATACTAGAGGTACACGGAGAAATGACTCATGAATTGATTCAAAGCCACACTCATGTCTTCGCTTTTGTCGACAGTCGGAATAGGCTTCGAGTTGCCGTGGCGGGTTGGATGGGTTAGGTCGCCTAGCCCTGACGGTGCCCAGGGACTACATGGTTGTTGAGGAAGCCCTCACACGACTCAACCGTGCAAACAAACGTCGCTTCTAATCCGTTATTCGTCCAGAATCATTCAATTTCCAACAAGGTCTATGGCTGGCAATGAGAAGAAATATCGCGTTCAGCCATCCTAGAGGGGTTTGCTGACAGGGCTGACCCCAGCGGGGCGTCTGAACCTCAATCTACCCCTGTTCCCTGGGTATCTGGTTTAGATCCAAGACTGTCTCTTCCGAATTAGCACCCCGGTGAGGATCCCCGGTCTCACGTCATCTAATGAGAAAAGGGTACCCTAGTTGACTTTTACGGCCGATGATGCGGAAGACCAAAACTATGCGTTAATAATGGGAAAAGAAAGAAAAAAGAATACACCACGCGGCCTATTCGATAATCGAGGCGGCTGGTACGATTGATCACCATAACAAGTCTTTTTTGTGACTTAATGGCATGACAGTTCTTCAAGTCTCTTTTGTCGGTGAGCCCCCACTGATGGCTTAAGCTTCTCATCCCCGGGATCCACTTCGGAGCTGCAATCTGACTTTCTCCCTTGCTCTTCCAGTTTTGAAGCCGGAGATTGAACTTCAAGCGATGGAGCCAACCCCCGTTTCACGCTCGCGATGCGATGTCGCGATCCACAGCTTCCGTTTCACTCTTCCAACGTCATCCAGAGTCTTGGGCCTGTCTGGATCACTCCAATAACCATCAAGCATCGTGAGAAAAGATAACCAAACCGAGGCGCGCACGGCTTTCTTCCTTTTTTTGGAAGCTTCAAAGAGCTGTATCCCCAACATTGGATTATTGGAGCTTGGATCATTCGGTTCTTGGTTCCAATCATGCACAAGCCTAGGGTTCCCGCTCTGAAGCAAACGATGTAATTGAGACTGGTGGGTTCCGAGAGTCGCCGGATCTTTTCCCCGTCCACAAATTCAACGGCTTGATGGCGGTGAACGGACGCCATGCATTACCCCAATCCACCTGCGGCCATCATCCCGCTTGAGTGGAAGTCTTAAGAAGGAGGCAAACCCTTCTGTCTCCAGAGCAATGACTCTTCGAGTGAAAACTCTGCTTTCTAGGCGTCAGAGCCAGTCATTATGTCCTATCAATCGACATGATATCATGAAGTAAAGCAGCGCGGTCCCGCAATGAAATCTCGTCACCCTGTTGCTCGTCACATCTCAACTACATCCACAGCAAGCAGAAAGTTTACGGCGCATCGCAGGAATCCGCTGCGCCTGCGTTATCGCGGCCCCCAAATGGACCCCGATGATCAAGATCCTGTGCCACGACAATCTGACCTCTCGCGGACAGCTCGGCCCATGTGCATGTCGCATATAGTTGCAGAACGCGGTAGACGCGTTGCAGACTCTAGGGTCACTCAAATGAATTTTCTTTGGGAAATTCAAGCGTCGACAGACCTCACGACCGTCAAAGCTTGAGAGCTTAGGTTGTCATGATATCCTTGTGCTTTACAAGGAGCTAGGCTTTGAATTAGGGCATGTCTTTAATTATTGCCAACACCCACCGCTGAACGTATTTGACCAGCCACTTCTATCGTCTTCCCTTCTCGGCACCGATTGCTGAACACAAGATGTTGGAAAGTTGACTCATCGTACCCTGCCCAAAGGGTTGGGCATGGTTGCTTCTTCCGTCCCACTTTTTCGTCTTGTCGTGCCTGGCAGACGCCTCATCCCAGGTTGGCGGTGAAGCAACTCAGGGATTTTCTCCTTCTCTTTGCCTCCTTCGCCTTCCCCTAAACCCGTCTTTCCGAATTTGGATCCCTTGCTTGCCCCCTAGGATTTTGACGTGTTGGTGCTAAGTTGAAAACAGAAATGCGGCCTGGTTTGTCACCTCCGAGCCACTCATTTGGTTGTTTGACGGATATTCTGAAACGGAGCCTGTGCTATTGCATACGCAAGCCGTGCCGCGGGCACTAGTTTTCCGAACACCCTGATGATCAATCTACGGGCTGCAGAGATGAACAATGGAAGTCCCCACCGCTCATATGACTGAGACTATACGACGTCACGAACATTCGGAGAAGTCCCTCGTGTCGAGCGGTTGAAGGTTCTAAAATTAAAGTATACGAGTGAACCACGCTATATGCATTGGTCACCGATGGGTGTTAGTCATAATCTTCACCGTCATAACTCTGCTGTCGTGAGGAGGCATTACGTTGTTTGGAGACGGCCCACGTTCATCAGGTTGACGTGACACCACGACACATGCCCTTTCATCGAAGGAATCCGACATTCCAAATACAGTTCAATGGATAAATCCGGGAAAGAGGTTGCGGGGGTTACCACGCTACCCTGGTCTCTTTCAAACAATGGCATAACCCACAAGAGACAGGCGACCTGATGGGCGGGAACAGCATTCCAGCACGTGTAGGGACGGCAGGAGCAAGGACCAACATCGGACCGGCGCGTCCTGTGCGTCAGATTATGTTCGTTTCGTGATGATTGAGTTCTGTTAATTAGAACTCTACCTTATACCAAGGTCGCCGGGCTCTGGGTCGACTTTTGTCAGAGTCACATGTTCAAGGGGTCAAGTAAAGAGACTTACATCTGTATGTGCCCTTCCTTCTGCCTCTTGACTATACGGAGCTCTAGTCCCTTTTACCTATCAACTTGAATTTTGTAGTACGTTAAACCTAGCATAGAGCGTCGTCCACTTGGACTATACTTCTTCAAGACTTCTCAGTAGTGTATGGTTCGCGTTTCTACTAGGAAAGCGTTGAAGTTGGGAGAAGCCCTATGGCGTCTGTTTATCCAATGTCTTGATTCCATGGGACTCGAGAGTATTCATGCATCGTTCTCGTAAACTTGAGCCCAATCCCCAATATACTTTCACATAAAAGTTTGATGTCACGTAAGAGATTGTCCGGATGCGTGATTGTTCGCCCGAACTTTGAAAGTTAGGGGGAGATTTCCAATTGGGCAAGTCCAAAGTGAGCATGTCGCATGATCTTCGAATTATCACATCTGTGACCGAGGACAAAGCTACTAGCACATGGGCTTGGATGAGATGAATCCTTTTCCTCGGGGGTGGTCTTCGAAACTTCCCTCTGTGATTACCTGCAGTTGCGTCGATACTTGTCGGTACAGTATTTGATCAAAATAAATTGGATGAATCTTCTAGCCTAACAGATCGTGGCCACAACTTAATTTATGCCGTCGGATGGTTAACGCACTCCAAACATGAAGCTATTCTGAGGTCGTTTGCAAGTTCCAAGCTGAGGTTGGCCGACTCAGGTCTGCCTAACCCCCGTTTCCCCGCGTTGTTTGTTCCCACAAGTAACATGGCGCTGGTGTTGTCGGCTGCGCACTGTCGTTGAACCGGCGCAAACTTTAGGTGATAGTTTTGGTTGCGGCACCCGACGGCCCCGAACATGGCAAACGGTACCAACCTTCAACTGGATTGGGGTTCTTGTAAATCACGAGTGTTTTATTCTTTAGCTGCACGATCTTATGTAGATCATGATGGGAAACATCGGCCGCAGTGGGGTTTAAGGAGGTAAAACGCTCTGAATTTGTGAATCTTGACTGCTAATTGGTGTTCTCAACGGCCTTGAAGAGAGAGCACCGTTCTCTAGAGCTTCCGGTGGTGACATCTGATGGCTTTCAAGTATAATCTAAGTCCTTGGCTGTATAAAAATCCTGACTCGGCCAATCGCTTGGCAAATGGGTTATTTAGTTATGCTTCTACCTCCGAATGTGTCGGCTCATAGAAAGGGAGGCCATTTCGCAGAATACATTAGAAAGCATACATCTCGGCAATAGTCTTCTTCTCAGCATATTCGTTTGACTCTTCCATTCATACATACAAGCATGATCCGACCTCAAAACCTCTTTGATCCTCGTCTCCAGATGTGCCAATATCTGATCGTTGCTTTTCATAGCTTCGGAAACAGACTTCACGCAACAACCCACCCGCAAAATGTCAAGCTCATATATATCAAGGTACCATTTTTTCAAATTTCTCAACTTTCTTTCTTCGCCTATTCAACAGGCCATGGCTAAAATTACCGAGATCATACAATCATCAACCTGGACAACTTTAATCAAAACATTAGGGTACAACACCTTGATTCAATCAAGAATTTGCCGTCTTCTGTGACTACTAAACTCAAACATCAGCTCAAACATAGACGTTTCTCTAAAACCTGCCGTCATACAGCTGTAGCGGTACGAAAGTGGTGAAACCACGGTGGAAAAGGTCGGTCTTCAAAAGTATGAACATTGGAGAATCATACAAGAGCTGTACACGCCGAAACAGAAGAGTTGCCACTGGACATCGAGTCACCTCACAGTTGCTTGCCCGCTGTTTATGAGATGGACAGGAAGATATCCGCGTGGTTACCCGCATATGTGAGGTGATACATGTATGTGATCGAACGCGCGTGCATAGTGCAGACACCTGCAGATCGCCTTGCCCAGTCTTATTCCATAGGGCTTTTGCGGCCACCTGAGGCTTTTCCACATCTCACCTGCAGCTTGGGGAAAGGAAACCCCTCACTTAACCAAGATGAGCTGCTCGGTTAGGAGGATACGAGGAGAAATCGAAGAGGGGATAAATCACGTAAGAGGGCTGGCAAGCAGGCTTTCATGACGGCACCATCCTCTCATCTTGAACAGGCGATAAATAAACAAACTTTACATCATTCGAATCCGATATTTCGACCCCGAAAACCTTCACTTCCTTCCTGACTTGATTTGGTGTCATTGACTAAGCAGCCGTTCAAAGATGTCCGACTTCCCCAAGCTCACCCCTGCCTTCACCGTCAAAGTACGCAGCTTCCCCTCATCCGTGAAGTCAATTCACGCCCCTCGTATCTTTCAACCTACAGGCACACCACAAAAGGGATAATTGCCCGAGAATTTGAGCAGTCTTCTAATTTCTTCTAATCGCATCGTTGCCACCTACTGATTGTCCGGTTCTCTAGATCCACCTTGGCAACCCATCTCCCATCGGGGTTCTCGCCCAAGGAGTCTCACAGCTCCACGCCCCCTTCATCCCGGACTCCGGCGCCCTCGTCTCCGAACCTTCGTATCCACTGAAAATCGATGCTGTCTTCCTCCACGGGTCGGATTACCTTCGGTTCGATCCTGACGGGGGACACGCTCGTCTCGAAGTCTCGAGCGCGCTCCGCGACAAAGCCTCCGGCGCCGTCATTCGGTTCGACTACTCGGGCACGGTTGATACTTCAGGCGCCTCCGGGAAAGTGCTGAAGGGCCTCGAAGGAGCTGCGACGACAGATTATGGTGAAATCTGTTAGTCCTTACCCCTTCCTTCCGTCGGTCAGTGGATTAAGTGCCCTATGAACTAACAAGACATAGTCACGCATGCCAAGTTTGAGACTGGCCACGAGGCGCTGAAGGAACTTCAGAACAAGGTCTATGTTGGATCCGGGCGGTTCATCCTCGAAGATGGCAAGCCCATTGTAGTTGAATATAAGATCAGCGAGGTTGTCCTGTAGCACATATGTTCACGGCATCGCCTTGCGTATGTGTGTCCATAGGGAACGTATTATTTACTCTGGAAATGTGGATTTGCCTATAAAATCTTTCATCTACTGATTTTCAACTTTCTGTGCATCCCCTCCAAAGAAGTACTTCGTGCGAGGCGAATGATCATCCCCGTGTACGTGCCTGAGACTTTGGAGACTGTGTGACGACGTTGCCTGCCTGGCCGTGTAGCAAATCCGAAACTCCAACATACAGCCCTCAGCTGCTGCAAATGCAATGTGCGCGTGTAAACGTGTGTCGTTTTCCTAGTAGTCCTAAACTTATACCCCTCCCTGGTCTCTGGGGGTCGGTGGGTACTGGCAGCCAGGCCGAGATGAAATCGAGAAGATCGTGTCAAGCCATGTTTGATGTTCCCAGGAACGGGAACTCAAAATGATTTCCGCCTGGCCATCCTGCATTCTCTCCTTCTGTGGTGCGCCCACCGAACCCTTTTCTGCCTTCTTTCGCGAAGATTTAGGAGACACCGGCGAGCTGCATAAGGCGCTCACCGGCCCTGAGGTTGGCATACTCATACGCCTTGGACTCGGGGGGGAAGGTGCCGTTGGCGGCCCAGAGGTCGATCAGAGGCTGCATGGGTTCGAGCTCGTGGGGCTTGAGCATGTCCAATGCCGTCGCGGTCAAAATGAAATGGCTGAAGCAACTGTTCAAGGATTTTTCCAAGTTCAGGTGGTAGAAAGGCTCGACGAAATGCGCCCAGTAAAGATGAGAATAGACGCGGAACATCTGGCGGAAGATGGTCTGGCATACGTCGATGAAGTTCTGTGGGAAACCAGATCGCTTGCCAATCCACTCAGGTTCGCCGGGGTTCGTAAGTTGCGAGAGTGGTGTAGTGGTAATGGCCGGGTTGTGGGCATAAGAGACGCCCGAAGGGTCAGTAGGGAAGATATTGGTGTCGTCAATCTTGCCCGAGATCCATCTCTGCATAAGAGTCATGTACTCGAAGGCAGGAAGCTCGACAGGCTCCCGACGACTGTTCAGCCAGGTGAATGAGTGGTTTCTGCCAAGATGTTAGACGTGAATGACATTTAGCAGATCGATGCAACATACGCTCCGGCGGACATTCTGGGGCAAGTTGTTGCGTTGCAGATGGTCGTGCCATCCTCCTCCTTCTCGTGAAGCACACGAACAAAATTCCAGAGGTTTCTGTAGTGCTCGACGACTGTGACTTGGTTAATATGAGCTAAGCGGAGTAGAGCCCGATATATTACGTACCCTGGTGAGCGATCCACTCGCCCTGCTCGACCGTCTTGGGTCTCGCACTCAAGGTCATGAAGTTACCCTTGACGATATGCTTGCCATAGTTGGAGTTCAACCAGATGGGCATAGGTCGGGGCAGGTGGTACGAGTTGAGGATATCGTCGCTGTTAGCCATACCGCCTTGTTCGTCCATGCCAATAGTCTGGGCAAGAGAAGGAGAATTAGGCAGCGGTGGAACACTGGGCGCCTTAACAGCAGCCTGGCCTTGGGGTAAGTGTGGCACAGTGGGTGACGAAGGCTGCCCAGCGGTAGAAGACGTGGGGGACTTGTTCTGTCCAGGTGGTTTAGCGGCAGCACCCCGGAAGCGGGCGTTTCTGTTTATTGACGTCCGATTAGCTGATGAAACTTGATTGCCATAACATGCGCTCCAAAACATCAATGTAAATCAAGCACGATGGTAACGGTGACAACTAAACCCGCCACTAGGAGGGGCTAAGACCCGAGAGCCTGCTCCGGCCATGTTGAGAAGACCTGAGTGAGACAAGGCATAGCACGGGGCCCCAAGGGGTCGTGTTGGCAATCTAGGGATGTCTGAGACCGCTGGCGTCCCGGGCGACAGGCAAGGCCGATGCTCGAGATAAACCGAACAGCGTCTCAGTTGATGAAGGATTGTGTGGCAATGAGGAAGAGGTATGTGCTAGGTGGAGGTTTGTAGTGAAAGAGGAGGCAATACAACGTCTTCGCTTTGTTAGTTTGGCTTTGGATACAGGTCGTTCTGTTAAGTAGCGTTTTGCTGTAGACGACGGAAGTCGAACGAGAGGTCGTCGTGCTGAGTTTAACAGGGCGGTTTTTAGGTACATCCCCTGACCTCTGGATATGCTAGGGCACCAAAGAACTGCGCCGGCCTAGGGAAGCGTTGACAAATAGGACGATTGCTGAGTTTCCCAGGATAGGATGTCTCCTGCAATGATTTATTGAATGCGCAGATGAGCTGCCGTTAAGCACGACAAGCCAAAATCTGGGCCATCGATCTCATTCACCCACGTCTCGCTTGATTGTATCGGTGCCTGGCTTTTGAGGATCTTGGAGACTTGATTTCTTTGCGTTGTTGATTGTTTCTTCGTGGGCGGAACCGATGTTCATATTGGCGCTTCAAGGCCTTTGTATGTGGTCGTTTTCACAATAGGCGGTAACGATGATGCTGGTTCAACTCCCCGCTGCCATCTCTTTCTTCTTTCCTCAAAGTGCATGTCCAAAACTGAGGTGAGACGACAGTGACCACATTAAAGAGCCATAACATTTGATGTCACTCAAAGCAGCAAGCTTTCACTCTGTGTCACACTCTCTGTGTGCGCCTCGTGGTACTTCAGAGACTCGCAGCCCCATCACCCCGTTCACCCCGCGAAGACCACCGCAAGGGACAGACTGTCCTCTGACCCCATTGAAGAGCGACCGGAACAATTGGCGTAAAACACGGAGCCCGAATGTGTAATTCAGATTGCTTCATGTTGTTCAACCTTCTGCTAGTCCTCGAGTGAAGATGCATCCCGTGTCTCGGTGTTGAATCGGTTGCATGTACCAAGTAACGGCTGCGGGCTGCGGGCTGCGGCACTAGCCGAGGAACCAACTTAACAGCTGTCTGCTGTACAGCCAATATGTGACGCTCTTTGACTGATGGGGATTGATAATGCGAATTGAAGCAGTCTAGAATGACGAGAACAATCTGAAAAGGCAAAAAAAGCAATAACAATTGACAAAAGTTGAAACTAACTCACATTCCTGAGAAAAGGTTCGACATGGTAGAAGGAAGTACCGCGGTGAGGGGGAGTCGAAGGGGAAATATATGGCTGGGTCTGCCGGCACACCTCCTCGGGAGGACTATAGGGGCTGGAAAATAGTTCCTCAGCGCTGCTGATTCAAAATTCAGACCGTTTGATAATCGAAAGTGGTCGGATATCAGGCAAGGAGAGAGGGTTAAGCTGGAAAGGGGCGGTTGAAGGTGAGCTTCGTCGGACTACGTTCGCTCCTGCATCCAAACAGGAGTGGCAGCATAAGGGACGCTAGACTTGAAATGTAACAACAAGCGAGAGCACGGGCCCTGTCCCCACAGCCTTGGGTCTCAATAGCCACTGACTCCTCCGCCATTGGGCTGCCGCTAGACAGAAAGAAGGGTCCTTCTCAGCCTCGTGTGGCGTATGGGAGGTTGGAACTCAGACGCCGCAGCTTTTAAGTAAGCTCTAAGCTGCCATCTAAGATAAGGAGTAACAATTGAACAGACGATAATTGAAAAAGCCCCCCCCCCTAAAAAAAACTTCAAGTCATTTTGCATAAGCCATACACAGCAGAAATCTGGACCGAAACGGGGATATCCTGTCAAATCGGCCGGTTTGCCCTCCGGAGACCGGACTTAGTCTTATGTGGCGGTGCTACTGCTTCAGCCTCATTTTGGTCAGCTCAATCCGAGTGGGTCAATTTGTGAGCAGGGATTGTACGAGCCTTGCCTTCGCCTTTCTTTCTCAGTGAGAAACCTACGAACGCCTAGACACCTCAGCGCCAAAACCGCGCCCATCGCCTCTCTAATTCTTGGAGCATCCCTCAATACCTATCGCAATCATGTCTGACTCAGAAGATTTGGTCGAACTCCCCGAGGAGGATGATGAAGAGGATCTCTTTGGCGACGAGCCAGCGGACGACGTCCAGGAGGACCGCAGTCGCGCTGGTAGCGAACGCGCTGTATCCGATCGAGATGCGGCAGAGGACGAGGGAGCATTTGATTATGGCCAAACGTCGGCAGATTACGAGACTAAAGTCATTGAGGCCGTTGAAATGCAACGCCATCGCATTCCTAAGGCAAAGGATCAAAGAGTAAGTAGACGCGGTCACTCAATTTGACAGTGGTGTGAGCTTACACTCTCTAGCTTCGATCTCTTCGCGTCCCCAAGTTTCTGAGGTTTATTCCTACGCTATACGACCCCAACACGTTCGAGCCCACCGAGGAAGACATCGAAAACGCGAGAGCAGACATCCCGAAGGCCGACGTCCGTGTTCGGAGGCACGGCAACAAACTTCAGAGCAACGCCATGATCCACAGATGGAGCGACGGTTCGGTCACCATCACTGTTGGCGATGAACATTTCGAAGTGACAACCAAGGCTCTGGCCCCAGGTCCTGACCAGCCTTACTCTGAACTTCAGGACGGGCATTACTACGCCGCTTCAGCCGAATACTCAAGCAATTTCCTCATGTTTGTGGGTCACGTCACCGACCAGTACATAGTGCGGCCTGGAAAGGACGTGCAAGACGATGCACTCATTGCTCTCGCAGAGCGCATGGCCACAGTCACGCAAAAGCCTCAAGAAAAAGACATGATCATCAACACAATTCAAGACCCTGAGCTTAGGAAACGACAGGCGGAGCAAGCAGAGAAGGAGCAGATGAAGGCGCAGCGCCGTCGTGAAACTGCAGCTGCTCGCATGGTGGATGCTAGTCGGGGATACGGACGTGGTGGAGGTCTTTCCATTGGTGACCTGGAAGGTGGACGGCGCGCTGGCGGCTCACGCAAGAGAGGCATGCCTGGAGCACCAAAGCAGAAGAGGAGGCGTCCTGAGTACGACTCTGATGATGACCTTCCCTCTGGTGCGCGTAGGCAGGATGATTACGACATGGAGGACGATTTCATTGTCGGCAGTGACGAGGACATCAGCGAAGGTCCAGATGATGACAACGAGGAGATCTTGGATGACGACGATGAGGACGAGGCACCACGGTCTAAGAAACGACAGAAGGTTTCGGACGACGAGGATGCTGACGGCGACGATGATGACATGATGGAGCCGAGCGGCAGAGGCAGGCGTCGTCATGTCGTTGACGATGATGATTCGGAGTAGCAGGATTTCGGGAAGCTTTCCAGTCGTAGGAATTAGACCGACCATTCATCACACATGTATAATACCAAGGATTTCTTATGCGCATGTTCGGGGGGAGAGAAACTTCCATAGCAAAAATTGAGGTGCATGATATCTAAGATGATGAAGTACTGCACGTCTAATGGATGTTGAACTCTCTTTCGTACCTAATAGGTATCCATGACCTTGCTACACTCGACTAGACTTCGGCTTGCGTTGACAAGGGTGGACCACGTGCTGCAATGGCCAAGTTTCTTTGTCGTAGACAGACCATTATATCTCGGTGCGATTGACTTTGTTGGGTCGGATAGCTCAGCATTGTGGCTCCCTGCAACCCACTGATTCAATTCAACGCAAATTACGAGTTTCCCAGGACGCAATGGCGGATAAGGTGTATTACTGCGTAATACCTACTACTACCAACCAGGGCGCGGAAACAGGAGGCTCAAGCGCCTAGGATCAAATGCACTGTCACATGTCGACAGCTAGCGCCAAGCACGATTGGACAGCATAGCCAAGCAGCTGAGGGAGCTGCCCCCCAACTTTCCAGCTTGGGAAGAATAAGAGTGTGTGGAGTGGGGTCTCGTGACGGTACTACACACTGCAAAAGCAGCAGCAATGCACCTGATGCTGCCCGCCCCAGGCAATCCAGTGCATTGAATGGGGCCTTGACGCCAGCTTCCCCAGAGTCTCCAGACCACGGACTTCGGCTGGGATAAGGAGACACGGCAATCCCGGACACCATTGTTGGCCTTTCCAACCAGTCTGGCCAAACCACACCACCAGGAAGACAGATAGCGGTTGCCGATCACAGCGACAACCAAGGCACACGGCTCCTTGCGTGGAGAAGAGCCAAAAACACACGGGCTTCGAGTCGTACCACAGACAGTACGAGACTCGCTGTCTGTCTACCTTATCTAGCGTCTTCCACACGCCCGCTCGCTCGTCCCTCGCGCTCCTAGATTTATCTCAGTTTTGATCAATCAGACCTACCGCAGTGCCATTCTCCCAGGCATTCTATTGTCCTACGTCTTTCCCCTCATTCTATTCATCTGTATTTCCCGCCCAACCTTTAGCGACATTAGAATTGGAATGCAAACACACTCTTAGACAGAGACACGACGCTTGACACGCTCCACCCGCCTATTATACCATAATGCCATAATCACCTCATATCAGTCGTCACCGTCCTCATTAGCATTATCTTCCCCCGCCAAGTTGAATCCTCCATGGTCTGCAACATCCTAGTCGCCGCCGCCGTGCAACAATGGGGGTAGTCGTCGCACTCTGGCAAGTAGCCGTAGACGTGACGCAATTCTGGAATAAGGTGCGTGAGAACCAACACAATTTCTCTGGAGACGAACACCTGGCCTAGAGGCTGCTTTCACACCTGCCAGCTGGCCGACTCCCGTTACCTATGACGAGCCGCGGCTGACATTGATGCGTCGTTGCGCACATGCAGAAGCTCCGCGATTGGTACACCCGCAAGACCCCCGTCGAACTGTGGTTGGAGCTCCTTCGTCATGCCGAAGCTTTCGAAGATTGGGAAGAGGCCGCCTTACATCTCGACAACTTGCTTGGTCTTGACCTGTGGTGAGTTGTCAACTTTGCGTTCCTGTCTCAGAAACACATGCTAAAATATTCACATCATAATAGGAGGAACAACCCCACGTCCAAATACTACGACTACCGCCTGATCAACGAGCGTCTCAACTCTCTAATTACAGCGAGGGAGGATGGCAACCTTAACGCGCTGGTCAATCTACTTCGTTCCGGTTTAGTTCGGAACTTAGGCAACATTACGTCGCCAACGCTGTACAACCGATCCTTCGCTGGCACCAAGTATTTGATCGAAGAATATATTACCCAAATTGCCGAAGCAGTCGAGGACATTACCCATCTGCCGACTACTCCGACCTCTGATAGCAATGGCGCTCCTGTCGGGTTGACAAACCAAATGAAGTTGGATTTTATTCATGATACTAGACAAGCATTCGGAAGGAGTACACTTGTTCTACAGGGTGGTGCAATATTCGGTGTTTGCCATCTTGGTGTTGTAAAAGCGCTTTTCCTCCGTGGTCTTTTACCGCGTATTATTACGGGTACTGCGACGGGCGCTCTGATCGCGGCTCTTGTTGCTATACACACAGAAGAAGAGCTGCCCAACGTACTCAAAGGAGAGGGCATCGACCTGTCTGCTTTTTCTGGCAAGGCAAAGGCTGAAAAGGGCCCGCACAAAGAGCAGTCTTTTGCTACAAGATGGAACACATTGCTTAGGCGAGTTAAGAGGTTCTCCCGCGAGGGCTACTTCCTTGATGTCAAGGTGTTAGAGGAGTGTGTACGAGCCAATGTTGGCGACCTAACTTTCGAAGAAGCATACAACCGAAGCAAAAGAGTGTTGAACATCACAGTAGCAACAGCCGGACAGGGTGGCGTTCCGACGCTGCTGAACTATTTGACCGCACCGAACGTGGTAAGCTACAACTAATACTATCGTCTTAGGAAGAAACGAGGGCTAACGCTGGACAAGCTTATATGGACTGCAGCAGTGGCATCAAACGCTTCTTCTGCTAGTCTATATGGTCATCGAGAGACCACAGTGCTGTGTAAAGACGCACACGGAAACATCGTACCATGGGCGCCAGCGAATACGATTGATTTCCGCCACTGGACTCATGTATCTTATTCTGACCGGGAGTCGCCACTTCTTCGAATCGCAGAGCTTTTCAACGTTAACCACTTCATCGTCAGTCAGGCTCGGCCCTACCTGATCCCCTTCTTACAGAGCGACATGCATGGCCCATCGCTCATGGAGACTCGTAACAGCACGACTTCTATCACTGCATTCATGGTCCGTATGGTGGGTCTAGAGCTCAGACACCGCTTACGCCAGCTCGACACGCTACGTCTTCTCCCAGCAGGCATACGCCGCTTCCTCGTAGATGAGCGGGTTCCAGGAGCATCCATGACACTAGTGCCTGAAGTAACTGCTGGTGACTTCATACGATTGCTGGAGACGCCCACAAGGGAAACGCTGGATTACTGGATTTCGAGGGGCGAGCGGAGCGTCTGGCCTGCGGTTGCAGCGCTACGTATTCGCTGCGCCGTCGAAAATGAGCTGGACAGGTCATACCAGACCGTCCGAAGGTTCAAGGCGGGAGGTTTGAGAAGGAAAGGTTCGACGGCAACAGCATCGGCCCTGGACAAGGACAGGAGAGCCAGTAGCATGGGGGCCGCCTATTGATGAAGTCAACAGATAAGCAGGCTGTGCGAGTTGCGGCCGCTCTAAGGGAGCCGCCAAGGGTGGTACGCCGCAGGTCTTGGATATTATCCTGGAGTATGCTGTGCCCCACCGTGATGTTTGAGGGGCGCCTCCCCCGTATGACTGGCATCGCAATTTGAGGGCGACTGATGTACAGATACATCTTAGGGTGGTTGGCTGGGACAAGCTGTACTTGCATGTTCAACGAACGACGCGGAGTCCAAAGAAACATGCAGAAGACGCGTTGGCGGAAACGAAGGATGATGATGTTCTCGAAGCCTACCTCTTTGGGGTTCTCGGTCAGGCTCGACAATGGGCTTGCATAAGAGTAAATGATGTTTCAGCTCAGTTGTGCTTCCAACGGCTGCATGTAAGCGGCGGGTTGCATGAGCCGGGGAGTATCCATATCATAGTTTATGCAATGAAGGAGTGCACCCAGTGGCTGGTCTGATGACTTCAAATGAGCGAGAGCTCTTGCTTAAACATAACATTGGATGCGGATGGGTGAGCACTCGATGATGGTGTTCTAGGAAGCTGAATGCCTTGTCGTCCACGCGCAGGCTCCTGCAGCCTGTAACCTGCATGCCTGGTTTATCCCTCATACTTACTCTGATCCCTCCGTCACGCCCTGCACGCCTCGCCAACGGTCCGGATTGTGAGCTCAAGGTTCCCCGGCTGCCCTGCGTCAAGTGGTTTACACCTCCATGGTAGGCACAGTGAGAGCGAAGATACTTAAGAGCTGGGAGATATGTAGGTCTTGGGCAGGGGCGGGGGACCCAGGGGGGGCTGGTGGTGCAGGGGATCGGCGCGCTAGAATACTTCTCGAAGCCACGGGATCGAAGAAGAGGTCTGAAGGGATGGGGCAGTGCGTGCTTCCGCGTGCGCTAAAAACTGGAGTGTACCAGCTTGCTTGGCTGCTGGATAAACGGCGCCGTTCGAATAGGGGTACTTGGAAGGCAAGTATTTCCCGCAGCGTTCGGTCACGAGAGTGAACGCGCGCGGATCTTGGATGGGGACGACGGCGCTTTCCGTTTAGGGAGAGCAAAGTGTTTCTGGCGATTCGCGACTTTGCGATTTGTGATGCGTTGTTTTTTGTCCTTCTTAAGTTGCATGTCCTGGGACGGGGAGCAGTTCCGGCTGGGGGTTAGAGATCATGTGTATCAATTAATGCCAGGGGTCAGCTTCGGATTCACATCGATGTCGTTTGGTACTCGTATTCATTTCCCGTTTGAAGCGGTTCGGAGTTCCTGGTTAGGTAGCCTAGCGTGCCTAGTTCCTTATTGACGGCATTTGAGGCCGGCGTAGGACGCATGATGAAATCAAGGCCTGAGTCCTACACGGAAATGGAGAAAATCTCCCGTGAGCTCCCAGGACTATTGCGCCCGAGAATTATGGTGACAGGACTGGCTCCGTTGTTCCTTCGGCATAAGCCGGGTGTCTTCAATCAGGTGATAGGAAAGATGCGTCGAAGATCTTTCCTATCGTTGAGAGCCCATTAAACCCGTGTCCAGGCCTTAGGTCTTTCACACCTCGCATTTCCAAACTCCCTCGTCGTTGGGGGTTTCGGCATTGTGTCACTATATCCCACTGTCATATAAGTTCGTCAGCATGCATAGACTGCTGCACTGCGCGAGAGCCGTCCGCAATGACTGGAAGTGCATGCGCAAAGATCCAGCGCTGCGGGGAACTATGGTGTGATGCATTAAGGCTTCGGGGAAACAATCAACCTATCAAGACGCTGTGTTCAGCATGACAGTAACAGCCAAGCAGGACTTGTTGAATTAGCACATTGGCATACTGGGCGACTGGCTGGCACTTTAGTGCTTCGGGCTAGTGCCTCTGTGACGTTTTAGACGAGACATTCCATCCAACATTTAGGCTTTTCTCAGCCGAGCTATGTATTTTGACTCATCTATGTTGTTCATTTGAGCGGAATGCCTTCTCATTCTCAGCCGTTGGCGCAAGGCATGTTCGCCCTGATATTGCAACGTACGTCAGGGCGTACCGAACAACGATCTTCCGAGTCTCTTAGTGTCATCGATGTCGGGAGTGGCACAGTTAGCTACGGCTGAGGATTACCATTGTTTCGGGCACCACAGCCTATCTGGTCGGCGTCAAACTCCGATGCTGGGATGATTCTGAGCCAAGAGTTATGATTGTGTGGTCAAAAGATCAGATGACAGCGGCAAGTGTCCGTCAAGGCTGACAAGCAGCGACTTCACTGATTCATTTTCGAAGAGTCGGTGCTAAATGTTGGAGATAGCAAACAGTCTCAATGCCAGTTACATGTAAGCCGCCACACTTTGACGTTGAGACCAGCTTTAGGAATTGATCCCAAGTTTCGTCAGCTTTTTTCTTCTCTCTCTCTCTCTCTCTTTTTTTTTCCCCCTTCCCAAGGCGGGGAAAGACTAAGAATGGTTCGGTTTCGGGCCTGGATTCGCTGATGGTCCTCAGGGTATCGAGCGAAGGTGCCCCGAGTCTGGTGTTAGTATTCGTCCTGGAGCGATACGTCCCACCAGCTTAACTTTCAAAAATGCTCATTCACAAGTCCCTTGGCATACAAGGCTTATGTTGCTTTCCTGACTTACTCGGTGGGTGTGCGAGCAACAGTTAAGATGTCCCCTTACGCGCCTATAAAAAAAAAAAAAAAAGGGTGTAGTCTCTGCTCGGTGAACAAGTTCAGAGAGATAACGACCATGGCGGCAGTGATCTTCAGAGAGGCCCATGTGAAAAATAAAATCGAATTAGGCGCAGGAGCACTCGCACAGGAGCCAATAATCTTTCACAATCGGTAGTGTCCTGCCTGACACACAACCACCCCCCCCCCCCAGCCTGAGGTGGTACTAGGTTAGCAACATACCGACATACCCTAGAACGTATTGTGGAAGGATGTAGGTACAGTATCCTTCTGCGTCTCGGCGAATGAAATCGACATAACCCACAACCGAAACTCGAGATACTTTGATATTGGCCCTCAGTGTGTACAACGAAGTGTACTAGTTAAGGTACCTAAAGTTCCACTCCGTCTGCGACCAAGCCTGGTCCCAAAAGACAGGGCTGCAGGCGTAGTAACAGTACGTCAGGATCCCTGTGGAGATCTGGCCATAGAGGATATGTACGAGGCTACAGATTGTTCTGTGGCCAATTTGGACGCTAGTTTGAGGGTCTGTTGCTGCTAGCATGTCTCACCAGTTGAGACTCTAACACAGCGAACTCGATCGCTGACAGAAGAAGGCCATGACCCGACGGGTAAAAACAAGTAGAGCGGGACATGCCATAAGATGCTAGTTGATGCGAAAACACGAAACGCAATATCACGAGGATTGCATTGTTGTGATCCTCGGTAAATCATGTCATTAAAGAAAAAGTGAGGCTAGCGAAAAAGGACGGAAAGGGCTTTATTGATGAGAAGGGAGGGCAAGGGGAGCGGTATCGGCATTCTAGACCTGAGGCCAAATGTTCGACGGAGCAAAAAGCATTATGCCTTGCCCGAATGCCAAGCAAAACTTTGCAGGTACTCAGGCTTGGTCAGGCCGCTGGGACATTTGCTATGTAGAGAAAACCAACGTAAGGTCGACAGATTCGAGCAACCCTAGACTGAAGTTGACGGAGGTGAGACTGAGCCGACGAACGACGTATGTATGAATTGCTAATGTAGGTACAAGACATACTTGAAGTAGAAGCGGGGCAGAATAGAGTGCGCAGTGCACAATCAAGCAGTGTACCTGCCGTTGGAGTACTCTTCCTGTTCCTTCCGCACCACAGACGGATTCTTAACTTCGCCGTCATTCGATTTCCCTTCTTATTTGCTGGTGTCAAGCACACCACCCCCTCCCTCTGTCGCGACCATTATTGCCTGCCGTCCATCGTTCACCCATCTTGATTTGTGACACCACCAACAGTCCGACAGACAGGGGCCCCACCATTAGACAGCCCGGCTGTGATGGCGTATCACCTACTCTTTTCACTTGTACCTCTCGCAAATCGACTCCGGGTTCTGACCCTTACATCCTAGGTGTGGGGAAAAGAGCAAGAGCAGCTGTTCCGAGATCCTTTTAGAAGCAAAAAAGGAAAGTACTCCACGGAACTTCCAGTCGTTAGCATCTATGTCTCCGGAGAGAATTACGTAGGTATACCAGGGAACAGCAGACCCGGAGGAGACGTCTTAGAAGGATTTGGAAAATGCGGTACGCTGTCCACCACCATTTTGTCTTGGGGCTTTCTCTCACCACCCACCCCCAATTGTGGAAGTACCACCGGTACTTGTCCCCTCATCCATCTCACCTGCGTGCATTGTACATTACTACTACCCATCTTGCCTGCTCCTTACCAGCCAGGCACAGCCAAGCAGTCGCAGCCCTGAGATGTACCTGGAAGTGAGGTAAGGTAAGGTTGGCTGAGGGGAAGTAAAAGTAGGAAGGGGACCCCATATCGCATCAACTTTCCTTGCCTCTTGTTACCAAACCCACCGAGCCCATACATCAAGAGCATATAAATCCCTCTCCCTTCTCTACATCGTCTTGCCCTTTCTCTTTTGTCTCTTCGTTGAACACTTTAGTAACTTGAGATACCAAATCGCTCCGCATTTACATTTGTCTTGAAGACACTTGCAACCGGTTTGTCCTGGAACGGATAGCCACCCACTCTTCTCTGAAAAGAGACAGACAGCAAAAATCAGCAGACGACCTTCGGCCACTTCTTCGTTTCAGCCTTCCCAGAGGCGGTTTATTTCTATATTGAACATCGTCCATCCTCTTTAGGTATCTGGTGAGTTTTGCTTGAGAGTCTTTCCACCGGCCTTATAGGCTAGGACTAATACTCCCGTGCGGTTAGCGGCACCTACCTTGGCCAACATCACTCGACAATTTTCCGCTCGAGAACTCCAACAATACCTTCCTGCAAGATACCTGGCATCCACCTTCAATAATGGCTCATCAAGGAAATGATAAGCACGTGCACACTTCCTCTCACACCGCTGCCGGGGAGTTTCAGACAGATGGTCGCTACCAAGAGGACCGCAGTCCGCAATGGAATGGATCTAATGAATCGTGTCCATCCATCGCCCAGCGACGAGTTGCTCGAGATTTCCTGAACGAAACTCCAGATGGCCTCCTGGACAACGAGAACGGCGGAGATGATATAGTTCTCATTGATGTCTCTGAAACCATATTGGGGCCTCCATCTGTGGCCACTGGTTCCGATCACACTGTTGTCGACAGAGTAGTTAGCACTTATCAGCCTCCGGCGGTACCTGGCTCGGCCCTAACAACTGACAACATGGTTATCCATGACCTGGTACAGCCGCTTGGCTTCATGAGCACATATGAATGGGTGCATGGTCGACGGTGCCCCGGAGATATGGACGTCAAGGATATCTCTTCCAAAGAGAGTATCAGGGCCCGCTGCCGCTCACGACTCAGCCATTCAACGATCGCCCTCGAGGACGAGTACGGCATGGTGAACCACCCATCCGAGGCGTTTGTTGCTTGTGCTGGTGACTGGGCTGACGTTGCTGCTCTGCCCGCGTCCTTTGACAAGACCTTGTTCCTCTAAGATGACGCACTCGCTCCTCGCAAGTAGCGGACCATTCACATGTGCCCCCTCAACATTTTCCCATTCCTCAAACGATCTTCATCAGACATATACCCCGTCGGTTCTGGTTCGATGCGCTATAGTCTGAGATCGTTGGACTGTTTTCGGAATATCACGTTTACCAGCATAGCTCCTTGGTACCATTTTCTCAGTGCTGGATGTCTTTAATTTGGAGACAACAATCAGGGTCGTTCTCTTGGGACTGTCCGCTCTGTACACTAGTGTCCGCATTGTTGCATGGTTACAATGTCAATCTTCGACCAGCGTTTCGTTCTCTATTCTCCCGTCCCCCCCTCTCTCTCACTCGGTCGTAATCGACTTCATCCATCAACTCTCCAATAAAACGTGCCTCATGCGGGGACGAGGCCTACAAAAGCGGGACTGACTTGGAGACGGTGTTGCATCGCATGGGATGAACTCATTTCCCGCTGCGACTACGCAACTCTGATCTCCAAAAATCCCCACGACGAGTTGAATTTAGCCTGAACTTCGACTGGGTTCAACCCATTACCCCATTGCCCAGAGGTTCCGCATTGCCGGAAGATTGTATGCGCCCACATGGCGAGGGTAGTCATAGTACCAATTGAAGCATGTTATATTGAGGGGCAATAAACGCAAAGGAACCGATCAAGACCTTACCTGAATGCCTTATGTGCCGCTTTCAATCACTCTTATAAGAGTATCTTCGCTTTGTGTAGCTCTTTGCCTGTGAACTTGTGTATCGCGTGGCCCTATAATCTCACAACGATGATGGTCTTTTTTAAGACGGCCCTCGCGGCCCTCTTCCTCGCCTCGTCCTTGACAGAGGCACGTCCGCGCTGCCCTACTCGTGATGAGAGGGAATGGGTTACCGTCTGGGGTACTATGCCTCAGCTCACCGAGCCAGCCAACTTACCGCCGGCGCCTTTTGTAGGTATTGTCCCAAGGCAAAAATATGCTCATAGCACTGACTTCAGGAAGAACGAGACCGGCCGCGTGTTCAACGACGCCACCCTCCGCCAAACCGTCAAGATCTCCCTCCCAGCATCCACCCTCCGCCTGCAAATCAGTAACGCCTTTGGAGGCTCCGACCTGCCCATCACAGCCGTCACAATTGCCCGTACCGCTAACAACACAGCCGGCACTAGCGCCATCGACACCGACTCCCTGCAAGTTGTTACCTTCTCTGGCGGCGGCGGCTTCACCGTACCCAACGGTGCCGTCGTATTCTCCGATCCTATTGACCTCTCGGTCGAGGGACAGTCGGTTGTGTCTGTTACGATATACCTCGCCAACGGCCAGACGACGAACAGCATCACATCCCATCCGGGCAGCCGCACAACGTCCTTCCTTGTCAACGGCAACCACGTCGCGGACCAAGATCTGGGAGCGAGCGCGACCCGGACGGATCATTGGTACCTCATCAGCGCCATCGAGGCGTGGGTTCCCAAGGGCGCGTCGGCGGTGGCTATCGTCGGAGACTCTATTAGTGACGGCCGTGGATCGACGACCAACGCAAACAACCGCTGGCCCGACCACCTTCTCGCACGTCTTCAGAAGGAGTCTTCGACGCATAATATCGCTATCGTGAACCAGGCCGCGGGTGGTAACAGGGTCCTCGCAGACGGTCTGGGTCCCAACGCACTCGGCCGCATCGATCGGGATGTCATCGCGCACACGGGCGTGCGATACGCCATTGTCTTTATTGGGGTGAACGACATCGGTACCGGTGCGACTGACGCTTCTTCGCAGCAAGCCGTAGGTGAAAGGTTGGTGGCGGCGTATGACCAGATCATCACCCGTCTGCACCGTTTCGGTATTGCCGTATTTGGCGCCACGATTACGCCACTCACGGGAGATGGCCAGCCTTATTCGGACCCCGAGAGGGAAAAGACGAGGCAACGCGTGAACGAGTGGATCCGTAGCAGTGGACGGTTCGACTCTGTCATCGATTTTGATAAGATTGTGAGGGACCCCGCGAGTCCTGAGAAGTTGAAGGTGGAGTACGACACCGGAGACCATCTGCATCTTAACCCCGCTGGCTACGAGGCCATGGCCGCTGGAGTTGACCTGTTGATTTTTGAGAAGTTCAAGGAAGGCGTTTCGGCGCTGACTTAGTCGGTGTTGATAAAGGGCACTGGGTACTCATTTGATAGAGACAGAACACACTGGGTGTTGAAGTGCCGAATATGGTCTGCATAGTTAATAGGGTCTTCACCATTACGGAGTAGACTGACTCTTTAGACTGCTTCCCTCTTGATCCATCGGCTTATGCTATTATGAGATATTGCACCGTGTAGCCGCTAACGTCTTCCGTCCTAAAGATTGGTGTCCAATAGATAGGAAGGAGAAGAATAGAAACCAACTTGGGCGGGAAGTGCCTCTTGATTTTTAATGATTTGAAGTAAGCCGTGAAGAGTGAGTATATGAGAGTCTGGAATGGATGATTAAAGAAACTTTGGGCTATTTCAAAATTGTAACCGAACGTGTTCGTCTGGAGATTCACGCCATTTTGGGGCGGAGAGGTGCGGACTGGGTACCAAGCTTGGTCCAAAGCTAATCGTCGGGCATCTGCTGCTGCCCACCATATTTGTAGTTACGCTTAATTAAAATCATGCTGGGATCCCTATATTTAAGGCTGATACCGGCATGATACATGTCGTGGATGCGCGCTGGGGATGAGGGGAAGTCATGTTAGGTATCAGGCAGATGTGGAACCTACTGATTGGACATGAAGTCACGGCGGCAGATGATGAACAAGTGAGGCAAATACCCTACAGCCAATGAATAGCACGAAAGCGAGTTGGTGGTTTGTTGTTTTGGAAAGAAACGATGGTAGAAGACCTAGGATAAGAGTGGTCTTGCGAAGAAAGTGTTAGGAGAGAGCGCAAAATCATTTTGTATGTGCAAAATTGACCTCCATTAATGATACCATTTAAATTTCAGGGCGTATTATCTGAAACGATAAACAGAGCAAGTAAGTGCAACTAAGTGATAATTTTCCATGTGGGGATTTTCTTTTGGTTTCTTTTTTGGTTCTTCCCAACGCCTCGCTGTCTTTTTTTATGTTAAAAACATACAAGTATCCTCCAGCCAGAGAGACATGACCCCTTAGGTCCAGAGGATACAGGTGCCGTCGGCGCCGGCGCTCACACACCAGGGCTCCGAAGGATGCCAGTCAACGTCGAGAACACCAAGCTTGTTGACGACCTTGTGACCCTTGAGCATCTTGACGGGCACAATGGTCGGGTTCTCCATGAGGTCGCTGACGACCTTTCCGTGGAAGATCTGGAGCGTGCCATCGTCACTAGCGTCGGCGAATAGGGGCAGGCCACGGTGGAACTTAACGGCACGGATGGCCTCGGCGTGGAAGCGCATCGTCTTGAAGGGACGGTTGGATAGGTCGAGGTCGTGCCAGAGGAGACGTCTGTCGTAGGAACCGACAACGATATTGTCTCCGCCAGAGTGAACATCGAAAGATGAGATCCAGCGGGCGCCAGGCTGGATGATCTTGACCAGCTCCTGGCGCTGTAAGTCGTAGCAGCGGATCATGCGCTGGGTCGCGACGAAGAAGAGCGGGCGGGAGGGGTGGAACTGAGCCGATTGGGCGAGGCCTGGGAGCTTCCGGAAGGGGATCTGAGTCAGATGCTTTGAGAGTGTGTGGATAGCGACGGCGCTGCGCTGACCCGTTGGAGAGACGGTACAGAGGAAATCACCACGTCGGTGCCAGTTGATGACTTTGATGGTCGATCTGACGGTGGCCTTCAGTAGGACACCAAGAGCCTCAAGCTTGGATCCGGGGCGAGCCCACTTGCCAGGCTGCTCTTTGGTGACCGCGGTCGTAGGCTGAGGGTTTTGAGTGGCATAACCAAAACCGGCGTCGAGGATGTCGCGGCTGTTCTTGTCAATGCCGTCAGCGCCACGGGAGGGGACAGCAAAGAAGACATCCTCTCCGGCGGCAGCAGCGAGGATGAAAGTGTCCTTGGTGGGGCGCCATCGGACGACGTTGACGGCCTCATCGAGGCTGATCTTGGCGGACCACTCCTGGCGACCAGTTCGCAGGTGCCAAAGACGAATGGTGCCATCGTCACCACCACTGGCAAGCCATTCACCGTCGGGGCTGATGGCGGCAGACCGCACGCGACCCTCATGGCCACGGAAAATGGTCTGGCAGGACGTGGGGAAGGGTCTGAGTTCCTCAGGACGGGGGAGCTTAGGAAGAAGAGACGCAGGATCAATGTTGAGCCTGTTCTTGCGCACACGAGGAGCCAGGTAGAGGTCGAGACAGCGCTCGAAACGCTCTTTAACGAACTCGCCGTAGGCGGGAACCTTGCGCAGTGAATCGAACTTGGCGGGCAGGTACTCCTTTTCTCTATCCTCAGGATCCTGCTTTTCCCACTCTTCCCTCTCGGCCTCGGTTGGGAGGTACTCAGGAGGCGGGTTGTAACTGAGGTCGTAGCCCGGTGGCGGAAGTTTGGGTGCTGGGATGTTCATAATGTGTGGCGGGCGCTCCTCCTCGTTCGCCCAGATGTCAAAGTAGGTCTCTTCCTTCTCGGCCTCCTCCTTCTCCCTCTCCTCTGGAGGCTTGTATGGCAGGATACGTCCCTCCTTGATAGCCTTGACAAGCTTGGCGATTCTCTTGGCTTCATGCTTGGACGGGATGAAGCGACGTTTCGGCTCGGGTGCCGCGCTAAGTGGCATCTTCTCCTCGTGGGCGGTGAACCAGTGTACCATTTCCTATGACTTGTTAAGTTTATTGTTGAATGCACGAAGGGCAAGTTGCACTTACGGGGTAGGGATCGTAACCCTCCTCAGGAATCTCGTTCATCTGAACACGGCGCAGAAGCTCAAGCTCGTCTTGGCTGAGATTGAGAGGCTTGCCCGTCGCAGGGTCCGTCAAGCCAGTCCATCCCTTAGGGATCTCAATGGTCTCAAGCAGGGCATCCAATGCCTCGCCAGTAGCCGGGCGCATGATCTTCTTGCCATTGATGTCGTATCCGATGTGCGGGTAGGAGTCGTAGAAGGACAGAGGAATGTCGCCGATGGTGTTGACGGGCTCCTGTGCGTCTGTGTCGTCAGAATCGTAGACGGGATCAATCTCGTCATACTCGTAGCGCTCGTTGCCATTGGCGTCGGTAACAACCCTGTAATTGGGCTCATCATCCTCATCGGCGACATCGCCGTTGGCAGCGTCCTTGCGAGGCTTTGATGATTTGAGTTTCGAAGAGATGTCTTCGTCCTCAGCATCGGAGGGAATATCGTCGCTCAAGATGTCCTCCTCGTCCTCGTCATTGTCCTCCGAGTCCTCGCCGTCCAGCTCGTGCTCATCGCCGTCGGACTCGGAAGTCTCTTCGTAGTCGGAATCATCCTCACTCTGAGACAAAACGCCCTCCAACGTTGCATCACCAAAGTCGTCGTCGACAGGGGCGTCTGCCTGCGGTTCTTTCCGCTTGCCTAAAGCTTGTCGTGCCGCCATTGAGGTGGTTTCAAAGCCAAAAAAAGTTGCTTTGAGGTGGGCTATTTTTGGAGCTCTTCGCGATGCAGATGCAGGCGGTCCTCAAGGAATTTTTTTTTTTGGGTAATTTTCTGCCGTCAAGTCAAAGTCGGTGCTAGCGCATACCACACCGCCCAGCGGGGTTGACCGAAGACGAAAAGTGGGGCATGAAGTCGGTCAGACTGTAAAACCCAACGAATCTGCCCTGCGAAGACATTTCAGTGGTTGGTCAGCTCTACAGCAGTGGAAGAGGTTCTCGAAGAAGTGGAACTGCTAAGGCCTTGTCAATGTTGATGAGCCACAGTGGCTGCAGCCAGGCAAGCCTGACAGAACGCCCAGCGTCACCATTGCCATTTCGGCAATTTCTCAGCGTAGGGATATATTGTCAGGCCCTACAGGGCGCCCTTCAGCGCGCCCATCAGCCGCTGCGCTGCTAACCCAAAGCAAGCCGTCAGCACTGAAAGCGCTACAACGTAGCATGAGACTAACCAGCAGAATGTACGTGACAATATGGCTATGCTTGGCACGGATGGAGGCATCAGCAACGAAAAAGGCCCGTCAAGGTTGAATTACTAATTCCAAAGAACCTTGTGGTGGCGCCTTCCAACAGAAACATAATCGCCATACTACGACTACGACTACTACTACTACTCCATAGTACTACAACGCCAGGGAGGCTTTTGGCATGGGGGTTGAGATGGCTTTTTTGAGTCGAATTCGTCAGTTCCTTCATGCCAGCGGCGGCATAGAAGCTCCGAGGGTCGGGATCGAACGGTTCCCAAGGGAGAGGAACCCTTTCCGTCCCTCCTGGTTCACTGTGCCCACATGGGTTTAGCGATACCATGTTCCCATGCCGGTGACTCAAATGGCTGCAAAATGGATGCACTAAGCCAATCACGGCGCCTCGAATGATTCCCCATTTTGTGCCAAGAGAAACTTCGTCTTGCATGTCCACGCAACATTTGCTCATTCTCGTAGCTGCGACCTATCTCGTCAGAGGAAGCACATTTGGTGGCTTCATCAGGTTAATCGGACTGAGACCTTGGCGTATGTTCAGTTGGGCATCTCAGCTAGTAGAAAGGAGAGGGAGAGAGCCTTTATCAGGTACAGCATGACTTGAAATAGTATGTTTTTGATGGGGCATTTGACACAGCCAGTCCCTTAGCTGTTTAGGCGAAATTCTGCTGCCTGGCTCAAATACTTGAGATGACGTCCCCAACCTCTGATGCGGCTTCAGACGTTGAGACGTTCCCAATGATCTGGCGAAAATGCATCGGACCTTGCCTTGGGCTTGAGCATATGCATAGTTGGGTGGTGCTGACGCCGCCTGGGATCCTTCCCTCGTCCAGCCAGTGGATGAATGAAGTTGAGTGAAAGGGGGCGGCTGCACATCTCGTATACCAAAGGTCCTTGCCGTATTCTGTACCTTCTTCTCCAAAGCACATTGCACCGACGGCTGAGTGGGTCTTAGTCTTAGGCGGGCAGCTAAGGTAAGCTGTGGTGCGTGGCTGCCACCAATCTTGAGACATTCTACTGGACTGGCAGTTTAGAACCTTGGGACACTAGGGACTTTGGGGCTCGAATACGCCGCAGTCAAGCTTTCCCCTCCAGTTTTCTGCTTACGCCTTTGCTCGTGTTTGTCTCGCATCTGCATCACACCCTTCGGCGTCACCATTTGCAGGTTTCTTCTACCTTGCAAAAACAAATACCTAGAGATCCAGCTGAGGGCAAGCCACCAGCTAGCCAGGGCATCTTCGTGTAGCCCCTGCCGTTGTCATTACCCGTCCCAAACTCACGGACGCCGTCGACATCCAAGACGCAATCCCCCACCATTCCCATATAACCCTCCCGGGCGCCGCACTCGAATAGAGTCGGAAGTTCTGAGTAATCAGAATAGTTCGTCCACCGCACATTGTCAGGCCTCGCGACCTAGCCTTCTTAGTCCCCTTATACCCTCGTCATATCAAGCCATGCCCCAAAGTAGTAGTAGCAGTCAGTCCAAGTCGGTTAACGGTGTCGTCAAGCATCGTGCGTGTGATGAGTGTCGTAAGTAGCCTACATGCCCTCCTCGATTGAAGGCCAGCAACTCACCACCCGCAACAGGTTCGCGGAAGCTTGCCTGCACGAAGGAGCCTGAGGGCTGTTCACGGTGTAAGAGAGAGGGTCTGAGATGTGTCTATTCGCCCCAGAAGCCGATGGGTAGGCCAAGGAAGCGTAGGCACGTCGAAGAGTCCGAAGGACAATCCTCTACCACCCCCCAAGGACAAGATCAGCAACCACAAATGCCACTCGTCACACAACCGACACTCGACACCGACTTCTCAACCTTCTTTAACCAGGACTTCAACATGGACTACCTTGACCTACTCTCCCCTTTGAACGGTCTGCCAGCGGCTACGCTGCCACCTGAGCTCTCGAGCCTTACCACAATGGCTTACACCGACCCTCGGTACTCTACTGAAGACTTCCAATTCGGGGTTGGGGGTGTTGACCTGTTAGGTGGCATCAACTTTGACGAAAGTGACTCTGCTGACGAGGAATTACCTCAAGATACCAATAAAGGCTTCACGGACCTTCTGTCAGCGCAAGTGCCTGACGAGGTCGACAATGGCTCTCCTGCCGCATCATCAATTTTATCCAGCACGATCATCAACAGCACATCAGAATCGCCATCATCTGCCGTATCCAACGATGTCAATCCTGACTCCAGCACCGAGAACGTGACAGTGAAAGCATACCAGAATACCACATGTTCCTGTCTATCCCAAATATTCCTTTCCTTAGACACCTTATCGAGACTACCGAGCGATGTCAAAGTCGCCATGGGCATAGCCAGACAAGCCGCCCGAGTGGCTCACGACGTCATTCATTGCCCAGCTTGCGGCAACAATGATCCTACGGAGCCTCCCCCCATCCAGTCATTCCAGAACATGATGATGCTGGGTGCTCTCCTCCCGGCGACTGCTAACGCATATGCCAAGATCCTTGAGCTTGTGGAGGCCGAAACCACCCGAGCCAAACGAGAGAACCACATCCTCACATTTCGCTTCGCCGAGTACGGCGGTCTCTGGGGTGAGATGAACATACCAGAGGACAACTGCGGTGCTTTGCGGACATTCAATAACCGTGAGATGGACCCTGATCAGTGGAGACTTTCTGTCAGGGGGCTTTTGAAGGTCGACATATATGGACACGATTTCATGAAGACAGACGTGACAGGAAAGATGGTGCCTTATCATCATTTAGGCCTGAAAGATGTTATCAAAGAGATGGAGGACAGATCAAACCACCGACACGATCAGCTGGACGCAATAGTTGCAGCTGGACACCCGCACCCGATGATGCAAACACCACACCATCTGATGGTGCCTATGGGCAAGGGCACCAGCAAGGAGAACCGACATTGTTTGAAAATTATAGAGATTGCAAGAATTGCTTTGGACAAGCTGGTGATTGCATGAGACGCCTGAGTTTTCTGGGTAATCTAGGAATATCCCGTTCCTTCGTTTATACTTGGCCGGCCAAAAGAGAGGGTTGGATTTGTACACACAGATGCCGAGGAACTACAAGATTTACGGCGCAAGGTGGGAAAGCGAGCCTGCAGCGATGCGCGTAGGCGAGATTTTGTTTTGGTTTGGTAGACTTTTTGTTTTCACGATCCGATGATACATAGCGGCTACAGAAGCAAGCAGGCTAGGAAATTGCAAGCATTCCACTCCTGATCTAGCCAAGTTTGGGAGAATTGTCTACCCATCCATTCCAACGCTGAAGTGCGGTCGATGTGGGTTTTGTCCGGAGAATTCAAGGTAGTACACGCGATATTGCGGCGAGGACACGTTGGTCTCGATCAGCAACGAAGCAAGTCAACGTTCCATGCAGCTTCCATGCAGACAAGTTAGCGAGGAGACGGCTGAGAAACAGCAACCTGGACAACCAGTTCCTCGGGACTCGGGACCCTATGAGCTGGAACAAGGGAGTACTCTCGTCAGCGGCGGTGAGACACACGAAATAGGCTGGCGGGTTGGATTAGCCGAAGCCGGAAACAACAAAGAAAGACGTTGTTGGGCTGGTGAGGCGGTTGCTATTGATAGCCGAGTCGTGCAAGGTGAGATGGAGGTGAGACAGGAACGTCGATGTTGGAGTTGGCTATCAATGCATGACTCTGACTTGGTCTAGTTGTCTTGGGAAAGGGGGGATATTTCTGTGTCATGGATTTCATTGTCACGTCTTGTCTGTTACATAACATTGAGTAATCCCAAGCCCAATATCGACTCACAGAGCGCCAGCTGGGATACGATACTGTGATGGGTAAAGTCGTTAGCAAGGGCAATTAAAGACAGGGAACATCTGTGCCCCTCGTAAAAACAAATGAATAAAAAAAAAACATTTAGCGTAGTCCTGCTGGACAACGGGCTTCGACTTTCGCATTCGGACGAGATTGAACGGACATTGGCCGCTGCGCCTCTAAGGTGCGGACCTGTTTTGTCTCTCCTGCACTTCGGTGGCCTAAACTGCGACTGAGGCGCCAGGCCTATCTATATCTTAGCTGAGGCCTTCTGGTGACTCGGCGGCCTTGGTGTGCGTCCGTTGTCCGCGAGGTCCATTTCGGTGCGGTGTGGTTCCCCTCCGCTCGTGTTGGCATCTCATTTCCTCCCGTCACGGTCGCGCTGTTTCTCCGTGAAATAATACCCTGGTCGGTCTGCTGTTAGCCTGAATCTTACCATGTAGTAGTAGGTGCTGCTCCACCCCAAAGGATACGCGCCCCCTGACGCCAAAGAATTAAACCGTGAAAGCCAACAGGCCTTAATACCTAGCGCCGTAAAATCTCCCCTCCACTATCGTCCTCGCTTGGGGCCGAATCTTCGCGGCATCCCAGGTCCGTTTAAGGCGGGGACGCTAATCCCGATCAGAAGTAAGCTTGTGTCAGGACCCGGAGCCAACTGGGGAGTTAGTGCCAAGTGTGCTAGGTGGACGGGGGCCGAAGTTTCCTGAGGTCCTTTCACCATGTTTTGCCTCTGACCTGGTTCTGGTTGCGCTGATGTGCGGATGACCTGCCCAGGCCGCCCGCCCACTGACCACTGACACACCAAACCGACATTGGCCCATCGCGGGTGGAAGCTCGTCCACGTTGGGTTTTGGCGTGTAGTCGTAGTATGGCGGTGGATAGGCTTGCCTGCCTACTCTTACTACTTACTACACAACACCAAACCTGCCTTACCTACCTAAGACCCAGCGCCCCAGGCTGGCTGCTCACTGACCATCTGTGAAAGATAGTTATGCATTTGTAACCCGCACCTAAAAGTCCGTGCTGGCATGTCACTTTTCTACTCCGCCTCGTGACAGCCTTCTTCCAGGCCAGGTCCCCATTTGCGTGGATCATCAACTTTTGGCGTCCGTAGTCCCTTTTCCCCCCATTACACTCTCTCTACCCTTTCGCTCATACTTGTTTCGCCCCTTTCTTCTTTATCAACTTCCCCCCGGACACTGCTTCCAACGCTTTTGCGAGCGCGTTCCTTCTTCCTTATTTCCTATTTCTTCTTCTTCTTCATCATCGGCCTTCATCTCGAGCTCCGCCTTTTTTGACCTGCATGTCTGTGTCTCGCAGCTAGTCAGGTAAACCCGTTTCGCTTCCCACCCGCACCGCACCCCCAAAAACCAAAGAGTGCGACCCTTCCATCTCTCAAAACGTCATCCGCATTCCGCCGCCGGTTCTCGCCCCCCTCCGACCAAGACGTCACAAAGACACACCCGCGCCTCTCCCTTCCTTAGCCTTTTTTACTTATTTGCGAGACCGGCCAGGCCAATGGCCCCCCCACCGCCCTACGCAATAGCGACTGGCGCCGAAGATGTGCTTCCTACAACAATCGCCGCCGCAGTAGCAGCAGCAGCAACAGCAACAACAACCATGATCCCCCTCACGAACCCAGCAGCAGAGACAGTCGTCGATGTCGTCGCCAGCACTGTCGCTTCGGCTGCTGCCGCGACAGCGACGGCTGCGATGTCACAAGGCGGCAACAACGGCGGCAACGGCGAGTGCAGCCTGCTCGGGTCTTTCGCCCTCATCGTCCAGGCTGCCCTCGGCGGTCTCGCTCTCATGTCCTTGGTGTACAAGAGGTGGAGAGAACGGCCACAGCGCCCTCTCAAGATCTGGTTCTTTGATGTGTCCAAGCAGGTGTTTGGTTCAGTTCTGGTGCACATCGCCAACATCTTCATGTCCATGTTGACGTCAGGACGTTTCTCCGTCACTCTGGATGCCGCAACAACCACAAACGTGCGGAGGTTGGTCACACGTGAGGAGAACTACACTCCTAATCCGTGCTCGTTTTATCTACTCAACCTTGCTATTGATGTAGGTCGAGATTGCTCACTGCGTTTGGTTGCGTCTTACTAATTTGTGTCCTAGACAACGATCGGCATCCCCATTCTCATCGTTCTTCTCCGAATCCTCACCGGCCTTGTCTCGTACACACCGTTGGGCAAGCCCGCCGAGTCGATCAAGTCGGGCAACTACGGCAGCCCGCCCAACGCCATCTGGTGGTTGAAGCAGTCCATCATCTACTTCTGTGGCCTCTTTGGCATGAAAATCTGCGTTCTCATTATCTTCCTGTTGCTCCCATGGATCTCGCGCGTAGGCGACTGGGCCCTACGGTGGACTGAAGGCAATGAGCAGCTGCAGATCTTTTTCGTCATGATGTTCTTCCCACTCGTCATGAACGCGCTGCAATACTACATTATCGACTCGTTCATCAAACAGCCTCAAGCCGAGCACGAGCGGCTGCCTGAGGAAGACCCTGAATGGAGCTCCAGGCATGCCGTTATCAGTCCGTATGACGATGCGCCGGAGGATAGTGACGAGGACGATAACTCGAGCGACGGTGCTAGCCTGAAATTGAAAAACGCCAAGCATGCAGACGAAGCCGAGTACGACCCCGACTTGGACGGCGATGCGCCGACAGTAATTGGTAGCAGCTCGAGCCGGACGAATCACCCTAGGACGAGCTTGCCGCGGGAACTCCTCCCAAAGGAGTGATGTAATATCGAGGAAGACAGGCCAAAACATGTATTGATATGAGGCCTAGAATGGCCTTTTATGGCTGTAACAATATTGACATGGTTTATATTCATACTTGGGGTTATATTGCAAAGCGTTGGTACATTTTGGGTGTGTATTTTGTTCTTAGAGGCTCGGCAGGCGCTTCTGATTAAGCTCAAGTATGTTTACAGCATATACACGAAAGAACGGGGTCGGTTCTGTTCCATGAAGCCCGATTTGTTCAGGAGCCCTTTACCGTCTACTTGTCGAGTATTGTGTCGTCGTTGTTGTCGTCAACGTCAACATTGCAAAGCAATGCGGGAAGGTGAAATATTAGTAGTATTCAAATGCCAATGATCCTCGGCATCATCATTCATTTGCAAACCAAGCAGATCACTGATCGCTTGCGCTCAGAGTAGGTGACTCCGAGTCGAAGATGTTAACACAGGGGTTCGTCTCCTTCAGTGTTCCGTATCCTGACTTCTTTGCGCTCGCCCCAAACCACGTGTCACCGGCCAAGTTGAACGGTGCCGCTTCCGAATGATATGGGCTCAATCGAGATACCTCTGGAGATTCATGGACAGAGAGGGAATGCCAATGAAAGACGTGTGTTGTTCGAGACGGGCGTCTTACGAGCGGCCACCTTCCTACGTCGAAGTGCTCTTTCGAATGAGTCCCATGGGAATGCCCCTGGTACACGACGCTCAATGTCACATGGCGGATGTGCTGAGCGGTTGATTGTGTGCCATGCCTGCACCACCATGGAGAAGAACAACCACAAAAGCAACGCGGTTCAGGGATCATATGGCTTAGCTTGTGGCCATTAAGATGTCATCTTGGTATGCCCGCACCAGCGATGAAAGCTTTGTACAACACGTTCATATTCTTGTTTGATCGGGATGGTAGCATGTATACGCGCGAGGTAACCACCTGAGCAATTACGTACGACCACTCTTCAGCAGAAGCAAAATCGAGTTGTCGAGGTGAGGTCAGTTGTCGCGTAAATCACAATCTCAGTAGCTTGCAGTCAGCGCGCGTGTTCCGACGGCGGAATCGTAACCTCTTCGAAGCCGGCCAGAGGACGTAACGTCCTGGATGGACTGTCTTGCGTTTTCTTGGAGATTGAGATATATATATATATATATATATATGCCTTATACCGAGACGAGACACCACCGAGCACCCTGCCGTCGCGGGATAATGTACATTCGCTGCTGCATTGTCTGGCCTGTACACGTGGATGATACAGACACACTCAAGAGTTCTATATCTTTCTATATAGACCTATCGTGCTTGGCATAGCGACTCCATCGCTGTCTCGGTATCGTATGTTTACTAAGTAGTTTGAAACACCAACATGCCCGCGATTCAACTCTAAGAATCTTGAATCTAGATGGGGTGTGAGATTTGAAATGACTCGGTTTTGCAAGAACGCGCAGTGCCAGATACTTGGCGTTCCTCGCGTTTCACTTTTCATGAATGTTGTGTGCTGTCGTAGCAACGGAGAGAAGCCCACATCAAACAAAGGAACAACACGCGACTTTCTAGTCTAGAAATAGGTGCCGCCTCTTCTATTTCTCTTCTACGTTCCTCCCCCTCCTCGTACGGCCTACGGCCCAAACAAATGGCTTACCTTACTGTGTACTCATTGCCAAACCTCTGCTGGCCAGTGGCGTGTTTGCGCTGTTTGCCTGATAAGGGCTCCTCTTAAAGAGACTTCTCAAAGAGAACAAACCACCTTTGGTCTCGAGTCCATTGCGACATAGCAAGGTCCAGTCGTGCAGACAGCTACGCAAAGATCGACACAGGACAACACTCCTTTAAGAAAGAAAGTAGTTTAATCTTTCAATTCAGCCTCTAAATCTTATGGTCACACCACTCGAAAAGAAGGGTATCCATCCCATCTCTCAAACCCGCCGCGCCCTGCCGGCACCTCCAAGCCCCCCCGCTGTTTTCCCCAAACTCTAAACCATCCAAAGTCGGATCGACGGAGACACGACGCCAGCCAGCCAGCGGCTCGTTCAGCGCCAAGAAAAAAGCAGAACATGTAGACCGTGTGGCCGGCAAATCCAGCACAAGAAAAAGAGAAGGAGGGGAAAAGGTAAGTGCCTCTTGCGAGAATTGAGCGTCTGCCCACAATACAAGAGAAATGGGAATGGAACGAACCTGATAAAAAGTAAGAAAATGAAAATCTTCGACTTGGGCTATCATTATACAATTCCCCCACTCATCATGATGAAGATAAGACAAAAAAAAAACAGATTGGCTATTTGTGTATGCCCGAAACTCCTTGTCCGAACGGACCCCCGTCAAAAAGTGTCTTCTGTTCCAAACAAATGACCAGCAGTTTGCGCAATTGCGATGTATTCAGGGATACCCCTCAACACTCCCACTGAAATCAAAACTTTAACGCCGCCTCGGATGACAATTCTGACTATTAAGTCTTTTAATAGACTGCTCCTCTGAACCAGAAACAGCATTTCTCCTCGGTTGCTATGCATGCAAAATAACGTATTCCTTTTCAGGTGTCATCAATGATTTCATCTTTTCGATCAAACGCCGCTCCAGCCCTCCTTAGTTGGCTGGTAGGCCTTGTATCCTGGGTAGGTACCGCCGCTGCTCTGCGGGGGCCGCTGTTCGTCTAGTTCGGCAGGCATTTGCTGCGCGCTACTGTTGGGGCCGCGGTTGTAGTTGTATTGCTGGGGGCGGCTGTAGCCCGACTGGAAGTCGAAGCCGCCGGAGTTTTGAAGGTCAGGGGACAGAGGCGGGTTGTCGGCAGTGTAGCTCCGCTGGGGCGGAGCGAGGGGACGTGTTGACTCTGAGGAGAATTGGCGTCCATCTCCACCGTACTGCTGGTGGCCGTAGCCGTCGTTGGCATACTGGTCTTGCTGGTCGTATCCGTAGTCGTTTTGGGGGGCAGGGGACCGGCGGTAGTCATTAGGGGGAGCCGGTGATCTGCGGTAGTCGGCAGGAGGCGCAGGGGAGCCACGGTACTCGGGACCAGGAGAGCGGCGGTAACCTGCAGGTGCGGGACTGGGCCCGTTACGTGGAGGCGCTGTGAAGCTTCTGGGAGCCGGGCTGGGACCGTTCCGTGGCGGATGGCCCATACCGTATCCGCCTTGCTCGTAGTTATCGAAGCCTTGGTCGTAGTCCTGCTGAGGAGGCGGGTACGTCTGGCCTCTCTGAGGGCCGTAGCCGCTGTTATTGTACTCGCGAGCTGGCGTCCGCCTGCCCTGGGCCATTGCCATGCCTCCCACTGCCGCTGCTCCAGCTCCGTACTGGTCGACTCCCAAGCCTGCGTTCGATTGCGCGTAACCATTGTCGTAGTTGTTGAATCCCTGTCCGTTAGCGGCATAAGGGTCTACAGGCTGGTTGGCATTCGAGAAGTAACCGCTGGCGCCGGCTTGACTTTGCGCATAAGGACTCCGGCTGTTCGGCATCGGGCTGTTCGGGTGTGACATAGCATTGGGTGCCATCAGAGGAGCATTTTGGGCATTCGGCGACGCGGCAGGCTTCTTCATCGGCTCAAGTTCTACCTCTTCCTCAATTGCCACCTTTTTGGATCCCGCGCCCTCCCAGCTAGGCATCGCGGGGAGCGCATCGGCATCCGCCGCATTGCCAGACTTGCTAACTTCGAATTCGGCGTACTGAGGCGGCGCGGCCGCGGCAGGTGCCGTTGAGTGTGCTGCATGTGCGGGCGGATTGTTGAGGAAGGGGGCAACGGGTGCATGCATTGGTGCTTGTGACTTGTATCCTTGGTTTGTCGATCCGTATTGGTCGTCGAGATACTTGTGAGGTGTTCCTTTCGGGGTATCACAGCAACCGCAACAGTTGCCGCAACACTTCAAGCAATAGCAACACTGACAGCAGCATGACAAACCGCAGCAGGCGCACCTGATGATACACCATACGATGGAGAAAATGATCAAGCCGCCAACAATAATCACTCCAATGACCGGCCACCTGCGCCAATTAGTACCCTTCAGAGGTCTACCAAGCTGTGTAACACTTACTTGCAATAGTTGACGGACATGCAATTGTCCCAACTCGAAAGTGCCGTCTTCACGTCATTAATTTGGTTCCCGGCGTTCTCGACCGTGGACATGATCTGACGCCTCTGAATGCTTGCGGCCATGCTAGACATTACTGATCCCCATACTCCTCCCCGGAGGCTCCTCGCCATGGCGACATCGATAGTAGGCATCGTGGATGCTGAGATACCGTGTTCTCTCCAACAACTAACGTGACTCTCGGTGGGATATCCTCCAAACTAGGGTGTATATCAAGGTCTTTTGGTCGGATGAGGGAAATTAAGATATGGAATAGTAGCAGAGCTATAATTCCGTCATCCCATAAAAGACAAGTTTCTCTGTGTCGTTTGATCGGCTAAACACGGTGATCTTCCGTCGAGTCAAAGAAGTAGAAGGCGAGCCGCTGGAGCTACTGAAATTCAGGTTATACAGGTGTAACTGAGCGAGTGCACACCGCAATGAAAAGAAAATCCAGGAGACAAGCGCGCAAACGAAAGAGGCAGGCGTGAACGAGAGTAAAGAATCCTCTCGCAGACCTAACTGGAGGGGGCGATCTGAGAAAGGCCTGTGTGTTGCCGTAAAAGGAGAGAATAGGTGTTGTCGTCACTGTGGGAAGGGCGACAAAGCGTCCTCGCCCCCTTGCGTGGTGGATTGAACGGGTGGTAGGGGAGGGCGCAGCGAATGGCAGCGGTGGATCGAGAGAAGCCTAGAGGATTTCGTCTCAAAATGGCACTGAAACTGGGCGGTGCAGTCGGTAAGCACCACACAGTTGACGGGATAACCCAAGAGCAGATAAATCCGTGGCCAACAGATTGAGGTTGAGGACTGGCCCTTATTGGGTGAATGACGCTGTGTTTGGCATAAAAAAGGGGTGGTGGTTCCGATATTCGTATATACGCGCTCTTGGGAAACACGGTTATCCCTGGCGGATGGCGGGAGGGGCTTTTTTTTCTTGTCGTGTGTTGAGAGGCAACAAATACCAAGTGGCGGCGGGCGGAGTCAAAAAAAGGAATGTCTGGGTTGGCTTCTTGTACTTGTATGGTTGTTCTTCCTTTGAAAGAGTGGATGATCGAGAGAAAGCGACAGACGGGGAGCCAGAGCTGTAATCAAACAGCCTCGGGAGTATGGACTTGGGACGAAGTCGACGATGAAAGGAGAGGACGGAACAGGGCGCAACCTGCCGGGGTTCGAGGAAAATGCACCTTCAAAGAACGTCGGGGTGTGAGGCCGCCGCGAGATGGGACGAGATTACCTTGCCGAAAGACAAGTCAAGGTAGATAGATGGGAGGGGATGAAGGGAGAGGATAAAAAATGAGGAGCGTTGAGAAGAAGGAAAGGAATAGGAAGGGATTGACGTTTTGGCGCAGACGCTAGTTTCCCAGAAAGCTAACGGTCTCCCACGAGGGTCGAGGACGATCCAAAAATGGTAACGAAGCACAGTGAGTATGTGTGTGTGTGTGTGTGTGTGTGTGTGTGTAGTTAGAAAAGCTACTTGCAAACGGCCCGGAGCGGTCAGATCACAAAACAATCATCAATGTGGTCTACCTAGGGAGAGCGAGCGAACGAGGAGAAGGGGCAACAGAAGGAAGAGCGGAAGCCCAGAGTTGCATGGAAGGGAATATTTGGCAGAGCGGGAAATTTGGATTACGATCGAGCGCCATGCTGCCGCAGCGGACCCCTTGGCTAACCCCCAAAATGGTTCAAGTGGATGCAGATTTGCACCTCGTTAGCACACTAGAGACTTTGTACCTTGGAGCCTGCCGCTGGCTCAGACGAACTTTGGTGGGGTGAGTGGTTCGCTCCCATTCTCTCTCGCTGCGCTGAGAGAGGTTTGCCAGTGCGTGTGTTATGCTAGCAGGTCCCCTGTTATCGCGCAAGTGCCGTGGCTGCCCTGGTTGGACAACCCTTTCTCCCCCGGCCCATAGTCGCTGTTAGTGGCCGAGCTTTCAGGGGTCGGAAATGATTGGATTCGTCGACCACAATTTTGGCTGAGGTACGGGTTGGCGAGTTTCGTGCACGCGGGACGCCAAAAAAGCAGTTGCTGCAGGGTCACAGGGTGAAACTTACACTTGTGCCACTCGCCTCAGGCATTCATGCTGACTTGGCAATGACCCGAGCGTCTGAGGTTTGCGGAGCACATGATTGAAGATGGCGCCTTCCTTGCTTCTCCTCTGCCTCGGGTGCAGCGGGAATAACGCCGCAGATGAAGGTGGAAACAGCCACAAAGACTCGCCACATCGGACTTCCGTTGTTTTTCGTGAGTTGATTCGATTGACGCCGAGATATCAAGTTTGGTGGTGTTGTAACGAGTTCATCAACGGATGATGAGGCCTCAATGCTACCTACAGCTCTTGACTGTGCGTTGTCCAGGGCTGAAGAAGCTATGACGCGGTAGAAATTGGTTTCCTCTGTGCTGTTGTTCTGTATTGCAGGGACGGTAGACTAATTCTGACAGTCCTGCAATATGTGGTATGTTGTCGAGCTGTTAGGTCTCGGGGCGCTCCTCAACTTACCTCAATCTTCAGCTTGGATCCTGGCGCCGAAATCTCGCCGTCAGCGAAGCACACAAGAGAGACAAGAGGCAAGAGGGACGGTCCGATTGATATTTTGGAAATACGCTTATAACGATTGAATTCGAATGTGCAGCAGGAGCCGAGCCCCCGAGCCATCTGATCTTGCTAGATATGCTATTCAAATAAGAATCGCATCAACATGCACTATCCCACTCGCATAGAGTTACCTCGCCAAAGCACTATAAATCGAACAGGATGCATGAAAACTGATCTTTTTACCTAAATATATCGTACAACCAGAGGGGTGGCCCTTTCCTGGCCGGCATGTGAATCAGCCAAAGGAAATTATGGCTCTCGCCAACGGTTTCTTCCTCCAAGATCCATCTCTGTAAACCCAAAACCCATCCAAAGAAAATCTTGAAAACGCCATTGGGGTTTTCCGCAATCGAGGTATCATTTCGCAAAACTTTCGCCTTTCCTTCCTCATCATATCACAATCCTTGCACTAATCGTTCCCAAGAACAATAATCATCCCTGAACAATTACTTTCCCGGAGGCGGGCCTGCAGGAGGCGAATATACCCCGTCACGTTGGTACGAGTGCTGTGGCTGCTGCAAGTGGATGCCCTCGTTGTGCCCGCCGTAGTAGCCATCGTTGGGATTGAAGGTGGTGCCGGTGTACTGGGGCTGTTGCTGCTGGCCGTAGGCTGGGGGCGGGTTCTGGTACCCCTGACCGTAGCCGTAGGTGCCCTGTTGGCTATTGTAGTTCTGGTTGTAGGCGTAGGTGCCTTGTTGCGGGTGATACTTCTGGTTGTTGCTCATCCAGCCGGTGCCGTAAAAGGGGGTCATGCCGCGCTTTCTGCGACGACGAGAGCTCATGCAACTGTTTGGAATTGGTCAGCACCACTTCTACTTTTATCGGGATGAACGAGAAGTGCCGGGGTCCCGGTCACGATGACGAGAGTCGCTGGCGAAGGAAGGAGAGGATGTAACTTACCCTAATATGACGAGAATGAGCAACGCAACACCGACTACGACGGCAGCGAGGACCCAGCGGCCCCAGTAGTACCACGAGCTGCGCTCATAGCAGTTTCCATATCTGTCGCAGCGGTAGGCTTGTCTGAAGGATGGATGTTAGCTTCCGAATAGCTTCGTGGGGCACGAGGCAATCGCAATGTGCGGTAATTGCCGATCGATCGCAGAGCGCGCCATTTGCGATGGGGTATTGGCAATAACGTACCTCCTTTGGAGTTCGGCAGGGAGGGGATAGGGGAGAATATGAAAGTCTCCGTGAAAGTCTGCCATGACGGTGGGTCGTTTGGCGATGTGCTGGTGATTTGCAGTGGATGCTTCTTTTTCAGTTATTGTTGTAGGGTTGATAGGATCGCTGTCCAAACTTTTTGTCGGTAATTTGGAGATGAAGACGAGGTAGGGAAGGATGCAACAGCAAAAGCGTTCAGAGGGGAACTCCTGCTTTGTTTGTGCGTCTGTGCAGTGGTGGTAATGGTGTAAAAGTGTAGATCGTAGCGTTGATGTTTAATGACGTGATGGCTGTTGGCCTGACGTCTTCTAAACGCACTTTCGCTGGACCCCTCGCAAGTGAATGGGGGTAAAATAGGTTGGGCGAAATAAGGTCAGATGCCTGGGCTTCTGCTGCTGGGGCGATAAGGCTAAGAGTGTTTCTAGGATGTAATGCAGGAGCGCGCTTGCAGATGCTAACAAATATCCGTACTTTGTTTGATCCAGACTTATTAGGCACGGAGGTCTAACGAATAAAGCGATAGACAAGACGGACAAGGTTGTTTCCAGAGTGGAAAAGATTGGGATGGGCAAGAAGAGGGGGGCAGGAAGAGAGCGATCAGTTATATTCGGGCGGTCATGAAGAAAGCCAAGCAAACTGTCGCCAGGCAAAGCAGCGTCTTGGAGGCTGGGCAAAGTCACTTGGCCAAAGCAATTGCGTGGCCTGCCCAGACCTTGCCGGAAGCTGGAACCTTCGGGCAATCCCACACCCAATTTTTTTTATTTTTTCTTTTGAGTGACTCTAAAGAGGTAACCGAACCAAAAGTACATTTGCTTCCCTCTGTTGTTCCTCCCAGATCCCCGTTCCTTGCCTGTACTCCGTCCCTCTATTTGCTCAAACTTGTTCCTTTCTTTAGGCATCTTGATCAGGTCTCCTTAAGAAGCAGCAATATCATCATCGTCTACCAACACTGGCCCTATCGCCCTGTCCACCTAAAGTCTCACAGACACGCAACCATGACAAACTCTCCCAGGGTCCAATGTTCGCCCAGCTAGTCAGTTTAACCAGTCCCGCGGCACTCCAACGATCCATCATCCCAGTGGCTGTGCTCAATAGATCACCCAACCAGCCAGAAAGTCTGTCTGGTCAGCGCTACGAGCGAATCACAGTGGACGCAAGCGAGCGGGGCTGCCTGACATCACCAACACCAAACGAGGCTTGGCCGTACCCGACTCATCCATAGGATTTTTTGTACCCGTCCCCGCCAGGGTTCCTCGTCAACTGTGGCGCTGTTGCTGTAGTGTGACCGCCTCTGACCACTCACCACTTCCCTGAAAATCTGGAATCATGCCCGCGACAGTAAGAAACCTACATCGGTGCCTGTCTGCATGTCCGATAGGACACTGCGTCGTCAGTTGCCTGCCAACTTGTCAAGCACACTGGGCGATACACGCCCGGAAGATTATCAAATCTTTGACCATTAGTGGCTGATGTTTTGTCTCCCCTTTCCCGTAAATGCTCTGCTTTTGCTGGTTCCGGCCATGTCCGTACCATGATGACCATCGGACATGATGATATGGCAACCGGTGATGACATTCCGGGGTAGGTCCGTAAGGAATGAAGCGTTCACGGGAGATGGCCGCACAACCGCCGCATAGTATACCCGGTTAGTGTTGTTTCCTTACAGCTTCAGCTTAACTTTTTCACCGTCACGAAAAAGGATATTGTGTAGCCTAGTCGTGTTTCTCGTCTTAGCTTCAGCGCTTCCTAGCTGTTGGGCCCGGGTTTCTCTTGTAAACCCCAACCCGGACACGACACGAAGTGCGACTGCCAAACCAACCTTAAAAATCAGCGAACCGTGTGTCCCAAACAGCCGGGGGCGCTGCTTCTGATGCGGCCGCGATCCACTGGCGTTGGCTTGTCTGCTTTTGACCCCACCCGGAGGCCACCCCCGCCGCTGCCAACAGGCATGCTGTGACCCATGATCGGGCAGTAGGGCTGTTCAGAAGAGTTGCTCCAAAGTCTCGGGCAAACCCCCTTGGCCGGCCTGATACTTTGACGATACAACAGCTCGTCTGTTCCGGGTAGTCACAGCCTAGTATCTGGCCGGCTCGATATATCTGGCCTGAGCCCCAATACGAAATCGAAGACTAGAGTTCGATCTCGAATTGATATTTCTTCCCTTAGCTGCAACTATACCAACGCTCGTTTGCCTACTGCCAACCAACTCTTAATCATCTAGTCACCGTAGGAAGCTCTTATCCAATCTGTGCCAGATAGGCGCTGCCGTTGGCTCGGTCGCGAATCTTCCCACCTTGTTGGTTGGGAGATCCACGACGCCCCGGCACACCGCTAAGCTTGGCGTTCGGCTGTCGTGGATGGCCAAAATCACCCTTATCGGAGAGCTCTGAGCTCTGAGCTCAGTTGTCTTTAGTACGACAATAACAGTCCCAAAACGAAAGAAGAAAAAATGGGAACGGGCAATCCAATAATATATACCAATTGTGGGCGGATGCTAGTTCACCTCGAAATCTTGAGGCTATGCTCTTGGTATTAGAAGATTGTGTAGTCTCTACCGGGAAACCAACCTACGCTACTCGAGGATATAATCTCAATACGCGCTGTGATATGCCCAGCCCCTCTCTCTTCCGGTCATCAAAGGGGCCGCGTCCTCAACAAGACCTTTTCGCTGTTTGCCAAATCCGAGACCGAACTCCCTGGTTCATTCAATAGCCAGATGAAAGACGGGGAGCAAGAGCACGGTGATCTTGATCAGGATTCCCCTCCACAAACGTTCGTCCAACCCATGATAAGTGCCCAGTATCCAACTAGTGCAAAAAAAAAAAAAAAAAAAAAAAAAACCACTCCAATAACACCGGATTTGTCGTAACTTTTAGAACATGTCCATCATGCCGAACACCTTTTGCCAAAGACACAAGCAGGTTTGTATGTCACCCTGGAAAAAAACGCCGTACTGCCGCTCATGAAGTTGGTAGAAAATGCATGCGCCCGCTCGCAGTGTGCTGCTACCTCTTTACTTGGGAAACGTGAATCGCGAGGTGAGCTTCTCGGGCTCCTTCTTGTTCGAGCCGCCTTGCTGCTGTTGTTGCTGTTGCCGTTGGGCGAGGTCGGCAATCTTCTCTCGTGCCTTCATCAGACTGCTACTGTCCTGCTGCTTCAGCTTGGCCCGGATCTCGTATAGCGCCATAAGTGTTGACGCCCTATCCAGGTCGTCTTCGCCCTGTTCCACAACACCGATGTAAGTTTTTGACTGATCGTAGAGGCGTTGCTGAGGAGAGGAAATGGGAGCAAAGATCCATACATCAGAACCGCCCTTTGGCGTGCCAGGGATCGAACCCTGTGCCGAGTTGGACCGCGAGAGCGCCGGCGGGCTCATCATGATGCGGCGGCCAAATTTGTCGACCCGAACGGGCGTGGCAGTTCCCGTGCCGGGGCGCGAAGTCTGGGAGCTGTGTGCGCGGCGCAGCTCGTCGGTTGGGCGCTTGGTGGCGGTAGGAGCAGTGATGCCGGTGCCGCTCTTCTCAACGGTTTCGATCGCCTTGTTTGCCGTCACGAGGGCTGCAGCAGCATTAGGTTCCTGTGACATGGGAAAGAAGAAGTCGTCAGCTTAGTGAAAGGTTGGCAAATGAAACGACCATTGACGAAAAGTTAAATTCCCGGTATGATTCCAACCCAGAGTGTCCCCCTGCTGTCAGCACAGCACGGGGGCGAGTCAGATGAATGCGACGCAAGGCAAGCACATGAGGAACGAAGAAGAAAAAACAATGCTGCTTACCGCTGCGTTGAGGCTACTCAGGTCGGCGAGCATCTGTGCCAACTGGAGGCTCTCCATGGCGTCTTTGCGTGCGAGTGTGCTGGTTCTCCTGAATCGGTGGTCGCGTGCGTAAAGGAGAGATGGAGGAGTTGTAAATTAAAGCTGGACGACAGCTGGAGACGTTGCTAGTTCAAGGCCTTGGAAGTGGATATTGCTGTGGAATTTAGTATGCTGGGGGGGTAAAAGATAATCTGGGACGTGTGAATGTGGTGGACCTGGCAGAGGGTGCGGGACAAGGAACCCACCAACACCGTCATACATCCAAGACGTTTTTGACTTTTTTAAGGGACAGGTACTGGCCGATATGGAGGAAGCGCTCTGCAGGTTCCACGGCGCGTTAGGGGCAGGGCGGCTTAAAGTTCCTTTGTTGGAGGGACGTGTGGAAGAGGGACAGAGCGCCGAGTGAGGGCGTTTGTCTGGGAGTGGTTGCTGTCAGCGTTGCTGCTAAGCTTACTAGCAGATGCGCGTTACTGCGTACTACGTACTACGTAGCAGGTACTGCTGGTAATTGTGCACGCCGCGAATGGATGGAACCAGATGGTGACAGATTCGAAGGTGCAAGAAGCAGAAGATTACCCCGCCGGAGACAAGGCAAATGTGTCCTCACCGATCTCTCATTGGGCCCCGATGCCCTCGCCATATTCGCGGAGGCGGGGAGGAGGAAACCCCCGCACTGGCCATTTCAAGCCACAATGCACGCGACCCCGGGCCCTTCCCTGTCGCCGTAGTCCATTGATGCGACTTTTGGAATACCCGTTGCAGTAACCTCAACGTGGATGCTGGCCGCTGCCGACCACTGGTTTGCTCGATCTCCAAGTCCCCTTAATGCTTTCCCCGGACTTGCCTCGGGAAGTTCCCCACCCCCATGTCTACCAGGTCTGTGAAGTACGTACATCAATTCAATCATGGGGAAAACGAGGTCTATTTCATCCTATCTAATCCACCTAAGTGTCTTGGGGAGAGAGGCACGATTGTCACTGCTGTGGGCCCGTATGTCACCCTCATTTGTTTGATATATGCACCCTTCGTAAAACTACCCAATTTCGAGGCATCCCATCTAAGAATCTTTAAACCCCCTACCTGCCTCATCTTTAGTTTTTACTTGGTGATTTCTAGAATGGCGAACAGGATTCCGTCAACTGAGATCCGATGGTTCATTTCGTGGCCGTGGTTAGCAGTGCTACCGCGGTGTTGGCCCTTGATAAACAAGTAGGCGGGATAAGCACCTAGTTTACTAGAATATGAGTAAATATCATGTACCTCACTTCCGGACATTCCGGTCATCTTGGTCATATACAACTTGCTAGCGGCCCTGCAGCGTCGTTGCCCTGTCTGATAAAGAGCAGCTCTTCTCTCCGAAGCTGGTTGGAGGGGGCGAGTAAAATCTTCCTCAATGAAATTAACGAAATGTATGGATAGGGCTGGGGCGAAGATGGGGCACGGTGTCAGAGATGTTCACTCAATGGTCCAATAAGTCAAGTCTCCTTGACATTTATCTCTATGAATACTTTTTAGTATATCGGTACTGCTATTTGCCAGATATGATCCTTCGCCTTCACCCTGGCAGTTTTTGCAGCTAGTTTCCTACAAAACACGTGTAATCCCTAGGAAAAAAACCTAGGAAAAAAACACGTGAAATCAATTCCTCAGTAGACTTAAGTCTGGTTACGGGTTCCGATTTGATGATGGTATTCGTTGCCCCCATACAACATATCTTTGTTTTCCCTCGTGGTATGATTCAACTTTCATTGTCAGAACCACAGAAACCTAGTTGAAGAGGCTAGTCTGTCTCGCTATGCCCCATGTTTACATGGCGGAGTTGATAAGTTGAATGGAAGACGCAATAAGAATAACATTATGACAAAGGTTTTAAATGAGGGCCATCTCGACATGATCAATTCTGTGAGGTATTGGTGGTGATGGTAACTGCAATCCAATTTAGAGACGAGGGCCATAGGTACTGAAGAGTGGCGGGGGTGGCTGTGCAAGCCAGTGTGGCTCGGGTGTCCTAACCGCGCCAAGATGCATTGCACCACTCAGAGCTCGGCCATTTCGTGCTTTCCCCGACCGGTCTGGCTGGAGGTCCCCACTTGAGCTTCAAACACGTACTTAGCCAGTGAGAGAGTCATAAGAGCTTGTCCTTCGTTTGACACCTCTGACCTCCAATCAAACCCCAGATTAAGAAAATATTCTGCAGTACCGGCAGTGTAGACTGACGTACTATAACTTCCATACAGACGTACAATTGTGGTGAGTGTGATATCTCTGTTGACTCCATTCCCCGGATGATCTCCCGATGCTCGGGGGCTGAGCCGAGGTTCCGATGAAGCTCCGGTTTCCGACATCCGATCTCGCCTGCTATTTCCTCCCTCTAAAGAGCCATGAGATACTGACAAAACCTCATACTAGATCTCAATTCACCAAACGTCAAGATGTCCATGATTTTCAAGCGCTCAATGGCTACCGCCGCATCCTTACGGAAGGCAGGCAAGGTCGTGTGCATCGGCCGCAACTATGCGTGAGCAACCCTGTAGTTCTCAATGCCTCATTGAGATGCATAGTCACATAACTAATACCAACTCATAGCGATCACGTCAAGGAGCTCAACAACACTCGCCCAAAGCAGCCATTCTTCTTCCTGAAGCCCACTTCTTCCATCCTTCTCCCGGGCGCCGGCCCCGTCCTGAGGCCCAAGGGTGTTGACATGCACTACGAGGTCGAGCTCGCTCTCATCCTCGGCAAGCAGGTCAAGGACCTCAAGCCCGATGACTACCAGGGCGCTCTCGCAGCTATTGAGGGTCCGTCTTGACCCACCATCTCATAAAGGAGATCATGAATGCTGACGTCCATACAGCCTACGCCGTTTCCATCGACATGACGGCCCGTAACGCCCAGAACGAGGCTAAGAAGAAGGGTCTCCCCTGGGACATTGCTAAGGGCTTCGACACCTTCCTGCCCGTAAGCGACATCATCAAGAAGTCGGCCATCCCCGACCCTCACAACGTCGAGCTCTTCCTCAAGGTCAACAATGAGACCAAGCAGGACGCCTCGACCAACCTGATGCTGTTCCAAATCCCCCGTATCCTGAGCGACATCTCCAAGGTCATGACTCTTGAGCAGGGTGACATTGTCCTCACCGGTACTCCCGCTGGTGTTGGCCCAGCCGTACCTGGAGACGTCATTCGCGCCGGTATCCGCGTTGGTGGCAAGGAGCTCGCCGAGGGCAACATCGAGGTTGCTGTGGAGGAGTCGCCCAGCTCTTACGTGTTCGCTGAGACATAAGCGAGCTCTGGGATGCCTATGAAGTAAGATTTCTTTTTATCGTTGAGAGAATATGAACGGTGTTGTGATTGAGAGCAAAGTTGGAAAAGTCACGACGGGTCTCACTGGGCTAGGATACGATTCTCGAAGTTTCAGCTTCATAATCACATGTACTTTTAGATATAGACCGATCTGGCTCGTCTACAACATACCCACCCAATAGACTACTCCGTTCAAAAAGTAAAACTACCAACAATTTAAGGATTTCGTTCTTTTCATCAGGTGCCTGAGATTACTCTAAATTGGGGTCCTTGATAGAACCCGGCTTCGGTGCTGCTTCGGCGATCGTACCGCACTTCTTACACGTCCGCACCTGCTCGTCGGCCTTGAAAGCCTCGACGGCGGCCTTGATCTGAGTGCCGAGATCGGTGCAATGAAATGCGGCCTCGTGAACGACCTCGCGACAAGACTCACAGTACCAGCGCATGCGATCGAGCGAGCCCTCAGGGCGGCGCTGCTCGAGGACGACGCCGACGGTGTTTGCGAAGCGCACGGGGTTGTGCGGCGTGTTTCCGGGGAGCAGGAACATGTCACCCTCGCGGATGATGACGTCTTTGAAGACGCCGTCGTCGACGACTTTAAGCATCATGGCGCCCTTGTACTGGTAGAACCACTCAGGTGTCTGGTTGATGTGGTAGTCTGTCCTGGCGTTGGGGCCGCCTACGATCTGCGGGGGAGGGGTTCGTCAGTTGAACCTCTCAGATTGCGGCGATTAAGCGGCCGAGAAGAGATACGTACCATGACGGTGAAATCTTCATTGTAGACGCAGTAGTTGTTGATTGGCGGCTTGAGAAGGTGCGAGTTTTCCTCCAGCCTTGATGAGCCAAGTTAGCTGGGATGAGTTGCTTCGCGTGAATAGCCTCAACATCGTATCATGTTTCTGTTGGTGGTAGCGGACTTACCATTTGGGGAGGTTGACAGGGGTGGACAACATTGTGAGAAGTTAGTCGAGTCACTCGAGTCGTGGACCGCTCCTCCGACTCTCGAATTCAGTAAAAACCGACCCAGTTCGTTGTTTTTTCTTCTTTACTAATTAGGTTGCTGTGAGGCGTCTTAGGTTGATGACTCGCCGATTGTGTACAGGTCAAGATGAGGTCAGTTCGGAGTGAGTGAGACTTAGGTGTTTGTGTAGATAATGCCTCTCACGTGGGCGAATAGGCTTCAGCGCAGACAAATTAGGCTCTAGCATTGTGCCGATTTCAAAGAGCTGGCCGCATTTATCAGCCTCCGCTAAAGCCGGTCTCATCCGGACGATTCTTTATCGGCTCGGAGCCACTGGCAGCATGATGACCCGCTCGAGGTCGGGAACTGTCTTAGTCATGAGAAATTCTTGAAGGGGAAGACCACTGAATTGCGTCGCTAGTCTCATTCTTGAATCATCGGCACAGCCAGCCGTAGCAGCCTCACGCAAGAGAAGCCCACAGTGAAGCCCCTCGGTGGGAACAACCCCGCTATATCTGCCGTGCGATCCCTGAGTCCAGTGGCTTCAAGCTCCCCAATAAGGATGTGAGTAGGTGGTGTGCATGTGACGCCTGGCATCATCAGTGTTTGGGAACCCAGCCCCACCCTATCCGTCTCGTCTCGCCCGCTTTGCTTCCTCCATTGGCGCTGTAAGAGGTTCTAGGTACTGGTCGTGAGGGTCGTCTCGCTGATGTTTGCGAGCTGCCAGCTCACCCAGTGAGGCTGCTGACCTGAAGAGAAGGGGGCCCGGGCGGGGGAGGGGGCCAGGTACTACCATAGTAGTAGATAGTGGAGTGAACCACCCTCCTCAAACAATTCAGACGAGTCAACGACGCCTTAGCCGCCGCAACTCCCAGTGACGCACCCACTACCAGGCCACTCCATCCCACCACTTCCCGCATTCGAAGTCGCCCCAAACTCACTGAACAGGACAGGGAAGCCAGCCTAATCCGCATCGACCTTAACCTTACGGCGTCCTTCCACGCTAGACACCTGTTCTTTGAGCTCGCTGTTGCTAACTTGCTGCTTCCTTACACCGACACACCAAACAAACAAACGAGGGAACATCCCATCTCGACCTGCGCACATTTGAGCGAGTTTCTCAAGCCACCAGCCGCCACCGCATCTCGTAACGGGCAATACATATCTGCACGACCCTCAGCGTAGCTATTCAATTACTGCCCTGCCCGAAATTCCCATCTGTCTTTGCCATTTCTTCTTCTTCTAGATCATTTGCACCTGCGCATCTCCCTAGTTTCCGCACCTGCCCGGCCACGCATTCTCTCCCTTCCCCGCAAAAACTCTTATCGCTCTTATCGCTACCCCCAACCGACCGACCGACCGCAGCATCACGTCCCGAGTCTTGAAACCCCCTTCTCCTTTTCCAATCAACACCACCGATATTTAAATCGCCGGATTCGATCTATCGTCACTCTACCAGTTCGGACCTCAGCATCTGATCCTGAAATCTTAGAAACAAGTCGAAATGGATCACGCCCACATGGACCACTCGCATATGGACCACTCCGCCATGGATCATGGCAACATGGGCGGCCACGGTGGCATGGGCGGTGGTATGGGCGACCGGTGCAGCATGAACGTAAGCTCGCGAATTCTTCATTTTACCTCTTTTTGCGCATGCACATGTCCTATGTAGCTGCCCCCGATTGCTTAGCTCTTCGCGGGGAGTTTCCCCGGCCCCGCGACCTCCGAACCCGCTCCGCCAACAAATGCAAGCCGGCTAACCCCCGTCTCTGTAGATGCTGTTCACCTGGGACACCAAGAACCTCTGCATCGTCTTCCGTCAATGGCATGTCCGTTCCACCAGTGGCTTGGTCATCTCTCTCCTCCTCGTTGTCGCTCTTGCTGCCGGCTACGAGGCTCTCCGCGCCGCCTCCCGTCGCTACGAGCAATCCGTGAACAAGCGTGTCGACTCCCTCCCGAGTAAGCCTCTCCCGTCGTTCGAGCATCCCTGTATGCACATAAACATACCATGCTCCTGAAATCATAAACCTTCCCCTTCCCCTACAAGACTCTTGCTTCCACAAACGCACTCAATATACATGCGCATACCTACCTAAGCGCCCCTCTCATCGATCTTGTATGAGAGGCGGACTCCGGTGAGCGCAGACATTTAAACCCCTCCCCTGCAAACCTGAGAACGCACGTGAAAGCTAAGAGTCTTGTTTCTTTTGAGGCATCGCTGGAACCGTTACTGAGACAACCCCCTTCCTATGGACAGGACGCGAGCAAGCAGAGGCTAGCAGGAGCGCCCACATCATCAAGGGCGCCCTATATGCTGCGCAAAACTTTTACGCTTTCATGCTTATGTGAGTCTTACCATGTTCTCCCCGAGATGGACGTGTACAGCCGGGCTCCTGAATGAGGAGATTTGCAATCGCATATTCGTCAGGACGCACAGTCTGAGGAACACCGCTGCGCAAGGTGCGAGGGACTAACGAGGTCCAGGCTTGTCTTTATGACTTACAACGGTTGGGTCATGGTCGCAGTCGCCATCGGTGCGTTTGTAGGATACGTTGCCTTCGGAAGCTCCACCTCTTCCACCAAGGACAACGCCTGCCATTGATTTCATTTTGTTGAGGTTTATACGGAAACGTGCTCGGTTTGAATGGGCATATACCCCATGGTTTACTCCTGGACACTGGTTTTTTTTTTTTTTTTTTTTTTTTTTTTTTTTTTGGATCATTGCATTAGGCGCATCCATTTCCGCTTATTCAAGTCAAAGGCGTTAGACTCCGCTGGGCAGAAAGGAGGACATCGGCGGCAAGGTTAGCAGGGTTATGGCAAACCTGAATTCGTTCATCATGGCGGCTGCAGCTTCTCTAACCGCAGACTCTATAGTTGTTATTTCTACAAAGGGGAGAGACCACAAAGAGGCCACTCCCCAAACTTCAAAGAATCATACCCCCCAATGCTCAAGAAGAAGAACAAGAAGAAAAAAAAAATAGTTGAAAAAAGTTGTTCCCAACATATCTACATCTTAGCAGGCTCCGTCTTGGCGTCTTTGCTGTTCTCCTCCGTCGTGACCGTCGTCGAATCCTCATCTCGCTTTCTTTTCTTCTCAACGAGACTGCCCTCTTTCTCAGCCTGCAAGATGATGTCCTCGTCGCCAAAGTGCGGGTTGCACTCGAATTCGGGGTTCTTGCCGTACGCGATACGGGCCGCATCGACGAGCATGTGCGCCGTGAGACCCCACACTTTAAACCGACCCCCTTTCTCCCCTTCCTCCTCGAGCTTCTCAGCAAGGTTGCTCTGCGGGTGGTCCGCGTCCATGGCGTTGCTCGGTGTCGTGACGCGCTGGTCGTCGACGGGCACGTAGAAGTTGTGTACGCGCCAGGGGTGCTCCTTCCACTGGATCCAGTTGCCGTCGTACCAGTGGCCCGGGGGAAGCGACTTGTTCTGGCCATGAGGCTCGGCGTCCTTTGCCCTCAGGAAGTTCTGAAAAGGGGCCGAGAAGACGGCGGCAACCTCCTTGGCGTCAAGGCGCGGGATCATGCGCTCCTCGACGAGTGGGCTGGGGTGGTCCTCATCTGGTTCCTCGTCGGCGTGGAGGAAGGCCACGCACGGTCTCACGACGAGCTCCGTCCGCGCGAGGTTGTAGGGCAGGTAGCAAAGCGGTTCGATCTTGAACGGCTTCGGGATACGGGCGTCGTCCATGGGGAGTCCTATCTCCTCCCACGCTTCTCGCCTGGCTATCTCGTCTATTTTAGGCCATGGTACTCAGTATGAAGTTCTCTTTCGCTGGTTTTCAGGTTGATTGGCGAGTAACTTACACGGCGTCTCTTGCAGGGTGTCTGCCTTGCCTCCGGGGAAGGCCGCGTGCCCGGAGAAGCTCCGCAGGCTCGCGGCGCGCATGGTGATGACTACACGCAAGTCACCCTTTCGATCAGCGTACAGCAAGATCAGAACAGCGGCACGACGGCTGACGGGCAGGCGGTCCCAGAGCGGGAAGGGCGGTGGGACGTAACGGCGCAGCCGCGCGATGGCCGCCTTTGAGCGCATCAGCATCCGGTTCGCGCACAAATACATGGCAGGCTACATGTGTAATAAAGAGAGACAAAACAGGAAAGGAGGGCCGAAGGCAAAAGGGGAGGGAAAGGAAAAGACAGGAGAGAAAAAAGGGCATCTCGATGCAAAGACTATGATATACATGGTAGGTATATAACCTCGTGTAAGACGAATGAGGCAAAGAAGGGGGAGGCGTGGGAATATAGCAGCAACATAATACAAAATTGGTGATAGGCTAGACAGGTCAAGTGGAAAAGAGGTAGGACTGCACCGCTGGATCGAGGTCGCCCCTGCTGCTACTACTACAAGTACTGCAAGGTCTGAAAGGCACGAGGAGTGAAACTACTGACCGCAGACACTGCGTTGAGCGGAGCCATGGCGTTAGCATCCCAGTAGCTGGTGACCTCTTGGACGTCGTCCTCGTTGAGGATCAAGACTCCGTCGTTGATGGCTTCGGTGTTGCTGTCGTTAGCGGCACCGTTGGGCGCGGCAGCCGTGGTTGACAATGATGGGGGTACTGCTGCTGACGTTGCAGCCGTAGCGGCGGACGGACCCTTGGCGGCAGCGGCGATGTGGGCTGTGATCTCGTGAACGTCCTGGTCTGTCGGTGGCGTGGCGTCCTCGTCCTCCGTCTGCTGCAATCCAGCGGCAGCTGGAGTTGCTGTTGCGTTGGTGGTGGTTGCGGTTGTAGTTGCGTCTTCGGAGAAGGACGGGGGAGAGGTTGGGTCCGTCGCGGCCGCTTGGGTCATTCTCGGCTGGACCTACCTAAAGTTCTCACTTCCCTCGCGCTGTGCGGGGGGAGTTGGGGTATACTGAGGAGGGAAGGGGGAAGGAAGAGGCGTCCGAACTGGGAGAGATATGCGGGCGATGAGCAGGTGTAGAATGGGGTAGTTGGTTGTTGTAAATAAAGGAGGGGGGGTGGGATACGTGATAAGGGTAATAATATCAATGGATGGCGAAGGGTGAGTTCGGTCCAGAACTTTCAAAACTCTAAAATGTTCTGCAGGTGCTTGCCGGTTCTGTTTATCTCTCCTGCATGTGCTGTCAGGTGCAGGAAGTGCCGCGGATGTCTAGTAAATTAGGTGGTATGTGGTTGGCTACTGGAATAGTGGAAGGGATGTGGCGGGTTCAAGTTTCCCCGTCTGGATTTGTCCAGTGTTGGAGAATATGAAAGAGGGTCAAAGAGCCAAGATGCTTGTTGGAGATGTGATGTCTGATGCGAACATGTTTGGGGGAAGTTGGATAAAAAAGGCCGAGCCGAATTGCGGGGGTGGGGTTAGTTAGATACCCGATCCCGCTCCACTATGCCGAGGCTCTATGCTAATAGCACTACTAGTATACATAGTACTCCCAACACACTACGTAAAGAGTAGCCATCAGAGTGGCCAAAGACCACCGATATAGGCGCTGCAAGTCACGATCATGGTGGGGATCGCTCCTGAGATCAAGTTGTCGAAAAATGATATTCTCTGGGAAAATACCCTTCACATTTACACACCCAAAAACCTATTGGGTCGCTAATAGCTTGCTTGGGGGGCTAGGAGCGGGCAGCTGGCATTGGGGGCTGGTAGGGGAGGTTGAGCACAGGGTGTGTGGGATGCCTGTGCTTGTGACAGATACGTCCCGGAGACCGGGCCCTGCATGGCCTACCACGAAGTCAACGCACACCAGGACCCCTACTTATTCTGGCTATTACCTATGAATTACCTTATCGATAGCTGTACCGGAACAAAGGTAGGACCTGTTCATGTCACTCGCGACTCGGGTGCATTCAGACTGTTAGTTTGCATCTACAAACCCAACTTTTTCATACATTATTTATTCTTTCTGCTTCATTAGATTACTCGTGTAGGCTTTTCAGTACATATTTAATCCAAACCCTGACTACACACCTCGTGGCTAACATGGGCAGCGCAGTGATATGCAAACTCCAGACTCAAACCACAACGCTGCCTAGGGTTTCTCAACAAAAATAGAACCATGTCTAGCTGACGCCGTCGATATACCAGCCCACAAAAGGGGCAACAGATACGCAACGCTAGACAGGCAAACGCCAAGACGGGATCCCATCCCATGATTGTTTTTTCTTTCTCTTCCTTGTCGACCCAGAGAGTTTTAAACAGCTTAGTTGCTTTTGATACCAGCAATGGAGGGCATACTATGTCCTTTCCCACAGCCAAAGCCGTGGCCAACCAACTCCACCCCGAGCGCCACGCCGACGCCGTCGCATCCATGTCTCCTCTGCAAGCTGCCTTAGAGCGTGCTTCCCTCCGGTATCACCCGTATGCTTTGCCTCAGGTTGTCCCTCCGCCGATTGTCCTTGGAGTGCACCATCAAACTTGCCGTTCGCTTGACATGGGCCGTTAAGTTTTGTACCGAGCGTTTAGAAGGTTTGCCCGGTGTAACTGCCAGTGCTGGTGAGCCGGGGCCGGAAGACATGGTGGATATAGTGTTAGCCGTCGTGGGTGTTTCCACCGTGCGGGGCTCCGAGGATGCCCGGTCCACGGGCGATGTGCCCTCCGAGACCGCCCTCCTGTGCTCGCCGCTCCGCCTGAAGACGCGGGAGAAGGCGTCCGAGTACCTCACCCGCAGTCGGTCGTCGTCCAACGAATGAGCGGGCGTGACTGCCTGCAGCCTTCCGGAGCTCAGATTGGACCCTTGCGAAGATGTGGACTGCCTCGATGTATTGATGCCCATCGGCGGCCGTTTCCTGCCAGACTGGAGCACTTTTGCCGCAAAACTCAGTCTGTTCTTGGGCTGCATTATAGACTCGCTGCCCGAGTCGGTGCTCGTCATTGAAGGCGGTGTTTTCTTCTTTGTGGAGTTCGCAATGGATGTTGCTGTGGCGTGGTAGAGGTCCTTGGCTCCCACATAACTAACTTCCATATGATTGTTGCGCCGGGCCGGTAGCGTCTCGAAATGGTGCATTCCCGGTGACCTCAGTGGTCCGACCTCTGAATCGCGGCGACGGGGACTTGCCTCGTCAAAGTCGAAAATCTCAACGCGTGGCGGTACTGGAGATGCAGGAATCCACGACGCATGTTTCCGCCTCGAGCTAGGGCTATAGTCCCAATCGCTATCATACTCTGAATCGTCATCGTTATCTTCAATCATGCTCAACGTCCGAGCAGGCTCTGATGTTGACGGAGGTGCTTCGGTCTCATGGGTGCCACTGGATTTGTCCGGTGTACCTTGTCTCTGTGTATTTGGTGGCGCAGCTTTTCGGGCTTTGGCGAAGCCCTTGTAGTCGAGATCGAGGCCGGTTATCTGCTTGATCTTGACAGACGAGCGGTGCAAGGTCCGTGGGCTCGTTATCGGCGTGAAAAACATCGTTGGTGACAGGATTGGCGTCGAAAGACGCCGGGGTGCCAAACTCTTCATGGTCTCCTCATCGCGTATGGACCGTCGAGGGCCTGGTGAACAACTCCTATGCTCGGATAGTCTTTTTGATGCGCGTTTAGGGCTTTGCTGAATGAGGATCGTATTGATTTCTTCCTCTAGTTTTTCAATCGTCTTCCGCCCTGTTGGTGGTGGTGGTGATGATGTGGCCCTCGTCCTGCCTCGCGATCGCGAACGACTCCTCGTCGTCCTTGGCGCAGCAGAAAGTGCTGATACCTGACGTGACAGTCCAGGTCTCGAAGGAGGCAATGGTGGAAGAGGTTTGCTCTGGTAAGTACGTGAAGGCTGTTGGGGAGGCAGATCGTGCCCCAGGGGGGCAGTGATCTCTAAGCCGGATGGAAACTGGCTGGGTATGATTGGAGTCTCCATGCTGGCTTATTCCTCGACAAAACGGTGTGATTGTAAGTTTGGCGTGGAAGAAGGAGAAATGCAGTAAAGATAGTACCTAGGTCGAAATCCGGGAGTCTGGTGCAATATGTTCCATACCACTGGTACCTCCCCAAATTCATGACCAAGCTGATGGCCGAGACACTGGAGCCGAATGCAGCCAGATGATATTCTAGAATTGGCTTCGAAGCCTTTGTTATGGCTCACGACTGGTTTGGGAATAGCTAGTTTAAGGCGAATGCCTTTGGACAAAGGGAAGTCATGCGGCAAAGAATGCCAAGGGGGGGGAAGATGATTAGATTTCGTCAGGTGAGGTTGGTTACCTTGGTTCGGTTCCCAAAGCCTTACTCGATTGAAGATAGATGCAGGAAGCTGTACAAGCCAGAGGCGGAAGAGGGAGTCGATCCGAGCACTTGATTTCAACGAGCAGCGTTCGCGGTCATTCTGTATATTGTGTGAAAATAAAATACTTGACTACGTTAAAGTTGCCGAGTCACCAACATCAGATGTTTCCATGTTTTTGATCGTTCAACCGTATGGTTGAGCCGCCCATCTGACAATCAACGAAACACCTTGTTAGCCGTACGTAAAGGTACTTACCCCGTCGCTGTGTCTAACTGGGTTCATCGGTCGCGTTAACATGTTTGCCGACGGTACAGTAGACCTGGAATCCCTCCATGCTGGAATGCAGGGCTGGTGCTGTGATTTTTGTGCTCACCGTGCTCTTCTGGTTTGGTGCCTTAGAACTCTGTCTACTCCGGGGATGAACGAGGACTGGCAAAAACTGAACTTAATCGGATTTGACACGTAAACACGGGTGCCACGGCAAGCAAGGTTATGACTTCCATCAGAGGCTCCATTCCTAGTCCTTGACCGAAGCCCGAGTTTTCGCAGCCTTGGTTTCTTTGACTGCCGAGAGCGACGCTTGGTGCATTCATGGGACATTGGCGCTGACAAAGAGGCTAAAAAAACTGTTACGCCTCAGGATGAAAGGCGGCTTTTTGCCATGCTCTACAGGAGAGACTGTTCGGGAGAGAGAGGAGCCCGAAGTCATGCCAATTTAAGCGCAGTGGAAGCCTCAGCTTTGCGTCAAACGAGAACACTGTGGTCTCGAATTTCATTTGCAAAGGGAACAAGTAGCTGGGGGAAGAAGGGTTTGACCTTTCCTGTACTCCTTTTCACTGTTCATGACACTGTTCCGGGGTTTGGCTGCGCCAAAGCCTTCAAGGCGCGTTCCATGTGCCTCACTTCGAACCTGCAGCCTGCCTATCATCCGGGAATAGTGGGATGGCCCCGAGGAACGGGATCGCAAAGGCCGGCCACTTTTACAAGAGAGTCTCGCCCCTTACCTATCATCGTGACCAAAAGAGAGTTGATGGGATGCCGACGCTGAAAAGCTGATCCGCCCTGCTAACGAGAGCTGATATTATATAATGTCGGGATCTGTCATCGGCTTCCGAAACATAGAGATCGAACTGCGATCCGCAAAATAGCACCTTGATTTGAGATCTCTTATTAACCACATCGGTTGGCAGCGAATCAGAATTAGATTGCTGAGCCGTTGAAGGTCGGAAGAGCCGTTTGGAAGGCTGTGCAATCAACGCATTCGGTGTCCAAGAGAGCACATGGCCTGACAAAATCCGTGGAGCTGTTGGAATCGGACGTCATCTTAGCCGCAAACGGCTACATCCACCACCACAGTTCCTTCGCTTCGTAAACTTTGGCAGCCCGCTAGTAGCTACTTGTGACGTTTCCTTTCAAAGGGACTCAGGGTACTAAGCTTGCTCTAATGAACCATGCCGAAGCGGCAATGGTCTCGACCCAGGTGTCTCCAGGGTGTTCCCTAATGAGAGTTGAGAGGGCTGGCGGTGATAAGGTGTTTAGGGCAGAATTGACATGTGTTCTCTCAACCTGACGGCTGTTTGATGGCTCGTTGACCTCAACGGCAACCTCACCAAAACTGCCAATCCCGGAGTGTGCCTGGGCCTTTGGGTGATGCACGGTACTCATCTCGCATCGTCCAATCTCCTAGCCAGCTTATGCTTGTAGCCTAGCTTAAAACTAGACTGATCCTGTAAAATGAAGCAACAGAATTGGTGCTTGAAGCACATTCTGAGACCTTAGGCAGACACGAAATCTTGTGTGGCGCCCTGCATCTTTGAGATCTCTGCATGGTGGGCGGCTGCATGGCGGCCCTGAAGTGGCCTCAGTCCCTTACGCATCATTCGAGACACTACTCCGTAGCTTGCGTAAGGTTATAATGTCACAGCGGAGTAGATCTCAATGACGTTGGCGATTCTTGATCTTCGTGTAGAAGGTTCATCGATGTCGGATAGACATATTGTAAGTAAAAGCAATCGAAAATGTGAGGCTACGTATTGCTGAGTCGGATGATATTTTCAGGGTCGGCTCTTGGTCATGACAGCGAGCTTGTCCAAAAGACGCAATGAACCAATAGTCGCCGGGCAAATGTCTTATGCTTACTTAATGAGCTGAAGCTCAACCTTTTCGGTGATAGTAGCAAGCTGTCTCAGTTCGCCCACGAGATATCACTGGATTGCAGGCGATGAGGCTTCAATTTCCCACGGCCTTTCTTGAGCTGACAGTACTCTGACGGTTATGCGATTGCCTGTGCGCGGGACTACTATTTTGCAGTTAGCTCAATTGTTGGGCGGATTGGATTGGGATGAGCCAATGCCATCCCACCTTTAAACCTGATGGCGTCCAAACGATCACAAGCTAGTCAAGGGGTTGCCCTCTGTTTTCTCTCTCCCTTTTGAGCTTTCGTGGGACTCAGGCAGCGCCGACACAGGTTCAAAGCCCTGGCTGGTGCCAACGTATCTCTGGCGTTGCATCAGCTAAGGCTTTCTTATGTCAATATGGCGCCAGCTGCCCCATGTTCCATTTCCAAATGGCCTTGCGGTTGCGGTCAATCCAGGCTACAGCATGGCATTCAGCCTGCGCCAGGCCCTTGGTAGTGTATATGTATGTCTTACTTGTGATTCAGCCCCTACGCTTCGTCTCGCCCTATATGATACTGGAGGTAAGGCACCTTGTTTACTACGTTCCTCTCAGATTCGATGTCGTCTTCGCTCGTAAGTCGAAAAATAGCAAGTTCACGCAACAGCAGTCGGCCTTCCACAGTAGGCCATGCTCCGCCGATACGTAAGTTCGCGACGACGACCCACGTCGTTCCGTCTGCCAGTCTGGATTTGGGTGCTTCTGGCCTTGGGCGTGCTCGAGTCTGCGTACCATTGCAGAAGCTTTAGAGTCCCATTGCCGGTTGAAGAGCAAGATGAGCCCTTCTACACGTCGTGTCGCGAACCAGATGTGACCGGCAAGCGCGAGAATGGAGTGCTTGTCATGCTGGCAAGGAACAGCGAGCTTGAGGCAGCCAACCACACGGTCGCATCATTGGAGAAGCACTTCAACCGATGGTTCCACTATCCCATCGTATTTTTCAACGACGAGCCTTTTGATGACAGGTTCATTGAGGTACTGCGAAGCACAGCCAGTGGAGAAGCGACGTTTGAGGTAATACCGCAGAGAGATTGGACGTTTCCAAGATGGATCAACAAAACCTCGGCACAAGAAAGTATTGCCGATCAAGGCGCAAGAGGAATAATACATGCTGGCCAGGAAGGATACCATCACATGTGTCGATTCTATTCGGGGTCAGTAAGAGTTATATGTACGCTTTGACAGTAGTACTGACTGTGAGGAATGTAGCAACTTCTACAATCTGGAGGTTCTTCGAAAGTACAAGTGGTACTGGCGACTTGAACCGGACGTCGACTTCTACTGCTCAATAACGTATGACCCGTTCGTCGAGATGGCTCGGCACAAGAAGGTTTATGGCTTCACCATGTCCCTCTGGGAGGAATGGGCCACAGTGCCGTCACTTTTCCGACAAACAGCCGAGTTCAAGGAGGCATTTGATATCGCATCAACGTCTCTGTGGAAAGCTATGATGGAGCCGTCATGGCTGCCATATCCTTTGCGGTCGTTGATGAGTCTCCTACCACACCGCGATCAGAATGGCGATGCCTGGAGCGGCTGCCATTACTGGAGTAATTTCGAGATAGCGGATCTCGACTTCTTCCGTGGCGGGAAGTATCAGGCTTTTTTCAGGATGCTAGACAGCCGGGGAGGGTTCTATTTTGAGAGGGTGAGTAAGATTTCAATTGTTGCAGGAGATTATGACTGGACAATGGGTAGTTGAGATTGCTGACATAGATGTTGCGTTACATTTAGTGGGGGGATGCTGCTGTACATTCACTGGCTGTGGGCATGTTGCTAGAACCCAGCCAAGTACATCATTTTGAAGACTTCGGTTATAGACATGACCGAATTTTCCAATGCCCTGCCAATGCTCCAGAAGGCCAGCTGACAAGCTCCTGGGCACTCGGAAACGAGTCTTTCTCCCCACCGATCGACGGCGGAATCGGTTGCCGTTGCGAATGCGATGGCCAGAAAAGAACCAATTACAACGGATACTGTTTAAATAAGTTGAAGGCACCGAATACTGCGAAACGGCCATGGTTGTCGTGGTCGCTGTAAGCTGAATCATCGGCTTCGCGGCATCAGGGGGTAGTTTATGTGGCAGGGAGGGAAAAGTCCTTAGGGATCTTACGTCATTTAATATTGAGAACAGATACCCCGATCATCCTATAGATATATCTAGATCTAGATGAAATCGAATTCATTTGGGAAATACATGGGCTCTTTATCAAATCGAGCCAAAATTGTGAAGCCTGGTAACAGGTTGCTGACTTAACCGCTCCCCTCTAGGCCAAAAACTCCAGACATAATATCACATGTGCATTACAATATCTATCTCGTCAAGGAGGCCTGCCCCACTCCTAATCTTCATCAGAATCATACTTGCCTTGGTAGTCTCCCAACAAGATGTCGTCAACTCCCAGGCCTGTTGTGTTGTTCCTGAGCCATTCCGTTTCAACTCGAAAGAAAATCCAGACCCATCTTCTAAAGACCTCGAGGGATTGCAGCAAGAAAATAGAGCTCTCGAAGTCGGTAAACTTGTCCAAATTCGCGCTCAGCTTGACTGCCCATGTGCATCGCAGCATCAAATCCAACCCAATAACCGTGTAATAGATAACAGGCTGTTGGAAAACAAGTCGCCGCCGTAGACCAAACGGGTGCTCTGGGTTGTTGCGCTCGCGTGCTGATGAGAAGAGCGTCAAGTCCCAATCCTTAGCAACGTCCCAATACCAAGAGTATAGTGAGTTTACCAGGACAGCAGCCAGCCAGGCCTTGTTCAGCCCCGGCGCTGGCTGGTCAGCCGGCAGACTTCGCTGCATCGCGCTGAGGATGATTACAGGGAACGCTGTGGCATACTTGGTAGCGTTGGCCAGATGTTGGCCGCCCCAGCCAACAGATTCTTTGTAAGGTGATCGTTTTACTCGCAGGTATTCGATAATACACTGTCTGAATCGTATCGCACTAGGTATGGCCATGATTAGAGGCACCATGACCGTCCCGCCGCAGTTGCGATCTGGCCGAGCAGTCGAGGAGCCAGAAGGTGTGAAGAACATGCAAAGGACGACATAGAGGTCGCCCAGTATCTTGGCGTAGCTTGTCAACACATCGGCAAGTAGGATGTCCCCAAATTTGCCATCCTTAGCCTCCGCCAAACCACCGATGCTAACCCGCCGCAAGGTTGCCAGAAACCGAGAGCGCCCGCCGTGTGAAAAGTTGCGAATCGGGGCGAAGAATATGGCAATGAGGGCAACAAAATATGTCATCGGTAACCAGTCATATTGGATGACGAGAGAGGGGTTGCGGCGAGTGAAGACCCAGAACGTCGAAATCGAGAGAAAGAAGACGGTGGATAGGACGGTCGCGAGTCGATAGGTCGAGAGATGGTGCGCCGGTTCAGTCGGGGAGGATCGAGATGGGTATCGGATCAAGGTTGGCACATCGATTTTAACCTTGTGAAGATAGTGTAGGTTGGCACCCCAGCCCCAAACAGCTTTCCTCCAGTCAGTCCAAACCCTTTGGTTTTGTTCCTAGTAAACGGCCTACCTAACACAATGATGAACCCAATACGGTAGGGAAGAGGAAAGGTCAAGCTGAAAGAGTCAAGCTTCGACTCGACCTTCGGATCACCGTCCATGGCGCTTGGTGAGAGAGTAACAAGGCATCGAGAACTGAGAAGGAAGGGCGGACTCTAAGGAGCCAAATTTGTATTTAAAGGAATGACTAGAACTTAAAGAAACTTCATGCGCATTAAATGGTTGTTCGGCCGCAATGGGAAGCATAGCACGAGGTCTCAGCTTGAGCTGAGGGATAGAATGCGCCGTGTCCTGTTCAGGAGAAAGTCGACCCTTATCGTTATCAAGAATGGTCCGTGCATAGATGGTCTTACGTACCTCTGTTGGTGACGTTCCTTCACTAAATTTATGCTGGGTAATCGTTTGCTAAAAGTCTAATTTCCTTTTGATTTCGAACTGTCAGACAAACAGCGTTTTGCCAATCCAATGCTACCAGCTCCGTCTAAAGTTAGATTGCGTTGGTCCTGTTGAAGCACCTACCATCACTGTCGTTGCTGGTTCGTGATATTACTGAGACGCATCTAGCTGGTAAGTCTCAGTTACAATCCGGTTCAGACGTAACTCAAACTCGCAGTGACTTGATAATCATACTGAAGCACCTGTCAACTAGAGATATGCCCAATGGAGTCAACTTTTGAGTGGGTAAAGCCAACTATAGTATTTTGACGTACAAGAGCCCACAGCTTGGTTGCCACGATCACGTCGATCCTCTTGAGTCCTCCTCTGGACCTCTTCTGATCCGATGGCTTGTAATTGATAACAACTGCTACATAGCTGCTTCCTTGGTAGTGGCTTGCAATTACTCTTTATGGAAAGTCCAGGAGCTGCGTCGTTGTCCTACGCTCGAGGGCTGGGTTTACCACAACCCACAGCTAGGACCCAAACACTTAGGAACCGGAGAACCTCCGGCTCTAGCTAGGCACAAATCCAAGGCTAGGCCCATATATTTATGGTGTCTCGACTGTTATTAGTGTCTTGATGCTGCGTTAAACAGCCTTCGGCCTAGGTTTCCAACGAGCTGAACACTCAGCCGTGTCTTTGATAACCACCATCAGCAACTTATTCTGTCACATACGACCATACCCACTGGAAAACTCGGGATCCCGTCCGCTCTCCCATAGATAAGCCAGTGAGGGCCGGATTAGTAGTTGGGTCGGTGACGACCAGCGAATACCTGGTGTTGTATGTTTTTTCCCTTTTTGGAACTTGCATGGATTCAGGTTTTGCCCTTGTCAGTAGTTGATAGTAAATAGTACGATGTTCGAGCCGGCGCTTTCTACAATTTTGACGATGCCTAGTCCACTTGCTGGAGGGTCGCAAATTCTCATTCGGAATACGTAGGCTTCGCCGACTGTGGGCTTTCTTATGATTTCGCATTTGTTCGAGAGTTGTGGTTGACTGGCTCATACATAAGAATAACAGTAAACAGACAGAGGCTGATAGTCACTACTCTGTTAAGTAGCAGTATTTTTAAGATAGCGGAGACTACGATTAAAGACTTAGGACTAAAACACAATTTTAAGAAGATGTATACTTATGAGGCCCATATCATCTACCTAATGACCTGAAGCCTGGTGCTGCTACAAGTATCAATAGGCTACAATACGAAGAAACGGAAAACTGCATGTGCGCACCACAGGTAATGTTTGCGCCCCTTTTCCGAGTCACAGCTACAGACATAGAAGTAGCAGTACTGTTGGCGGCAGAGTCTGGAATGGTAAGTTACTGGGTTTCCGGTTTCCGTCCAACAAGGAAGTACCTGGAAACTCCTAGTCAATATCACCCGCCTGGTTCCACAAGCAGTGACAGGCAAGAGTAGGTAATGATACTCACATGGGAACATATGTATGATACGCCCTGTTCTTGATGTCGTCACGTACGTTGATCAGAAACAGCTCGACTTCGTCTCGCGTCCAGTTATAGGCGCGTGTCAGAGGTGCCATGGCCAATCCGTGGGCAGCCATCATGCAATTCTCAAAATTCCACGCTCCGAGCTCTTTGAAGCTATGGTCCTTGGGCCATGTGTTCACAGGCCACTTATATTGACTTAAGGTGACATCCTGGAAGCCAGCCTCGAGCATGAGAGCTTTCAGCTCAGAGGCCACGACAAAATTACGCCCAAACTTTGCGCCTGCACCTTTGAGCATCTCGGCGAAGCGCACAAGAGGGGCATCTGCAGGCAATGACTGGTCATCAGATAGGAAAGCCATTTCAGCTTCCTGTAACTCAAGATAGCCGCCAGGAGTAAGGTTACTATCAATATGTGAGTGGAATTGGCTTAGACTTTTGCCATGGTAAAGCACTTCAGAAGCCTGAGACGGATGAATAGAGACCAAGGAAGAATTAACACATGGGAACGAAATGACTAACTTGTAACAATTGGTTATGTATTCCTTCCAGTTGGCAAGGCTCGATGTCATATGACGACTATGGATGTAGTCAAATGGCTTGGAATATGTCCACTCCTCTTCGATGTCGTCAACTTCAAACTTAATATTTGGAGCCACTCTTAAGCACCATTTAGTTTATGATTTCCAAGAACGGTAGAGCTTTTTGTAGGCCAAGAGAAATGAGCTTACAAGTCGGGTTGCGTTGGGGAGAGATCAACACCGTAGACCTACGTCCGAATCAGTAAGGTTACATGCAACTATCAAATGAATTGATATGTTCCTTTGAGACGAATTACCTCGGCTTCAGGGTGGTCGTCAGCGAACTGGATGGCCCATATGCCGGTGCCAGTTCCCACATCAAGCGTGCGCTTGACTTTGTAATCTGGCTCACATGGTGGCGCCAGACCAAGCCTTCCACCAAGTGTCAGGAGCGCCAGATGGTGTTGTAGGTCTGGTCTTGGAGTCAGTGAGTGTGATCTATTTACCTCCAACGAGAATAAATGGAGATGACCATAACCCGCAGAAAATCACAATGGTCTTACGCACCCAGTCTTTCATTCTCTCTTTCATCATTGGGAAAGTGGTACTCTGCGTTTGGTTGCTCTCGTCAGACGGCATTCCAAGGATCATACATCTTTCAAAGCAATGCAATCTTACTGCCGGCCTTATACCGATGGTAAGTTCTGCCGTTCTCAAATTGATAGTCGAAAATGGAACTGGTGAGGCTGCAGCTTGATGAGGCGATGCTCTAAGAGAATGTAAGTCAAATACGAAATGAGATGACAGCCACTTGGAACGGCCTGGGCTCCAGCTCACTTGGACCTCTGCGCCGTCATCTTCCGAGAACTACAAATGAGGTTAGAAAGACCATCATTCGACGGATCTACCAAGTACGGAATTCTTTCAATAAGTACGCACATTGTCTTCTGCAGTGATCTGAAACTGGTGGTCGAGGTGCGCCATGGCTGCTTTCTGAGGGTTCAATTGACGTCAATGAGGGTTCTCTTAAATGCCAAAATAAGTCGTTTCAACTGCTTGCTTTGTGGTCATTGGGCACTTGGCTTTACAAAGACAACAAAAGAGTTGACACAATGTGAAGACAGATACGCTGAGGGCCATACAAGTTTTATGTAACGGGCAGATAATGCGGGCATGTAGTCCCCTCTTGACCGGGGAGATGCAAGACAATCAACAGAAGCAAACATGATTATGCGCCCAAGTGGCAAAGCCACCCGTTTCTCATGTCCGTGTGGAGCTTAATAAAACTACGCAACAAATGAATGAGAGCAACCCAGAAAACCGCACGCAAGCTGCATATATGTAGTCGGGTGGAGAAGAAAGACAAATATGATATGTTACGTTGTATGCTTGCCTTTTCACCGAGAAGCCTCTCCCCTTGCATTTTCCAGAAAGATCTCATTTTCCCCTGCTTACCTGACATTTATGATTTGTGCTGTGTTATGCAAGCTACTGTTTATTTGCCCCAGTCTATGTACGCGAAGACTTCATTACGTGCTACCCGTCACCTAACAAGGCAAATATCTCAATACGCAGGGCAGGCAAAGTACTTAAGTCGTTATGGAGTCGCCATTTGAGCCGATATGTTTGCAGCTAAACTAAATGGGAAGGACAAGTCTGGCTACCATGGTTACTATACTGGTTTTCTGGGATGTAGCTCAAAAAGGTCAAGAAGCAAATTCAGGCAAGACAAGGAACAGACTAATTCAGCAGATGCCACTACGTTGCTGGAGCAAACACACAAGCACCTACAAGCCATCTCGAGTTCAACTTGACAGAACAAACTACATTTTAATTCCTCGGTCTAACAACCAACATGATGTAACTTGAACGTCAAAACGGCAGGCTGTAAGCGGCAATCTCAGCTACCTAACATTAAACTCAGGCCCTCGAAACATTTGGAAACTCTAGCTTAAGCTTCAGTCGCCTTCAAACCCGCCTTTGCAACCCTCTCAACCACATCGGCAGTCTCTGCAGCCCTAGATAAGAACGGCGAGTGAGACGAGGTAAAGGTAACCTTCAACGTATGCGGACCCAAAAGTCCCGACATCATCTCCTGAGCAAAGAAAGGAACCGCCTTGTCGTTTTCGCAGGCAAGGTAAGCGCATGGAATATCGTGCCAGGGCTCGTACGTCACGCGCTCTTCGAACGCTTTGGTAGTCTGATGCTTCAAGATACTAACACACTTCGCAGCCACATCGGGTGCGACGTCTTCGTAGAATACCTCCTCAGGGCCGTCGACAGAGATCTTGCCATCCTAGAGACGATAAGGGATCAGATTCTCTCCTTTTAGTAACCATCCTCATGGGGCTCGCAATGCATCATCCCTCCTCGGACAACTCACCGCAATTCTCATCCAGGGCTGAATCTCATTCCTGGTCAAGCTCCAGACACATTCTCCTTTCGGCACCACGAATGCAGCAACATATAGCAGCGAAATGACACCGCCGGTCTTGCCCTCCGCCGCCCTCTGCTTGTAGCCGAGACCCTTAACGGCCTCGGCGGCCAGAACACCGCCATAGGAGTGTGCAACAAGGATTATTTGTCTTCCATGGTCCGCTAGCTCTTCTAGAACAGCTCGTGCTGATGCAGCGTCGTCAAACATGCCCTTCGTAGGTGGCTCGGCACCGACTGAGGGGTTTGTCGTAGCCTTGGTATCCCATCCTCTCTGGTGGAGCTCATCGCGGAAGAGATCGAAGACCTCAGGTGAGTGCCAGGCTCCAGGCGTGAGAACAATGATGGGCTTGGAGGGCATGTTTGGGGTTGAGTTACTTGGTCCCGCTTCGAAAGGACACTACTACGGCGGATGCAAAGAGAAGGATTGTCAAAAGGCTGCCCAGTTGAGAAGAGAAGATAAAATATTTTACAGAGTAAGTATAATGGACGACGTTGACGTTAAAACAATAACAGCTTTGGCTCATATTAATACTCGTGTAAACTGCCTGTTGGTGGCTAGACACCTTATGTAGCCGTCCAGTTGGCCCAGTCTCCATAGTTCAGCTCAGCAAATCATCTTTCGAACTATCGTCGGGCTGCTTTCAGCTCCATAACATCTGTAGGAATCCAGACATTTCAAGAAACCCTTCGTGAGTCTTAATAAGGAAACACAGTCAGACGAACAAGTGCTTCTCCAGCAAAAAACAAGAGCCCCTGGGAGGATGAACCCTTAAGCTAGCCAACCAGATGTCGTTTTAAGCTTCAAATGGGCAGCATTAGTGAGCTGACATACTTTCTAACCCCTAGTAATTTTCATTTAGGGCTGACGAGTTGCCGCTTGGCATCTGTGGGCCGCCTCGGACTCATGCACGTCGTGCTATAGAACAGCGAGATATGTTTCCATCACCGATGGGTAAGAGGTTTTATTATGGAAGGTATCGGAGTTTAAAATCGCCGAGTCGGTCGAGATTAAAAATTACAAAGTTCTCAGCTAGCCAATAAAGCTGAATTGGAACACAAAGAGGCATGCTCAAGGGGATAGCGGCCAACCTCAGGGCATTGGCATGCAAGGTACCAGACGAATGTCATTGTCAGGCTGCCCGATCTTACACAACTGGCAGTTGCAACGGAACCTATGAGGTACAACCAAGGCCATGTAGAGTAGGATTCTTTTACATGAACATAAGGACGTCCTGGGGTTCATCCTGATAGGATTGATTTCGGCGGCCAGGGGTCGCTCACATCCAGCCACTGTCTCCCAGCTGTATCCATGGTGAAGGACAAAGTTTAGGACCCTATAAAGGCAGGTAAACGAGGAGATGACAGCCTAGACTACCTAGGTAGTTTGATTCTCACCAAAGATAACAATGGAATAGTAGTTTCCGTAGCTATTCGAACACAATGAATGCCCGAGAGTATTGTCTTGGACGAACGGGTCCTTTTACTTTATACCCACTGGAGTTGTAATATGAGTCGGGCTCCGGTTTACTATCATTTTTCCCGCATCTAGTCATTATTGATTTGGGTGCTTATTTGAGCTGTATCTAATTTGTATTAACCTCGAAATCGTGCATCTGTGTAAAGTTCATGTCACCTCTTCCGTCAGATGTAGTTTAGCTAGAGCTGACGGCCGCGGATGACAGCCAGGGTAACGTCATGGGAGTTGTGACAGGAGCTGCACCAGGCTCAAGGATTATTGTCATTAGTATAGCTTTACAAAGTTTTACACATATCGCCTCGTATAGAAAACCAAATGAGACAGATTACTTCGTCCTCTTCCCTAATTGTCATAAGTACATCTCAAGTGCAGTTGCCCTCCAACAGGTGACTGGTAGAAGACACGTTATTCTTGCGGGAAGGTATTGATGAAACAAGTCGAGAACGATCACAGCTTGGCAGCAACACAAATTACTTAATGTCATAAAGTCAATTTACCCGCAGTCCATAATGCAAGACTAGACCTAACGCGCAAGAGGTATATAATCCCAATCCCAAGGGATGTCCCAAAGTGTCATTTCGTTGTGAACCCAGAAAAACCTTTTACAGCTCGTCGTGCTCCTCATCCTTCTTGGCCTCCTTGGTCTCCTGGGCCTTCTCTTTCTCCTCGGTAGCGGCAGGGGCGGCCTGGCTCTCCTCGGCACCCTCCTCCTTGTAGGAGACGGCAGCCTTGTACTTGCCGTTCTCCTTGATGAACTCAATGAGGTCCTCAATGGAGCGGGATCCAGAGTAAGTGACGGCGGCATCCTTGTTGCCGGCAGGGTAGAGCTTGATAGTGGGGAAGCCCTGGATCTCATCAGGGACATCGTTGGCAGTGGCGTCAACCTTGGCAATGACAACCTTGTCCTTGTACTCGGACTTGGCGAAGAGCTCACCAAGCTGGTCGTACTTGGGGGCCAGAGCCTTGCAGTGACCGCACCAGGGAGCGTAGAACTCAATCAGGACATCCTTCTTGTCATCAAGGACAATCTGGTCGTAGTTCTTGGCGACGACAACGGTGACAGGGCCGTCCTGAGACTCAGGGATGGGCTCAGACTTGATGCTGGGCTCAATCTTGCCAGCGACGAAGTCCTTAACGAACTTGGCGATGTCATCGTGAGTGATCTTCTTGTCCTGGTCGAAGGGGAACTTCTGGTTCTTAACAGTCTCCTGAATAGCGAAAGCGGGGAACTTGTCGGTCTTGAGGTTGAGGTTGCCAGCGTGGGCACCGAAAGCCTTAGCGTCGATGGTGGCAAAGTTGATCTTGCCGCGGTACTCCTCGGCGATGGGCTTGAGAGCAGCGCTGAGCTCGTCACGCTCCTCGGGGGTCTCGGCGAAGATGTAGGCAAGGGGAATGCCTGCGGACATGTAGCCGGAGTAGGTCTCAGGGCCGACCTCGCCGACAAGAGGAGTGGCGGCGGTCTGGGCGAACTTCTCGATGGCCTCAACGTCGAACTTCTCAGTGAAGGTAGCCTTGCCCTCGTCGAAAGACTTGTACAGGACGATGGCAGGTGCCTTGACGCCCTCAGCCTCGGCAACCTCGGCATCGTTGATGCCACCGAAGAGGTAGGTGTCGCGGAGCTTATCGGCGACCTTGGTGAAGGTCTCGTTGGAGGCCTTGTCAGAGGCATCAATGTAGGCGACGAGGACGACCTTGTCGGCGGTCTTGAACTCCTCAAGGGTGTCCTTGGTCAGGACAGAGACGGCAGGCAGAGACTGCTTAACCATGTAGGAGGTGATGGCAGCAGCCTTGCGCTGGCCGGAGTAGGGGGAGATGGTGTCAAGGCCACGGAAGACCTTCAGGGTGGGGTAGCCCTCAACGCCGTACTCCTGGCAGAGGTCGGCCTCCTCAGTGCAGTCAACCTTGATGAGCTTGATGTTCTTCTCCTTAAGAGAGGTGGCAGCCTCCTCGTACTCGGGGGCGAGGGCCTTGCAGTGGCCACACCAGGGAGCGAAGACTGAAGGAGGAAAGTCAGTTAGGAACAATTTTATACATTTGATTAAAGATGACAGAAAACTCACACTCGGCGAGGACGAGGTCGTTGCTCTTGATGAAGTCCTTGAAGGTATCCTTCTTCAGCTGAGTGACATCGCTGGCGGAAACCGCAGCAGCGGCGGCCAACAGGCCCATAGCAACACGCTTGCAGAACATTTTGACCCTGCAGCAGATAATGTCAGTTTTTATACGAGTTTAACGTGGTGCGAAAGTTGCTGTCAATGTGGCGATCGAAGATGGTAAAAGGGAGATTGTGAACAGCTTCGGGATAGCTGTCCTTTGCAAAGGTGGCGTTTGCTCCAACAAGCAAGGGGATGCAGCGGGGGGAAGCTTGGGGTACTGAGTTCTTCTGGGTTAACGACAGGAATTGCTCACCTTTCTTAACCGGAATAAAATGAACAGTGAAGAAGGAAAATTCACGCTTGGGTAGGAGAGGCGAATAATTCAGGCTCCAGAATGGTGTGAATGGGAGAGACTCTGGTCTTAAGTAGGTATGGAGCTGGCCGTTCTGGAGAAAGATTCCGACTTTCTCAAGGGCAATTGAGAACAGGTGTCCCTTTTTCCAGGAACCGCCGTCAGCTCATGCACACACTAAGGCGGCTGCAGTGTCTGTGTGGATTAGTGGATTCGGGGACCCCCTCCCCCTCTTTTTTGGGTTTGTATTCAGGTGTACTTGAGTGCCTGATAATCGTGGATCAGTACTTTTGGAAAGGACACAGATACTTACCCCAATCCACAGGACAGGCCAAGTTCTCCCTCCATTGTGAGGGGCAAATCGCACACTCCCCCCCTCCTCCCTTCTTCAGGTTACACCCCACCGTTTGGTCGGCTTTGAGAGCAAGTTACGGTGAATTGATAATCAACCCAGCCTGAAGTGAAGTGAGGTGAGATGAGGCGAGAAACCATCCGTGATTCAGTCGATAGGCTAGGCTCAAGTATCCAGACTACAGTAGGTACTGTGGTACTCAAGCAAATGGGGCAAGTAAGCTCGGCATATTGCAGGCATATTTGCTTTCGCCCCAATCTGTCTTACTTCTGGCAGTGATTCTTAGGATGTTGATTGTCAATCAAAACCAACGACGTGGGCGCTCGAGCCTACGCTATGCGTGGGTTACTTTCTTGCCATGCCATTGATGTTGGTTTCCCCCTATTCTGCGCGCGTTCCGCCTTGCGCCAGGGCGTTCTTTGAGACACACATTGTTGGATGGCACCGCTTCCACTCCGCCCATCCCATCTTTTTCCCCAGTCATTAATTCTCCCAGCCCAGACCAGCCACGGTCCAACGCGTGCGTGCTTGGTAAAGGCGACACCCTTCGGTATGGTTGGGTCTTCCTTTCTTTCCGCGCCTTACTAATTACCAGATCCAGAAAGTAACTACTCGGCGCCCGTGGTTCCTGGGGGCGAGGTCTTCAACTGGAGGCCAAAGGACACATTTCCTGTGTTCTCCACGGCCTGCAAAGCTCTGCGCTTCCTGCCACCGCAAGGTGCATCCATGGTTCCACCCTCTTCGCCTTAGGATTCAGTCTCCACTGCCGCCAAGCTGCCCTGCCGGTTCGAGATCCAGCGGCAATGCTACCGTGGAGCCGATCACTAACCAGATCTGGTCTCTCGGCACCATGTATGGGCGCTTCGCTCACAATTCGATGAGACCCCAGTCGATAGTGGAGGTGGCTCGTTAAGCTCCAGCCACCAGGCAGATGTGTTCTGCAACTCTGTCTGTACTCTAGTAGTATACCAAATGCTGCGGTAAACCCTCCCAGCCTAAGTTCTGGCAACGGGGCAAGGGTCCAACTGCAGAGTTCCCAACCTTGTCCTGGAGGATGCCGCATTTTGACTTGTGGATTTTT